AAGCGCCCGTGGCTGCGGCACCCGGCGGACAATCGGCTCAGCTGCCGGGTTGCCGAGTCGCCGGGCCGCCGGATACCGGGAGGAAAAATATGGCATTTTCTTACTTATTTTTTCAGGCTGTTTTCGCATATTTTTTGCGACCAAAAAGTTCCAAATTTCTCTCGTGAGTCTGGTTCTTAGTATGAGCTTTAAATTGCTTAAATGCGGAGGTTCCTTCAGCCTTAGTCTTGAGCAGCATAACAGCTCTCAGACGCGTCGAGTCGTCGATGAAGGTGATCCAATAGTGGTGGCCAGGCTGAGTGCAAACAGGAAGAGGGCTTTGGACATCAGAATGAGCAAGTTTGAATGGTTTGGAGGTGTAGTTGGTAGAGGAGGAGAATGGAGCAGCATTAAGCTTGCCTGCAAGATATAGCTCACAGATGGGATGTTATTTCCTGTGTTGTATGTGATGCTACAGCTTCTCCGCCCTATCATCATTCTTTTCTCCCATATCTCTACATCCTGGAATATCCTCATCTTTTTAGCTATTTTCCTTCGCTTTCTATCCACAGTAGATCACTACTTCATCTGCTTCAGTGTCAGGCTTGGATCTGATTAGATAAGTAAATAAGCGCCTTGTGATGCACCCTTATGTCTCTGGAGGCTTGTGTTTGGGCCTTCTTCAGTTGCTCATCTACAACCTCCAGGTCAGTAGTTGTATCTTCGCCTTAATAGAGTTCAGTTGCTCATCCACAACCTCCAGTTGTGGTCTTCAGCACTCCTCTGGTCCAGTTTACCTCCCTGATTGAACACTCTACTGAGCTCCAGCTCGCGCACTAGCTTCCCCTTAACCTCTGGAGCAAACACCACTGACTCTACACCCTCAGAGTAGACAATGTGATCGTTTGCAAGACGAACAGCGACTCTCATTGGGGTGTAGTTGCAAAGCCAGTGTTTATGAGGTGTCATATGAGAAGTGGCCCCTGTGTCTGCAATCCAGAGAAGGTGAGAGGCGGAGTCAAGAGTGGTAGAGTGGGCAGAGTGACGCATAGAGGCCTGGCCAGCTGACTCGACAGAGTCCTTCTGCGCTGCTGCGGCAGTGGAGGACGATTTGGAGGCGTTTGAAGCAATAGAAGAGACAGACGTGCCCTTGCCACCTTGCTTTGTGCTCGAAATTTATGATCCCCAAAGAGGAAGGCTTACGGTTGTGGACGCCCATCCAAATGAGGCATCGGTGCATCTGCCGGCTATGCCACTTAAGCGCCTTCCCATTATTAAGGGCGCATCACCATTTGTTTCAATGCCTATGGGACTATAATTTGGGACCATAAATTTGCCAGGTGGCACATTAGGTGCAAGAAATTTGGCTGGCGTTCCTGCCAGAAAAGCGTGCAGCGCAGTTCCTTTCTGCCCTCAAGACTTACGGTCTTAACATGAGAAATTACGGTCCCAAGCACTTGCCTGCCCTTCTGCCTCGTCCTGTACCTCTGCCTTCCTTGACATCTCTTTGACACGCCTTGCTCTCCAGACCTGGTGGCACAGCGCACGAAACCAGTATAAACCTGTATGTAACAAAAAATAAGCCATAAAAGTAAATATAATTTATAACATTTTATTCAACTATATTTGATAATGAAGCTATTTAAACAATGTATTAAAATGTTGTTTAAGCGTCGATTAAGCGCCCAAATATATCTAACATCTTTAAAGATAAATACATCATTTAACACAAGTTTTGAAGTTTATATCTTCTATTTCAAACTGCTAATTGTCAAGGATTGTAGTAATACATTTTATAAACACATGTAGTATAATTAAATGCTAGTTTCAGAGCAAAAGATAATATATACACCTTTTAACATTACTAACATATTTTACATATATTGACTAGCATCTATGTTCTATTGCAAGAACAGCAAATAGTTATTTTTGGCTAAGTACTAGCTAATAAGCTATATACAACTGTATTTGCATTATAAAATGTTATATTTATTTTGCACTTTATTTATTACTACATGCATATTACAAACATGTTATTTTAACTAGCAGATTCAGTAGCTAAAGCAATAGTTAATATTCTATTGCAAAAAGCCACTGTATGTATTAAAGGTTGTTATATTAGCAAATGATGGTTGTATCAAATATTGTACATCTAGCATTATATACAAGGGCAACAGTTATATTTAGACCTAGAAGTGTGAATGTGCATTAAACTTCTAGATTGCACTTAGAAATTATTTATAAGTTGTTAGCTGAGTGTATATAGAAACATTGAAGTGTAAAGTTTGTGTGAGCTTTATAGTTCAGTGGTTAAAGTGTGCATGTTCTAACAGATAGCTTGAAAGTAGTGAGACTGGGGTTTAATTCTCATTGGGGTCATTCTTTTTTTCTTTCTTTTTTCTGAATATTATGCTTATATAGAGCTATCAATATATTGCATAGCATAAGAAATCTGTATAAAATTAAATTTGAGTTTGGTACATTGATTTTGAAGCTAAAAATACTGAAATAACAGCCTATTAACAAGACATAACAGCTCATTTACACCAAATAACAGTTGATGAATAGCTAATGAGTAGCTCATGAACAGTTCATGAATGAATTACTACATTAGTGTTAATTTACTATTAGAAATGTAAGCATAATAGGGGGGTCAGTTAATTAATGTTACTATATTAATTAGTGTTAATTAGTACTATTTAGTAGTAATTAACATTGTGAGCTAGATGCGTCTTACTCAAACAAACTGAACAAGCAGAGCAACCCAGTTGAGATTGAGTGGAGCCTGGATCATAAATGCCTCCAGCCACTCTGTGGCATGATTACAGGGACCATCTCTAAAAGCCCTGTCTTCATGCTCAGACAGGTCCACAGCACAGTCTGCCCTCTTCATCACTTCTGCTCTTCTTCATACATTTCTGTTCATTTATACTATATGGCATAAGGTCAGCTACATACATGCTACATGTATACTTAGCATGCGAATGGTTTAAGACTATAGTTTAGCGATAAAGTGCTTGCTACTGGCTTTGAACTCCAGTGCACAGTGTTGCACAAGGGATTATGGAATTGATAGTGCGTAAAATCACTTAATATTTTCAATTATGGTTACCCATAACACCAAGCATTATCAGCAATATATTTAGAATTATACAAATTTGTTTGGAATTATTAAGAATATGCCACATGTTTAGTACTCCTACTTCTCTCTACAAATTAATATGCGCTCATAATTCATACAAATATTCCAAGGGCATTCTTGACTGTACTTTGCAACCAGTAGACTACAAGATTATACATGTGTAGATATATAAGCTCATAATTGGGCATATAGTCATAATCTTGTGAATAAAATCCAATCCTTCAAGCTACCATACTCAGTGACTGTTCTACTCCATTCCACCATGTTAATATATATATATATATAATAGAAATATATAGTTATACTATTTGCCATGATGTTCCTTCATTTTAACCTTTAAAACCAAAAATCATTAAAATAAAAATAATCCATCAGTTAGAATTGAACCTTCAACCTCTACCCAACAAGGCAACTGCTCTCTCAAAATGCGCAATTTGCCACCTCAGACTCAACTGGGCAAAGGAGTAAGTACACCTCATACACTTCTTTTATCTTACCTACCACCATCTCTGCTTTCAACATGCTTCACAAGTGTAACTTCTCCAAGTCTTCATGGAGATTTGGCTTGCCTCTCATCTTCTTCTACCTTGCTTGTTACCTTCTAGTGGCTTCTACTGGCATCTTCTTAGATAGATTCACCTTGGAAACCTTTACCACAAATCTTAAACTGAACACATGAAATGAAATGATAACATACACCATCTATACAAGTTCTATTCTATTTTCTAGCTCAGACAGGCTAGACTAAAAGAGCTTCCCAGTTCAGATTGGGTGGAGCCTGGAATATAACTGCCTCCAGCCACATTGTAACATGGCTACAGGAGCCATTTCTAAAAGCTCTGTTCTGTCTTCATGCTCAGACAGACTAGACTATAAGAGCATTCCAATTCAACTTGAGTGAAGCCTAGATGAACAAAGCTTTCAGCCACCTTGTAGTATGGTTACAGGTGCCATCTCCGGAAACCCTGTACTGTCTTCCTGCTCAGGCAGTATAAACATCATTAGAAGCAGCCTGGTCATAATTGAGTAGGGCACAGATCCAGAAAGACTCCAGCCACTTTGTGGCATGGCTTCAAAGGCCATCTCTCCAAATTCTGGCTTGATTACAAGCACCAGGTATAATTTAATAAGTCCTGCACTGTCTGACCAAGCAGACAGTTTAGAAACTAGTGAACTTGGAATACTGTATATAGCTCCAGGTCTCATATAAATAGTAAGCTATCATAATATCTAAGTTATTATTATTTATGCTACAGCATAGAAGAAATAAAGAAATTGTACCTGCTGAGCATATATGCTACAGTCTACACAACCCTAGTGAAATTGATATTACTGCTTTCCTTCAGGCAGAAGACTCTTGTCAGACTACACCAGTGAAGAAGGAATTCTTGCTTCTGTTCAAGTTTGCTCTCTTTGCAACATGGCACTAGATGGTAAGCATGCTTTTTTCCAGCATAAAATTAGCCAAAAACTGATTCAACAAGACCCCAACTTTCTCTGGTTTTCACCTGAAAAAAACCAAAGGCAAAACTTAGTTTTCTGCCAGTTTTACTGTGTTTTAGACCATTTTGACTGGTTTTGCACCAGTTTCTCCTCAGTTTGCATCGGTGTAGAACTGAAGAATAGCTAGGCCTTGTTTGGCCTTGTTTAACTGCTTTTGCCTGAGTTTTTTCAAGAAAAAAGCTGTGCTTACCACCCTATGTGGTAGGCCAGACAAAGAAGGACATACTTTACCAGATGCTAGCAGAATGACCATCTCACATTGTCTGCACACTGCTCACATTACATTTTCAGCCAGTCAAGCTTGCAAATGACTTGCAGAAAATGTTTTTCTACTTGCTGAGCATGCTGGGCAGCAGATGAGGTTAATGCTCACCAGTGTGAAAGCTCTCATTTGGTTTGCAAGAGAAGGTATCATTATTGTTCTGTGCTATCATAGCATGATACTGACATATTTTGTATAATATCAGCTTGATTTGTTTAAGCATGAGATTATACTAATGACCATCCTTCTAAAGAATCAAGAGCAGCTCAAAGAAATACAGCCAATAAAAGCTATTTATAAGCTGCCCACAGTACTATATATAAGCATTGCATTTTCATTGTCACCTACTGTGACTAATTGCAACTCTAGAAAAAAATTGAGCTGTACACAATTGACATTCTGCTGTGTCCTGACTTTAGTGCCTATCTCAAAATTTCTACAAAGATATTGATAGTTTGTTCAGCTTCCTTACAGTTAACATGTCTAACTGTGCCATCATCACCAGACTGTTCTTAAATGCCACCCCTCCTGGAAATACACACTTGATATCTAAAACATACAGCACAAGTGTTTTACCAAGTGCTTGAACACAATAAAGAGTGTTGTACATGCTTGTTCTGTTTGTTACTGTCATTGGCACTTATCATCACCATGGCTCAATTGAGTCTTTGTAGCTCACAGCTTCTGTTGGCAAAGAGAGCGAGACAAACCCTGATAGTTAGATTAGCTTGATGCACATTGTTGACCTTGTTTGTGCTGTCATGAAGAAGATCCACTCATCTCTTGATGATTCTGGATGAGCTGACATATCACATGTGACCATTTCTATATGTGCCCATTTTGCTTTTCTGATAAGCATGTTGTTTGGCTGGTTTTTACACCAGCCTGCTAATACTACTGTCATAGTGCAAGGTTTACCTTAATAACTTGAGCAGCTCATATTAAAAGACCATTAATGCAAACCTCAGGGATATCTACAAGCAAATAAAGAACTGCTCCAAGGAGATTGTGTCACAGTATGTGTGGCTTGTCCTGGTTAGTTTTTGCAATGCTGAGTATGTGGAGGCAGTTTCTTCAAAAGTATCTTAAACAAAAATTAGCATAGCTATGGTGTTGCCAACATTGAGCAGTTCTTTGACATTGAAGAGGCAAGCATCCAGACTGAGATCTTAGGCCTGTCAACTGGGGCCAATTTTAGTGCTATTGATGTTGATGATTGACAGCTGCACCACAAGCCACCATGGGCTGTTTTGTATTGATCCCACACTGCTATTCATATATTTTCCAAATAATATATGATACTATTTTCTCCATCTGCTTGATGTGTGCAATTTATGGTTGCCTACATCTGAATATCATTTAGCATTGACCAAATATGAGTGATAGATATAGCTTCAGTATGCAGTGGAGAGGTTTGTATAGAGTGGCAATATCCTAACCAATAGGATGCCATATTTGCTCTGTTGCAGTTAGCCACAGAATACTGAGATAAGCCTTTTCTGATATCTCTTTAATACATTACATGCTGGCATTTCAGAGGGAACATAGCACAATCCCTATATTAGGCTGCTGAAAGGTTTTAGAGAGGGGCTCTAAGCAAGTTATGGCCAGCCCCAGCCTGACTCCAGAATCACTTCATTTGCATTTTTTCCTGATGGCCAGCTAGTTAGTGGCTAAGTATGAGTGGGAATCAAGTCTGATCCAAGAATTCCATAAAAAATGAATTAAATGTGTGATCAGACTGATAGTGTACACATCTTATTTGTTTTGAGGTGGGAGCCAGGTGCCCAGTGACATGTCAGTCAATTAACTGGAGACCTGGCATCTGAACATCTGTCAGGTGCTAGTGATGCAAAATCAGTATAGCCCCAAGCTGAGTTCAGACCCTTCACTTGGCCACCAGATGACTGAGCACATCCAAACCTGACCTTGGTCGTGCAGTGCTCAGATGATTGAAGAGATGAGGTGCACAGATGATAGAGTTCTGCCATTCATCCGCAAGATCCAGCTGGGGAACTGCTGCTTTTGATATAGACTGGGCATAAATGCAATCAGCTTGAGTGGAATGGGTGAGTCAGACAGTTTGCCTGTGCAAGAAATCTGGCTTCGAGCCGTGGCTGCTACACCATAGATGTGCAACGCAGTCATTACATTTAGCTTAATGTATTCTAAATAACAGTAGTATTGAGATAAATGAGGATAAAGCATGCTGCAGCAATTTCTAAATGCTGCCTTCTTCATAAATAGGCTCTGTGTCATCCTTGTCATCATCTTCGCTTGTTGTGCCATCACCACCAATTCCACTATGGTCACCTTCACCTGTATTCCCTTCATTGCCACTATCATCATTACAGGCTAGGACATGTCTGCCAGCAGCAACTTGATCAACTTGCTCTTGCCTGCTGATGCGGAGAATAGTAGTAAGCATGTTCATGTTGTCAGAGTCATCAATAGATTTGCTATACGTCCTCAGATTGTCCGTGAGAATATCTGCAAAGAATCTGTGAAGAGCTGATGAGGATATTGAAGCTATAAAAGTGCCACACATACTCAGACAGCATATACTCCTGTTCAATCAAGTTTATCACATGGTACAACTTGTGCAAATCTGCAAGGCTCTTGTCCACGAAGGGCCAAAAGGTCTTGTTGCCATTATCTTCCACGTAAGCTTGGTGCTATTATATAATCATTTATGTGAGCGGCAGTTGCATGCCAAAATTAGAGGCAAGGACAGCCTACCAAAAATGCAATGTGTGTGCACATTGGAACAGTCACATTGACTTTGCAGAGAGTCTTGCTGACACTTTGAGTCAATGTCAGCTTGGTTACAATAGTCTTCATGAGCTGAACAATGTCCATGCACTTTTTACGTGGTCCATCAGGTTCATGAGAACTAAGAGGCACTCTAAGAAAGCTTCCAAGCTTGGCAAGCGACATACACGTTAATAATTTAATTTAACTCTGATATGTAATTGTACACACAATTATTTTCATATCTGACCACTTCTTCATGACTCATGTGCAGACGCAGCTGTTGATGGTTTTATACACAGGAGGATCTTTGTTGAGATTTTTTGGCAGTCTGAATCATGAACTGTTAGCCTTCAAGATACTCTGGTAGATGCCATGATCAGTGTAATGCCTGCTAAGTAAACGTGTGCATATCATAATAAGGGTTATTGCAGAATTTGTATAGCCAGCAACTTGAGGGCTCAAAAGTACATTCAAGACATAGATCTTAATTTTCTCCTGCAAATTGATGTCAATGCAACAGCTATGCAGAAGATAGAAGCATCTGAAACATACCAGGAGCTTGACAGACAGATGATAAACTCTATCCAAAGGCTGCAATGCTGTCAATGAGTCCTTGTTACTAAGAAGAAGGCCATACATAGCAATCTGGTGTTGTTTGTTACTTTCAAGCTAGGCACACTATGCTGAGGGCAATGATGCTGCATTGGTTAACAGACAACATATCTTGCTAAAGCAAGCTAGCTCTTGGGCCAAGTCATTTGTAAGCCTGAGTTTGCAAGTAACATGCTAAATGGCAGTGTTGAGGCTGTTGTCTACTGCTCACTCTTAGCTGTTAGCATTTGAGTTCAACTGTAAAGCTGTGACCATAGGCCTTTCTGGTACTTCTGGAATAGAACTTTAGCTGCCAATGCACTGTTGCTGATTTGACAGTTCAAGGCTGAGCTCGCTGTGTGGCAGAACTTCTGGAAAAACAGATGGGCTGCAACTTAGTGTTGTTAAGGGAGGATGAGACTGGCAGCTGGTTCCAGAAGTATTCTCTTGCCACTACTGGGCTATCACACTGAAAAGGCATTATGAGAGTGTGTTAGGCATTCTTCTGCAGGAACATTGTGAAGCTGTGAAGGAGCAAGATGAAAATAGGTTATTGCAGAGTGAGTGAGAGCGCGAAGCAAACCAAGTGGAGTGTTGGACGTTCTACTCTTCAGATTGCAGATCAGGAATACCACCACAGCATAGTTGTGCTGAGGCACGAAGTATTTCTTTTGCTCACTCAAAATGCCTCCCAAGTGCAAGCTACCAGATGGTTAAATTTCCGAATTTATCAGTTATAGCAAATGCTTACTTTTTTTGTGGCATAGAGTCTGAGGAGATATTTGGGCAAACTAAGACCATTTGCTGTAAGGTCTGTTCAGCCCAAAATAATGCCAATTGAGACATCTCTCAAAACCAAATAAAACACCGTAAGAAAATGGCTATGCACACTCAGGCATTAGAAAATTGGAAGGAGCAGTAAGAAGAACAAAAACACACTATGGAGATACTTTCCTGGCAGGACTTTGAGTTTAGCAGTGAGCTAGCGCAGCTTCAGTTTATTGCAATCTAGCACATATAACCATTCACATTGAGCGTACATAGCCAACCTGTCTTTGAACTAGGAGGTGGTGTCTTTGATGAAGTGGTGCTAGATGAGACTGGCCATTATCAAAATGGGAGTGGTCAAGAGTTCATCTTCTCAGCAAGAGACAGTTGCAACAGTAGCATAAGTGAATATTTAGTTGATAAATTTGAAAGCCTGCATTACCATGCATCCACATCTTTGAGGAAGACTGCCGAGACTGCTGCAGATCTGCTGGCTTCTTGGAGCAAAACTATCAAAGACAATGCAGCTATTTCTTTGATTATTTCTGCAATGCAAGATATTTTAGGTTAGCAATAAGATAATTTAGCAATCTAACACCAAATACTGACCTATAGTAACATGTACTTCAGATTTTAATAGAGACAATAACATGAATGATGACAGGTGTGATGATGGGTGTGATAAAGATCTTGATAGATATATACAGAGTGCTGCTATAGACAAATGCTGCCAATGGGCACCTTATGGAACAAAAACTGTGAGGGACTTTTCATAGCTCAAGAGAGGAGTATACTGACCAATTGACTGAGCAGATGTTTATGCTCAACTTTCTTGACAGCCTTCCTTGTATGTGCCTTTCTGACAACCACCTTAAAACCATTATTTGGGTTATGCAGCAGTGTAGAACACTAAATGTACCTAGCTTCACTGCACTCCAAAAGCTCCAAACACAACTTACAAATAAAGTTGGCATTGAGAGTCAATAGCGCAAATTGGCATTGAGAAATGAGTTCTTTGCAAATGGACCTGTTCCGACATTTTACCTTATAAGTCCTTTACTCTAATATTAATGTTGAGCAGAAATACTTACTATGCCTTGTAGAATTCCAAGAACTGGGCAAATTCTCTTATACACCTACATATTTGACCTCTGGTCAAAGTTACATCAAGGGTTTTGGAATTTTACCAGAAATGTTGCCTTATTAATGAGGATGTTGACTTACTGCAGCTTATGTGGGCAGACTTTAAGAAGGCACTAGATTGACACTTCTATATCAGAGGTGGCCAGGCTTGATGATGGAAGACTAGTTGTGTCTATGAAATGGGTGTGTGAGATCTCTGCAGATAGAACAGAGTGAGACAAATTTAATTTCCATACTGTGAGCTTCAACAATGTGGTATGTAGATATTACTTGCTTATCCTGCAAAGTCTGACCATTAGAACGATTACAGTGGTTTATCAGACCCAAAAATGGACAATGAATATTAGCACACTGCTACAATGCAAAGATATGGCAAAACTCCAAGTCAATTTTCTCAGGCTACAAGATAAAGGACTGCAGTCTACCTTCAAAGGTGCACACTGACAGCTTGCTTATATATTAGCTTTATTTATGTAACTTTAAATAGATGGCTTACCAGAATGGGCTGGCGAGATGCCGCATCCTATATACAAAGGCACAAGAGCAATTAACATTCACCCTCAGGCTGATGACATGGGCAGACAATGTATCTGGTAATAGAAGCAAACAGTTCAACCTGCATACAAATATTTACTTGGCAAACCTCAACCTATCACATTGCAAACTCTAGCAGGAGTATTTTATGCAGTTCTGTGCAACTTCACCACACGTGACAACTCCCAAATTGCTCAAAGTAGTATACAAAGACATTGAGTGAGATAAGTGGCACAGCGCATATGACTGGACTCTAAAGACAGAGACACTTTTTCAAATTATTTCCTGTGTGAAACCTGCAGATAACCCACAGCAGTCAGAACTATGTTCTCATATTGGTCCCAATGGAAACAAGTACTGTCAGCATTGTACTGTCAGTGGAAATGCTGAGTATGTCAAAACTGACAAAGGCTACAAGTCATTATTTCATGTAAGTACTAAACCCCCTTTGGAAATAACACATACAACTCTGACCTTTGTTGTGGAGCAAAGCTCAACACTTCACGAGGGAGCAGGGATCATGGATGACAGCAACAAGGCAGTGTAGATGGTGGTCTCACAACTTTGATTTAACTTGCACAGCTAGCCTGATTGACTAAGAAGTCAAGATGGGAGCTAGATAGCAATAAAATCCTACTATATATACTACTGGGAACTATGCACAGACCAGGCATTATTTAAGCTATAAGTTGTTGGAGTAGTGGAGTGGCAACGCAAAAACAGAGGTTGGTGAGTCATAATGTCTGACATATCTGGGCCGATGGAGATTGGAGGTCTGATGCTGATCAGACTTCTGTTGGAAGAGAGTCAGCATCAGTGACTGTTGTCCAGCCAATATAAGCCAGATGTCTAATGCTGATCGGACTCTGATGGAGACTGCCAGGAGGCTGTGTGATAGCTTTTCTGACAGCAGTGTCATGTTGGCATGCCAGATGCATTAATGCACTGATGTACTGCAAGGGTGTGGGAATAAACTGGTGCTAACACAAGGGTTTGGATGTTGACAACAGTAAAGGCAGCATATAAACTCAGAGAAAATCGCAGAAAATACAGGAAAAATACAGAGCAGAATTATGCCCACAATATTACCTCCTTTCTATAACTGAGACTCTTAGTGAGATGCAAGTTCTTGAATTTTGCCAGATTCCCATTTGAGTTCTGCAGTGCATTGATTGGCTGCCAGAACTGAGTTGGAGTCAGTATTTTTATAAATTGGATGAAGCTGCACATAGAATGTAGCGAAGTCAATAAAGGAGATCTGTCGTGGTGCTGAAGGGTTCTGTCAATAAAAGTCACAGATTTTGGTATTTATGTGAACATCTTTGGCAAGGATCCATTTGTTAGTGTTCTGTCCGTAGCTTTTCCATCAGATAAGGTATTGAAGTTGTTGGCAATAGACACAGAAATCTAGGACTTTATCGATTTCATATTCTTCCTTGTTTTCAACTATATCAACTATAACAGGAGGTAGAGGAGGAGGTTTGATCATGCTGTTATTGTGCCAGGAGCTAAGTCAGTTTACATAGAAGATCAGATAGATTTCAAGCCAGCTGGGTAATTCAAGGTGATAATTGAGTTCTTCAATTATCTCTGTTACAGTAAAGGAGCCGAGCTGTCTTGGTCCTAGTTTACAAGTCTTCTGGTGTATAGTGATGTCTTTTGAAGCTAGCCAGACTTTGTCTCTAACTAAAAAAGAGTGGAGCACAGACTTGTTTGATTCATAGTCTGTTTTCATTTTTTCTTTAATTTGGCAGAGGGCAGATTTGGCTTCTTTATGGATTTGAGCCATTTAATCAAGTCTGGCATTGAGGGCAGGAATATTGGAATGTTTTATGGCAGGAACAGTGAAATCAGGTCAATATCTATATAAGACCTCAAAGGGAAAGTGATCATTATCAGAATGTACTCAAGAGTTTAGTACAAATTCAGCCATTGGAAGCCATTCATGCCAGTCATCTTGGTGTTGAGAACAGAATAGACAAAGGTACTTTTCTACTTCAGTGTTCTTTTGTTCTACTTTTCCATTGCCTTCTAGATGATAGGCTGTAGTTAAACCTGACTTGATACTGAGTCATTTGTATAAACTTTGCATAAAGTGTACAGCATACTGTGGTCCTTTGTCTGAGAAGATTTTGTGTAGAATACTATAGTGTCAGAACACTTTGCGATAGTGTATGTCAGCAGCCCTTTCAGCAGTAAAGATACTGTGACAGAGCGCGAGATGTACTTGACCACTGTACTGGTCGATGTAGATGGTGATAGTGTTATATTTCTCTGGAGCAGGGGTGACAGATAGAAGTCCAACCATATTGACTCTGATATGTTGCCAAGGTCTAGAAGAGACTTCTTGAGGTGTAAGGGTGGCTTTAGAATGTTTAGCTCTTTTGTATCATTGACATTTATTGCAACCTGCGATGTATTTCACTATGACGGAGTTCATTCCTGGCCACCAGTAGTAACGGAAAATAAGTTCCGTAGTTTCATACTTGCCAGGGTGGCCCGCTATAGGCATATCGTAGCATGACTCGATGATTTGATTGTGCAGATTGAAGTCTTTTGGAATATAAAGTTTGCCCTGATGATAGATGAGTTCCTCATTTTCTTTCCAGCTGACAAGGCCAGTGGTGAGTTTACGAGGGCCTTTCAATCGAAGAATAAAGAGAGATTCTGATACTTTGTCATTAAGCAATGTGCTGTTGTGAATATCTGACTCTAGTGGAGCTATTGTGACAAAAGCTGTAGCAGCCAAACATGCAAAGTGTTCTGGACCGAGATCAAAACTGATTGCGTTGATAAACTTAAAGTCTGGAAGTACTATTTGATTGTCATTATCAGTGCCATCAGAGACATATTCTGAACTCAGGCAAAATAAGGGATCAGCAACCAGATGAGTGTTGCTGGGCTTATGAGTAAGGACAAAGTTGTAATTTGCTAGTTCTAAAGCCCAGCAAGCCTGTCTATGAGTAAGGTATTGTGCTGTTCTCCAGTATTGTAAATTGGCATGGTCAGTCCATATCTCGAAAGGTTTCAATAATCTTTCAAAGAAGTGGCACCAATCTTGTAGAGCCTCAATAATGGCCATGAGTTTGCAATTGTAGATTTTATAGTTTCATTTGGCTGCATTCATAGTCTGAGAGCAAAAGGCAATGGAATGCCAGAGTGTATCATTGGAGTCAAGCTGGCTTAATTCTCCTCCAGTGGTGTAGCCCAAAATATTAACTTGTATGCGTGTATCATGATCAGCATGCCAGAGGGTTAATACTGGCTCAGTGGTAAACTTAACTTTTGAAGTGTCAAAAGCTTGTTGCTGAGTGGATCTCCACACAAAAGTGTCATAGGTGTAGCTTCAGCCTCTTATTATTTTTCCATTTTCTACAACTTTCTATGATTTATTCCATGTTTGTCCAACCCTCCAAATGTCATCGGCACATTGGCACCAGTTTACAAAGTCCTAGCCATGCGCTAACACCTCTGGACAGCATTACTGATGGGCATGCATCAGCATATCAGACATGCCCACATTGTCACTGTCTCGTTGCTGCATCATACTTTCTCAGCAACAGCCGCATTCTGATTTCCATTAGACTTTCTATCTCTGAGGCTGATTGGCAACAGACATCCAATTCCTGTTGGCCCAACAATGTCAGATACCATGACACATCAGCCTCTGTTTCCCTGCTGAGTTATCTAGATACTAGCAAATGCCTACAGTTGTTTGGATAATGCCTGGTTCATGTGCAACCTGAACAGTATATAAAAACTCCCTTTGTTGCTATCTAGCCCCCATCTCAACCTTTTGGTTATTGGGCTAGGTAAGCCTTTGTTTGTATTTTAGTATAATCACTAATGCAACTTAGTTATTGGGCTAGCTAAGCAAGTCAGTACAATTGTCACGAGACTGTGCTCTGCGCCGCCTCATAGTTAGATTTACATTGTAATCCCTTGTGTTACGTCAACGTCAGTCTGCAACAAAAAGAAGTGTCCTTTTTGGTAAGGTTGTGAAGTGAACAAGCAATTTTTTAGAAGTCTTGAATAAACCTTCGATGAAAGTTGGTGAACCCAACAAATCCTCATACATCTTTGAGGTTTTTTAGTGTGGGCCGGCCTTGACTTTGCCTGGGTCCATACCGACAGATCTCTTGCATATAAGTAGTCCAAGGTATTTGATTTTGTCTTTTTTGAACTTGCACTTTTCAGGACACAAGTAGAGGTTGTATTCTTTTAATTGTTCTAAGACTTTGTGGACTATTCTGCAATAGAAGGTGAGGTTAGAGGACCAGATGAGGATGTCATCAAGGTATATTGCTACTTTTCCTTCTGCTATGAGGTCAGCAAAGATGGTATCCTTGAGAGCTTGAAATGTAGCTAGAACATTGGTTAGGCCAAAGTATATAACCCTTGGTTCAAAGAGTTCTCGATTAGTGATGAAGGTGGCTTTCCATTCATCTCCAGCTTTAATCTGAACATTGGTATAACTCCAACAAACGTTAAATTTAGAAAAGATCTTAGTGCCTTGTAGCTTGTTGATGATATCGTTAGCTAAGGGCAATGGATAGTGATTCTGGATAGTGATGTTGTTGAGCTTTCAATAGCCCTGGATGAGTCTGAGCTTGCCATCTTTTTTCTTAATGATGAAAATGGGCGAGGTCATAGAAGACTTGCTAGAGATAATATAGCTCTTTTGAAGGATGTCATCAGAGGAAGCTTGTAGTTCTTAATTCTTGAAGAAGCTTATAGTGTATACTTTAGAGCAGATTGTAGCTAGAGAGCCATTCTTGAAGTCAATAGCATGGTTCTATAGCTAATGTTCTGATAGTCTTGTCGAGTCTGTTTTTGAGAAGATGTGACTGTAACAGTGATATTCCTTTGAGACCAGTTGTTCAAAGCTTTGGAATACTTAGGGAAGTTCTGTTTAATAGCAATCTGCTGCAAATATGTATAACCAGCGAGACAATAAACTTTGTCTGTGGCATTATTGAGTATACCAGCCTTTACTCAGGCGCAGTGTTCAGCTCGATTAGCTTTGACTTTAGTTAAACTTGGTGGCTCTGAAGTAACTAGTATAGCTTTCAAGCTGTCAGAGAGCATCATTTCACCAGTTTCCCAGTCTATGAAGGGGTTGACTTTTTTTAACTATGGTAGCCCAAGAATAATATTTTCTGGGCCAATATTAGTAATAAGGAACTTATAATTTGCTGGTTGTTGAGAACCCACTGTAAGTTTGAGTTTAATGTAGTGGGTGATGGTGCCAGCATTATTGTGAGATCTATCAATATTACGGAGTCCTATCTGTTGCTTGAGAGAATAACAATATATCTTGTTGTCTCTTACAAAGTTCTCATGTATGAAGAGTCCTGTTGCTTCGGAATCAATCATTGCAGAAGTGCAAAGTGATTTATTCAACCCAGATACAGATACAAATACACAAAAATGAGGTGAGAGACAATCAATAGATGAGACAGTACACAATAAAATGGAGTCCAAAGGATTTGAAGTCACAACATTTTGGACCAGCACTGTTGAGGGCCATTCTTCTGAACCAGGTGACAGAGCTGCAGCTTTAGTCTGTCTTTATCAAAAACCCTAGCTGAGCCTGTTTATAAACTCTGAGTTTTGCTTCTGCATGAGGACAAACATGTCCTTAAGAGCAGCAATGTCAGCAGTAGTATCTATGGAGATAGCAATGGTGGCAGAAGATGAAGTAGTGCAAACAGCCTGCTGAGCTTGAGGGGCTTGTCCTATTAGTCTGGAGAGGCAGAGCTTTTTCCAATGACTGGGCTTTCTGCAGTGTTGACACTTAGAGCGTCTTCGTAAGAGCCTTCTGATTTGTGACCCTTAGATCTGCAGATCTTACAGCAACCTTGGAGCAGTTGTCGAAGCTTCCCTTTGATCTTCTTGGTGTCTTTGATTCCAAAGAACAGCTCATCAAAGTGGGTGGCAGAGATCTCCATTGACAGGGAGGCATCAATGTCTATGGCGTTTGAGTCTTTGAAACTCAGATGAGTGAGAGGTCGAGGGCTGCGAGACCAGTTTGCTTTGATTGGCTGCTAGATCTGCTTTCTGTTGGCTAATAGCATTCCTGTACATTTTGACTGTATCATAGTCTTTAGCTACTGTGGGAAAGCAGAATAAACAGATGATATAATTGGGGTTCATGCCTGCTTTGAGTTAATTGAAAAGATCAGCCTTGAACTAGCTCGTACAATTGGACCAGATCTCGAGCTCCAACATGTAATCAGTAAAGATGTGTGATTCTTGTTTAATGGAGTTGATCTTCTGTTTAGCCTTGTTAAGGGCATTGACAGGTTTAAACTCAGCAAAAAACTGCTTGACAAACTCGGTCCACAAGTTGCTAAACAAATTACAACCATCTGCGAGTTCCTTGATATGAGGTCTCGCCCAGACTGCAGCATCTCCCATCATGAAAGACAGAATGGAGCTGATCATTTTACCAGTGTCAACTAGCCATTGACTTATTGTATCATACCGTATAACATCCTGAGCATCTCGTAGGGCAAACATCTTTTTATTAGACTGAATGTAGACACAAAAAGTGCTACAGAAAAGCCTAGCTTTTTCTGAGCTTAAGCTGTCGAATGCTACTGGTTTTTCAATGACTGAGCAAGTTTGAGAGGAGGAGATAAATGCTGGAATTGCACAAGTTGCTGTGACAAGAGAGTTAACTATATTTGTTAATGCATTTATGTTTAGCATCAATGAATGCATCAGAGTCATAAGGTCCTGAAGATTGGCATTGCATCTAGGGGCCATAAGTGCTGTTGGTTGTGTAACTGGAGTGGAGGGTCCAGCGGATGGGTTCATTGTGCGGGAAGGAGTTTGACTGGTGTGTAACTTGTCAAGACTTACATTTGTATGATCCTCAATATGGATATCCTGTAGTTCTAAAGTATATCATATAAGAGCCTCTTGATCTGGATGAAGTATAAGGTATAGTGGCTTATTAATGGTTAATGGCTGAACTGGATTCCGATAGTACCAATTGGGACATGGATTTTTGTAGCAGAAGGTGAGGATATCTTCTATAAGAGAGAAGTCTCATTTTGACTTTGAATCATATACATGATTGATTTGGATGCAGTATGCTATGGAGTCTGCCACTATTTCTGACTTGTTCCGGAGTACAGAAAATGGGTTTATTGAAAGTGAAAAGGGAGTTCTTGAAATAATGCTGCTATTTCTAACTCAGCGAAATGCCCAAGTGTGTAGTCTAAAATGTGCAGATCAAGGATTCTTTCCTCGTCATAGTCTATATATTTGAAAAGTATGTATTTGTCCAGATTTTCTACTCTAATCAAAGTATCCATTAGTTTAAACCATATGAAGCACTTTACAAACTTTAAACTGGTTGTGCCAAAATCCTTGGAAAGAGATCTTTTTAATCTCTCAAAACCCACCTTCGTAGCACTTCCACTTGTCGTAGGTGAGGACGCAATCGAGATGGGCCAAATGGTTGCAAAGCTTGAAGATTGCCTTCAGGTCGTCGCTGCTGATGTCGATTAGCTCAATAGTTTCAAAGACATTAAAATGTTTGAGAGTGGCTGCAAAACAGAGCATAAAAATGTGGGCAAGGTCAGTGGTGGTGTGTTTGGAAAAGTTGATGGTGACCAGCTTAGAAGTGATGGGAGTGTAGTTTGGCATGGTAGTGAGACAATTAGCTAACAATTTGGAAGAACTTGCACTAGCATGTGCATTGCATGCTGTGTTAGCAGCAGCGAGAGCACATGTTTGTTGCTTGTGAAAGAATTGGCGGTTGTTATATGCTGTGAGCTTGGTGGTCTCAATAGCATCTGAGTCAATAGTGGAGGTAGTTGGTGGTGGCAGAAGCATCGAAACATGTTTAAAAATGGTGCTGAGTTCACGTGTAGTGTACTAGTGTGGCATTCCTGCCTCGAGCTCATTGTGTAGTTTGTTGAAGACAACTTTGGAGAGTGGGCAGCGAAGCTGAGGGGTACACACAGCGGCTGCACATTCAATGGCTCTGGAGTGCTCAGGCAAATTCTTGGGCACTAGATTTATGCAGGAATTAGTGCTAGAGTGCATACATCTGCCACTAATCACTGAAGAGACTTACTCTTCAAACATAGGGGTGAATAAACTTGTTTAAAACTGTGCACAAGGCACGGAATAGAGAAGTAGTCTGGGTGCACAAAGATCTTGACCTAATGTTGTGAAGCAAAGCTTAACACTTCACAAGAGCAGGGATCATAGATGACGGCAATGAGACAGTGTGAACAGTGGTCTTACAACTTCAATTTAACTTGCACAGCTAGCCTGATTGACCAAGAGGTTGAAATAGGGGCTAGATAGCAATAAAGTCCTACTATATACAGTGGCCACCAAAAATAACACACAACACTACAAAGGGGTGTTATAATTCCTCCGTATCTCTACAACTACTGTACCTAGCCAGATAGGATATATACAAATCTTATACTAGGCTACTACTAGCATCTTTCTAAAGTATCACTTTGATATAAGCACCAGGTGCCAGAAAAAATGTAGTGAAAATGGTTGAAAAATTAATATATATTATAAAATTTATACAATAACATAGACCACAAAGTAAAATATGGTTAAGTCTTAGTAAAATTCTATGCTGTATGATGTTACTGTAACAAAATTACAGCATGGTAATAAAATTGGATGAATGAGCTGTGAAGACAGTTACATTGGTATGTTTTACCAAATAAATCTGTATATTTATATCTCCACAGCATTCAGGAATAGAAATACAAAATTTGCTGGACAGAATAATCTTTACTAGTAGATACATTCAGTATACCACTATAGATATTCCTGCTGCTGGTGATGTCTATAGAATATAAGCATACATGTTTTTATTTTGTAATGAATATAGTTGTCACTGCAGCTCATTCATTCAATTTTATTACCATGCTGTAATTTTGTTACAGTAACATCATACAGCATAGAATTTTACTAAGACTTAATCATATCTTAATCTGTAGTCTGTGTCATTGTATAAATTTCATAATATATATTCATTTTTCAACCATTTTCACTACATTTTTTCTGGCACCTGGTGCTTGTATCAAAGTGATATCTCAGAAGGATGCTTAGAGTAGCCTAGTATAAGATTTGTATATACACTATCTGGCTGGATACAGTGGTTGTGGAGATACAGAGGGATTATAACACCTCTTTATAGTGTTGTGCATTATTTTTGGCAGCCACTGTATACTACTGGGAACCGTGCACAGACCAGGCATTATGTAAGCTACAAGTTGCCGGAGTAATGGGGCGGCAACACAAAAACAAAGGTTGGTGAGTCATAATGTCTGACATATCCAAACTGACAGAGGTTAGAGATCTGATGCTGATCAGACTTCTGTTGGAAGGAAGTCAGCATCAGTGACTGTTGTCCAGCCGATATAAGCCAGATGTCTGATGCTGATTGGACTCTGATAGAGACTGCCAGAAGGCTGTGTGATAGCTTTTCTGATAGCGGTGTTGTGTTGGCACGCTAAGCACGTTGATGCGCTGATGTGCTGCAAGGGCATGGGAATAAACTGGTGCTAACATGAGGGTTTGGGTGTTGATGACAGTAAAGGCAGCATATAAACTCAGGGAAAATTGCAGAAAATACAGGAAAAATACAGAGCAGGGTTATGCCCACAACAACCTTCAAGTTTTATCAGCAGTAGGTGTGTTCACTACAAACTCCAAAAGGCACAATCAAGTCAATTAAAGCCCAGCTTCAAGTGGTGGCTACAGGAAATAAATTAAAAGTTGAGCTGATGCAATGTGAAACTGGAGTGAAAGACATTGTGGCTCAACATTGAATCTCCAAGCCTATTTCTCAGGCTTGGGAGTTACATGACCAATGACTGAAGAGAGGTAATGAGATGGAAGATGAATGCCTCAGACTGTTAAAGGGCAATTAGCAAAAGGCAGTCAGAATAGAGATATAGGAAAAGATTGCTGATGAGCTGCTTCAGTGGTTAGCACAACAGCCACTGCACAAATTTACCTTGCTTGTGAAGAATACACATAAGTTTTTATTTGCACAAAGACATAGAGATAACCTGACATCAAACTCGGAAAGCTTTGCAAAATGAGCTACAGCCAGGTGATCACTACAACACTCTTTTTGGAGCGATGGCAAACAGTGAGTATTTATACCAATAATCTGCATGCTACCAGCTGAGTAAATATTCCAATGCCACAGATTTCAATGTACATTGAAACACCCTTATTAAAATTCTGCACATCTGGTTATTAACCAGAAAAAAAAATATTTGGCACAAAACTCACACGATATGAAATGAGTGAAAGCTGGAGACATTTGCTGTTCACTTGAAGTCTTTGTCTGTTGACAGCCTCTCACTGAGTCTGGTATGTGGTGAATACATTGTACAATCCCAAAATGTTCTTGTAGGGAGACATTTCAAGGCCTTGCAGCAAACTGGAGTGTTTTATTTGCACGGTGAACCTGAAGAGCCATTTCTCTTAAAGCTCTGGAAAGCCAGCAGCAAGCTTAGTACAATGCTCTACTATACAATCATATCAGATATGGAAACTTACTTGATATGCAACCTATTCTTCTGAGCAAATCAATGCAATTACAATTTCTGAATGTAATGAAGAAATGTTCTGTTGGAAGTAGCACTTTGGAAGTCAGTTCACTTTTTAACGCAAATCTGCTCCTTGCTTTACAACTTGCTATACTTAAGCTATTGACTTGAAATTTGGTCCACACATATTTCCATCATAGATCCACATGTTAAAAATCATTTTATTACAATTGGATCAGTTTTGGCTCTTCAGCACTGTATTTTATGCTTGAGCTGGAAACTTAGACAAATTTCATAAATAGACCACTTTCAAAAGGTACAACAGCCAAATGATCTTTATTTATACCATCAAATAGAGCACAGTGAAAGGGTTCAGAATATGTAAAAAGATATACCAAATTAATTGTTTAAAGAGGTGATTTGAAAGGAACAAAGCACGAGAAAACACCAGAATAAGTGCCCAATAGATGCCACAGCATGTTCTGCTCTCTTCATCACTTCTAATTTTTCTCACATATTTCCATTCATTCATACCATGTAGCATAGGGTTTGCTATATACATACTAACTGTGTACTTAGTATGAGAATGGTTCAAAACTATGGTTCAGTGATAAAGTACTGACTACTGGCTTTAAAGCTTAGTGCACAGTGACCAAAATCGCTTGCTATTTTATACTTCTATTTTCCGTACTATTTAGCACTGCTGTAAATATATGTAGAATTACCAGAATTTATTTGGAATTACTAAAAATGTGCTATACATTCATTGCTCTTACTTCTCTCTACAGATCAATACTTGTCCATAATTTATACAGATATTATAGGAGTCTCCATTACTATGCCCTGCAAGCATTAGGCTATTATATTGTGCATATTTAGATATATTAGCTCATAACTAAGCATATAGTTATGATCTTGTGCATAAAGTTTAATTCTTCAAGCTACCACACTTGATGGCTGTTCTACTCTATTCTTCTATCTCAGAACACCCATATATAATTTACAAAAATATATGGTCATACTATCTGCCATGATATTACTTTATCTTAGCCTTCAAAACTAAAAATCATCAAAATAAAAAAGATCCCCCAGTCAGGATTGAACCTCTAACCTTTATCTAATAAAGCAACTGCTCTCTTAAAATGTGCAATTGCCACCTCAGACTCAACTGAAAAGAGGAGTAAGTACACCTCATACACTTCTTTCACCTTAACTACCACCATCTCTGCTTACGACATGCTTCACAAGTGTAACTTTTCCAAGTCTTCATAGAGATTTGACTTGCCCCTGATCTTTTACCTTGCTTGCTATCTTTTGATAGTTTTCACTGGCACTTTCTTAGAAAAAATCACTTTACAAACCTTTGACACAAACTTTGAACTGAACTGAAATGAAATAATTAGAGGCACCATTTGTAAAAGGCCTACTTTATCTTGCTCAGACAGACTGTACAAGTAGAGCAACTCAGTTCAGATTGAGTAGAGTCTAGGTCATAATTGCCTTTAGCTACTCTGTGGCATGGTTAGAGAGACTATTTTCAAAAGCTGTGTTCTGTCTTCTGGCTCAAACAAACTAGACCAAAAGAGCTTTTCAGTTAAGAATAAGTGGAGCCTAGAATATAACTGTCTTCAGCCACTTTGTGGAATGATTACATATGTTGCAGTATAAAAAAAATAAAGAAATTGTACCTGCCAAGCATATATGCTACAGCCTACATAACCCTGGTATTTTACTCACTGTAAATGCAGGAAGACCTCAAAATTCTCATCAATAATGTACTGAATATCTGGGCAGAAATCAACTCTAGTCACATAGTTACCAAGCCAAAGTTGCATCTATTAGCGCATCTCTTCTCCAACATTCAGAATGGTGGACCAGTGCTAATCTTCGCAACTGGAGTTTTTGAATGCTAGAATTCAATTTTTCACATGTGTAGCATTCTATCGAATCACCACATACCAAGCCATGACATTGCCAAGATATTCACAGACCTAGAACAATTCAAGCACCAAGTTAGTAGCAGATGGTGGAAGAATAGTAATGGTCAGTACACATGAGCAGGATAAGGCATTTGCAATATGTTCTGGATGCACTCCAAGGTTCAGTGTTGCCTAGAATGGGTTCAAGATCATGTTGCTAAACCAGGTATGTTTCAGCCTCCCCAGTACCGTGGCAGAAGTAAAGAAGGAACTTAGCTGATCAGTGTACATGAAAAGTATCAAATGATGTCTGCATTGTTTGTGAGCATGGCAAACATGGGGTAAAATCTTGACAGACAGCAACCTACCCAGCAACCTGTCTCTATTGTCAGAAAATATATGCACTGGAGACAGTGTGGGAATAGAACACACTGATACCTGGGAATTTGCAGCAAGCATTGCAGTTCAATCAGGTGATATTTGCAAAGTTGGATCATGGGTTTTCTTCAGCCACCACCTAAAAGACTCTTCAGGCAGTCAGATGAAAGCTAGTATTGCTATCATTAAACAGAACATAGGAGTTACAACTCACTAATGGAACACAAATGGCAACTGGCTGTGTGCAACAGATTGTCCTTCCAGCTAGACATTTAGAAATGGGCAAATTGCAGGCCACCTTCATGATTGTTGAGAAGTATGATGTCTCTGATGTGCCTGACCAGAGATACCACATGCCTGTCCTGATGCGTGGCAATGCAAAGCATGATATCTACTTATTACAGCCTGCAGTAGGTGTTCTCTGTTCTCAGATCATGAGAACTTGCTAATATCATATCTAGGAGATTTTGTTTATTTTCAACACACAGCTCAATCGTGCTAGCGTAGGTTGTGAAATAGAGATCATCAGCGGTATGCACTAGAAAAGACATTCGATGGCCCAGAAACATGCAATTGTTGTTCATAAGCCCCATCAGTGACACCTCATCAACATGCATGGCATTTACAATGCACTGCTAATACGAGAAGCCTTACCTAGGAATTTCTGGAAATCAATCCCCTATTTTGAAGGCCGTGCTACGAAGCACTGCGAGTTTGCCACATGTTTGCAGGAAACAGGACCAATGAAGTGAGCTGAAGCTGTGGCAAAAGGCAAGGTGACTCAAAAGAAGAACCTACAAGAAAAAGTGTCTCAGAATGCTGCTGCCACAAGTGGCACTTCTGTGTGTGCAACAACAGACAACTGAAGGCCATGGTCATGTAAAAAATGCGTTTATCTGACCGTAGCTAGTTCAAATTTGTTGTAAAGGCTATAATAGGTTTTTCCTCACGCACCTAATATAATTCATAACCAGCCGCCAGCCTTACACTCTCCTTTTGTCTCACACATGGCAGCCATCTGTGTGCCTTCTGGGATGAAGACATAGCAGCCATCTTAGCAAGACATGCCCAACAGGCAATGGTGGCATCCTGGGCATATTTTAGGCAATCTGGTAGCGATGTGGGCACAGCATCGAAGCTGTGTCTGTAGACGCTGGCGCAGATGCCTCGGATCTCAGGTACCAGCGAGGTCGGGAAGTTCCCCCCTCGTTGTCTCTGGCTGTCGGTCTGTCATCAAAGCGCCGACTGATGCAAGCGATGTCGTGACAAATTGGGTGTGTAGCCTGCGGTGCGGCAGCACGCCTGAGCCAGCCCGCCGGAGCCTTCACGTGATCTTCCGGAAAAGGCAGGTGGTTGGGCGGACCCTATCTCCCCTTTAGCGCGTGACGTGCAACGCGGTTCGACTTGGTGCCCCATTGCTCTCGGTGGTATGGTGAGTGTCAATGGTTGAATGTACGATTCAAACCTGATCTCTTGAAGACACCTTCGCCTTCAGAATTCGAATATAAGCTACATTTCATCCGGGATACACTGGCTCTCAGCGAAACTGAGGAGACATGGGACAAAATCGCGGTGGCGCTGACGGCGTTCCAGACACTACTCCGAGAAAGTGGTGGCGTAATTCCTGAGTACTTTCTGGACGTCTTACGCTCTCTATCTTCCTTTATCAACAGATCTATTGGCTCTGAACGCTCCCGTTTGTCCAATGCCGCCATGGATCTCCTCAGCACCGCCGCAACCGAGCTTGGAAAGCCATTTGAAACACTACTCTCCATCTTTGTGCCAACTCTTATAGCCCTGTGTGGTCGACCAAACAAAGTGTTCGTCACTCGAGCAAAGGCCTGCCTTGTCCTGATCATTCAATCTACACAATCGCCGCACATCCTCGCGTACCTACTCCGCTACGCGAAAGACAAGTCCGCGTCGTTGCGGTTGACTGCAGCAGAGGCGTCGTTAGCATGTTTGCAATGCTTCAACCCGCCAGATCTTCAAAAGGATGTTCGTGGACAAGAGGTTGAGACGCTGATCCGGTGCTTCGCAACAGATGCGAATGCAGACATTCGGAAGGTTGGGCGAAAGATCTTCGAGGCATACTCTATCCTGCTACCTGGGCGTGTGGACACGTGCGTGCTTGCAAAGCTCGACCGGACTATCGCTTACCCGCACTTAGGTTTATTGCACCCCTCACCCCGACAATTAGGAAATACCTCGCTGTCAGCTCGAAGACACTAGCGAACTTAGATGCTTTTTGCCGCCAGACGCCTCAATCTACTCGCTCTATCGTTGGCACCCAACCCGACCCTATCGCTTCTCAACCTGGCACGTCTGTTGGCACGAATGAAAGAGCCGACCTGGAGCTGCCGAAGGTCAAGACAAGTACATCTTCCACGGAAGTTGGCCCATCGCGTCCGTCAGCTAAGACCAGAAAGGACCAAGCTCCGAGTGCTACCAAACGTCCCGGAAGTGCGTTGAGCATTACGAGTAAAGACAGCGATACCATGCCCCCTCCTGCAGTCGTGCCCTCACGACCACAGCATGACGGCGCTCCAAGGATACAAGTTCCTGGAGCTGCCGCGTCCTCTTCCCAAAAATCATCGTCAAATCCTTCCCGGCCAAAGACCGGCCCTTTGCGTCCAGAAGCATCATTATCTGGTGTCTCCGCACGACCGATCACTCCACAGGAGAACCAGCCTGAACAGCGGCGTGCTGCTGGCGGGGCACGAAGGGTCTTACGCCCAGATCCTACTCTATCGGACAGCCAGCCGCCACGAGACAAACCAGAGGAGCTGCGGACTAAGCCATTAGTCCCTCCGCGTCGAGCCGAACCACTTATCCAGCCGAGGCAACGCGCGATCTCGGTACATAGCAAGCGACGGCCGGTTCACACTGAAACAGTCGTGGCTGCACGTGCATCAGTAGGAGTGTTGACTACAAAATCTTCACTAGCTACCCGCGGAGAAGACGTCAAGAGCCGAGGTACTAAGGCCATCCCTCAACACCCGCAGATAGCGTCAACCTCGCATGTCTCGAATATCACTCGACACCGTGGGACCAGTAGAGCACCGAGTCAGACTTCAAGCAGTGCAAAAACAAGAATGCAGTCCTCAATAAAGCCTCTACCTAATAAGTCAAGTCAAACCAGCTCCATCCGAACGTCTCCACCACAGACCAAGACGGAGAAAGTTATCGCTCCGGAGCTCATACCTCTACCTCTTTCGCGTTCCCAAACGCCCAGATCGTGGGTTGAAGAAGCTCACCCAGGTCAACTTAATGGCGTGGAATTCAGCCCGCCCTGCAACGCGCCTTCAAACGTGCCTTCAAATGTGATTCCGGAGGCTCCTATACCTGCCAAGCCGGACGCGCTTGAACATGAATTGAAGCCCCCGCAGAATGGCGTGGAAGAGGTGAATGGGGCTGAAGCAACAGAGCTGGCCAAAGATGGTGACGCACAGCACTCCCGCGAGGCACCATTGCTAGACCTCTATCCAGCGACCCCTCGAGCAAAACCTTCTCACCTTGAACGCCAAGTCGTTCAGCAGACGCCGATATCTGCGCTCGTCGAGTCGATCCAGCAAGGGTTCATTCTCACTCCTGTGTCGGGTGGATCACTACATACACTTGAAGAAGGAGACTCGCTCGAGGACAGCATGCACATGGAGATGGTTTTCCCTAGCATTGAACGCTCACCGGCTTGGGGATGCAAGCCACTGGCGTTCTCTAAACCGTCGTCATAAGCTGCATTCTATCACTCTCTGTGTATCCCTTCGATTGGACTCCGAGCGCATTTGGCACGTTGATTAATCTGCATTAAAAATGGACCAAACGACTTGCTTGACTTGCTTGACATGATCGATGCAGAATGGTGGCGGCAGTCTGAGGAAGACACCAATGAGCGGATCAGAAAAGATGTGCCAGAATTGTGCTCACCTCCGTAAGGTATGCATTCCCTAGTGAGACAAGTATCTCCTGCCCTTCTCCAGCCTCCGCGCCAAAACCCTCCGCCCGGTAACACTACGCTTACGTGCGAGGAAGCCGTGCTTGCGCTTGCGCTTGCGTTGGGAGGGTTGGTATTCTGTGCCTCTTGAGCCAAAGCGCACATGTTGCAAGACTGCTGGTGCGAGCGAAGGTGTCGACCATGGTGCCAATACCGCGGAAAGGTTGGGTATCGACCGCGCAAATGGTAACGGATGGTTGAAAAGCGAGAAGCCTGTTCGGGTAATGGTAGAGAGCAGACCAGGGCCCGTGGGAGCTGTCGGACGCGGGAGAGGAGTTGGGCCCCGCGTGACAAGGCGGAAGAGCTGTAGCGGGATGCGAGGCATGCGACCTGGCGAAAGCTGAACTGTAGTTCGGGCGTCGGGCGTGACAGAGGCAGATGCAGCTACTTCGCGAGTCACAACTTGTCACGGATCACGCGAGAGAGCGTCCGGGTCTCATTCTGCACTTGCTCCGAGGTTGCTTGGCTTGATAATACGTTTTTCTTCTCCACGAGACTCTCCTTCTTGTCGTCGGTCTCCTGCGCTCCTTAAAGTTGCTTAGAATTCTGAACATAGCCTGGAGCTACCTATGTCGACAACCCCAGCAAAGGGTCGTACATCTGGCGTCCCATCTTCAGGCAGGACAAGTCACATCCCTACCCCAGGCAGACCACGTTCATCGTCGAGTGTCTACCACCTGGGCTCGACCCCAGATGATGAATTCGCCTCCAGAGCCTTTGCGGAGGCTATCAAGGCCAATGACCCAGCCGGTCACCGCTTCAGCCATGCTAATGCAGATTCCCTCTCTCCTTCAGCACAGCACACGCCGCTGTCAGGTCGCAGCTCTGTTGCTGGTCGCCCATCCTCCGTAGCATCTTCATCATCAGCTATCAGCTCTACTGCACAGAGCACAACGTCTTCCAAACCACCCCCACCCAGGCCCGCTAGCCGTGCCAGTGACGTATTTGCCAGGAGCTCCAGCCGCGCCGGACGCATCTTTGATATCGGCGACAACGTCCGCGTCGAGTCTCTTGGTTTTGAAGGCGTATTGAGATTTCTCGGAGAGATTGAGGGAAAATCTGGTCTATTCGCTGGTGTCGAACTTGGTGGCGGTTTTGCAGGCAAAGGGAAGAACAATGGCACGGTAAACGGGTGAGTCGTGTACGCCATTTCGTCTATCTTTTCGCATGCTCTGTAGTTCATAAAGATCATCTGACGTTACCGGACAGAAAGCGATACTTCGCCTGTGCTCCGAATTGTGGGGTGTTCATTATCGCGTCCAAACTTTCCCCTCCCACTATCGGCGCCAACTCGACCTCGAGACCCTCTTCTGTGGCCTCGTTTCGCAATGGTCGCGCTACCTCTTCAATCTCTGGGCGTGTCACCCCGTCTCTGTCGACTTCATCCACCGTCAACGGCCGCAAAACACCATCAAATGGACGCGTGACTCCCGGGCTTCCTAGTGGAAGAATCACTCCTTCAGCATCATCAGGTCGGCGTACACCCAGTGGCGGCTTACCGGCTACGCGTACTAGAACAACAACTATTACCAGTCGGAGTGCCGTTACAAATAGCGGAACATCCAGCATGGAGTCCATGATCACACCCGGGTCCCGCGCTTCGAAGTATGTGGGCATGACTGCAAAACAGCTGAGTAGCCGTGTTTCTGGAGTAACTAGCCCAACCAAACTTGCAGCCAATAGTCCTGCATCGACACAACGAATCACTTCTCCAACTCAGTCAGGCTTCGGTCTCACCTCACCTTCTCGTGCCCCTGGTTCGCCATTTACGCCCAAAGCTGGTCGCGTCGCTGGACATATGGGACTCCCTACAGGAACACCTACGCGTAACCGGATGACGAATACCCCTCGCGCTCGTCTGTCAAGTGCCGCCTCTATGCCTCCACCATCCTCACCATCAACTTTATCGCGTCGATCACCATCTGTCTCACTCAACGATCCTATTCGTTCGGCTGGCACGTTATTTAATGACTTGTCTGCCAATCAAAGAGCCATACAGGAGATGATCGACAAGGTCGCTCGACCAGCGTCTTCGGCGTCAGTTCTGTCAAATGGCGCAGAAATGCAACTCCAACAAGTTCAGCTTGAAAGCGACAGGCTGCAGTCGAGACTTAATGCTCTGGAAGACGAGAATAAACGGTTGCAGTCAAGCTTTACAGCCGCAGGCTCATCTGTATCGTCTCTCAACGCCCGTGTGGACGGGCTCAAGCAGGAGCGGGAGCAGAGTTTGGCCCGTGTTACAGAGCTTGAAGCATCATTGCGGGCTGCCGAGAGAGGCACTAGCGAGAAGGAGTTAACCATCGAGTCGCTGCAACGACTGTTGGAGCAGAGTGTAAAGGACAATGAGAAAACGAAGTGCGATGGGGAGGTACGAATCCGGGACTTGCAATCGAGAATAGACGACAAGGAGACACTTGCGACACAGCTCAAAGAGCTCATTGATGCAAAAGAGGGCCAGCAGACCGAGAACGACGCCGTCCTAGCCGCGAAGAGCGCCGAAATTGCCGTCCTAGAAGCCAGAGTCCAGAAAGCTTATACCGAGCTTGAGGAAGAGCGTCGCGAGCTTGGTGGACAAGTGGATGAGCTACGAAAAGCAGGTCAAGTGAGTATACGCCGCTTATCTTGTTATTTGTGCTAACTATTACTGCTCTTCATCCAGGAAACGATAGCGCTGTACGAGGAACGTTTAAGTGCTGCCGACTCACGTAGGTATGAGATGGAAGACTTCATCGCCTCTCTGCAAGAACAGTTGCAGGCACAAGCCCGTCCTATCTCTCCATCTACTATGGCTCGCCAAGCGACGACTGCCCTCGAAATTGACAACGAGTCTCTCCGCGAACAGATTCAACATCTACAAAAGAAGCTGAGCACTCTCGAAGATCTGCTTGAAGACGCGCGCTTGGCGACTGAACGCGAGGAGAATGCTGGCCGCGAGCGGCTCATGCAATACAGCGAACGCGAGGACGCTATTCGTCAGGAGCTGCTAGAGAGCCAGAAGGAGATCGAACGCGTTGGCAAGACGGAAGAGAGTGCACGAGCTAGGGTAGCCGAGATCGAGGAGGCCCTCCGGGAAAACACCGTCGCTCTCGAGAATGCTAGGGCTGAGATCGAGGGTCTTAGAGCAGAGATTGCCGTAAGCTGTGACAAACGGAAAACTGAGTTTCGCTGACTACCTGTGCACCAATCTCTCTAGGATCTCGAGGGCATTGCCGCTGCGGCCGGCGCCGCCAAGTCTCCCCAACGCGTGTCACGCCCACTCACCGGCGAATATGAACTTCTCAAGGCGGAGAAGGCGGACGTAAGTGACTGTTGGTCATGTACGTCTGTGTTTGCTGACTCATGGCAACTCAGCTTGAACGCGCCTGCAAGGAGCGCGAAGTTGAACTAGCACGCGAGCGAGAGAGCGTAGCAAGTATGCATATACAACTGGAGGAGTGCAATGCAGAGCTGGAAATCGTTCGCAAGAAGCTTAACCGCGAACAGGCCTTCAATGGTGTTGAAGAGATAAAGAAAATGTCTTCCACTTCCTCGCCATCAAAGCAGGATCTGCATACTGCTAGGGAGGAGATCAAAGGTCTGAAGTATGTTTCCACTCTTCTCACTCCAGGAGTTATGCTGATCAAATTGCAGGCACATCGTTCAAGAGCTGCAGCTTGAAAGCACCAAGGCGGCGCAGCGCAACAAGGTCTTGGAATCGGAGAACAAGCTGTTGCTGTCAGAGGTCGACCAGCTTCGGGAAGATATGAAGACGCTGGAAGAGAATGTTGAGCAAACACTACTCCGCGAAGAGCAAGCGCTTGAGGCAGAGGAGGCCGCGCTAAATAGCGCCCCTGACGATGTCGCGACGTTGCAAAAGACTATGCGTGAGATGAGGGGAAAATATGATGTGTGTACTTCCGCACAGCTTTGTTTCGCGCATTTACTTATCTGGTATAGGCCGAGCTCGACCAGATGCGTAAACGTTTGTCCGAGGCCGAGATGAAGAGCGCTCGCGCAGTGCATGATGTATGTGATACCCGCTGCTGACTATCGTGGTATGGCTGACCGTATTGACAGCTCAACAAAGAGATAGGCGAGCTGGAAAGCTTGATAGAGTCCAAGGTATGCCTTTTAGACCAACAATACTGAGTTTCGTTGACGACACTTGTAGATCTACCGCGAAGACGAATTGGAGCGAGAAGTTGCGCGGTTACAAGAACGGCTCGCCAGAAATCAGAAGAAGTCGTCGAAAGGCCTCTCTGAGGAGCCTACATCATCTGTTACGACGTCCCTCTCTTCAGTCTCCTCGTCAGCATCCTCTCGCCCGGAATCTGTCATGTCGGATACCACGAGCCGCAGTGGCAGCGAGGACATATGTGAAATATGCGAGAAACCAGGGCACGACATTTTCTCGTGCGATCTGCTGAAGGAAGACAGGCCGCTTGGCATCGGCAGCGCGTCGGACTTCTTGACGAAGAGTGCCACCGACGACCTGTTCTGCGAAGATTGTGAGGAACATGGCCATACGGCGGCCAACTGCCCGCACTCTCTGGACGTTTTTTAGGTTATGATGAGCTGTTGGCAATTATGTTTTGGCCGTTGTTTGAACATTTCTAGTACGATACCACTCACTTGCACGGAGCATATCATTCTCTTTCGCTCTTTCCTTTCAGGTCTTTGATTAGTTGACGATACCCTATTTCCGCGATATGCATCAATCAGTACTGTACGAACAATCTGTATTATTTCCGGGCGGGGGCGACGAAAGCGATGGCCGGTAAACTGGCAGGGTCGTGTGTTCGATTGCTAGACCTTCCAAATGTGGGCCGTGCATGAGAAGCGCACCTACTCCAATGACATCACCTCTTGCCCCTGGTACATAAACAAGTCTGGCAAAGACAATGCACTGGCACCGTATTATTCACAGAATTTCCTCCTATTCTCGCCCTCGCCATGTCTTACGCGTCTGTCGCTGCTCACAATGCCCCCCCTCCGGCTCTTCAGGTACGCACATTGGCACACATTCCAGAATTTAGAAGTCGAATTAGCTGCCAACAGCCCAAGCCTGATCCCTCTCTTTTGACTACCGAGCCTCCCTCACAAGACAACATCGCTGACGATGCTGCGAAGCTAAACATTGTTGCGCCTGACTTTAAGCAGCACCCGGAGACCACAACCTCTACTGCGGGTGTACCTATCCAGCCCCCTCCTCAGCCTGTCTCTGGTGGGGTACCCCCTACTTCATCAGGCTCTCAGCCTTCACGTGAATACCGTGCTGCAGATGCTGCTAAGCGGTACGTGCATGAAGCTGAAGAAGAGAGCCTCCACCTTTGGACTGTCGCGAAGCAATACCTGCTCAGGCCTGGTGTCGCGGGTGGTCTCTTGGGAATCTGTACGTCCCTCGTTTATCTCAGCCGGCACATACCAACCCGCTACGCAGTCAACCTTGGACTTCTATCATGGACTGGCTATGCGCTTTACATGAAACCTAGCCTTCGTCGAGAAACCCGCTTCCTTACTTCGGCTGCCGCTGCGGCCGTGACAATTCTCGGGGCAGAAGGTTATGCTGCTGAGAGGTACCGCGAGACCCCAGCCGGCCGCGAGGAGGGACGGAGAGCCAGGGCAGAGGGTGCGGGGCTTTATCGTGCTGTACGTGTGAACCTTCTACGCCCTGGTGTTCTGGGCGGTCTTTTGGGTCTTCGTAAGTGATTTCCTGACTCACGCATGCAATCTCTATGCTAACATAGAATTCTTGTAGTGAACACCGCTGTTCTTGGCACCGTCGGCTTCTTTGCATATAAGCACTGGGATGCGTCTAGATGGGACCGTCGAATTGTCTCCGCAGTTTCCATTGGCCTTCTTGCCCTCTGGTCCGGCGAAGGGTACGTTTTTCGGCTCTGTAGCACGAAGGCGCACATATCTGAATAGCACTTCCGCAGATATGTTGCCGAACAGTATAAGACGACACGCCACTGATTCGAACTGAACGATGGATGCTGCCCTATACTACAATTTTTCCTTCCTAGGTAGCACGCACTTTACTGTAAAATCTGCGTTTAAAATATTCGTAATATGGCGACGTGATCGCGGGAACGTGACGCTGTGTATGGAGTGCACCGAATGTCACGATTTCGTGATTCCTCCTGCTAGTCTCCTAACGTCAGTACCGTACCATGCGGGCATACTACTATGACAATCGCGATGGCGAACCAACACTTCTCCACGACTCAGGCATCGAGGTCGACGCGGCGGTTCTAAAGGCCATGGGAGTACTTTACTGGTCCATCCCTGCAGATCCCGAGGGCAAGTGGCAGGAGAAAATCGGCAAAATTTCGAGGGAGCGAGAGTATAAGAATAGGGATGTTATCGAGTCCAGCAGGAGCACGCTAGGGGAGAAACTTGATGATGCGATGGCCATGGTTTGGAAAGAGTGGGTGATCGATATGTCCAAGACCAATTTCTGAACTAAAAAAAACGTCCTTAAACAGACACATGCACGATGATGAAGAAATTCGCTACACACTCACGGGAAGCGCATACTTCGACGTCCGAGGCAGGCAGGATTGCTACTTTTGCTAGACTTTAAGGGCTAACGTTACCTTACGTACAGAGCTCCCGGCAGACAATTGGATTCGTATTCATGTCCACGACGGCGACCTACTCGTCTTACCTGCAGGGATCTACCACCGCTTCAGCTTGGATAGCGAGGAATCGGTGAAGATGATGCGCCTCTTTAAGGTAAGATAACCCTACCGGGTGATTTGCTGTCTGCTAAGGTGCGACTGGAACGCTGTTTGCAGGATGAACCGAAGTGGGTAGCTCACTACCGGGGTCCCGAAACCGATGCGAATCCGCGGAGGAAAGAATACCTGACGACCTTCGCTCGCTCGGAGGCCGTATCCGTAGCTTGAAGTTACGACGATGGCACCATTTCTCGGCATGTTACTCTTACGGCACGGAATGTATCCTATGCATACCCCCCGCAGTATTCTGTACACCAGTGCAGTGTAATTGCTGGAGAGATTAGTCTGATAAGTCCCGAATGTGTCAATCAATTGATTCATATGGAGGAAATCGCGGCAAGCGCCGATAGCTATAATTTTTGATCTTCGGGCCAGTGCTGACTCCCACGGCGGCAGCGAAGAGCTGTTCTCCGCCTACGCTAACTACACTTCCTGTTCCACACAGCCCATAGTACAACATGTCTCGTTTCTTCAGGCAAGCTGGCGACTCCGACAGCGAAACTGAGTCCTCATCCGAGGAGGAGCTCATGTCCAGCGAGGATGAGGCCCCCAAGCCCGCGACCACCAAGCCCGCCATGTCTCGTTTCCTCCGCGGAGCAGGTAATTCAGACAGCAGCGATGGTTCGGACAGTGAAAGTGAATCAGAGAGTGAGTCATCTGAGGAAGAGGACGACAAAACGAAGAAGAAGTCACGCTTCTTGCGCACGGAGGAGGATGAGGATAGCTCTGATGAGGAGGAGGGCAAGCGTGTCGTGAAGAGCGCGAGGGACAAACGTTTGGAGGAGATGGAAGCATCTGGGAAGATGATGGATAATGCGCTCAAAATCAACGACTGGGTAGCAATCTCGAATGGTGCGTGACCCGTCTGAATGCATTTCTCGTGAAATACTAACGTCATTCAGAGTTTGACAAGCTGCACCGAATGGTCCAGCGACAGCAGAACGTTTCGGAGCCTGTTCCTCCTTTCTTCATCCGCACCCTTGTCAATCTTGAGTCTTCCCTCAATGCTGCGGTGTCGAAAGAGAAGGAAGCTAAGAAAAAGATGAACGCAAGCAATGCTCGTGCCCTGACAGCTATGAAACAGAAGGTCAAGAAGGTTCTCAAGGAATTCGAGATAGAGACAAAAAAATTCCAAGAGGTATGTTTTCCGTGTCCTTGATTGGCGATCCTTCCTGAATGTCCCCAGGATCCCGAGGCCTTTGAACGCGAGTACTCCGCTGCGGTTACCGTTGAAGCGCCTTCAGTACAAAAAGCCAAGAGGGGTAAGAAGGCCGAGGAAGGCACTGAAGATGAAGAAGATTTCACGACTGTCGGCAAGGGCGGAAAGACTATCCAATTCACACCCGAGAGCATCTTCAAAAATTTACAAGCTATCCAAGAGGCCCGTGGTAAGAAGGTAAGCAAGCTCTTCCAAACATCCTATAATTACTGGCATCTAATATGACTTGTAGAACACCGACCGATCAGAACAAATCCGTATTCTCGAGAAATTGCTTGAGATCTCTGTCACTTCGTACCAACGGATCCGCGTCCTTCTCGCCCTCATTTCGTCCCGGTTCGACTATAATTCCTCTGTCGCTACGCATATGCCGATCGATCTGTGGATTGCAGCGCAGAAGGAAGTCGACCAGCTTGTTGGTGTCATAAGTCAGGACCCACGGTACTCAATCCAAGAGGTTACAAATGACTACGACGAGCTTGCAGAGCGCTCACCCGAGACTGAGCCCAACGGCACCGTTGTGATCCGCGGTTCCGTCATCAGCTTCATGGATAGACTGGACGATGAGTTCACGAAAAGCTTGCAAAATATCGACCCTCACGGTACGGAATACGTCGATCGACTCAAGGACGAGAAGAACTTGTACTGCACCATTTGCCGTGCACAGGCCCTCTACGAGAAGACCAAGCAGGACGAGCCTCTTGGACGTATCGTCATGCGTCGCCTGGAGCATATTTACTCTAAGGTCTGTCTGTGCTTCGTCGGCTAAGATCGTTTCTTATGTGATTTTTAGCCCGACGCCGTTGTGCAAGCATTGGAATCTACAGTTGCCGTATCTGACCTCAAACCCTCAATTCTCCTTTCCGAGTTCGCTACCAAGGATCTTATTCACAGGCTCTGCGTGCACCTCTACAAGTCTGGCAATTCGCTACTCCGTACTCGGGCAATGCTCTGCCATATCTACCACTACGCCCTACACAACGATTTCCACACCGCCCGCGACATGTTTCTTATGTCTCACCTGCAGGAGTCCATCCACACTGCTGATGTTGCTACTCAGATCCTCTATAACCGTACTGTCGTTCAGCTTGGTCTCAGCGCGTTCCGCTGCGGTCTCATTAAGGAATCACAAGCGATCCTTCAAGACATTTTCGCTACTCAACGCGTCAAAGAGCTCCTTGCCCAAGGTGTCCACACTCAACGGTACCAGGTCCTCACCCCTGAGCAGGAGAAGGCTGAGCGTCAGCGCCAACTACCCTTCCACATGCACATTAACACCGAGCTCTTGGAGGCCGCGTTCCTCGTCTCTAGCATGCTTGTTGAGATCCCTCTCCTCGCGAGTATCGACAATGAGGAGCAGAAACGGAAGACCATTTCGAAGTCATTCCGTCGTTTACTCGACTTCGCTGATCGCCAGGTCTTCACTGGCCCACCAGAGAGCACTCGTGACCACATCATGCAGGCTAGTCGCGCTCTGCAGGATGGGGAATGGGAGAAATGCCGCGACTTTGTCCAGAGTATCAAAATTTGGAGTCTCATGCCTGAGGCAGCATCCGTCAAAGAGATGCTCGCGAAGTGCGTATCTCTTTACTTCGCATCTTAGATCTTTCTCACGTCTTTATGTAGGCGCATCCAAGAGGAGGGCCTCCGTACCTACCTTTTCACTTATGCACCGCACTACAGCACACTCTCGTTGTCACTACTCTCACGAACTTTCTCTCTCCCTCTCCGTGCTGTCACGTCGATCGTCTCAAAAATGATCTGGAGCGAGGAGCTCTCTGCATCGCTCGATCAGCAGGCAGGCGCCGTTGTATTCCACCGCATCGAACTCTCGCGGTCGCAGCTGCTTGCGCAAGTGTTGGCAGACAAAGTCAACGCCATGGTCGAGCAGAACGAGAAGACCCTCGACCAAAAGCTCGGCAATGTCACAAGTTGGAGCGACCGGCAGGACGGCGCAAAGGGTGACAAGCGAGAGCAGGCGGGAGAGCGTCGGCGAGGCGCAGAAAGGCGGGGTGGTGTCCGTGGTGGTACGCGTGGCGGACGGGGAGCACGGTTCGCACAAGGATTAGGCAATCAAATGGCAAGTGCTCAGAGGAGTCGCTAAGCTGTTGTTGTCTTTGTTCCCCTTCTGTATTTTGATCATTTGTTGTACATTTCGTCAAGCACCATCCGAGCTCTTGACTCCGTCAGATACAGTGCTGACAAGTTGTCACAATGCAGAAAAGATGTGAGAAACTATCAGCAGAAATAGAACCAAAAGAAGGAGCACTATTTTTGGAAATGTTTCTTAGTGAAAAGGCCATATATATATATATATGTGATGCAAAGAATAATGAAAATATCTGCACTGCTCAGATGAACCTAGGGCATTTATTTTCCACTAAGATAGGCACAGGACTTTCTCTGCATTACAAATATATGACATTTTTGCTAAGAGATATTTCCAAAAATGGTGCTCCTTCTCTTGGTACTATTTCTGTTGAAGATTCTTGCATCTTTTTCTACTATAAGAGTACAGTGCACTAGCCTTACTTGGCACACTATAGCCAGTTGGCACAGTGAGCTCTAGCCTTGTGCTACAGGCACCCCTGGAGTTTTTTTGGGCACAATAGTAGCTAATACACATATGACTATGTAGGAGTCAATTTTTACCTGAAATCAGATAGTTTGAGCAGTACAAAGAGTGGAATACTTTGTTCAGATGGCTGAAGTGCACGAGGACACAATTGCCCAGACAAGTTTCTACAGCTGACACCACTTTTCCACTGCCAAAATGTCATTTTTTATATTATAAACACTATACAAAACATTTAAAGCATGTAAAATGGGCAGTTGTTTGTAGGCATCAGAAAAGGGGACTTATTGTCATATCAGGAGCTGTCTGCCACTGAGCGAGCATAATGGGCATGTTACTGCAATGTCTGAAAAGCATGACAAAAGCTTGCTTCTTAACACCTGCAGATTACAAATCATAACATCTATCACATAAAGTCACACTGTGCCAAATAACTCTAACTTGTGGTTGTCAGCTATCACTGGGCCAATTTCTCTGACAGACATTTAGAATTTAAATTTAGAACTGAGAAAATTCACTTTTGTACTAGTACTGGTGGCTTTTGTTTGTTCATATCATTAGTAACTATGGATATTCCAGACTCAACAGCTCTTGCTGAGCACAATTGTGTGTCACCATCTGGTGTCTTCCATAAGCACACACTTGTGAACTTCACTGCAACTCAACTTCAAGTTCCATGGATTTACATCTTCTGGAGGTTTTAATTCAGTGAGTACACATAGTAGTAATCTATTACATCAAAAAATGCTCTCTTTTGATAGCACCAGGATGTTCATTGTATTGTGAGCAAGCTTGAGCTTGAGCTCATGACTCAGCTCGACATTGCTATAAGCCCAAGTCCAGGCTTTGAACCAAAGCCGGTGTCAGCAGAAAAAGTGATTTACTTATGAAGGGAAGAAAAATCACCAATTCTCAGAAAACCACTGGGTCGGGCTTTTGACCAAGCTTACTCTGTTGTTCATTGGGTGGAGAAAGTAAGTGCAGTGGGTAAGATAATTTATGGAGTGGACATAACAGATTGAATGGAGAGAGAGTAGTTGTTTTGGTTTGGGTCAGGAGAGAAAGAGGTCAATAACTTGCAGAGGCTATGAGCTTCTGCTTGCTCACTGCCTACTTTTGTGCTGGATGCAGGAAGACTTCAGTCTGAATTCACAAAATCTCCATTGCAGCTATTCAAGGGGTTTTGCTAGGCAGATTTCAGACAGTAAAGTCACTTTGTTTAGAATTCTCTTGGTCAAACAAGATTCTTTGGAGTTCCTTCTACATTTGGTTCTTTGTGGAGGGAGTACCTGAAAGGCTCCCCCTTTATATAGATGCCTTTCTACTAGTTTCTCCAGATAGTTCCTTGATATTCTACTGTATTCTATTAGCTTCTATTTACTTTCCAAGTGTTTCTTCTTTATTCTTCTTCTTCTTCTTTTGCTGTCTTTTGTTTCATCACATTTCAGATTCTTCTTCCTGTTTTCACTCCTTTCCCTGCTGACATCATTCCTGGCTAGTTATTTATTATGACTAATTCTACATCTGACATCCAGAGGTCACTTGAAATGGCAACTGTCTTTAGTTGCCCATTTGTTTACATTAGGAATGCTGATGATTTTATCCTATGTTTAGTGTGAGTCCAACTTAGCACTTTTTTCTTCTTATTTTTGATGCTTTCCATTTTACTGCATGACATCTAGAGGCCACTTGAGATTGCAACTGTTCTCAGTTGACTCTTGTAAAATTTGCATGTATTTTACTAGCTGTTCCGTCCAAACATGCATGGTACATAAAGTTTTCAACAGAGTCATTGTAGTACTATGATTCCTTTTAAGACTCTGTTGAACTTGTATGTGTGAAGTGAAAGTGTTAAGAAGTAAGCCAAAAGACTCACGTTGCATTATCCTAGATAGCTCCTCCCATTTTACCAGCTATGTCTCACTGTTGTCTAGCTGAGATAGTCATGCTGGTAACTGAATAAACATTGTCTATAGAGGTTATTTTGCATGTAGTAGTTTGAAATGACTTGTTACTCACTGGGTCACTCCACCAGCCATCTATTCTGGCTTTGCACCATTTCTTGCATCTAGGCCCAGTAGTACTGGCATGACTAAGTCCAGGTGAGAGGTGCAATGCCATAGTCAAGAGCAAAGAATATCTCCTTGCTGCTGACATAGTTGCTAGTAGTATAGTAGGCAATATACTGAGTGTGTTGGAATTTGCAGACATCTTAAAAGGTGGCTGCTATGTTGTAGTGCTCGCTGATAAGATGAAGGTGGCTTTGTGAGGTAAATTCTTAGAAGGATAGCAGTATACTTGGAAGACATCTCCAAGGCTGTGGTGGACTTGCAGGGTGATAGGCTGATTAGTCCACAGGCTATGTAGCAGGAAGAACAGCATGGTTGTTAGAAGTTTTTGTATTGCCAGAAATGCTAAGATGCTCAGCAGGCTCTTAACTACCTTTTTAAGTAAGGAATACTTGTTTGGACCTGATCCAAGATTCTGTGTCCTGATTTATGATTGACAGATCATGATCATAGTTTTCATTAAAATTGCCAGTTGCTTCTTTGGACAGTGTGAAATCTAGAGTGGTGTTTGTAGTTCCTTGATTTAAGACCTGTTGGTTGCCCAATCCAATTTTGTATGTTGCTGCTTGTGCATCTAATTTTACATGTAGGATATATGTTGGGAGCCTTGCTTGTGTGTCTCTTTGTGTTTGCTGCCATCATGTCCAGTTCTGAGTCTCCCTCCTTGGTATCAAGCCAGAACTCTTTGCCTACTTCATCTTTGCCTATTAATTTTCTTCCTCTGATTAACATTGTACTTGTAGTACCCTTCTTTATTTCTGAGTCTGTCCATGCTTTAGTAATTGACCATTTCTTATTTGTTACCATTTCTACTATTTTTTGTGGTATTTTTGATTCTCTTGAAGCTTGTTTATGTTCATCTTTGGGGCATGGTGGCCTTGTTGTACCTCTCTTTCCTCAGGCAATGTCAAAGATAGCTGAAGTGTCTAAGTTGGTGAAGGACCTTAGTCATTGCGATATTATACAGTGTGTGGCTTGGCTAGGCATACAGATTAACTTTAGTCTTCAAGAAAAGAACTTCTGTAAGCTGTTGCTTCATGTTCCTTTCAAGTGGCTTAACTGCCCTATTGCAAACTGCATCTACTCACTTGCGCTATTGTTGCATCTCACAATGTTTTCCAAGTTCAGTAAGTATTTCAGGTGTTTTGCAATGCTTACATGCTAATTTTGTGTTTGTAGATATAGGCACACACGTCTTTCCTGGAATATGGCTCCATTCTTTCATATCTGATCTCTTGAAGGAACACTACTTGCAGTGCCAATGCTTGGCCTGCCTAGTTGAATATAAAAACAGTGAGTAACTTATGATGGTGTTAATATTACTAGTCACCAATATTTGTTTGTAGACAACCTCTGTCACTTAAGCCACCACTTGATTGAGTCTCTTGCTCAGGCTACCATACAGTAAGATCTGCAAGGTTTTTGCACAGAGTGTGGTCACTACAAGTGTTGTTCTTGCAATCCTGCTTTGAAGTTTGAACTGATGGAAACTGAGTAATATGCCATGGAGTTATGTTTCTTGTGTATTTGTATTGATGCATGGATATATGGCTATTCTTTCTCCAGTTTTTTTAGTCACGCACTGTCTCTGGAAATGTAAGAAATGATGCAAAAGGCTGCAATGGCTTATTTGTGTGGGATGCCATTTAATTCTGCTAAGAGATAAGATCCATCTTGCCATTGTCTTAGGATTTCATAGGGACCATTGTACTTGGAAGTCATTTTTCTGTTTAAAGTTTTCTTTATGAAATAATATCATCTTTTATCCTCAAGTCTCTCAACCCACCTCTTCCTCTTTCTTTTGACACAAACTTTGACATGCAATCAACAGAGTTTTTACCTGGGCTTATACCAATGTCCTACTCTCTGCCTCCACTATACAACTGCTATGATGGCAGCATATATCCACAGCTTTGATATCTGTGCTCAATTTTTTACCTGCACTTCACCTCATTCTCTGACTTGTCCTTGTCCCACCACGCAAATATGTGCAAAGCCTCCATGAACTCTGTGGAACATATAGTTGACGTCAGCACTGTGCAACTGGAGTACAATTGTGTAGGTGCCACAATCTGCTTTTTTATATATCAAGATTGCCATCTCAATAAATGTTGACTACATTGACTAGGTTAGCTAAGATCAATAATTAAGCCTTTCTGGTCTACTGTGCAAAGACTATTTGCATGCACCTTGTGTTACCATGATCTACTGTAATTTTATGACTATACCAAATGTTACACGTTACATTAGTTTTCCACTGATCCTGCCAATAATTTTATATCGATTTGTGGCAAATATAGGGAGTTGTCAGAAAAATCAAATTTGTGGCTTTCATCCAGTAAGGTCATAAAAGTATAGCATTTCATCTTTGTCATCGCTCTGTGTGCCACAGTACAACTACACCCAGTTTACCAACACTATATGACTATTAGACTCATTGGAGGGGCAAGCCTGTGCTTGTCTACCATCTGCACCTAGGCATTGGCCAACTTGTGTTTACGCCCTTAATCTCTGCTTTCTCTCTATCTTTAAAATTAGTAGTCAGACATGTGCATTCAAGTCATTTATTTTTCTGAGTGGTTGCTTCACTCAAATTGTGCAAACATATTTATGTTCTCGGTGCACACAAAGCATGTAGCATGTTTCACTTTATACTTTTCTGGTTGTATTTGCTCATGTTAAATGATGGGAGGTGTTTTAGTGTCAAGTGTCTTGAGCACAAAACCCACCATATATTTTGTTATCACAGAGCAATGATCAACAGCTGCACAAGCGCAAACTTGCTCATACAGGAGCACATAGCACGAGAGGTCTAACACACAAAAGGTGGAATGCTGTAAGTCTGGGTGCGAAGGCAAAAGAGCACGTGTTTATTACTGTACCTAACACACAAAAGGTGAAACGCTGGAAGCTAGTACAGTGTAAGCATAGGGCATAATGCAATGGCAATAAAGAAAGCTTACTCTGGGTGCAAAGGCAAAAGAGCATGCAGAGTGGAAATCAGGAATGAGTCTTTATATGCTACTGAGAATGAAACAAATGATGTCCGCATTAAGAAAGTGAAACTGCTAGCATAGATAAGTCCATGCACTGGGCACATTACATAGGTGAGACAGTTTGAAACGAGTCTGATCGCCTGAGACACTTATCTGTTCAACATATCTGTTAAATGATTCCAAAGGAAGAATCAGAAATGACGTAGTTGTGCTCTATTGCACTCGTTTGGTTTACAGCTGTGGCATTCCTTCCATATCCTCTATTGTATTTGGATACCAGAATACTTCAGGTGCACCAAATTATTCCACAACAAAACAAACTGTGATTTGGGCAACAAAGAAGACTAAACAAGAAGTTTGGTTTACTGTGCCAACTGGCACTAGTACACTGTAAGGCTACTTTTGGAAAATGTTGTTAAGCTCTTTTCATGCCTCTTTTAGCCAAAAAGATATTTTAATTTGTCTCGTGAGAGGAATGTATGGTAGCAACCAAGGGTGAGGCGTGACACTTTGTGATGGGCAACAAGTCATGTGTGACTTGTGACCTAAGGCCTAATAAGAAACCGCCGCCGTCAGGCGGCGGCGCAGGTGCAACTTGCGCAGAGACTGGCAACAAACTGACTGTGACGCATGACATCGAGCCAGATAAGAAACGCGTCTAGTGGTGTGTGACGCGTGACGTTGCTACCATACGTTCCTCTGTATCGGCATTATCCTGACAGAGCTTGAGCTTGAGCTCTTAATCTCACTGTTTATCACTTGAGTCCCCCAGTTGCAGCCCCATTAAATCTCCTTGTATATGCAGACAACACATTCTATGGCGAGGAGACTCGAAAATTAGACGAAGTATAGGCCAACTCATCAGCATGACGTGAGCAATAAGTCGCTGCTTACGATAATCAAGAGATTTGATATTATCTACACCACTCCGCCTACGGAGCCTTCCTTGTCATGCCTTGTCCCCAGTCCTGCGACCTCGTTCCACCTCGACATACTCCGCATTATTCGGGTGTGCGATAGTCCTACGCACTTCCCACGGCCTCTTGTTATTCTTGCGCGTCTCCCAGCGGCGGAGCATTTCCTCATCCCACGTCTTGCCTTCGAGGTCGCCCTCGTCACGCAAGAAGCGCGCACCGGCGAGCGGTGCAGGGAGGTAGTCGTTTGTGACCGGATGCCTGTGCCCATAACATTAACATCAGCATACAAAAGAGAGCTCAATGGGAGCATACGCATAGTCTGGGTTATACGCGTACCCTTCCGCATAGCCGAGGTTTTCCATAAGTTTCGTGGGTGCGTTGCGCATCATGTGCGGTACGGGTGCGGTTGGTGTTGCCTTGGCGGCCTCCTCCGCGCGGTTGTAGGCAGTATACGAGCGCGTCGACTTCGGCGCGAGCGCGAGGTAGCTGACGAGGTGCCCCAGGTGGATGCGGCACTCGGGCATGCCGACAGTCTGGCACGCTGTGAGGGCTGCCACAGCCTACGGCAAGCGCGTCAGTGACGTACCGATGCATGAAGGGAGGCCGTACCAGAGGCAATGCGTGGTTGTCTGCCAGCCCAATGTCCTCACTGGCGCAAACTGTCATGCGGCGCGCGATGTAGAGCGGGTCTTCACCCGCGCCGAGCATACGCGCAAGCCAGTAAAGCGCCGCATCAGGCTCGCTACCGCGCACGCTCTTATGCAGTGCCGAGATGAGATCGTAGCGATCGTCGCCGGTGCGATCGTAGGACGTACTGACACTGCGGCGGAGCGCCGCAAGAAGTTCGTCTTCTAACGTGTGCGGAGCTGTAAGAAAGAGCTCAAGGAGAGACAGGGCGATGCGCGCATCGCCAGACGAGAGTGAGACGATCGTATCCACCACACGTGGCGTCAGCGTTGGAAAGGACGGGAAGAGTGGCGCAGGTTTCTCGGCGGTTTGATCGCCATCATCCTGCTGTGTCAAGGCTGTAGATTGGGAGAGCGGCCCTTGGCTGCTGGAAAGAAGTGGTAGCGAGGACGTCGGAGGGGATGATGCTGGGTCTATTGGTCTAGAGACCAATTTTGAAGGAGTTGGTAGTGTGTTCGAAGTGTCATCAGGTAAATGGACAGGAGGGCTGACGCGTCGGACGGCTTGTGTGAGGATTTGCCGGGTGTCATCGTCAGTCAGCCGTTCCAGAACCAATACACTTGTACAAGATAAGCGATGATTAAGAGGATGGTGGAAGACTTTCGTACCGACACCGCGAAAGGAGAGCACCAGTGAGTTTGAAGGATGGGTTCTCCGTCGTAGCACCTATCAACTGAGGGATCCTGTCAGGATGCACGGGCGTGTGTCTGTTCCCAACTGACCTGTATGATGCCTTGCTCAATATACGGTAAAAAGATGTCCTGAATAGCTAACTTAGAACGCGGTATTCAACAAGGTACATTGTGGTTTCAAACCTGCTGTGCTCTGTTGAACCGGTGCACTTCATCGAGAAACAAGATGGTCCGCCTGACGGATCAGTATCAGCTCATGTTCACGAAAGAGGGGCCGACACAGCTGACAAACCTTCCGGTGAGGTTCATGAGGCCCTTGGCTTCCTCCGCGACTGAGCGGACATCGGCAATGCCCGAGTCTGTCGCGCTCAGTTCTTTGAATGTCGCGTCAACAGCTTTTGCAAGCAGGCGCGAGAGTGTCGTCTTTCCGCATCTAACGTAAGTCCTGTCAGTGGACGAGCGATGTTTGGCGAGATTGCAGTGTATACTGACCCGGGTGGCCCCCACAGGATCAAGCTACCGAACGACCCTGACCGGGTGAGATTCATGAGCAGCGAGCTGGGACCTGTGAGGTGCGGCTGGCCGACAAACTCGTCGAGGCTCTGTGGACGCAGGCGCTCCGCCAGCGGAGCAGCGGCGGACAGTTTGGTGCAAGCTTTACTGCGCTTGGCTGGGCCAGCATCTGCGCTTGAGGCTGCTGGCCGCTTGTTCTTGGAGCCAGAAGGGGTGATGCGAGAGGACGAAGCAGCGGATCGCTGAGAGAAGATGGGAGCAATGGACTGCTTGGCCTTGGGGTCTGGCAGACGGGCAGAGACCGTGATGAGGGCGTCATCTGAGCAGTTGCTGTCGAGGTGCGTGTTGATGTCATTTTCAGCGACCGTGCGGGAACATATCGGGCTGGGCTGGTGTAAACAAACGGGCCAGATGGTGGAGGAGCAGCACTGACCAGGTGACTGAGCAGAGGTTACAACGTGCCGGGGAGCATGCGAGGAGAAGACTTGCCTGTTGCTGGACTCATCGAAGACGAACGACGGAGGACGCGACGCGCGTCAGCGTGCTTACGACCGTGTACGGACGCTCGGTGCTATCCAGAAATCTCTTCATCGATGCCTTGTGGGTCTGCCTCGGAAATTGGATATTAAATCTCACCACTGCTCTCGAAAGCGGGCGCGAGGATAAATGAACCCGTCAAGACGTACAAAACTCGCAGCAGCGTGCCAGTTACAGCACCACTCATCGACCCCCCGGCCAGCGGTGACGCGATCGTGACAGTGTGACAGCACGCTTATCCTCGCAGCGAGCACCGCAAACTTTCAGTCTCCCCTCGTCCTCCACCGGGCAACCGTTTCCAGCTCAGAGCCTTTTCTCTTTTCCTCTTCTGTGGCCAGTTCGTCCGCTGCTTCTCCGAGTCCTCAAGACCTGTGTGTTCACGTCAGTCCCACAGGCCAGTGTGGTATTCACATTCCAGGACTGGCTGCTGCTATACCGGCGGATCATTGGACCCCTCCTTGGCCTCCCCTCGTCCTCGCACGCCATGTCAGCTGAAGCGGCCCCTGCACCCCGACTCACCTCGACTCTCGCATCCCAGGTCACTCCGACTCCCCATTATACCGTTGACGTACCAGACCCGAACGCGATTCACATCCTCATCACTGGCTTTGGAGTATGTGCAAGTACTCTCCCTGTTTACCCGTGGACAAAATCTGACAACACTTTAACGAGCGCAGCCCTTTTGGCGGTACAACGAGAACCCCTCATGGCTCGCCGTGAAGCCTCTTCACAATACCGTCCTCTATACCGAGATGGTCCCGCCACCCCCGCCGGAACCTCAATCCAGCCATCAAATGCCTCCCTTTGGGCCTCCACCACACTCCTTACCCCCAATGCCCCCGCCATTACCGATCGAGACAAGTTCTTCAACAGGCAGCGACACTGAGATGCTGGAAGATACAACCCCCCGCATCCAGCAAATATACATCACCGTCCTCCAGATCCCGATGGTGTACCAAAATGTCCTGCAGTTCGCTTCGGGTTTGCACGCCAAGCCCCCCGTGCTCCCGCCCCCAATCGATCCCACATTCGCCCCTGTGTACCTGCCGCCAAACGGCTTCGATTTCATCTTCCACATTGGCGTCGCCGGTCGCGGCCCGCTCCGCCTCGAGAAGCTCGCACACAAGCTCGGCTACCGCATGAAGGACGCCGAGGGTCAGCTCGCGCCCATTGTACATGTTCCGAAGGATGTACCCAAGGATCCTGAGCAGGAGGTGCCCGAGTTTATGGGCAAAGCGCTCCTCCCGCCTCCTGATCTTGGTTACTCGTCGGGTCTCCCCAGGGGCGTCGTTCCCGGTGATGAGTCGCACATTGGTGATGAACGCCCGGTAGATACTCACGAGGCACAGCCGGTGCGGGGCTTTGGCAAGACATATGAGAGCATGCCGGATGAGCTGTATACTGAGATCGACGTCCCACGATTGATCCTACACCTCAAGGAGCAGGGCATCCAGGTGCGTTGATCCCCCCACGCTGTTTCGTATTGTTCTGACCCCTTTACAACAGAAAGCCTACTCGAGCATGGACGCTGGACACTATCTGTGCGACTTCCTATTCTATGCGAGCCTAGCAGAGGCAAAGCGCAACGCAGCAAAGCAGGAGAAGGACAAGATGCGGAGCACACCACCCAAGATGACACCAGTGCTTTTCATGCACTGTTGTCCCATCGGCCAGCCGCACACAACAGACGAGATCACCGATGCAATTAAGAAAGTCGTTCTGTGGGTGTGTGCGCGGCTTTCGATCTAATCTTGCCAACGAAATCGCCCATCGCAAGCTCCACGTTCGCGAGACTGCTAGCTCGTAGTCCATCTATTCACTCGTGCCATATCTCGTTTCAGCCGTCCAATCCAGTCACCGTTGTCTGCAGTCATACCACCCTTTGTCTGGTATCTGTGTTCCCGTATCCGCATACATACATGTGGCATGTGCTCCCATTGTACCTTACCCCATGCACCCGCCCGTTCTGCATTTTACTTGTCCATTCAAGTGCATGATTCTCAATCAGCTACAATAGTATCATATCCCAGCCGGTTTCGGCATACTCTTCTCGTGATACTGGGTGGCATGTGCCAAGTGCAGGGCATAGATCGTTTCCTTGCGATCGGATGACCTTCAGCCAGCTACTGTGGATGATGAGCTGAATAGAAGGACGAACAGATACAGTGTATTACTCCCTCAGTGGTGTACCTACTCCGGTCCTGGTTTCAACCATGGCCAACAATTACTACCACAATCTTTTGCGTCGTGTCGTTGATGAACGTTCGAACGATGCATCGATGGACAGCGGCGAGATGCAATGTCTGTGCATATTCAATGCAAGCCCACTTCATTCAGCAGCATAAAGAACTTCTGGTCGAACTTTTTGAAAATGTCTACTCGACAGTGTGAAAATGGAATTGCAACGTCCCCCGCGGTTCTCTTGGGATGCGTCACGTGTGTTGCGCTGTACTTATATCCTCACCACGATGGCGAATTCGTCTTTCAGTGAAGTTTTCGAGCCCCCCCAGCCCCCCGCCTCATCGTACGTCCCACCTTGGATACCAGAGGATGACTGCAGAACAAGTAGCGACAAACATCACCTTCCACGCCGGTGCGCTTTCGGTCTTATCTTACCAGTGCATTACAGACCGAGAGACTGAGTATAGGCCGCAGGCTCCGTCGATGGCCCTGAGCGTGCTCGCCTCCTTGACCAGAAGGGCGTTACGATCTGGTTCACTGGGCTCAGTGCGAGCGGCAAGGTGCGTCTCTCCCTCTCGCTGAGAGGGTCCAAAGGCTGACTGCATGCACTGGCCAGTCCACAATTGCATGCGCACTGGAGCAGCATCTCCTGCACTTGAAGAAGTTTTGCTACCGCCTGGATGGCGACAACGTTCGCTTCGGACTCAACAAGGACCTCGGCTTTGACGAAAAGTCGCGGAACGAGAACATTCGCCGAATTGGCGAGGTGTGCCTTTTCCCTCCGTTCCATCTCCCTCGGTTTCTTCCTCCGCTCTTTCTCCATTACTTTCTCTTCGTCAGGATGACAGTACTGATGCGATCATGCTTCAACGTAGGTGTCGAAGCTCTTCGCAGATGCAGGCTGCATCTGCTGCACGGCGTTCATCAGTCCGTACAGGGCCGACCGTGACTCCGTGCGCGAGCTGCACGAGAAAGCCGGCCTCGGCTTTATCGAGGTCTTTGTCGACGCCCCGCTCAGCGTCGTCGAGCAGCGCGACCCTAAAGGTCTCTATAAGAAGGCGCGCGAAGGCGAGATTAAGGGTACGTGCGCCGCTGGCACAAGACCCTGCGAGAACAGCATGCTGACGCCCCGTTAGACTTCACGGGCATCTCGGCACCGTATGAGGCTCCAGAGAAGCCTGAGATCCACATCAGGACGGACGAGTGCGACGTCACTGAGGCCGTGCGCAAGATCACCATCCACCTTTCAGAGCAGGGCTACATCTAGATACTCCTCTCACAGAGCGACCAAGCTTGATCAATGATGGGGAGACGTTCAGAGTAGACTGAAGACCCATTGATGTGCACTAATATTTACATTGCTATATATCACGCTTGTCTTCTCTACTGCGACTGACTAAAACCAAGAGCTCGGGGAGGAATGGACTACTACACATAGAACTACACTAACAGGTGGATATGACGATGAAGGGATGTTGGAGAGTGAAAACGAGCTGATGACATCAAAGCGTCCGGCGCTGCATGCTGCGGTCCTACGGCCGCACGTTGACGGGTTCTGCGTACTGCGGCGCTCGTGAGCGAGGGAACGTTTCCTCCGCTTCTGCTTCCTCCTCGATGATGTCCTCACCACCATCAAGTAGCGTTCCAAGGCCGGCTTCGACAACACCAAGCCATTGGGCGAGGTCATCGACCGTGCGCGCGAGCTCCGCATGCATCGCATCGTTGCTCTGCAGAAGCGCGGCAAAGTCGAGTGGGCGGATCACAGGGCCTGCAGCCGCAATGCCGTTCACGTGCAAGTCAGAAAGATGCGAAAAGGCTTGGGAGGATGGGAAGCCGCTGTGTAGTGCACCGAAAGACTGTGAACGGCCGTGTGCCGTGGGAAGTGGAGAGGCATGATCGCCATTGATGGAATGCGAGAGCGAGGAGAGAGAGTTCAAAGAGGTGGAAGACGATGAAGCGGCAGCGTTGGAGAAGGGGAGAGTCCGCGGGCTTAGCTGAGTTGCGTCCGCAGGTGTGGAGGACCCTAGTGGACTGGGCGAGGGTGACAGTTTTGACGAGGGAGGTGCCGCTGAGGGCGAGGGTGGGAGCAAGTCTGACATCCCCAGCCGATGTTCCGAAGTTAACGAAGGTATCTAGACGTAATCAATGTCATAGCTATTGCTAGCACAAAGCAGATACCTACCTTCAATACATCCTTGAGTCCAGGCAATGGTGGCCCAGTATCCAGGCTGCCACTCCGCTCCGTTCGTACATGTGCCCAAGGCTTCGATGGTGTGTGCACTGTCTCTATGACTGGCAGGGAGGCCAAACGTGTCATGCTTGGCTTGCGCGGTACCGCTTGCACAGCCACCTCCGGACCAGCAGAACTTGGCGTAGCGCCGTGCAGTGGCGGTCCGCTGAAAGGTGCTGCCGAGCGAGATCGCATTATGGGCGGGGGAGCAGGCAATGGTCCCGTAGGAATGGGGCCGGGGGGCTGATACCGTCGCGCACTCGTTGAGGCGTCAAGAGAGCCCGTGAATTGGTGAGAGGTGCGCGAAACTGTGGAGATTGTCGAGACACTTGCATGAGTAGGCGACACACGGCTGTGGGTACGTGTCACAGGAGCTGATAGTGGTGGAGGCGTGGAAGGCTGTGCAAACCCGGGCGGAGGAAATTGGAACGTAGATTGCGAACGGAAGTTCCAATCATGACTTGTCTTGAAGCTCGGTGGCGAGTCGACAGCGTTGCTCTTTGACCGCTGTCGGTTCATACGTGGGCGAACTTCGTTGGCCGTGGGCTGATCAGGAGAAGAGACGGAGAACACAATCGGCGGAGGTGCGTCTTTCTGAGCATTAGACTCAGGCAGAGTGGGAATCTCTATCTCTTGATAGGGCGACTCTACTCTTAGTCCTGCTCGAACCGGACTTGATTGGGGTGAAGGTGCTCGCGAACTCTGCCGGCTGGGACTTCGTCTGGAAGGTATGCCAGGTCCCAACGGTGGATGTCGGTCTCTAATTGATAAGGTATCATCGTCTTCGTGGGCGTCAGCAGCAGACAGCTTCTGAGCAGTCCTTGGAGTGGCCGATCGCGGAGGAAATTGGAATGTAGGCTGCTTTGCGGTCAGGACATCCTCCTGCTCTTCGATGGGTGATGTCGCGCCCCCTCTCGAGCGATTGCGACCACGTGCAGCAAGTGCAGATGGAGGTGGCAAAAGGGATGGACCAAGGGCTGGTGTTGGCGTTATAGGCGTATCAAACCCTGAAAGCTTGATGGGCTCGGGCGGGGTGTCTCCATCTTCAAAGAGCATGCGAAGTGTAGGAGGGACTTTTGAAGCAGGTGGTCGGATAGTAGGGTTGGGGATCTCGCCGACCGCATTTGCAGACAGGGAGTCGGCATGAGACAAGTCAATTGAGGAGCGTGCACGAACGGTATCGAACTCCCAGCTAGCCTCTTCACCTTCGTCGCTCTCCACAGCATTCAGTCTAAGTTCATAGATTCAAAGTCAAGCACGCTGATTAGTTCAGAACGAGCTACTCACTCTCGGTCCTCTTCCGCCTCCCATGGCAAGGATCCTGCCACACTTGCTCGAGTACCTCCACTCTGAAGCCAAACTTCATAGCAGACTATTAGGTCCTTGAGGATGGTGACTGGGGGAGTCTTGGTGATGGCCTTCATGTACTTTGTCTTCAACAAATCATCGGCAGATAATCTCTTGGTAGGCGGTCAGCACTGAAATTCTAACCGGAAAGGAGCTGCAATCCCAAAGCGTACATCATTAGGCGATTCCCGTAAGCAATGTGTTACAAACTCTCTTAGCTCCTTGCTGCCTTCGCCCTCGATTAGTCGTGGCGGTTTCGTTCGAGGAATTATCTGGAGGAGCTTGTGCTGGTCCATGATTTGTGAGTGCGGTACGCATCCCTTAACCATCTCGTATATCATGATTCCCAAACTCCAGATGTCAGCCTTAGAATCATAGGACGAGCCATGGGCCACCTCTGGGGCCATCCAATGCGGGGTGCCAACCAGAGTATTGCGCTTGCTGGACGCAGTGACGAGGAGTGCAGAGACACCAAAGTCACATATCATAACTTTTCCTGCTGCAGTAATGAGGATATTTGCTGCCTTGAGGTCTCGATGTATGATGCCAGACTTGTGGAGGTAGCTGAGGGCGAAGAGGACCTCTCGAATGATGACAGAGACGTATTTCTCTTCGATAGTACCGTCCTTGGAAGCCTTCATGAGAGTACGTACGCTGCCACCCTGAGCATATTCCATGACGATCCACACGCGGGGGCCGTCCAAGAAGCAGCCAAAGTACTGGGTGACATTGGGAGCGTCCCGAAGTTGAGTGAGGAGAGCGACCTCTCGCTGAATGTCGGCAACGTCATCGTCCTCGGTGTCAAGATTGATGATCTTGAGTGCGACTACATTGCCGGTAGCTATCTCTACACCCTTGTGTACTGAGCCATATGCGCCTTTGCCAACGGTCTCCAGCCGTCTGTAAAGCTGATGCACCGACGGAGTGGGAGGCATTGCGGGTAGTGTATGGAATCCGGAATTACCATGCAAGAATAAGAGGAGAAACGTGTTCTGGAGGAAAGCGAGAATTCGAAAGACCTCAGCAGGCGAACGTCATGGCGAAGGGGTCGAGTAGAAGATGTTCAAGCGCCAAAGAGGCCCGACGCCGACTTGCCCGGTTTGGCATCTGCGCTTTCATCATGGACTTTGACGAGTCATCCGTAAAGGTCGTCACCCAGGAGTTCACCGCCATCGTTCTCGCTGGCTTTGGCACAGAGTGAGCATCCAAAGTCTCGTCTCTCTTTTGCTGACCTTTGCAAGTCCCACAGTCTCGTACCGCTCACGAGCAATCAGGGCGAGGAACCATGTCCGAAGGCTCTCTTGCCCATAGCCAACAAGCCTATGCTCGACTATCCTCTGTCTTGGCTAGAGAGCTCTGGCATAAGAGGTATGCCTCGGACTGCGATGCCTTCTACTATACGCTAAATACGTGCCTAGATGTCCTGCTCATCTGCCCATCACCTCATAAGGCAGCAATCTCGCACTACATTCATTCAGGCTCCTCTATCTCTTCGTTCCCCTCGCTTCGCATAGATCTTCAAGTTTACGACGAGTCGCTAGAAAGCGGAGATGGTACCTGCGACGTCCTTAGGCATTTTGCACATCGCCTTACCGGAGACTTCGTCCTGCTACCCTGCGATTTCGTCCCGTCGCCTTCCTTCAACTTGTCAAGAGTTCTTGATAAGTTCAGAGGAGAAGCAAATTATGATGGTGCCATCGCGACTGCAGCTTTCTACGAGACCGCGAAAACCGACAAGAGTGCTATAATAGAAGAGTGGGGAGTGCCCCCACCTCAGCTTCCAGTGGTTTGGGACGATCGGACGGGAACTCTGTTGCATGTCGACACCGAGGATGACCGTGACCGTAATGGAGAGGAGCTGGAACTGACTATGAGCCTTCTCACAAGGTATGCAGTGTGTTACGTGCATCGGTATATATTCTGCGATATCTAACAGCCTTTTCCAGATACCCCCGTGCCAAGATGTCTGCCAGCCTACAAGATGCACATGTTTACGTGTGCAAGCGGTCTGTGCTAGATATACTCCAAGAGAAGTCCGATTTCGACTCGTTCCGAGAAGAGTTCATACCGTGGCTCTGCAAACCCCAGTACTCGTCACGCAAACGCGCGAAATATGCAAACAGTATGCGCGTAGCTCTAAACTTTTTGACTCTTCATAACAGAGATCATCCTAGTTTTGAACCCACCAGCGAACACTTCGACACATCACATGTCACTAGAGCACTCGACAACCTATATCCCGTCGCATACACACAGCGTCAGGGAGCATCTACGGGAAGACATTAGGACCGCCACCTCGTCGCCGGTAGACCTCACAGAGAGAGACGAAAGTGTCAGCTTACGTGTCGGCATCGTGATCCATCGTTCTTCCGAAGGCTATGCCGCCCGGGTGAACACCCTGCAAAATTTCCTTGACCTGAACCGCCATGTATGCTCATCTCCCCATGACATTTTGCTTTCGACTTATCTATGTATTTCGCGCGCCAGTTCCTTAACCAAGTGTCATGGACACTTCCGACCGACTCCGAGAGTCGTGCGCTCATTGATCCCAAAGCTCAGATCTCGAGCGATTCGATGATCGGTTACACGACCAAAGTCTCCGAGAAGACAAGTATCAAAAAGTCAGTCATCGGAAAGCACTGTGTTATCGGCAAGATGGTCAAGATCGTGGGGTGCGTCATCTTGGATCACTGTGTGATAGAGGACGGGTAAGTATATCGTACCTTCGCGGATTAGTTTGTATCGCTAATAGGAATGATAGCGCGAAACTCGACGGCTGCATCCTAGGCACGAATACAAAGGTCGGTGCCAAGGCGGAGCTATCAAGATGTGTAACACAAGCTGGATACGAGGTAGAGGCTGGAGGTAAGCGTTTAAATAGCTGTTATGGCACTTCTCTCGCTGAAACGGATATACAGAGTCGTTTAAAAACGAGAAGTTAGACGTTTCAGACTGGACAGTTCACCAGGGAGGCAGTGATGATACTGGCGATGAGGACGCGGCCGGGGATGAGTCTGAGTAGACAACTTCCAGCCGAAGACTGCACATATCAATGTCGATTGTAATGCATAGTGTGTATGCGTAGAGAAGATGTCGACGTTCACCTTACTCCTTCGGGCGTCTGGGCCGGAACAGCGTTTTCATGAATTGTATTCTTTGGAAGCTGTTCGCGCCTATGACACGATGATCGATTTGTGGTTCGAAGGTATCAGTATTGCCCAGCTGCTCGGTTGCGCTCAGTCCATTGTTAGTGCTCTACAGTGCGTGGGAAGACTTCGACGCCACCAAGCTTTTAGTTTCTTCTTCGGGTTGACGGGAAACAGCTCTAGGCGCGATCGGGCAGAGGATTACTGCTAGCTACAGAACAACGGTCAGCCTTAGCTTGGGAATGAAGTGTACACATATAATCATATCAGCCGCATTCGCAGAGGTAGCTATAAATATACAACGAAAAGTCATAGCATGCATAACCCCGTACGGACTGCAAGACAATTGTGTCATGCAGCAGACCACACGTGTTGCTACCGATCTATTCCTCGCTGCTCCCTCGACTCGACGGATCAGGTGCAATGAGCCACATCCTACCCTTGCATTTCCTAGTGCCACATTGGCAGATAGAATGAATTGCTTGCAGATGTTGGCGTTCGTTCTTCGTCTGGTGACGATGTCAGCATATACTGAGCAATCACCCCATGATACCCGGTATGACTCACCAGAGGCGGCAGGTCTTCAGGATCACCAACGTATGAGAAGCAAAGTTCCTCGCCTGCGGCTACGCTCTTATTCGTCCAAATGGTGAGCAATGGCTTGTCGATATTGGCCTCGTTGATGTAAGCGGGAACAATGATGCAGTTTGGGTCACATGAATGATTCTATAAATTACCATCAACATCGACTTTGAACCAACCATGCTATGTTTTCTGACCAGAAATCTTGTAAACTGGTCATGCACATAGTAAGCAAGATGTATTAAAAGTGGGCGCGCTAATAACTCACATTACCGGCATGAAAGGCATCAACACAGTATTTCGTTTGCCAATCCTCTGGTTTACCATCCCACCACGGCGGCTGCTTGAGATGCCAGCTGTCGATGTCGAAGAGGTATGTCCTGCCAAACTCGTCATACATTCTGTAGGAATATATTTATGTAAGTAAGGCAGCTCAGAGACGAGGCGGACGTACGATCCGCGATGGTCGCCTTCTTCGTCGGTAAGATATTCGCCAGCATATACTCCTATAAAGGTATTCTTGGCAATAGGTTGTCCGGCGAATACACCTGCGAAAGAATTTAGATACTCCAGACATGCCTGCAGGAACGCGAAGTACTCACCCCAGCCCTTGTTCAGTGTCTTTTTGATGTTAATCCTGACTTTCCTTCCCTTCTGTATGACCTGATCGAAGGATTACGAAAGCCAGTCTTCTACGTGAAGGAGTAACACCCACCCGGTTCTGGCAATCGTCGTCGTCGCACCGACAGGCCGCGTTGCATTCGAAGATCGGATACTCGACGTGCTCTGTTCGTATTCGTCCATCTGGTCCGTAAGCAAAGCCACGGTCAAACTCCTCCAACACTGCTGCTTCCATGTAGTGCATCTGCCTCTTAACACAGGGACATGTCGTGCTCTTGGGGTCGCATGAGCCGATACAGTCGCATCCATCCAAACCATACACGTTAGGCCCCGGGACATTCTTGCCGTGATACATCTTGTTGGTGTAGTGGAATTCAAAAGAAGGGCTCAGTTCATCGTCCACGTCGTTAATGATGTTGATCTCAGGTGCGTATGGCTCGTCATCGACCGTACCGACGCTGATCATGCTAGTAAAGACTTTCCTCTGAAGGCCATCTGCCATCCGCACTTCAATTGGCAGTGACATCATCCTGTTTTGCAAGTTGAACGGGAGATCGCGCGCGCGGAGGTCGACGCTAGCGTATTCAAGCGCAAGCTGACGCCCGTTTTTCGACCAAGAGATGACTGTGCCATGTGGATCATCCTCGTCCGAGTCGTCATCGATGTGAACGCTGTTCATCGCAGGCACGATCGCTTCCTCGGTCGGGCCGTTACGCCGTAATGGAATACGTGAGGGTCCCGCAGCAGGTTGTGCGAGACTGAGTGGGCTTGAATTGCGAGTGACACAGCCAGTTGAATTCGTCTGACGGCGAGATCGCAATCTGCGCGTGGTGAGCTATATGACAAGTTAGCTTGAGCAATATACTTCACAGCAGAAGGCACAAACAGGTGTGTTATTTTCGTTGTCTAGTAAGAGTCGCGCGGCCTCTACTTCATCATTGGCATCAGACTCGTCTCCCAGTCCAGGAAGATCGACGGCACGAGATTTCCTTCGCCGACCGCGGCATTTCACCGTCTTCAGTGGGCCGTCACTGTCTTCATCCATATGCATGTTGTCCGAAGTTGAACCAGACGCTGAGGCAAGATGTCCACTGCTACTCTTGAGTAAAGGAGTGTCCTCGTCAGATGATGCTGGCACGGCGTGTATTGGGGCGGCTGATAAGCAAAGCAAAGGTCTGCTTGGGACATGAACAGAGTCTTCACTGCTGCTTCTTGCGGCTGGAGAAGGGCCGTTGGCTATGGGCTGCCTTCTCTGCAATGCACGGATAGTGTCGAGGCTTGGTGTGAGTTTGTTGATCACGGGCCCGATCGCCCGGACGGGCACCGGGGCCTCCAACCCTGTGAAGCAAGTTATGATATGCTACCTATGAGTATTTGTGATCTGGACTCACTTGAAGCAACTGATGATGATGCGTTGCCGAATTCACAAACCTGCGCAACAACTTTCGTACTGGCAGAAACAGCATCGTCTCCACTGGACAAAATTGTCCGCTGGTCTTCGTCGTCCGATTGAGTAAGATCGATAACATTGCCCCGAGCTTCGGCAATCTTGAAGTTGGCATTGCTCAAGCTTTGCTGGAGTGACTTAATTCCAGCATTGGGGCGGTCAGACATAGATACTGGGAAAGTCAACGTGTGGTCCTGAAGGAAATCTTAGATGCCAGCTAGAGCTAGAAATTCAGTTCGACAAAACAAACCTGCATAACGTTCGGATCAGCCCGAAGTTGAAGTTCCACTGTTGAAGCAGGCGGAATGTTGTCGCCACGAACTCGCGAACGTAACTTGGGTTCAACACCTTCACTAGCTGAGACTTCTGCTGAGGTCGGTGGAAGCTCATGCCCTGAGCTAGCTTCAGTGTCGGGTGACGGCACCGTCGAATTACGCCGGCTTGACACTGGTGAGCTCACAGACTTCTGCCCGGAGTGAACCAGAGAACTTGAAGGCAGTACAGGAGACCGGACTGGCGGCAGAGGCTGCATCTGAGACGAGGGCCGAGCCTGTGGAGGGGATTGTACTTGAGGCGGAGATAGCACCGCGCAGTTCCGCCTCTCGCTGCGGCGGTCGTGAACAGCTTTGAAGAATCCACCGCTGCCAGAATAGAGCGTTCTCACGACGCTGGCCTTCTGTGTGCTCGACGGAGGCGAGCGTTCTGTAGTTTTGAAGCTCGAGGAAATTGCTGGGCTCTTTCGAGGAGGTGACGGTGTTTGCACGGGGAGGTCCACTTCCATGGCGTCCGATGCGAGAGGAAGAAGAGACTCTATGCTCTGAAGTTGGGCTGCCGAAGACTGGTTGATCCGCTTGGACTTGCTACTTTCGCGAATCTCCGACCGTGCAAAAGTATTTGTAGCCGCATTCATGTCGTGCGATCCCAAAGGCGAGGTCGCATTCTCGCCCCCGGTTTTTGTGGAGGAATGCGTGCACGATTGCTCAGGGGCAGGGCTAATTGCCATGCTGTCGAGTGCTGGTACGATGGTGCCGACAGTCGGGGTTCCTGATTTCCTATTTGTAGCGCTATACTCAGATGTGGATGCAACCGGTCCGGAAGGCTCTGGCGGGGAGGTCTGGTGGTCCTGTGCTCCCGACAAAGATGGAGTCGGTTCCACCAATTCCATAGTAGCAGGAGCACCAGCCGGTATCGCGCTGACTGGCCGCGGGCTATCCCGGATACCAGATTCGTCAAGACCTGCCGCTGTATGCTGTGGTTCCGTGTCCATGGCTTGCTCAGGTTCAGACTCGTCCAATTCGATAGCTTCGAATGGCTTAGTAGCTTGACCCGATACCGTGTTCGAAGGTTCTCGCCGATGGAGCGGTGGTGGCGCTTGTATGTCAATCGCGTCAGGCAAAACGCATTGAAGAAGTCTATAATGTGCGTTACCAGCATCATCCGAGTCCGATAGCACGATTGGGTCGTCAGCTTTACCTCCTTGCGAAACGTATTTGTTGTCTCGAACTTTGACGGTATTGGCGGCTGAGTCCGCAAGACCTGCTATTGGAAAGTTAGTAACACAATGGCGCCGTATATAAGTTTTGACGCACGCCGCTTCAATCGAGCCAACAGGTCCTCATCACTTACGGTCAAATCAACGTCGGCTCGCTTGAATTTAGCAGACGGCAAGGTCTTTCTTCGTTCTGGTGGCTATTATGAGCATGTATTGCGCAACGTAGCTAAGTACTCCTCTGGAAGCTTACCTTTGTCTTGTAGCGAAGGTCGTTCTGCTTGCTCTGGGAGACTGCTCGTCGAGCCCGATTTCCCTTGAGGATTAAAGAATGATCGTCCCGCGACCATCTTCGCTTGCGGGCGTGCTGGCTGCGCTGAGAAAGACAGCTTGATTTGGTTTTTCTTTTCCAAGGCGGTGCGTGCATTCGTCGAAGTGTTTAGGCTCTTCCTGGCTGCCGGTACGGGTAAAGATGGACGCCCCCCTCTGGGCGCCGTCCCCTGGCCCGTAGATTTCTTTGCCACGTGAACTCGTTGTGGAGAAGTGGTTGTGATCGCTGAATTGGGGCCTGGTGTGTGAGACGGACTTGCAACGGCTCCTTCAGTGCGATCGTTATAGTTTCTGAATGCGCTAATCAACGCGTCCGACTTGCGACGTTCTTGGCGAACAGGTATCGTCGTCAATCGTTTCCCTGGCCTCGCGTGGGCCGAGGCAGGAAGATCATCTTAAAGTGTCTCATTGAATGTGAAAGTCATGGATGTGGAAGACCACCATCGCTCACTCTTGCCATGTTTCCCAGAAGCATCCTGCGTTCCATCTTCCTTATCTGCTGCGAGCCTTGGCCGCTTGTTCGTGGTGCCGCTAGGACTAGGGCTAACGCCAGAGGCATTCCTCGCAGAGGTCGGCTTACGCTTTTGAGGGAGAGTAGGGGGCGAGCTCATCAGCTCATCGCGCATCTCTTGCGATGATTCGAGTATCTCGTCTTCGGAGGGCGTCCCAAGTCGAGAATCAGAGGGATCTGTGCTCGAGGCTGATACCCACAAAGTCAGACACGCTTGATGCTCGAATGTTGAGTACACGCACTGACTATCGCCGTCCACTGTGGCATAGATTTCGAATGCCGCGTGCCCTGATCATTACCAGACATTTTAAAAATTCAAAAGAGCATGTTTAAGGGCCAACGAAGGGTGCGAAAGTCAAGTGGTCCGGATAACGGAAGTACTTACAGTAATAAGTACCAAGCCTTTAACGCGACTTTGGCGCCGGAGACCATATGGACCCGGCGTGGGCGGCACGCCGCAGCTTCTTCAGTGCTGTCCACACGAGTCTCTCGCCGTCCTATACCACGAGCTCGAGGTCTTTGCGACGGGCAGTCCCTATGGAGAAGTTACCGCCACCGTCTGCCTATGCGGCGCAGCTACGACGAACAACATACCCACGACGTCAAGCAATCCTACCTGCACTCGCAGCCCTCGCGTGTTTCCTTGTTATTGTTTACGGTTTTGCATTCGGCCAGGGCATAGATTTCTGGAGAGCATATACTCGCGACAATCTGTCTGCAGAGGCGGCGACCGCTGTCGCTCGTTGTAGGTCACTCCGCGCAGGGCCAGGTCCTCCGTCAGACTTCGCCAAGCGCACCCGATCCGACAGGTATGTTCCTGGCACCAAGCCCGTGCTCATCAAGAACGCGAAGATATGGACTGGAGAGAGGAATGGCACCGAGGTCGTACACGCAGACATCCTCATTGCCAAAGGGATCATCAAGGGTATCGGCCAGACCGCGCGTAAAGCCCTCAACGCGTATAAGGACGATATCGAGGTTGTTGACGCGAAGAACGCGTGGGTCACACCTGGGTAGATAACACCCTTGTTTTGAAATGTGCCTGCATTGGCTGATGCGATCTAGTATCGTCGACTTGCACTCGCACCTTGGTGATGCTTCGAGCCCTGAACTGGACGGTGCTAGCGGCGATGACAATTCCCTTAATGGCCCCATTGTCCCGTGGCTTCGTGCATTGGATGGATTGAACACTCATGACGATTCTTATACGCTCTCTATTGCTGGTGGGGTTACTACTGCTCTCGTTCTTCCTGGCTCTGCGAATGCCATTGGTGGGTGAATCGTCGCATCCATGTCCCTTCATTGCCAAACTCGGAGCAGGAGGACAAGGCTTTACTATCAAACTCCGCAAGACTGCCGAACGGTCGCCGTCGTCTATGCTGCTTGAGCCGCCCTATCAGATTAACAACTCGTTCCCCGATGTTGACGGTCCCCTGAGATGGCGTCAAATGAAGTGAGTCGACATGTTGCGCATACCAGTATCAACTAATAAACTCTTTCAGACATGCTTGTGGTACGTGATGTTCACTGAATGTCCTGCCATTTATGAATGTGTTTCTCTAACGACAGGAGAAAATCCGAGTACGTTTTGTCTGCTACAAACCGAGTCCAATGACTCACCAGCTTTCAGGTCGCGTTTATGGTAACACCCGTATGGACAACATATGGGCATTCCGCGAGGCGTACGCTCATCCCTCCTGTAGTTTGCCCGTGTCTCATTGTCTTGCAGATACAACAAGGCTCGCGAGATCAAGGTTGCTCAGGATTCCTATTGCGCCAAAGTTGAGGAGGGCCGCTTCGACGAGATAGCGCAGTCACTCTTCCCTCAAGACCTTCAGTGGGAAGCGCTTGTCGATGTGCTTCGAGGTCATGTAAAGATCCAAATTCATTGCTATGAGTCTGTAGATCTAGACGACATCGTTCGGGTGAGCCGCACGTTGGTTATGAAGATAAGAAAGGGCCTAAATATGCCGTCCTTATTCGTAGCTCTCAAACGAGTTCCAGTTCTCCATCGCGGCTTTACACCATGCGCATGAGGCTTACCTCGTGCCAGATTTGCTCAAGCAAGCATACGGTGCGTTCTTTCTCAACGACGGCTGCGGCGCTTTCTGATTTCAATTTTGTATTTAGGTGGTCCTCCGGCAGTAGCCATGTTCGCGACCAACGCTCGGTACAAGCGTGAGGCGTATCGCGGCTCAGAGTTCGCGCCTAGTATCCTTGCCCAACATGGACTGAAGGTCGTTATGAAGGCAAGAGTGCTAATGTATCCTCACACGTACGATGCTCACCTCGCCATAGAGTGACCATCCTGTCCTTGATTCTAGGTACCTCCTGTACGAAGCCCAGCAGGCTTATCTGTACGGTCTGCCTGAGAATCTTGCTATCGCTGCCGTGACGAGGTATGTATAGTATATTCATGTACTAATTCGCAACTAATCGAGTGCATAGTACCCCTGCGGAGATTATGGGAATGGGCCATCGAATTGGCCTCGTCAAGGAAGGCTACGACGCTGGTATGTTATATACTCGATTTAGCTCATACTGGATGCTCACTCCCCTATAGACCTTGTCATTTGGGATAGTCACCCGCTCGCGCTCGGGGCAACTCCAGTTCAGGTCTTCATAGACGGTATCCCTCAGATCATAAAGCCCTACGTCACTCGCAAGCCGGAATTGTTCCAACGTACACCAGAGGTCCCGAATTTCGAGGAAGAAGCCAAGGCCGCGATTGAGCATGACGGCTTGCCCCCTCTTGAACCAAAGAGAAGCGAGGCCAAAACTATCGTCTTTACCAACGTGAAGAGTGTCTTTACACTCTTGGGGTCCGAGGTCGATGAGCATTTCGCTGCTGACAGCACCGAAGATTTTCGCTCAGTGGTCGTCACGAACGGCACAATTACTGCCATCGGCGGTGGCGGCTTCCTGCCACAGTTCACCACCACTCCGCTCTTCATCGATCTACGCGGAGGCTCAATCTCTCCTGGTCTCACAACTTTCGGCTCACCGCTAGGGCTTGTCGAGATCGACGCGGAAGCATCGACCGCCGATGGCCTCGTCTTTGATCCCCTTATTCAGCGCGTGCCATCGATAATGGGCGGCGACGCAGCGCTCGTGCGTGCTGTGGATGGCCTGCAGTTCGGCGGACGAAATGCATTGCTGGCGTACCGTTCTGGCGTGCTGAAAGCGGTCACCGCTCCCGTCGGTCGCCGCTTCTACACGGGCTTGAGCACGACATTCTCGACTGGTGCACTCAACAAGCTTGAAGAGGGCGCGGTGCTCCAAGATGTCAACGCTGTGCATGTTACCGTCAGGCATTTCGGGACGGCCCCGAGTGTGAGCACTCAGATTGGAACGTTAAGGAGATTACTCCTGAGACCTCCTAATGGCGATGCGGACCAGCGGTTTAAGGATATCTCAGAGGTACCTAACTTCAGTTCACTGCATTGCTGGAGACTCATCACGCAATGGAACAGGGAAAATCAACGCTCGTAGTAGAGACTGACAGCGCAGATATCATCGCCACAATCATCCTTCTAAAGAGAGAGGTGGAGCAGAAAGTCGGCAATGCGATTCAGCTGACCATCGTGGGCGGTCTCGAAGCGCACCTGCTTGCCAAAGAGCTAGCTGAGGCGCATATTGGCGTCATTCAGATTCAGGCGCGACCTTTCCCTGCGACATGGGAGTGCAGGCGAATACTAGCTGGTCGTCCCTTGTCGGAAGAAAGCTCGATTCAGGTGCTGCTGAAGCATAACGTCACTGTTGGCATCGGCATCAAGGAAGCATGGGATGCAAGGAATACTCGCTTAGACATTGGCTGGGTGCGTGCAACCGCGGTTCAATCATAGACAGACGCTAACTTGTCCTTTCATGTAGCTCGCCATCGATGCCGGAGGTGAAATTTCCCGAGCTCAGGCAATGGCCATTGCTTCAACTAACGTGGAGAAGCTACTCGGGGGTAAAGTTGAAGCCGCCTGGGCCGGTGACCTTGTTGCCACCGAGGGCGGTGATCTACTGGACTTCAACAGCAAAGTCGTTGCTGTGCTTTCCCCTAAGCGTGGGGCCGTGAACTTGCTTTGATAATACCGTATTGAGTTCTGGACTGCATGACTATTACCCCGGTGTTATATTTATAGAAACGCGTTTGTGGCTGCATTACTTTCGTGAGGCACAGAGATGTCCCTCTGTTGCACTCAGAGTGAAGAGTGTTTGGACGTTTTCAGAGCAAAGTCCAGTGCGCATACTCTATGCAGAATACATGAAGCTAAACAGACTCTGATGAGAGAGTAAGCAAAGCAGGTACCACTTATTCCGCGTGAAAACATACGTTGGAGCAGGTTGTTGAGCTTGTTGACGCGCGATGCGACACTGAGGTCGATTGACTTGTCGCCGAAGTCGATAACGATACCACCGAGGATAGAAGGGTTGATCTTTATTATACAGCCAGGGTTATTCATATACACAGTACGTGTATTAGCAAATGGCAAGCACGTACCTTGTTGACAACCTTCAAGCTCTTGGCATTCTGAGCAGCCTGGGACTGCTTGAGGGTAGCCTCCAGGCGAGACTGGGAATCGCGAGGAAGCGGGCCCGCCGAAGTGATCGTCACGGTAAGCTCGCCCTTGTGTTGCGCGACAAGGTCGTTGAAGCCCTCGATGACACCGACGGTCTCATTCAGACGACCGTTCTCCGACAACACCGCAAAGAGATTTTTGGTCAGGTCAGAGAGCGGACTCTTCTTGGTGGTCTCCGTCTGCTTGAAGAGCGCCTGGAGGCCGGTCGCGCGGTCGCTGGCAGAAAGAGTGGGATTGTGCACGAAGGTGTCGATCTCAGGGACGTTCTTGATTGTGGACTCGATGGTGCTTAGCTCGCCCTGGACCTTGTCGAGGTCGACAGGTGACTTGCTGAGTGCAGCGGAGAAGATAGCATTTGAGTACTTGAGGGCGATGCTGCTTGCCGCACGGCGTCCCAAGCTGGTAGACACAGCAGAAGTACGGAGTGATGAGCGCAGCATGACGAGATGAACGGCAGGACGTCGAGGACGATAGGGAAACTGCTCAACGCGTCGTTGGCGAAATCCGACTGCGTCCCCGGTAAACGCCGTGCGGGCGATTTCGGCTTGCGCGCTTAAAATCACACCGCTCCTCCAGATCCCGACATACAGGATATCCTCCAATGGCCTGATAGTAATAGCAAATACTCGAGTACATATCGTATCAATGCGCCGCATTCCCTGGCAGCATTGTGCTAAAACAAGAGCTCCTGCTAATTTGGACCTGCGAATGCGGAATATCAATGTTTAAACGTTTAACGTTTAACCCTCGCTCTTGCAATACCGAAGACAGCAAGCTTGATTACCAACCACTATGACATACCCACCTTTCGTTTCTGAGCGGGAGAGGAAGCCTGGATGCACGCATGTCGTCCTTATCGTAACCGGCAGCGTAGCCTCCATCAAAGCGCCACTTATCGTTGCTGAGCTGCTGAACGTTAGTGCCCTTGCTATTTTCGCATGATACAGGTCTGTCAATGTTCGTCACAGTACCAGGATGTTAAGGTAGAGGTGGTCGCAACGAAAGCTGCCTTCACGTTCTTCAAGCCCGAAGAGATACACCACGCAGGATCACGAGTATGGAAAGATGAGGATGAATGGACGGTGTGTTGATTTTCGTGGCATTGCTTGAACGAGTTCTCACCGCAGCGCAGGAAGGTTATGAAGTTGGTGACCCTATTTTACACATTGAGCTGCGTCGCTGGGCGGACATCGTGCTTGTGGCGCCATGTTCAGCGAACACTTTATCGAAGATTGCCCATGGCTCTTGTGACAACCTGGCAGTACGTTAGCGTATACTCTTCGCAGCAAAATGGTTCATGCTTTTCTCTAGACATCGCTCCTGCGAGCTCTCGCGCCAACAACGCCGACGTACGTCTTCCCAGCCATGAACACTCTGATGTATCAACATCCCTTGACAAACGAGCATCTCCGGATAGTCGAAGAAGTCATCGAATACACGGTAGTTGGTCCCATAGGCAAGCAGCTTGCATGTGGCGACGTAGGTGAGTGCTGCGTATACCCTTCTGAGAGTGCAAATCATAATGTCGAACAGGACTAGGAGCAATGACCGAATGGAAAGACATCGTACAGATAGTTGTCAACAGGTTTCAGCTAAAACGTCGTCAGGACGACACAATACAGTCGTGACATGTCCTTCACAGAGATCGACAAATCTCATACATATAAACTCACTCCGAATCCCCTCTAGGGGTCTTGCTATCATAAAATATCCACCAAACCCCGCCTGGGAGAAATAATTGCAGCTACTTTGCTCGACAAGTCGAAGAGGTTACCGCCCACGGTAGCCACGAGATCGTCATGGCACTTGTGCATACCGAGGAGCTTTTCGAGGTTGACAGTGGCCAGTGCGATAGCCTCGTGCTTGTTGAAAGAACCACCGGCCTCAAGTGCCGCCTGCGAGCAGCACATCAAGGAAGAGATGTAGATATATCAAAAGAGACACATACCCATCCGACATCGAATCTAGTGTTTCTGGCCTGCCACGCTTCGGAGACGCCGAGAGCGACGGTCACGTTCTCTGCACGAAGTACAGCGACAGAGTTCTGCTCTGATAGAGGAGGACCAGGGAGTCTAAAAGCAGGCATATCAATATGGATTATTCATCAACGGAATGGCAGCTACTCGCATCCGTCGCTGCTCCCATGCAAGAGGGAATGGCCGCGAAGGCGCGAGGATGACGCCCGCTCCCGCCTCTGCGATTTCTTTTGCAAGGAGATGCGCCTCCGTCGCGCCAGAAAACACAAACTTCAGCTGCACGTCCCTCTCCTCTTCGATTTCCTTCTTAAGCCGGAGCAACGAAGCAATGGTATCGGCATTGTGGACGTCAATGACAAGCGGGACCTTGCCACCCGAGACCTTCGCGAACCAGTGACCCAGCGCACCCTTGCCGTGGCCCTTCAGCAGCCGGCGCAACGTCGCGACCTGCGTGCTCACGCTTGGAAAGCCGCCGTGAAAGACTGAGACATGCAGCGCAACATCCTTCTGGATTATTGCGCCTTTCTCCAGGGAATGGAGAGCACTCGTCGAGAACGCAGTGCTCACACCTGCGAGGAAGCCTGACGCTTTTGGAGCAGTGATCCCACCAGTGACTCCGGAGCGGTAGGCGAGTCTAGGTGTCCATTCAGAATGCAGAAAGTACAGCAAAACCCACAACTTACAGCGCGTCTCGAGTAGTGAACTGTAGACCATCGATAGCGTGTATAACGGCGCGGTCCCCACCGATAATATCTGGGACGTCTGCAAGCAATGGGTCCAAGACGTAGCCATCCGCTGTATCTGCTTCTGCCTGGATTTCCTGCAAACCAAGGGGAGAGCCGAAGGACATCAGTCCGGGCGAGATTGAGCCGCCTTGTAAGTCGATGTGTCGTGCCTCCTGCCGCATGAAGCTGTCACACGCGGTGTCAGAGCCTGCACATACGACAACACCACCTTGAACGACAACGACGCCGGGCGACGCTTGCGGGGTGAACAGTGCATGGATCTTGTGCATCTCCCTAGTCAGGACCTCACTGACATTAGTGAAAACCACAGTGTCCTTGTCCGAACGGTCCGGGAGCAAGGGCGGCAAGCCGTTATACTGTAGCGTCTTGGCCACCTCCTCGTCAAAATTGGGGGTCTTCGGCACATGCTGCAGTTGCTCGGGCTTCTTGTGCACGTGCGGCGTCGTAATCTGAGGAATGCCGTCAATCCAGACCTCCTGAGGGGTCGCGCCGAGGGCCAGCGGATGACTGTCCCAGAGGACAAGGTCTATAGATGTGCTAGTCAAGATACTTTCAGTCATTGGAATTAGGTTGGATTAACCTCCATCATATCCTTTCTCGATGAATCCGACACGGTGGTCTTGACCGATAATCTGGGCAGGGGTACCGGTGACGGACAACAGCGCAAGGTTGGCATCAAGGCCGTAATAGTGCGCCTGCTGAGCTTCATAGAGCAAGAAGCGGGAATCTAGCACCGGGTGGTCCGACTACTTCGAGGTCAAAATATGACCAGCTGGTTCAATGGAAAGACTCGCCTTCATTATCACCTGCAACGAGTTGTTCGCCAAGATCCGTGGCGCAAACTCCGATCCGCGGTAAGACTCGCGCTTGTATCGTGCGTTGGTCGCAAAGAGAGCGATGGCCGGAGGATGTCCTGTGGGATGAAGGCCTAAACAAATAGAGTTAAGCGATAAGTGAAGGTAACGCACCATGTGCCTTCTTCAGGGTTTCAGGTACCAGATATGTCTCATGCGCATGATGGAAAGCCGCGATAGAGAACTGGAATTCGTTAGTGATCTAGTGGCGGTAACGAGCTCAGGCAAAGTAGTCTGTATTGTGTATGTCCGAGGACGTACTCGAACCATGTCGTCCAAGTCCACGCTCTCGTAGCAGTGATTATGGACCTACGACTACGGGTCAGTCAAAATTGCTTCCAAAATGCATGACTACACAGACTTTAACGCGACCCCGAAGTACGTCCACGAGAGCTTCCCACTGATAGTCCTCGGGAAACTGTCCAGCTAAACCTGTCCAGTCTCCCTCTAGGGCTTTAGCGCAGTACTCGTCCTGGGCGATCTTAATTTCCCTAGCTTTGTTGTATCTACAGAATTGAATTCAAGTGTGAGCAGCCTCGAATAGGATAGTCACTTACGCTTGACGGAATGCCCAAGTAGTGTCCATGCGAGTGCCTGAGTAGACTCGATCTGGAGCTTGATTTCAGCTCTGAGCTCACAGGAAGTAAAAAGTCGTCCTACCCGGGTTTTCACCTGCAGTGTATTGGTCGGTACGTTAGGAATGCCTCACCATGATGACCGGTTCTCAACATACCGCAAGCATGCCTACGATAATGAGATCAACTACAACTAAGTTTTCAAACGACTTACTTCATCTGTCTGAATCTGAAAGCCCTGTGAGGATCATATTCTGACGTGTTGGTAGAGTACGGGTTCTCCAGTAGCATCGACGTGGGGGAACGCTCCGCCGTCGGCCGAAGTTTGATCAGGATGCCCTGCCCACCTGCGAAAGTTGTTGGACGATATACACTAGTACTTTATCAAACCAAACTGTACCTATGGCGTTCGCTGATCCGGGCAGGACGAGCGCAGTAGTCACGCCGCCTGAGATGCTGAGACGATAGGCATCATCACGCGTGTTAAGCCCATCCAGAGCGCGAAGCCACTATATGACCACGAGGTCAGTTTGAGTGAGGCTAGAGCTGCTGTATACGGCTGCTCACGGGAAGCACTGGGCCTTTGAAAGAATTACCATCCTGAGAACCGCCGAGTAGAGGAAGGGAAGTAACCGCTAAATGACTGTGCATGTCAACGATGCTATATGATACGTGAATAACTCCCGTAGCAACTCGAAGGATTATACGCATACCCTGGTGAAACCCATGCACCATTCGCATCGACCTCGACTAAATCCTCGGCTCTGATACTTGTGAGGGCAGCCTTGTCGATTATTCCAACACCTTTGATCAAGCCGTTTTGCAACAACACGTCGCCTTGGAGGACTTCCAAGCCGTTAAGCTTTCCAGTCCAGATTTTCGCGTTCTGGCACGCATGCTTGAGATTATACGCGTGCGAAGGGCCCTAACGAACGTACCTTGATCAGGGTAGCTTTCGTCCCTGGTACGAACCTGTCGGAGTGCTCTCTGAGGCTAAAGTCTTCCGGGGGCCCAGGCCTGACGTTCAGCAGGCGGCACTTGTCGAGAATTTGGTCCGCATGGACGGGTGCTCTGACGGAAGTCTTTAGGTCGACTCGTGACTGAATGAGCGTCCACTGCGACACCGCGAGCAGGACTATCGCGGCGATGGAAAGCTTCCACACATTCGTGCGGTGCAGTATGACTTTTTTGGCTTGCTGTTTGCCAGCTGCGACTGGGAGAATGGGAGTGGACACCGGGTGGCCTTTGTCAACGTCCATGGCGAGTAAGACCGACGCCGCCAATGGCTGCACCCGGCATTGAGCTTATATATGCAGCTGGGGCCTGGGATGATAGGAACCACATGCGCAGCGAGTGAAACAAGAGTGCGTGAATTTAGCACGCGTCGATGTGCTCTCCCATGCTATCGCTCCCGCTCCCGCCTGCTATCTCCGGCACCGCGCGGCATCCCGTCCCATAAAAATAGACTCGACGCCGTCCGTCACGATTCAGGCTGACGCAGAGTGCGCCCCTCATGCAGGCCTCAGCTTCGACGTCGACCAGGCCTGCCGAGGATCTGAGAGCAGAGAATTCATCCGGTCCTGTGAAACCACCTGTCGTGCAACCAGGCATCGGCAATAATGTTCTTGTCAATCCATGCCAGGTACGATGGCTCATCAAACGGACCGGCCTGAGTTCACAGATACCGAACAGAGAGGCAACCCGGTGCTGGAGTGCATCAAAAATGTTGGCAAAGAATTCGGCGATGTCGTATGCGACTACCAGGTTGGACGAACGACAGGTGTGCTGTACTTGAGGTCGGTGGGTCCAGGTTACCTTCACAGTGGGTCTTACTGTCAGCAGCTTGAGATATCACAGGCTCCATCCGGAGTATATACACCAGCGGATAGAACGTTTCGGGACCGCCTTTAATCTGAGGATACTTCTCATCCTCTGTGATGTTGTAAGTGTACATTCTGCTGGACTACGGAACAGGATCGGTGGCTCAGTCCTTGATCCTCAGAGCGAGCATCAGGACTCGATACGAGAATTGACAAAGGTACGGCAACTTGACTGCTCCAGCGGGCTGCGAACTGACTGTAGACCGTAGACGTGCTTAATCAACAATATAACCGTTGTAGTTGCTTGGACGTGAGCAGGCTGTACCACGCACTCAAACTCCCATTAATCAATCTTCAGGCTAGAGGAGGCTGGTTTTTACCTCTCGACCTTCAAGCAGTTTGAGCACAAGCCTCCGACACTCATCAAAGAGCGCGTTGACAAAGATTACAACTCGATGATGCGAACAGCGCTCACGAGCATCAACAAAGTGAATAAGACCGACATCGAGATTTTACGGACCTCTATTGGGGTATGTTCTACATACCATCGTTCTCTTGGACATCCCAGCCTCAGACCTCCAAAGAGTTTTGCCGACATTGCGAGCGCATCGTCTGAGCGGCTACTGCAGCTGCCAGGCTTCGGCCAGGTCAAGGTGAAACGTATCAAAGATGCATTCGAGAGGCCCTTCCGGGGCAGCACGTCGAGTGTTTTGCCATTTGCCTCACAGAAGCAGCCGGACGGCCCCGGTTCTTTCGTTGATCAGCGCCTTGCTGCGAAATATAAGGGCAAGCAACGGGCGGATAATAACACAGTGGCCCGCCCACCTCGAGAACCGAGTCCCGTATGGGATCTCGAGCTCGATCTAAACACGCCCCCGCTAGACGAGCAGCACCCACCTCCGCTGTCTCAGTCACAGAACATTGAGAGCGAGAATCCGTCGCGAAAGCGTCCTCCGAGCCCCGTCTGGGACATCGAACTGGACCTGAATCCGTCCGACGTCGAAGAGCTGGAGACAGCACGCAAGCGGCACAAGGGCGAGCATCCTGAGAACGACGAGAGTGGCAACGATTTTGGGGCGACAGATCTGCTAATTTGATGTACAGTAACCTACTTACTAACTAATGTATAGTGTAGAGTGGTCCAGGTGTGCTACAACAAGTTTATTATAGTCCAAATAGCCATACATCTGTAAGCTGATACAGGAGGCAGAAGGGAGAAATGAAGAACAGCAGGGGGATCGGAGGACGTGCGACCTAAGTTTCTAAGCGGTCGGTTTGCGGAAGTAGGCTCGCAGCCCTGCAGGACGCGCAGAGCGGGACCACTTCAGCGCCGCCTCCCGCGTGTAGTAGATGCGGAAGGACAGCTGCTGCAGAGCCGCCTTCACACGCGACCTATCCAGGTGTGCCGCGCGTGTATCCACTGCAAGCAAAATGTTAGTAGTCGATCGTATACCAACACAATACTAACGTACCAATTTTCCCATGAAGTATGTCGAGAGAGTGCTTGATGCGCTGCAATTCTGTCTTTGGTTTGTCTGACGAGACTGAGGAAGCGCCAGTAACAGTGGGCTGCGAGTTCGCAGCAGCCAGCCGCTTCTCCTCCTGAACGTATGCGGGAATGTCGTTGAACGCACGGTTGAGGATCTGCACGTAGCACAGGAGGTCATCGAAGTAGTCTTCCTCTTCGGCGCCGCTGACAACGTCGAACATCGCCTTGGAGCCACCCATGGGAGACACAAGGTCAACAATAGGCTCGAGTGCAGGAAGTGATGAATAAGGCTGCTGCGAGATTGTCAGCTTGTGATCTCGAGTGGAAGTACGTAAGTCACTTGCCTCTCGAAAGACACGGTCACCGAGTAGCAAGCTATGAGACAGCCATCTCACTACACGAGCCATCGGAGGACAACTGCCGCAGAAGAACGACATTAGATAAGCCTTGTTAACCGGAGTCAGCCGCTCCGCGAAGCGCAACGTTCTCATGCACAGCACAGGCTCCTGCGAGCGAGAGGACGTCAGTAGATGCTGTGGGTAAAATAATCGACGCACCATATCAGAGTAACCCGACGATGAGCCAGGCATCACAGAGCCAAGGGCATCAATAGCGACCATAATCTCCGTGCGGAGCTCAGCGCTACTTGACGACTCGAGGCCGACGAGCAGCAATGCCATGATAATGTCCGGGACATCTTCGGCGTGCACGGCGCTGTTCCTACGAAAACATTAATTCTTGTACCTGACACAAAACATGAAGAACTCACTCAGCGAAAGCCTTTGCAATATCAGTTATGCGAGACAGATGTTCGGAGCGAGTCTCAGACGAGAGGCGTCTCTTAGAGGCGCCCACGCAGGCGACCAGACCGCAAGACTCGAGCAGCCCTATATTCGCGCCGAGCTCTTGCAAGCAACGGACTAAGGAGTTTGACAAATTGCATGGTGTGGAGATGCGGGATGCCAGCACAAGCAAGCAGACATGAGCTTGCTCACTAATGTCATTATCCTCGGACAGGCCTGTGACACAGGTGCGATTTCAGTATATATGCGGACAAAGGGGAAGGAAAATGCAGACCGAGGGAGAAGAGCCAGCTGACCAGACTGGGCTTGTTGACCTCTTTACATCGTGACAAAAGCTGCATGGTTAGTAGGCTCGACAGTCGAGCAGTGTCTAAACGAGACCGATCGTTAGAGAAGTAGTATGCGCGACCGAGGACAAATACACACCTTCACTTTCGACAGCTGAATGGAGAAGGGATAGGACGCGGTCGCTCTCGATATCGCTGTCGCTGCAGGGAAGACGCACAAGCCCCTCCGAAACACCCTCCATAACAGATTCAGGGTCGCGATCGGGCTCGTCCCACAGCGAAAGACCCTTCACTGACCGCTTCTTGCTTCTACCCTTCGATAGCCATCCCTTGCGATCCTTGGTAAGGATCTTGCCGACGGCTTCGCCCTGTTCGTTTCCAAGATGCTTGGTCGCTTCGATGATGTCCAAGTCTGCCGGTTCCTCGCTATCGCTATCATCGTCCTCAAGGGCAGTGTTCAACGAGAAGGACTCCGACTTGCGAGACTTCTGACGCACAACCTCCATAGCGGCGCCCTTGTCTGCCCACATGGAGTCGTTTTCACTGTCCTCTTCGCAGTCCATCTCCTTCAGCATCTCGTCCTTACTCCTCGCAGGTGTCTCATCACGTAGGACAGCTTCAGCGCGGCGCACGCCCTCCATCCCCTTGCCAGACTTCTCGTGTATATTCTTTTCGCGGAGGAGTTTATCTAGAGGGTTGACAGCTGGCTTTTTGGGAGGGCGTGCATGGCTGAGACGCTCTATATCGGGCGAGGAAGAGCGTTGCTTTTTGCCTTGAACAGGATCACGACGCCTGAGGCTGTAGCGCGAGGACGGACCAGCTTCTGCCTGTTGGCTATCTGTTGTGGGCGATGGCGGAGTAGTCGAAAGCGGAGATGATGTAGTAATCGCTTGTCTTGGGGGAGGGGTTTTAGCACTATTGGACAGTTACACCTCACATTTATCCAGATAATGTGGAGACGTACCGTGTAATTAACCTGAGGGCTGAGAAGGACAAATCGCCGTCGTCGCTGTCACTAAGGCTTTGCAGATCAATCTCGTCGTCTGAGTCTCGCCGCTGCATCCTCTTAGCAGCTTCTAATGCCTCTGCCTTGATCCTTTCAATCCACTGCCTTGTTTTTGTCTCAGTGTCAAGAGCCACAGGGGTCGGTGGTAGTGGCGAAAGACGGTCTCCGACTTCTACGGGAGGGGGTGTATGCGGTCGGAAATGATCGACAAAGGGTTCAGCATCCCTGGGTGTAGCACGAGTCGTGTGTAGAGGAGGGGGTATCGAGATGAGGCCAGAGGATGGCTCTTGGAAATACAACTGTTGGCTAACCTCCGCCTCGGATTCGCTGTGGCGCAGAGTATGGTTTCTTTTGAGCATATCAGCAGCATCAGCCATGTCCACGTCTATATCTATTTCCACGTCCAGTGGTCCTTCCGCGGGGAATGGTACGATCTCATGAGTGGGAGAAGACGAGACTGGTGATGTTGAGGGACAGTCGGAGGGTGGTGGCGAACGCTCATGACCAGAGGACTCAGCAGATACTTCTAGACACCATTTGTCAACGTTCTTCTTCGTGGTCTCTGCGCCACGCAGTGCTGACTTCGGGAGCACAAGTTCCTGTTCGTCGGATAAGCTGCTGGGCACTTCCTCCACATCGGCCTCTTCCCCAGAAGCATGGTATATGGCGGGCAAGTCGTGCGATGAAAGGCGACGTCGTTTAGAAGACGTTGAAAATGCACTGGGGCTGGAGGGTATGTCCGCATGCGTCCTGCCCTCTGTAAGTTTGGGTGGCGATGGCACGACGCGAGGAACAGGGGCGCGAGTCAGCGCCGCGTTCATCGCGTTGGGATCCGGTCTAAACATTTCTTCGTCGGAGGTATCAGACCAATCGAGCTTGCGCTTCCTACGCGGAGGAAGCTTTGCTGTGGAGGAACTGGCTTCTATCGCGGCGGTGGGCTGCGCCCGTCGCTTGATAGTGGTTTTTGCACTGGACTGTGTTGATCGAGAATTGGTGTGCTTTGGAGCTGCTGGAGCCCTCGTCGGTACAGTCGCGTTAGATTTAGACGGCGCAGATATAACGGCTACAGAGTCACTAGTGTCGTCAGAGACTGAAGCATGAGAACGTTTGGTCTTAGCCGAGACGAGGATGGGATCGTCGCGGCCGCTAGAGGAGATCGATATGGCGCCCTTATCTTGAGTGGATGGTATTGTTTTCTTCTTTGTGGTTTGTTTTATACCAGGCTTAAAGCCTGGTTTCTTGGCCGGGGTCGGCTGGGACAAGGAGGGCTGAGATAATGCTAGTTGAGACGACGATGGGGTGCACATCGACGATCGCCGAGCGAAGAAATCTGTTATGGTCCTGTTCCCCTTGTCGGTCTTCTTTAGAGGCTTGCTCATCGTGAGGAAAGACGAAAGCGGATGTCAGAACAGCAAGGTTAATGAACATAGGCCGCCTCCGTGACGCGCTGCAGTCGATTTCGTCGCAGTCACAGTAGTGACGGTCGCGCCAGTGACGCGGACCCCAAGAAGCGCCCACCGGATGAGTCGCTGCACCCGGAGGGCCCTTGACACCGCTCTGTAACCGAGTCTGCGCCCGTCCGCGCTGTAACGGAGCAGCTCACTCTAAGCTCCATAAGACGACGCTACGACGCCTGGCAAACGCAGCAAGGCATATTTACTTTGGACTTCTGAGCAGGGTTACATGACATGCCCACGCGCTATGCCCAGAGACAACACATTGTCGGCTCAGTACGCTCTATGCTGTCTGAATCTCTGTCGCAATACCTAACTATATACGCGATGGATCATAGCTCGAGCGTACCCTATATCAACTATATGCCATTTCGTTCTTTCTCTCACCGGCCTTCCTGCCCTACCTATGTCGCACCATGTTCCAGTTCCAGTTCGCGAGGCCGCGTGACATTGAGCCGAGGCTATCCTTGCGATTTTGGTTCTTCCTTATCTTCCTCTTCAACATCAACAGTATATGGGTACATGCGACGGAAGGCCCGGTGCAAGGACGGTCAGTTGTACTGGACTTCGTGGGACAAGGTGCGCTCTATGATTCTCACACCCCTGGTGGCAGCTGGAATCATACCATTACGCCGCAGCCTCACCCCCAACAAAACTACATCTATTGTGCATCGATTTTACCATCATCATCCTCAACATGGTTCTCACTACGATCGCGTATGAGACGTCGCTGCAGTCAGCAATGCCAACCGATACCCCAGATCCGCTATTACCCATACCCCCGCCACCCACGTCTAGCACACCTCTGTTCTCCGCCGATGAGGATGACCCTCACAAATCTGAGACACTATACGAACCACCCTATGTCCTAAATCTGCGTATTAGCCATATATACCGCAGGCTCAGGAGTCCTGCGCCGCCACCACCTGAGCAAGAATTGTCTTCGGACGACCTTCTACCATTGCCAAATACCACCACCCCTTGGCATCTGACCAACACCCTTCAAGTCTTGATTCGGGCGAGAGCACGGGCGAGACAAAGAGCGCGTACAGAAGCGGATGCTCGGAGAGAGCGAGGCGTGGAAGACAGAGATCGACGTACAGTCCCCGGAGGGCTGGATCCTACGTGATTGTTTTGAGTGTCTTGCGATTCATATCTTATTATCTGTTTGCGATGGTGCACCCTGCTTCTCCTTCGCGGGCAAAAGTCACCACTTGCGCTTCATCTGATTGTATTAAGCCTGTGATCGGCATTCGTCCAAAGTATCACTCACAGCTTCGCGTAGACATGCGCCAAATCTCGCAAACTCCTCCTTGCACGCGTCCTTCCTCATGTCGGCATACGTTGCCAAAATACACCTCCCGTAGTCCGTGGCTTGTGCGGCGCAGGTGACAGTTGAATGTAAGGCAAGCCTTTTGAGCGGCGTCGCAATAGAGGAAGCCGCGGGGGTCGACATGCTCGGTTCACAGAGTCCTCGGATCTCTCCTACCGAAGGGCGGGGAGGTAAAGTTGAACCCATAAAAGAGGACTGCTTGGCGCGGTCGCGCGCTCACGCCACGTGGCTGTCGAACGCCCAACATCCCGAGCGCCCTTTCGCGTCCGCCGCGAGCTGCACTGTCTCTCGTTATCATCCTCGTCCACTCACACTCGCCGGTGTGCAGGCCAATAATCTACTCCTTTCATGTCTTTGTGACGGCTTGTCTTACTTCAATAATCTGGTCCATATCTGTCGCAATACAATCGACTCTCCGACCGCTCGCTCTCCACCAACAGAATGCTCAACTTCAGGCTCCTCATAGTCTGCATATGTATCATTATTGGCTTAACTCTATATCTCTTCTACTGGAACCGTTTTGTTGGTTTCGTCTTAACGCGTATACTCCGAGTACTGTTCTGGAGCCAAGGGAAGACCGTCGGAAGTATATGGGTAGACATAGGTGAGTCTGGGCAAAAACTGGAAGCGGCGCGCAGTGTAACATATAACATAGGTTCTGTTCACATATCGATACTCGCTGGAAGAATTCTCGTTAAGGATGTGGCATACCATTCGAGCAATCAGACTATACGGATTGTCAAGGGTCAGATCAGTTGGCGATACTGGATTCGCGTCCCCGCTGGCGAAGATGATCTGAACCACGCTCGTGTGGTGGGGGAGGATATTGGGAGTGTGTAGCATTCCCCGTTCAAATTGCTAAACTGCAACTAAGTCACGTTCTACTAGTCAATGCGCAGAAGGCTCCGCTGTCATGTCGCCTGCACGTTTCACTGCAAGGCCTGGAATGGTTCATACATAATCGCATCGCCGCATACGACAATGTCATCTCTGCCATGCAGACTAATTTCCCTAATACGTCGGAAGAGGCACATGTACGAATGAGCGGAGAAGGCGTTGGCCCACTCCGCAAGATATTCAGCTGGACGTCGGCTGTGCCTGAGTGTATGTGCCTATTCTTGGTATTATGGTCTGTTCTGACGTCCTACTAGCAACACACCTCGGACCTCCGGTATCACTTCTATCGTCTGTGTACAGCAAAACCCCTCAGGTCTTCAGGAAGTGGTCTGCTAGCATTAGAAAGCAACTCCCGAATTTAGACCCCAAGGACCTGTTGCCTATTGGCGCCGAGATTACCAAGGGTGCCATTATGATTGGCAATAGATCCACTCCTGAATTGCTTGTAGCGGAATTTCGCAGTACTAGGGGAACGTACGGCATTGTACCTGTGAGTCTGCCTGCGAGATCATGAGCGATACCTACTTATCAGCTCCCTCAGGCGCGTTCCAAATATGACCAATATAAACAGGTTTTGCAGCTAACCTTCCAGAACGCTGTGGTCTCCTTCGCCGAAAATCAGCACTTTGAAGGTACTATGGTCGAAATGGGCGAGAAGTTGCACTCAAGCGTACAGCAGGAGATGCAGCCTCTTCGGATATTCTCATATCTCTCATTCTCCTCATTCGTCAAGCTTTGGCGTCGCCAGAAACTCTGGACCGTCGTCAGCCGTCGACAGCACCACAATCCCCTTCTTAATGCCTCCAGCTGGTCTAAGCGACGTGCTCGAGAGGCGAATGAGGAAGAGACTCCTCTCGGAATTAACTTCGTCACGCTGGAGTATGCGAAGGAGGCGAAGATTTTGGAAGCGCCCTTCCTGGACTTGTTATATTATGCCGACTCTGTCGGGGTCGTTCCAAGAGAGTCCGAAGTGGAGGATATGCCTCGGCTCACGGAGGATCCCATGGACATCGGAAATGGTGATCTGCCTCCGGAATGGGGTGTCGACCTCGCTATCCGAGGAGGTGTGCTTCGTTATGGGCCCTGGACCGACCGGCAGAGGGCAATTCTCCAACAGGCATTCTTCCCTCCCAGTTTCACTGACACCATGCCGACAACACCGTTGCGTCCGGGCGACGCAAGAGTCTGGACATGCATGAAGATGTTGGTTGAACTGCGCGATGGCGTGATACTTCAAATCCCGTTTCGTGAGCCATCCAAGGTAGGCCGACCGAACGTAGCTTGCAGCGTGAGACTAAACCGTGATTACAGAATTGGATGTGGGATGGCGAAGTGAACGTACCAAATCGGCCGCGGAAGCGCGAGCCAGCATCCATACACGTTCGGGCTGGGGATAGCTCCACAATCAGCTACATGATGCCCATGGTCGCCACCACGCGAGGTTACGAGCCAACCCTGCACGTCCATCTAGATACAGTGACGATCACATCTAGCTTGAATGACATTCGTATATTAACCGCGGACTCGTGCGTCGTAAGTTGACATGACGCTTCCTCTGCCTAGAATGGTGAACTCAATGTCTTAACCGCATTCAAAGGTCCGCGCAGAATTACCATCATCTCTGAAGTGGAGTGACCAAAGACAGTGGACGTTCGCAATTGCCCTCCGCCAGCCCGTCTTCTACCTTCTTCGTGACCACATCAATATGTTTACCGACCTCGCGAAAGACTGGGTGTCCGGGCCGCCGAGTAATTACGAACGCTTTATCCCCATGGTGTATAAGTTCGAGATCGATATACAGAATTACGAGATCAATATCTATGTGAACGACCACAATATCATCGACAAGCCGCTCATACGGGAGGAGAACGGTATGAAATCGCTACCCAATCCTCATCATTTGCTGAGGCTCACTTCACACGTGCAGCAATTCTTACGTTGTATGGCAAGAGTCTCAAAAACAACGTCATCGTCCCGATGACGAAGTTTAGACCAGGAACGACTGAAGTCTCTTTCTGGATAGAGAGCCCCAACGTCCAAGGCCGGCTGACACTTCCTCGGTGGAACACCCGTAGTCTATACGCTGCGCCGCATAGGAACAGCGATTTCGGTCGCATTGGCCTTCTTCGCCTTAATGCATCCTATTCATACTTGCCCGACGTACATCCAGAGAACATTGACCAGCTCAAACTTGCCTTCGAGGTGAGTATGGCAGCACTATACCATGGTGTCTAGTTATTGATAATTCGGTATAGGCGCAGGATGTGGTCTACAAGCTATATGGTTGGACCATTCGCCACCTTATGACCTTGCGCAACAACTACTTCGGCTCGTTCACTCACTTTTCAACCTTGTACGAATACCTCGAGAAACGCAAGCAGGGACAGCCACTTGGAGACCCGGTTGATCTCCAATACCGCGAAGGTGGTGTGAGTAAAGTGACCTCAAGTCCGATTATCTGAGATTAATGATCGCCCCTGCAGTCCAATGCTCTCCAAATCGAGTTGGATGCGTCTGTCACCAACGGTCTTGTCATCATGCCTGCGAGCTTGCGAGGCTATGAGAGCAGCCAGCACGAAGTTGAAGAAGGCGACATTGGTACTTGCGTTGCAATGTCCATCCCGGAGTTCCAAATACATCTGCGTAGTCATGAGTATTACATGGGTGGGTTTCCAAAGACTGATGCAATCTGGCGAGCAGCTAAATTGGTTCTACAGAGCTTGCTCTGAACATGGACACGGTTACCGGCAGTGTTCACACCAGTTGTTCGGAGGATCTGCAGCTCGCCCGCGAGTTGCAGCGAGACGCCAAAGAGACCCTCATTCTTGATGGTCTCGACGTAATCGCACACCGGCTCTTCGGCCCACAGCCGCATACTGCGACGTACCTTTGCATTTGGGACATACATATCGATCGCGTCATGGCGCATCTATCATCTACCGAGTCAAAGATATTGGCTGCAGCAAACACCGCTTTTGCCCTCAACTTCACTGACCCTCTGAACGCGCCCGCGCCCGAGTACGATATCCCGTCTGATCCTGATGGTAAGCTACCCTGCACTTTCCTATCCTCGATGCTAAGTTACTCCGTGCATTCTGCAGTCACCTTCCTCAAAGTTACGCTCGGTGAACTTACAGCTATTTGGCAAGCCGACAGTGCCGCTCTTGAATTCAGACTTCCGAACGGTTTGCGCATGGACAACAACGATCTTGCAGGAAAGCTGTATAGCAGTGTAACAAGTCTTCGCATCCCCGACGCCTCCATGAAAGCCCTTCTGGCGAAGGACGCTGTGTCCAATGGCTGGCACGAGGCGGCGTCGGCTGAGTTAGATGCGAACATCGATATCTATTCTGCACCTCTGGGCTGGCGCGAAAGAGCTCAAGCGCAAGCAGAGTTCTTGGCTGCACAAGATGGGCATACTTGCAGAGCACTGCTCCTCTATCTACCGGATCAGCCAGTTCCCAGTGACGCCCTAGCACCCGGTCGTGGGATCCTGGACACAGATCTGTATTTACCTCAGCTTAGGATCCCCTGCGCGCAATCATTTGCCCGAGCAAAGCAACAGGCATGGAGACGTAAAATCGATAACGCTGACTTTGTTACACCTACTGCTCCTCATATGAAAAGTCGATCTCGTGGGATGTCAGACTCAGAAGGCGAGGAATACGTTTCGGAGGCCGATCGCGACGCTCGTTTAGCGTAAGTCACTCCGTGCCCAATTTAGCGAGCGCGAGGCTGACTAATATCCAGGAGCTCTCGTCCGCCGCTCGTTCGCTTGCCAGATGTGGTGGACAACGAGGATATTTCCAGTGGTGACGAAGAGGACGACGACTCCACCGACACATACCATTCGGACAGCGAGGACAATGGAAGTCAGTAATCCTGAGTTTTGTGCACGCCCAATTGTACGCTGATACTTGATTTCGTAGGTGAAATGCATGCCGTTTGGCCCTCTGCGCATGACTACAATGCAGTTACTCGCCGCTACCAGTCGAGGTTCCTAACGCTTCCTTCCTTTTGGCATAAATCCCCATTCAGCCTCACATCGGTGCGCTCCCTTGTATCGTCTGAAAATATTGGCTAAACCTACACAACACAGGATCCGTCGTCTGCACGGCAATCCGCCTTGAGAGACAAATTGTATCAATGGGCATGCGAAGACGAGCTCGATCCAGAGCTAGAAGATGTTCATCTCGACTTCGACGATAGTTCAGATAACTCAATCGTTCGGATCACGTCGCACAAGCTGGCAAGTGTGCGGCTGACCCCGTTGGTGTTGCCTGCCGTTGATAGGCTACTCCATGACGTCAAGAGACATGTAGGTATTACAGTCCATTGAGTATCGTGTCCTGCTAAAGAAGTTCTTCCAGCAACTGAATTCTGATCTGCTGTTTGATACCGTGATTGCAAGACACATTCGTTCCTTTTCCACCCAGATCAAGGCAAGAAAGCAGGCATCCGCCATCGACCTCAACTTGTCCTCTCTACATCTCAACTTGACCCAGACGATTCCAGAGCCAGCTCCCACCGCAGAGTACGACCCATCACATCAGCACAGCAACCTAACTTCAGTGGATGTTTTCGCAAACGACCTCCGGATCAAGAGCTGCAAGATCACCTCGGAAGCGGGCATTGTTGAGCACCAGTGCCTCGGGGTTTCCTTGCAACGATTTGCCTGTGGTCTCGACCCGACGAACTCCCCGGACGTGCCGTGGCACATTCTTATCGGTTCTAGTAAGTTTGCACTGCTAGGCAAAGACCTCAGCTTGAGCCTCGGAAGTGTTACAATGGAGACTCGACATTCTGCCCCCGAGAATGTGGCGCCCACCATTCTCGTGACTCTGCAATTGGCGGCCGGGATACGTACGGCGGTCGCTAGCTACGCGGACTATACCAAGTTCTCCGACCAACAAATCGTGCTAAAGGCTATCCAACTCGTCGGGAGACGAGACGTCGTCGACCCACTTTCCACTACGCAGCCTTCATATCTAATTCAGAGTGGTCGGCCTCGCGACCTACGTGCGGATGTCGGTTTCAAGTACCTGGTCTTCCTCCGGAGATGCCTAGAGTCGCTCGCCGGCTCTGAGCGCCAAGTACTTCGGGAGGCATCGGCGCAACAATCTGCAGAGTTTTTCGTAGAAGATGCCATGGACCTGCTCCAAGATTACCTGATCCAATTTGGCGCAGATATGGGCTCGCTTTCATTCCCCAAGAACTCACCTCTAGAGTTCCTTACTGCTGAAGTTCTTCCCGGCGAAACGTCTTCATCGCTCGGGATTCGCTCTGTATCTCTTCGCTTCCAGAGAATCCACGCGGTGTACAGCTCTCCCGATGGCAACGACAGCGAAGTGCTTGTAGCGCCAGTCGTTATTAACGCGCGAACAAGAGTGGCAGAATGGTATGAGCCGCATATCGTGGGACCTCCAAAGAGTACGACAACACTCTCACTCAGCGACAAACTCGGGCAAGACATGCGCCATATCAGCGTAGTGATCTCTTTGGGCAACGTCGCCATTAACCTGTACCCTTCGCTCGTTGTCTTCGCGCAGCATGTTATCCGAGAAGTCAAACTTCACAAGAAGGCGCTAATCTCGTTCAGTCCGCGCTCCCCACCAGCCGAGAAGCCTGCGACTCAGCCGCCGACTCGGCCGCAGGTCACCTACATCGACTTCGTCCTTTCGACCAACGCGTTTCGTGTCAAAGCGGGCGCACAGAACCTTGTCATCGAGTACAGAACTTCTACGGTGGACTTCGTGTGCACCTCACTTGTCAAACCGCCTGTGGGACCAAAAGGATCGCTCGACGTGTCCATGAACCACTCGCTCGTATTCCGGGAGGCTCGCCTACAAGGTTGTGCTCTAGCAGACATATCGACTCCGGACGAGTATGCCATCTTGGCCGCTCTCGTCTTCTCAGGCGGGAGAGTCAATGTCCTCACACGGTACCAGGCAGATGCAGGTCCTTACGTTCGTGTCGCTGCTGGGCTAAATGGTCTCCACTTGAACGTACCGCGAAGTGCCATACGCCTGTACCGATGGGCTCAGGAGTGGAGAGAAGACTACCTTCCTGGCTTGGAAGAGACATTTCGAGCCCTGTTAGCCGAGCTTAAGCCTGATGCAGGCCCCGGTGTGCCCGCTGCGGCTCCCAGATCAGCGTCTATGGCTGTCTGGGTCCCTCGTAACGTGGATGTGACCCTCAAATCCTTCCGAATATCACTGCAGGTCATGCGAGGAACCTGGGTTGCCTGGGAGGTCGGTAGCATTATGGCTTATACAGCCGGTCCTGCGTCAGCCCGCGGTACTAAGCGTCATAACTACGGTGCCCAAATTGGACACCAAACGTTTATTATCTCCTCCAAGGACAAAACATCGGAATCTGTTCGCGTCAGAATGCCGTTACCTACATTCACCGCCACTGGCCGTTTCGATGGTACATGTCTCGACGGGCTCCTCTTGGTTGAAGCGTTCACGGTCAATGTCAAGCCTTCGCATTGGGACACACTGCTTACGGTACAACAAAAGTTTGGTCAAGACTTTAGTGATCTTGTGTCCCTAATCGAGCACAGCCGTCCTAAGCGAGCCGACGAGAAGAAGCCGTCGTCTTCACCGGGACTGAAGTATCACATACAAGCGAAGATGAAAGGCCTCTGTATCGGATTAGAAGGTGTTTCCTCTGCGATTCTTCTCGAGTGCAACCGCATCGGCGGTATGGTACTTCAGAATGACTCAGAGCTGAGTGGCAATCTCGAGCTCTCCGATCTTGCCCTGTCACTCGCTCCTCGATCGAGCCCCTCCAGTCCAATACAGTCTTTCGATAGAGGACGCCGATCTGCTTTCGTCATCATCGACCTAAACGCTGAGGTGGGCAATTCGAAGGATGGAAAGGGACAATCTGTCAATTTGGCGGTCACCAAAATCCATGCAGTGATGCAGCCCAGCTCGATTGGCCAGCTCGGAGATTTCGTCGATCATTTGCAGGTGCGACGCCCAAACTAAACTATGACGGATGTCCGGGGAACTGACTGGCTACAGGCTGAAATCTCTATCCGCAAGGAGCAGAGGGCGCAGGATATGGCAGAATTCAAGGAGAAAACGAAAACGCTCTTGCGCAGCCTGGAATTGACCATAAATAGTTCGCAGTCTGAGTCTTTGTCCTGGTTAGACAAGTACATCATCAACGTCACTGTCAAGAACGTCGGGGTGGCGTTCCCCCTGACAATCGGCGAGGACCTGCATATACCACGACCAGCCAGACCCGGTGACGCCGTAGTCCGTGCTTTCCTCTTCTCCATCAAGTCCGTATCATTCGGGACACACAAGGGGGAAACTGGTCAAGCTTCCATGAAAGGTTTTTCGTTCCAGTTCGTTTCAAGGTACGGCAGACCACTCGGGCAGACAAATATGTGCTGAGCAAATATCCCCAGGTTCCGACAGTCCGAGCCTCTTGACTTCATTGGCGATCGCCATACTACCCGAAATCGACTCATTTATCCCGAGATGACCGCCAAACTCAAGTCAGAACGACGAGCAAGTTCTAGGGAGCTGCGCATCGCCGCAGATATCGATGGTTTCAATCTTGACCTCGATCCGACCATACCGGACTATGTTTCCTCTTTGATCAACGTTTATCGTGAGGGCAAGAATCGTGTCGACCGGTTCTCAGGTGCCTCGACCCGTGGTCCAATGAAAGAAGAGTCATCTCCGGACACACCGCAACCTAGCGAGCACAACTACACCAATTTGTTGACCTCTCATATCTTCATGGCCTTAGCTTTCAAAAGTGGCAGGGTTCGTATGTTCAGCCAGGCATACAGCTTTTCGAGTCGACCTCGTGTCGTATCCACGCACTCTCCGGAACTTCTCGACAGACAGCTCGGGGAACTCGGCGCTGAGGTGTTCAAGCTTCCTGGTGTGTCTGTCTGGGGTGAATATCGTGCCACACCCGCCTTATCCAAGATGAAAGGAAGACGAGGCCCGATTGAGCCTTCAACCCTCATCTTCAAAAGCACGATTCATTCCAGTCAGAACACCCTGCGGCCGACTCTTCTCCCCTTCTTCACAGAGGTCATCAACCACGTAGAAGCCCGCATGAAGAAGACCAGCTTCCAAGACATGCACCGTCTACCCGGCCTCAGCTCCCCAATGACTCCGTTAAAACAGCTTGATCATATATCCGTGCCAGTTGAGCCTGTGTCCAGCATGCAGATCAGTCTCAGCCTGCGTATCGATCAATCTCGGCTCGAGCTGACTTGTCAACCGGATGTGAACGTCATCGCTGGGCTTCACTGGGATAGCGGAGGCTTCGTCGTCAATATCTCACCGGGCGCACATCGAGTAACATTCAGCGGTAATGTTGGCGGCTTGACCATTGGTCTGAAGCACGGCTTCCTGAGTGAAGACTGCCTCAGTCTGCATGCTCGTAATCTGACCTTCTCTGTCGACTTTGCGAAGGCGAGAGGAGCCACAGTCAGCTCTGTCTCGGTCGTTTGCGATACTGAATTCTCCGGTGGCGTCCGCTTTTCGCGTCTACAAGACATCCTCTGCTTCAAGGCGGTATGGTTAGATAGGATCCCTGTTCTCAACGTCCCTCCGGCAACCCCTGCGACCATGGCTTCTCGGACACCAAGCCAGCAAACCGCCATATCTACGATTTCCCAGAAGCAAGAGTTAACCACAGCTTTCTTGCTGCGCCTCCGGAAGGTGTGCCTGGACATCGACCTAGGACAATCGATCACCTCCACTCAGCTGAGCGTATACGGCACGGTGCTGAGGACAAAGGTCACTGAACTAGTCTCCGAGGTATCGCTCTCGGTGAACAAGTTACATGCGCGCGCGACTGGAAACTTGTCAGGTCGCGTGACCGTCCCCGATTTCTTGTTTCAAACTATCCGGAAGAAGGAGCAGGATGTGTTCAGGTCCAGTAAAAGCAACATGCTTGATCTTCAAATGATCAGCGGTCCTCTGGACATTGAGCTGGAGTCAGAGTACCAGCGGCTTCTGTGGTATAGGTATGTACTAGGCTTAATATACCACTAATATTTGTTGTTAAAATCACCTCCTAGGGCAGAGCCTTTGGTCGTTCGCATATACGACGATTGGTCCAAGTTCGCAGGACATATAGATCCTGAAAGCAGACAGGTACAGCTCGCTTTCACCGTGAACGGGACAGATGTGACGGCCATCATGAATGTCGGAACCATTCCCAAGCTTGTGTCGTACGCCAACAAGTTCAGAGCTACTCTCGATGCACAGAAGGAGGGGGCAAGCCGCGAGTCGCTCGCTTTCCGACGGTCCAACCCCGCCAAGCCGGAGAACCCTCTTTCGGACGTCGCAAATGCCATGCTTCTTTCCGCCAGGGCGAAGCTAAGGGAGATAGAGCCGGGGTTGGCGTGTATCATCAGACAGGGACTTAGCCTCAAGTTAAACACGTTGAAGCTCATCATCTTCTCTCGAAGCATGCGAGATCCTGAGCTCGCGCAATTCTTGGGTTCCAACCTACATGCTCGACTAGATCGCATAGTCGAGTCGGGGACTATCCCACCCAAGCGCGAGCTTCACCTTGCGTTCTCCTCTATCTCTATCTCCAAGCTGTCACATCTGAACCTGAGTTTGGTATCAAAGGAGGAGCCAGGCCTGGACACCGTGCGCTGGCTCAGCCTCCTCACCAAGAACGCGTCGGAGGCGATTATTTTTACGTTGCCATTCATGCACATGCGTATGTACAGCGAAGAGTCTGTCGATGACGGCAATCGTGTCCTGCTGTACGACTTCAGCTCCAAGTTCACGACGAAAGAGGGGATGAGGGACGAAGACATCTACATCACGCTCAATATGTCGCTATACGCCTGGCTTACGATCCTACGCAAGAGTTTCGCACGCGAGATGGACCAAGTACAGGCGTCCACAGACGTTCGTGTACCGCAGACTGGATTTACGCAGCCGCCGATGATACGGCGGAGCAGAGTACCCGAATCGCTCACCCTCCCCGACCGCGATAGCTCGCCGCCTGGAACGCAAGTCTTGGACGAGTTGGCGCAATCACCAAAACGTGCAGGACTGTTGCACACGAAGACCACGCCCGCGCGACTCCCTGTGTTGTCTCCAACGACAGAACCGATGATCGCGTCACCTACTGCACTCTCCCCCGCCTCTACGAGCACAAGCACTGGGCAAGCGAGCGCAACACCTCGCACTAGTACACTGCTTACGGCGGGTCCTGCGGAGGAAGGTAGCTCGCGTGCACCTTCGCCCGGACTTCCGGCGAACAAAAAGACGACGACAATTTTGTACCGACCACGCTCACGGAGGATCGAGCGGCTCACGATGCGGCAGCTCGGCGAGGCTACCCCCGACGTCATGCACCCGTTCTTCATGAAAACTGCGGGTTTTAGCTTGGAGGACTCACTTCCACAGTACGTGCACGAGTATGCGACGATGCCCACGGAGGAGATCATGAAAGTACTTTTGAAGTTGTACAGCAAGCAGCTGCGGGTGGACACCGTTGTGGCTCCTAATGCATAGAGGACAGCAGATAGATGTCAGATTATTCGCACCTAATGAACAACAAATATGCACGCCCTTTCACGTAGACTGAGTCTAACAAGGACAGGATGAGAAGTATTTTGCTAGCTGCGCCACCTATCTTGCAGCGTGTGATCCTACATTGAAGACGCTGAGTAGCGCAAAGCAGCCATAGAGCAGTCCGACGGGATATGCGACGAGCAGCCTCTGCTCGGACATGCGCAGAACGGCGACAAATATGTTCGAAGCTGACCATGTGCACCAAAGCACCGACAAAGTAGACAGCAAGTAACCCAGCATGCCGCTGCAAACGTAGGATTAGGACGTGCGTAAACACATGCACCTGAGTCACGTACTCTAGGGTGACCATCACACTGAGCGCGCCGACACCGACCATAGGTAGCAGACAGTAGCCGAGGACTGAAACGACGCGATATGCATCAATGCCTTGCTCCGACATAAGGTTGAGGAGCGTGTATATGGACGCGGAGCCAAGGAGGCCTACTCCGTAAATGTAGCCGAATTGCGGTTTGCCCGACTGGAGGACGAGTGAGTCTGGAAAGCATGAGAGAGGTACATATCAGCTTGTACTTACAAAGAGCAGGAATACTCCGAAGCAGATGATGAAGAGTAGAGGTCCAGCCAAGTCGGCGTCATCCATTATTCGCTCGTCGACGCCACGGAGCGGATTCAGGACGGTTAAGGACTTGGCACGGATATGGAAGAAGTTGATACCAAGCTCTGTCGATGGTCAATGTCCCAAGCTGTACGTTTAGTCCTGTCACGAGACATACCCTCTAGCAGTGGTGGCTCTCCCTCGAATCCACCTGTACCAAACGCGGTCCACCACCCTCCGGACTGGATGTTCCCGCCGTACCCCGGAGGCACGCTCCCTTGCTGCTGTTGAATAGACCCCTGCACACCTGGATTGTCGAGGCTGGACCGCGAGCCTGGGTAGAAGGTACTGCCCACGGGGCTCGGCGCGTAGAATTGCAATGGTACGCCTGGTTGTGCCATGCCCGCTTGCCCGTAGTACTGGCTCTGTGACGCGCCAGCTCCGTACGCGCTGTTCCCCTCCTGCCACATAGTCTTTTAGAAGTCGGGTAGAGGCAAAAGAGAGATGAGAGAGATGGGGAGAGCTGCGAGCCTGAATGCCGTGTACAGGGCTACGTGGGTGACGGTGAGCGCAGACGTTCAGGCGCCCAGCCCGTGGCGAAAGCAGCGGCAATTTGCGATCGAATTCTGCCTCTTTTCCTTTGGCCGCCATGGTTAGTCGCTGTACTTTTTGTCTTGTGAGATCTGGTGCTGATGAGACCTCATGTTTAACAGCCTCAGAACGAGTATATCGAAGAGCACATTAAGCGGCATGGTCGTCGGTTAGACTACTACGAGCGCAAGTGAGTTGCACAGAGGCTATCGGCGGAGATCAGTCTCATTAAACGGCTTGCAGGCGAAAGCGCGAGGCTCGTGAAGCGCACAAGTCCTCTGCTGTCGCTCAAAAGGCCTTCGGTCTCAAGGCCAAGATCCTTCATGCCAAACGCCATGCTGAGAAGGTACAACTCAAGAAGACACTCAAGGCACACGACGAGCGGAATGTCAAGCAGAAGGACAACGCAGTCGTGCCCGAGGGTGCCCTCCCTACATACCTCCTAGACAGGGAGGGGCAAAAAGATGCCAAAGCCCTTTCTACTGCTATCAAGGAGAAGCGAAAAGACAAGGCTGCGAAATATGCTGTACCACTGCCGAAGGTCAGAGGTATCGCAGAGGACGAGATGTTCAAGGTCATGAGGACTGGAAAGAGCAAGAAGAAAGCGTGGAAGCGCATGGTTACGAAGGCCACATTTGTCGGCGAAGGCTTCACGCGGAAACCGGTGAAGATGGAGAGGTTCGTCCGACCCATGGCTCTGCGCTATAAGAAAGCGAACGTTACACATCGTACGTCCATCACCCGATACGAGGCGTTCTAATATATTCAGACCCACTTCCAGCCGATCTTAAGGCTACATTCCAGCTACAAATTCTCGGTGTGAAGAAGAACCCACAGTCACCGATGTACACTCAGCTCGGGGTGCTTACGAAGGGTACAGTCATTGAAGTTAACGTTTCCGAGCTGGGCATGGTTACCGCTGGTGGAAAAGTCGTCTTCGGAAAGTATGCGCAAATAACGAACAACCCCGAGAACGACGGATGCATCAACGCTGTTCTTTGTGAGTGTCTCTTCACTATCAAACTGCTTTTTACTAACTCAATCCCGTAGTGGTTTGATCTTTTTCTCCGTCTCATTCCTGGCATAGTTCGCATATTATGTATATCACGCTTGCATGTAACTTCTCGTTGTATGAATACCTTACAGGTATACAAATCGCTGAGTGAACAGAGGGCTGTGTCAACGGGCGCCCATGAGCGAGGATTGGCGCCTCACCGACTTTCGTCCACGATCTTGACCAGTATCTGACCAGTATTCATCCTTCTCTTCTTACAACCAGTCTACTCTGATCGTTACCGGCAGAAGTCACTCAGCATGTCCGCGTCACCTGCGCCTCCATCTGAGTCCTCAACCCCACCAGTAAACCGCCATGCGCTCACAGCAGTCGAGAAACAGAAGCAGCAGCTCGAGAAGCTGCTCAAAGACCCGTCGAAGTCAGCCTATGTTCCTCCTCCACCGAAAGAGAAGACGATAAGGCCTCCGCGTGAGATGATGAAGAATGTGCAGGGCTCGAGTGCAGGCGCAGGTTCGGGCGAGTTCCATGTGTACAAGGCGAGCCGGCGGAGAGAGTACGAGCGACTGAAGCTAATGGATGAAGAAGCCCAGAAGGTGTGTAACAACATCTCGTAGGCTTAAAATGGTGTTCTGACTCGTATCTGCTGGGTACAGGAGGCAGAGCAGGCCGAATTTGAGATGAAGCGGCGTGAATGGGAGCAACAAGCGGAGGCGAAGACAGCCAAGAATCGGGCAAAGCGGCAGAAGAAGAAGGAACGCGCGAAGGTCAAAGGGGTGGACAACGACACAGCTGGTCGTGCAGAGGCGAACGCGAGTACGTCGGCCGCGCCGCTGAAGAAGCGGAGACTAGTTAACGGGCAAGAGCTCGTGTTCCGGCGGCCGGGGGAAGAAAGTGACGATGACGATGACGATGATGTCGGGCCGCAGCCCAGTGTCTCGCAGCACAACGAGGCGGCACCGGGGCAGCCTCCTACTGTACCAGTGGCGGAGGCGCAACGAATAGTCATCCACGAGGAGGATTAAGTGTATCGCGTATTGTATGTATACCCATTTGCATTCTATTGTCCTCATATTTACTATCTCGCATCTCTTGCGTTAGCTCAGAGCCCTTCTGATATCCGCAACGCGATATTCGCCCCGGCCGCTCTTGAGATAGTGGGCGAAATACACCAACTGCCAGTCCCGCGAATTCGCAGTTCGTTAGTGCACAAATACCGTCTCCTTGACATGACCTCTACCCGATAGATTTGCCTGGCACTCATTGTCATCAGTCGCTTACTGCGAGCCATTGCAGAGGGCGTGTTGGTGCATCTGTTTTCGGGCCTACGCTGTGTGGTGGAACAAGACAAACGGGAGCCAACATCGCCAGATCTGAGATTGAGGAGTCAGTCATAACGCAAAAGGAAGGTCTTCAAGAACACCTAGCGAAGCGTCTCAGAATATGCTTCCGACTGTGATTTTCTCCGTGTAATATCAGCACATGTACCTCTGATACGGCTTCACTTGGATGCAATGCATGACGATATCGATACTCTTACGTTCTTAAACGTCCTGGGACGCCTCCATGAGCCACGAAGGTCAGACCTGTCACAAGGCGTGACTGATAAGGTCCCAAAGCGGCCGAATTGCGTCACGCATCAGGCTGTCACGGTCCGTATTGAGCCCTCGTCCCTCCTCCCATACAAGGCGAACATAAAGGTAGCGTTAAATCAGCAACCGTTGTCGGTGTGCAATCTCACAAAACACAATGCGTTATGTAGCATGGATGTAGACGTACCGAGCGCAAAGCCTGCGTCAGCGGCGCACAAACGTGCCAAGGCAGTTACGTCCGAGCGGCGAGCCTCCTCCCTGCCGCCGAAGAACCCGCGGCCGACCCTTCCGGTTGTAGGTTACGTCTACGACTCGCGTATGATGGGCCACAGTTGCATTAGTGGACATCCAGAGCAGCCGGAGCGCATCAAACGCATATTCGACGCGTTTCGAGACGCAGGGCTCATCTCTAAGATGAGAAAGATACCCATCCGCGAGGCCGAACGCGATGAGGTCCTCATGGTCCACAGCGAAACCCTTTGGGACAAGGTCATGGCTGTGGGTGGTCAGTTTTTCTCTCATATATCGTACTGGCTTTCGTTCTGATGCCATGTGCTCACTCTAGACATGAGCACTCAGGACATCGTGGATTCGGAGCAGTATTATCAGGATCTCTCTCTCTACGTCAGCCCGAGCACCCCCGAGGCAGCGCGACTCAGCTGCGGAGGGGTTATCGAAGTCGCTATGGCCATCGTCCGCGGTGATGTGGAGAAGGCATTTGCTATCGTTCGTCCACCCGGTCACCACTCAGAGCCGGACGAACACATGGGCTTCTGCTTCTTCAACAATGTTGCAGTGGCAATAAAGGTGATACAGATGTGGCCGGCTTTCAAGAAAATTATGATTCTTGACTGGTGAGCTTCTTAAGCCATTCAATGTCCATACGCGTATTGACGATGACTCGGGAACTAAAGGGACGTGCACCATGGTAGGTGCACATGTACCTGTTTGTAAGCTCGATTCAACGGCTTGTTTTTCATAGGAAATGGTACGCAGAAGGCGTTCTATGATGACCCTGACGTGCTCTATGTTTCTCTACATCGTTACGAGAACGGCCAGTTTTACCCCAATGGGCCGTTCGGAAGCCTTAAGTCCTGTGGAGATGGCCCGGGACTCGGCTGGTGGGTCACGGCGAATATCGTACCCGCAGTGACTAATCATCACGTAGCTCCGTAAATATACCATGGCCAACAAAGGGCATGGGTGATGCTGACTATATCTACGCTTTTCAAAGGATCGTCATGCCGATCGCCATGGAATTCGCACCTGACCTCGTTATCAGTATGGGTTTCTTGGTATTATTGGAGCGACACACTCAGACGCGTCCTGTTTAGTTTCCGCGGGCTTTGACGCGGCGAAAGGAGACGATCTCGGCGAATGCGAGGTAACGCCCGCTGGCTATGCCCATATGACACACATGCTTGCAGGCCTTGCACGGGGAAAGATGCTCGTGGCCCTCGAGGTCATATTACACTGCTCCCACGCAACATGTTTAACTGATCCAGCCAGTTATTTAGGGAGGCTATTGCCTGGACGCGATCTCGAGCTCCGCTACGGCTGTTGCAAAGGTGCTAGTGGGCGAAGCACCCCCAGAGCTGCCGCCTATGGTGGCCTCGGATATCGCTACAGAGACCATCTACCAAGTGGCAGTGGAACAGAGCAAGTACTGGAAATGCATGGATCCCAAGGCTGTCGAGCCTCAAGAAGGTGCTATGATTTTGTTCACAAGTGCAGCGGGCGCTGATGAGGATGAACAGAGCTTCAGGAACTTGCAGTGTCGATACCAGGTCAGTTTACCCGTAGTTCATCGCCGGCTATCGACTGAAAGCAAGCTGCAGAGCTGCTGAAGGCGCACCGCCAGAATTATTTATTCAAGACTCACAAGATGCTCCAGGTACCGTTCGTCACACAAGAGTTGACAGACCGGTTCTTCTCGCAAGTCACTTGCACGTGAGTAAATCTCAGTGGATGTGCACATCAAGGTAACGAGTTTATTCTAGACCCGATATTATGGATAACGAGACGCTGGTAGTTTTCGTGCATGAGTTGTAGGTTGTGCGGCCTCGTATAAGTCTTGTTCACTTAGATGGCACTGTAGTGGTAATTTGCGCGTGGAGCTAGAATCTGTGCTGATGTGCAACCCTCGTGAGGAACATTCATACATGGTTCGTCCCCACTCCTCTTGTCTTGTAGCGTATCTAATGCTCTGCCAGGTCGATTTCAGCAGACAGCTTATAGAACAGGTTGTTGGCGCGGGCCATGCGCTGCTCGATGTCAACCTTTACCCCAAGCCCGTGGCGCAGCAGACTAGAAGGGTAATCAGTCTCCCTTTTTGCGTGGGAACGTAAGCTGAATGTCTGCGAAGCGTCATCATGACGGCAAGGAGGATTGGTCAACGGACGTCATGACATATCTCTGGGATAACTATATCCAGTAAGTGCCACTCGTCGCCCGTTAATGCGCCGCACACTGATGTCTGATCCAGATTGACCAATGCCCGAAAGGTCGCCCTAATTGGCCATGGTCCCGGCTGTGCCGGAATTATCGACCTTCTGCAGAACCGCTGTGAGTTTTCCAGCGGGTTGAAATGGACCCATCGTCTCTGACAACCGCTACAGCCGCCAACTGTGTGCGACACGTACAAGCCGTTGTGCAAGTCGTGGGCAACTACACCGTCCCAGGTGTGCCGCGGGAGCTGCCCGAGGTATCGAAGTGGTACGCGCAGGCACGTACATCTCTCTTCTCACGAAAACTCTGCCACTGAATGGCTGGCGCAGCACTCGATGGTCGTGCTTCCGAAAGAGCACAGAGCGATTCAGGATCAGCAGAAGTTTACAAAGAGGCACGGCAAGATTGTTATCTCAGGTTCGTGATACTCATGCATGTCTATGTTCGGCTTTTACTGACATGAGCATCAGACGAGTCGAAACCCATACTGCTGATCACGAAGCACCTACCTAGCATACTGCACTTCGTGCAGAAGCGGCTAGGTAATACTGAGAGCAAGGAGAACCAGGAGAACCAGTCCAACGGTGCATAGCCATGGCATGGGCCTCCGTCTCTCGTCCAGCCAGGAGCGACATCAGTCTCCCCACCTCATCGGGGTCTTATTCATCGATGTACATATGCTCATTTCATTTCGTCTCAACGAGCAATCTCGATATTTCGTGGTATACTATGGATGCTTTCTAATCGAAGAAGTCGACTCTGCCTCTACGAGGCGAGATGACGGCGACGACTTTGCCTTCGAAGCTCAAGAGGTCTCCGCCAGATGTCGCGACGAGGTCGCCCTCATACAGATCCAGCGGCACACCGAGCAATTTCTCGATATTTGACGAGGCCAACGCGAAAGCGGAAGCCCTGGAAATTGTCCCTGGAGCGTTGAGCATTTCCTGCGCAAATACGGGCCAGAAGGGTCAGTTTAGAACAACTATTCCAGGATGAGCTCTACGTACCCATCCGGCATCGAAGCGCAAGTTGCGCACTGCCCACGAGCTCATGAAGGGCATGCCGCTCGTACCTTGCGGGCCTATACCGACTGTCACGCCTGCCTCGATAAGACGCGCGATGGCGCTCTGGTTCGTCACGGGAAGGCCCGGGTTACTAGAATCACATTAGCGACAAAACTCCCATTCAGTCGCCGCTTGCTTACACTCGGCGGTAATCCCAGCTGTACGCCAAGGGCCTCGGGGGTGACATGATGACTCCTACGTCTGCTCCCGCGAGTTCTTCGGCCAAGAGGTACGCTTCGCCGCCGCCAAGGATGGTGACTTTCATGGCTTGTCCCGTCTCGATCTCGATCTCCCTTTTTAGTAGGATGACGGTGGCAATTATGTCTGCGTTGTGCGTCTCCACAACCAAAGGAATCTCTCCCTGCGCAGAGGTAAGTGATCATGGTCCACCTGTGAGCGGTGCTTCGCGGCACATACATTGACAGCCTTCTTGTACCACTCTTGTCCCTCGCCTTCCGGAGGATGCAACAGTATGCGTCGAAGCGCGGCAACCTCGGTACTCACGCTCGGGGTGTCGCCATGCGTGAGTGCGACATGCAAGGCAGTGACGTCGCTCACCACAGCACCTAACTCTAGTTTAGTGGCTGCACCAAGAGAGAACGCGGCGCTGAGCCCGCCGATGAAGGAGCCTTCATGAAGAGGAGGCGAAACGGCGATGGTAACTCCGTTACGGTAAGCAAGCCTGCGGAGTAGCCGTGAGGTAAGGACAAGGGAGACAAGAGAGAAGGGCATACAGTGCGTCCCTCGTGCCAAACATCAAACCATCGGCTGCCTTGGGCAAATATCCCGCACCGCCTACGACAGTAGGTGGGTCGCCGGCAAGAAGGTCATATATCGGACCGTCCGTCGTAGAGCCCTCCATGATAATCTCATGCAACCCAATATTCGAACCGACAGTGACGAGACCCGGCTGAAGGGACCCGCCCGCGAGATCAACGACTTCTGTGTTTTCTGCAGATAGGTCCCAAACACACACTCCGCCTGGACCTGCGCACATAATCTCTGCACCTTTCTCGGAAACAGATATTACCACAACGCCTGGTAGAGAGCTGGCGTGGGCCTCGAATGCGTCATGGATGTCGCGATGTCCATCCTTCAGCAGAAGACTAGACACATTCGCGAAGACGATGGTCCCTGTTCTGACCCTTGACGGCAGTAATGGCGGGAGGCCTCCATATTTAACGGCATCCGCGGCCTCCTGGTCGAAATTTGGCGTTTTAGGTACACTTTGGGCTGCTGTGGGCTTCTCAGCGGTATGCGGATCCACGAGCTGGGGAATGCCGTCGATGAAGACTTGCTTAGGTGTTGCTCCAAGTGCGAGTGGATGGCTATCCCAGATGACGACATCTGCAATACTGTCAGTCCTCGCGATGGATGAAATTGACAACACATACCTGCATCGTATCCTGTGTATTCAAATATTTTCAGCATGTCGTAGACCAGAGTTTGAGCACCAATTCACCAGGCTTGAGATATCCAATTCGGTAGTCCAACCCAAGAACTTTGGCCGCTGTAGTGGTGACAGAAGCTAAAGCTATGTTGTCTTCAAGGCCATGGTAATGCGCCTGTGCCGCTTCATGTATAAGGTATCGTGATACAATGGCATGGTAGTCAGACTGTGCAACCGGTGTCAACCGATGCCCGCACGAAGGCAATTCTATTCCCCACCTTCATTACTACGTCGATGTCACTTTCCGCTAGCACTCGAGGAGCGAATTCGGAGTGGCGCCACGCCTCCCGCTTATACCTGTGTTGTGCGTGAGTAAGAGTAGGGCGACCACGGTTGCTGCGGAGTCATACCTGGAAAATGCGGCGAACATGGCTATGGCCGGCGTATTCCCTAGTTTTACAAACTCAGTGCTCGATTGTGACGGTCAGACTGCGGCTAGTATCACTCACCATAGGCTCGCTTGAGGACATCGGGTACGAGATAGGCCTCGTGGGCGTGATGAAAAGCGGCTACAGGGAAGCGGAACTCATTAGACAAGCGGACGAAAGCGTCGATGTCGACAGCTTCGTAACAGTGCGTATGGACCTAGGAAGCTTTATCGCACTACGCTTTGTCACAGAGAGAACTACGGGACTAACCTTGACGCGCCCGCGCAGAACGTCCACCAGTGCTTCCCATTGAAGGCTTTCCGGGAATAATTGCCCGTCGAGAGAGGCCCAATCGCCCGCTATAGCCTTCGAACAGTACTCGTCCTGTGCTTCCTTGATCTGACGTGCGGTCTCATAGCTACGCAGACTATTGGTGAGAAAGTAGGGAACAGGAATAATCCGGACCCTTACGCCTGACGGAAGGCCCAGAAGGTGTCCATGCGCGTGCCGCCATACACTTGCGCTGAATTCAATTGCATTCAACATGTTCACTGCGACGTAGGAATGTCATGGCTTACAAGGATTTTCGCCTAGTTATCCGGTGAGTTCAGCGCAGATAATCTAGTGCCTCAGGAAACGCACCGCAAGCATGTCCACAGGATTGAGCTCGTGTAAGCTCGGTTTAAACTTGGTCATGATTGGACTTACTTCATGTGTCTCCACCGCAGAGGCTGTTCGTCTTTCACATGCGACCTGTTCAGGTTGAATGGTGGATCAACGAGCATCGCCGTTGGCGACCGCTCGACAGTAGGTCGCGTTTTGACCACGAATGCCTGGCCGCCTGAGCTTGAGATTCAGCTTAGAGCATACCGTCTCGCCCAGATACACTAACCAATGGCATTGGCAGAACCGGGTAGCACCAGTGCAGTAGTTAGTCCGCCTGCCACTGCACTCGCGTAGCCTGAGGACTCATCATCAAGCATAATGTCAGGAAACGGTCAACACATGCACTAACCTTCGTCATGGGTATTCAAGGCATCGAGGGAACGGAGCCACGGCTGGATGAGACCTTTGAGAGAGTTGCCGTCGTTGACCCCTTCTAGAGCCGGCGCGGGTTGGTCTCCCAAGTGTGAGTGAACGTCGATAATGCTATGGTTTTGGAGGCGTTATGTTAAGCTCAGAGGAGAGCGAATGGGTCGCGTATCGTACCCTGGTGTGACCCATGCACTTTGAAAGGTGAATAAAGCGCAGACATACGGATAATGGACTGGGCATACCCGTACGCGTCGATGGAGATGAGGTCGCGATATTCGCTTAGTATGTCGTCGGCTATGGGACCAACTTGTCTGATGATACCACCGTCGAGCAAGATTTCCCCCTTTAAGACTTCGAGTCCTTGTACCCTCCCCGTCCAAATGGTGGCATTGCGTACAATAACGGGTTTGGTGCCTTTCTGAAAGCGGTCAGAGACGTCGCGACCGTAGAAGTTCTCCGGTGGCCCTGGTTCGCTATGCAAAGCGCGACATTTGGCGAACGTGGTGGAGGCGTGAATTGGCACGTGTACAATTCTCCGGTTCTCGTCATTTGAGAAATGTGCAGCGTGATAGCAGAGGTTGAAGACCAGGAAGACCACGATAATGACCAATGAAGAGGTCCTCCATGGATGCACGGCGTAGTCGAGAGGCATCACGTACACTAGTGGTCGAGTATCATGGGCCTACAGCCTGACAAGACCAAGTTATCGAGGAGCTGCAGACTTGCCACGCTATGGGCTGCGGTCGTTGTCGGAGAAGACTGAGCAGTACGCGCCCAGCGTCCAGTGATGGCGTTGCGCACGCGCAACTTTCCCCGAGACGTCGCTGTTGTGTACACTTTTTTCTCAACTCTCACGCACGCAGTCTGTTCCGCAGTTGGCTCCAGGAAAAGGCTGTGTATTCCGCTAGAGAGATTACATACAGAAGCGGGACCTGACGGATAATTTCTGACACGTATGGTGGATATTCACTTTATTAGGATGGGTTAATGTCTCGGCACGGGAGGTGTGATACGAGGTAAGCATGAACGACGCCCGCTGGGGCGATGGACTGCGCTTGTGAGAGGATCAGGCTTTCGAGACATGCGCCAAGACTGAAACTGGCGGATTGCTGAGTCTGCGAGGGTGTTCCTGGGGGAGGGGTTGAAGTGATCCACGGCGCGGTGATGACATGAGGCGGCATGGCTGTGGAATAGCCTGGCGGCGTGGGCTACACGAGCCGCAAGGAAATGAGAGCTGGAAAAGTTGAGGTGGTCGCCGCCGCAAGCAGTTTGGCACCACGTTTGGCGTCGTCGACCGTGGACAAAGGCGAGGACGGTTGATTGAGGCGGCGCCGACACCCCGCGCGCGCTTGACTGGCAAAAAAAAGGCCGAGGGAGGACGCCGGCGTCAACCGCGGCTGTACTTATGTTATTTATGTTCCTTCTTCGAGACTAACCGACGCTCTCACCCCGTGGAATGTCGTCTGTGGTGCTCTGCCCACCTATTTAATCCCCCATCTGGACGCTTTCCGTTCCTTACAGCGACTCGACAACCCGCGAAGCAATTCAAGGCCAAGTCTGCCCCGAAGCGCACAGCCAGCACTGAGAACAACAATAAACTTCTAGGTGCGTGCGTCGTGACAACGTGCCATTGTCCGCGTGTCTGACGCGCCCGTCCTTCGCGGCTTAAAAGGCGTGCTCTTTGAAGGTGGTCCAAGTACTCTTCCTTCGCCGCAGTGCCCTTCATGTTCTTCTCAGTCGCCCGGTCGCGACTCTTTATTGCATTCGCCTTTTTCTCGCCCTCCTTAGTCCAGGCGCATGAGAACAGATTATGTACGTCAAGAGTGCCTTCTCTGGGGTGTAGATACTGACCACATGCAGTCACTTCATCCGTATCTTACTGTTCACCCCCTGACAGCTTGCTCGTTGAGCAACTCGATATCGTCTACTTCCAACGCAACGCATCAGTTTCTTTCAATGTCTCCGCCGCCAGTGTGGTAAGCATCCCCTCCTCAGTCTTCATGGCTTATACCAAACGTCCCCGCAGCTTCCGAACGTGAACGTCACCGCAAACCTCTTTGTCAACGTCTACGGCATGCGTCCCTATAACCTCACCCTAGATCTCTGCGGGCTCCTCGGAGGTGCACTCTGCCCACTCCCTACTTACAACTTTACTGGAGCCGATTCGATAACGCTACCATCTTCCATCGACATCTCCGATTTTCTTCCCGGCATAGCGTACAAAATCCCTGACCTCGAGGCCTTCGTGCAGCTGACGCTTACGGAGGTCGGCACCAACACAGTCCGCGCGTGTCTCCAGGCGACTGTGTCTAACGGCTGGTCGGTCCGCCAGAAAGCCGTCGAGTGGGCGACAGGCGGCATTGCATTTTTGGCACTCGCCTCCGCAGTTTTCTATTCGTATTTCCGACCCGACTCCCTCGCGCCAGTGCGTTTCCTCGACGTCATCTACCTCTTCCAATCCATCACCGCCTCGGCACTTCTCGGCCTGAACTATCCTTCGGTCTACCGCGCATATGCCCTCAACTTCGCGTGGGCTTTCGGGCTCTTCAGCCAGTCGGGCTCATCGTCCATCCAGACGTCGATTAACAATATGCGCCGTCTTACCGGTGGCACCGTCGACCAGTCCGGTTCGGGCGACTCGGCCATCTCGCTCGTCAACAGGAAACTCAGTCCCTACAACAATATTCAGAGTTTATTCGCCTCCCTGCCGCAGGTTGATCTCAAGTCGTTCGTCGAGAACAACGTCACACTTCCCGCCATCCAATCCCACACTCCTCAAGTCCTTGCTGACAGCTCAGACGTCGCCACCGTGACCCAGGGGTCGTCCAACACGCTCCAAGCCGGCATCCCCATCCATGTTAGTCTTCTTGGTATTTCGACCGGCAACGCCTTCATGACTATATTTTTCGTTACTCTCATATTAACCGCCATCGTCCTCTTTCTTCTCGGCACTGCCTGGCTATTCACACACGCGCTCACACACCATACAAGCTGGGGTAATACGCGCAAGAACCAGCTGAACAGCGCTATCGCACACTACCCATCGTTCGCCCGCGCATGGCTCTTCCGCACCGCGCTCGTCTGCGTTACACCTGTTTTCATCTTCGCCTTTTACCAGTGGACGCTAGGCGACTCGTGGCTAGCGGATCTGCTAGCAGTCCTGCTGTTGCTCAACGTCTTGATCGCTGTCAGTATTCCGATATTGCTCATCTTACGCCCCACGCTAGTCTCCCGCTACTTCCGCACGCGCGAAATCGAGGACCCCGCTCAGTCGCCTTCGCTCATGCCCTTCACATCCCCACTGCGGCAAGAGCGGCTCTACTTCATCATTCCCCTCGCCGTGGCTATTCTTGTCAAGACCCTCGTTGTTGGATTTGGCGAAAAGCACGGCATGGTACAGGCGATTATCATTCTAATCACAGAGATCCTACTTTTCGGCATACTCCTTATCCGCAAGCCGTACCGCACACGCGGGGCCGACTTCTTCTCGGGCACGCTTGCTGTCGTACGCATTGTTTGCGCCGGCCTTACCATCGCATTCAGCATCTCAATCGGGCTCAACGCGATTCCGCGCGTTGCTATTGGCATTGTTGCCGCCGTCATCTGGTCGCTTGCTGTCTTGCTCGTGTTCTTCAACGTGCTCGTGAACCTCGGCACGTGGCGCCTCATTCGGCGGGTGTTCCCATTCCGACGTCGTGGCTCGCTCGCCAGCGAGACGACGTTCGCTAACGAGAACGGCTCTGAGCCATCGCTCGAACACAAGGAGGACCCGGAGAAGACGGTTTCGCCCATGTCTTCGACGTACTACCGGCGCCCCGAGAACCCGGAGCCAACGCATACGCTATCGACTGCGTCCGCTGTCTCCCCGGTGACAACGCTGAGCCGCTTTAGTGACCTACCAAGCGAGTACTCGCCTGCGACTGCGACGACTGCGACGACGCTTGGCGAGTCTCTGCCGCACCGCTGGTCGTTCCGCCACTCGCGGCCGCCGTCGACGTCTCTCGGCTCACACGGTGGGCTCTCTCCCGTGACACCGAGCGGCGAGTCAATGTACATAACGCCACGGGAAAGCTTGCGACGGTCAAGTAACAATCCACTGCCGTCTTCGTAATATAACCTACTGCCTCGTTTTCTGGATACATAGCTATACTTACCACGCACGCATGATATCCACCAGCTTAATACCTACCTGACCCGAATTCTCGCACATCTGCACGCTATCTTCTAGCTACTCACCTTCACTCCGCACGGACGCTCAATTCCACGCAATTCAATTAGACAGTAGACAAGGATCTGCCCATATTACACACATTTGCTGTATAATCATTGCATGTATTGAGACTGTACAAAAGTGGCGCACTGGACGCGACAGACAATGAATAATCTTTCTAAACGAACTTGACAGAACCTAAGACTTCCGATTCGGAGCGCCCATTGATGCGCCTGATGCGCTGCCGCCGTGAACCTGAAGATTAGATTTGGTGCTGTAACCCTTGCTTTGCCGCAATATGGACCCCGAGACCGAAGTCGTTGACCTCGACACAGACGCTACCATCGAAGAGGCGACAGCATTTGGCACCCACTTGATCGAAACTATTCTCAATCGCGCGCCGTTCAACATCGTAAAAGCGCAGATCGACGCGGGTGCACCTCTGTGGTTCCAAGACGATGAGGGCACATCGCCCCTGCATGCTGCTGCGTATGTCGAGAATGAGGAACTGGTGAGGTATTTGATTGGCCAGGGCGCGGTGTGGAATGCAGGTGCGTGCTACGATGTTTTTCTTCAAGTGCTCTGCAACCGACAAGCTGTCATAGTCGATAATTCGCATAACAGCTCAGGAGATGTCGCGTTGTCTATGAACAACGAAACTATCTATACGCTCATCCGAGATGCAGGCATACGCTCCGGTAAGCCTGGCCTCATTTTTCTTGTGATACTTTGCACATTCTCACGACCTTGGGTCCCAGAGCTACTTCTGGCGCTGCTATCATCAAAAGGCCCTGCCGCAAACTCGCCCTTGGCACTAGTTCTCAAAGCCACAGATTTCACCGCCGCCGGGTTTACCACCACCTATCTCAACGCACCTCTGCAATATAAGAATGATGCGCACGGCCAAGAGATATGTGTTGTGAACGTCAGCGGCGACGAGGTGGGGGTCATGATGGGCTGGGAACGGCCCATTAGTGAGTCATAGGGTTCCACCTGTCTGTCCGCAACTGATACGAGGCAGTTTGAAGTGCAGAAGACGGTCGAGAAACTCTGCTCTGATCACGAGAACCTCAGGCGGGGTCTGAAGATCCTCAACATCGGGTTCGGGCTTGGTATTGTAAGGTCTTTGCCGAAACTATGCCAGCTCAACGTCAATATCGCCGATCACAGATTGACTCGTACTTTCAAGAGCTGCCCGTCAAGCCTTCGGAGCATGTCATCATCGAGGCCCATCCAGACGTTATCGCGCACATGAAGGCGACAAGTTGGTATGAGAAGCCTGGAGTCAAAGTCCTGGAGGGCAAGTGGCAAGATTTCATCGAAAGCGAAGAGCTCTTGGCCACTGGCGGTTTCGATGTGGTCTATACTGACACTTTCTCGGAGGATTATCAAGGTGAGCTACATGTCTATATGGGCGACAGATTGCTATCTCAACTCTCGCAGAGCTTCAGCAGTTCTTTAGCCACGTCCCGGATCTGCTTTCGGATCCTGATTCGCGCTTTAGTTTCTTCCACGGGCTTGGCGCGACTAGTAAGCGCTTCCACGGTGATCTGCTGAGCGATCCGTTCATCCTGACATTGGTTGTTTCAGATGCTCTGTTTTACGATGTGTACACACATGTCTCGGAGCTTCATCTTGCGGAGGCGGGCGTGGACGTCGAGTGGAGTGATGTTGATGTCTTCGACAACAGCACTGAGCGATGGGGCAATACCCGAGAGTACTTCAGCAGGCGGTTCTACAGGTTACCTATTGCAAAGATGCGCGCCCTCTGATCTGAACTGCTCCCCCAGACTACCATCCACACCTCACTCGTATCTAAACGACCCCGTTTGCAATACGTATGCCCTGCCTTGGTCTGTTCGCATCTACGATGTCGACAACCGGTGTCCAGGCTTCGCTGTACAGAATCAAATGAGGTGTCTGGCGGGAGTCTCCGTGACACGATTGATGGGTGTCTTGCCTCTTTCGACGAGTATGGTTTGACATCAGGCGTAGCACCTAGCACCGCCATTCACCTGATAGACGCGACCGGTTTCATATATAAGATGGGATGCCATCCTCGCCTCCTCTTCCAGCGGGTCTTGCTTCTTTCACCACTGTCGGCTGGTTCGACTTTTTACGTGTATTTTTATCTTTGCTTTTTCACCAGACTCTAGCCCACGACTTTTCCCTTTTTCTTGGGTCCTCTCGACCATTTTCGAAAAATTTATTCGACACCATAAGATGTCTAACCCCTACGGAGGGCAGCAGCCATACCAAGCCCAGCCCGATCAGCAGCCGGGCCAACAACCAGGTCAACAGTCATACCAATCGTATCAACCTCCGTACCTGGTGCCTCAGGTTGTTGTAGGATTCCCTTCAAGTACCATTTTGGTGAGCATCACAGTTCCCTCACAGGTGTGCTGATCTGAATCCATTTCGCTTAGCGCTTTACTCCTCATGAGGAGCCTGACCTTGTCGTTCCGTACGAGCTGAAGCCCTTCGTGAGTCTCTTGTTATGAATATCCGCACGCGAATCCCTGAATTGGTCGTACTAGTTTTCAGACGACGTCTGGGCTGCTCGTATCCCGGCCATCACCCGTAAAGCTTCGCGCTACTACAAGAAGGGCCTCGAATGGGTCTGGCTGATCCTTGGCTTTGCGTAAGTTCGGCAATGAAGTGTAGTACTACCGTTCTTTGACGTCAAGCATGTCAGGACCATCATTGCCGTTCCTATCGCCATCTACTATGTTGCACTCCATCATTTACCCGAGGATGCTGACGACAAGAAGGACGATAAGGACGACCACTGGTGGGACTTGCATCCCTTTGATCGCACCTGGAAGGCTCGCCTCATCAGCTTGGCGGTCTGGATTGTGCTTATGTTCATCGTCTTCATGCCGATGAAAATCTGGAAGTCGGGCGGCAAGGCAAACGTGAACAAGATGCTGCAGCAATGGGAGGCCGAGGACAGGGCCGTCCGCCCTGTCGGGGCTCCCTATCCGACTCTAAAGATGAAGCAACCGGGGATCATCAGCAAGAGCATTGTGGGTATTCTCTCTGAATCACGACATAAGCAGTAACTGAACGGTCTGTAGAAAATCTCTGTGACGATCCCTCCTGGCCCCGTACCTTCCATCTACCAGCCTGGCTCGCAGGCACCCCCAGTGAGTGTCCTACACGACCTCGCGTTAAACGTCTCCCTAATCTTTCCCAGCAGTACATCGCGAACCCGCCCACCGACCCCGCAGCGTCACAGTATTACCAACAGCCTCAGCAGCAGCCCGCCGCCCAGTGGGGCCCGCCGTCTGCTGGGTACAGCCCCCAGCGCGGCTACAACGAGACGTCACAGGCACCTGGCGCCATTCCCATGTACAACACGCGCGACGAGCGCGTCCCTGGCTACAACGGCATGCCGGTCGAACCAATGGACGAGAAGGACCCGTTTGAGGATGTAAAGGTTTAGATGCCGGTAGCGCTGACTCTTACGGTGTACGATAGAGCTGGTTACAGTTGTGGTGTGGGACTGCACGATATTATACACGATCCTTTGACCCGCTGAACTGGAAGCGCGATAGTCAATTGAGAACAAATATCCGCTCGCGCTTCTGTATTGGACGCTTAGTGAAGTCTCACGTCCGTTCTCCGGTCCGTGCAAGCGACCAGAAATCCCCTGCAGCTGATCTGGCGTTCTCGCATTGTAATATTCGCCAGTGCAACACTAGCGGTCGGCATTCTTCGTTAGTGTAAACATGCAGCTAGAGTCGCCGACCGATGATCGGTGTCTTTTCAACCATCCCCACCGGGAAGAAACCAATGTCATAATTACTGGGCGTGTACATAAGACTGACCATGGCGTTACGCAAATACAAATACAACGGGATACCACGAAGAACCGGAATTAGTCTGAAAACGCAGTGTCGGCACCGCTCTTAGTGTTGGCAGTATACATGCACATCCGACAAACTAGCTCACACGCGCTGCTCACCCGGCTTCTCCGAGCTCAAAGTCGGCGAGCTCGCATCCTTTGGCGCTGCATCGTACCGCAGATCCGTCTCCTGGGCGTTCTCCGATGCGTCCAGCCCACGGTCGCCGTCGGGGATCCTGGACAGGAAGAGCGAGACGATGAAGGCGAGGCCGCACCAGGGGATGAGCGAGATAAAGGCGAAGCGCGAGCCCTGGCGGAACGCGTCGCGCACGAGACTCTGGACCTGCGGCGGCAGCGAGTTGATGCTGTCGAGCGAGTCCAGGCCGGTAGACGACGCGGCAGCGATGGCTGCCGCCTGCGAGGGCGAGATCGTGCCGTCGGCGATGAGGTGGCGGATGTACGAGTTCACTTTGCCGTTGAGCACGGCGGCGCATTGGGCCAAGCCGACGGTGCCGCCGAAAGAGCGGAACTAGAGGCACAAAGTCAGTTGTAGCGCGTGCTAGTAGGTGAGAGGTGGCATACGAAGAGAGACAGCGCAGAGACGATGGCATTGCGGTCCGCCGGCTGGGCGAAACGAGCCTGGACGGCTAGCGGAGCAAAGACCATGCCAGTGCCGGCGCCGGCCATAGCCATAAAGCCGTTGACAAGGCCTTGCTTGTTCTCGTTCATACCCATGGAGATGAGACCCAGAGCTACGGTGGAGATGGCACCACCAAGCCAGACGGCATATCTTGCCTGTCGAGTCAGCCTAATCACCTGCATCGCAATCAAGCTACCGCCACCCTGTCGAAGAGGCGTCAGTCAACTCCCATAGAAAGACATAGATGGTGGGACGCACCATGCCAGGCGCGAAGTAGATGAGCTGTGCACCTGCGCTGGTAGCGGATAAGTTTGAGACGATGACGAAGAAAATCGCCACGAAGTAGAACATGACGAGCATAATCATGCCCGAGACAAAGGTGCAGTACATGACGATACAGAGGTCGAGCGACTTGAATAGCTCGAGTGGGATCATCGGATCTGTCGCGCGCAGACGGCTCGAGGTGGGGCGGGCGGCGACTTCCTCACGCTCGAGGAAGTACTCCCACAGCAGGAAGAGTATGATGCAGATGCCGCCAACGACGAAGCACGCGATGACCTTTGCCTCGTTCCACTTCTCGTTCGAACCCCAGTTAAGTGCGAGAAGGATGAGAATACCGCCAGCCATGAAGAATGCAGCGCCGATCCAGTCGATGCGCAGAAACTTGTCCAGGAAAGTCTCGTGTGTGGACGCGGTCGTCGGAAGCCTCCTGGATGGCTGGCTCCCCTTCGCACGTGTGCGGAGAAGAAGGAAGGCGAGGACCATTCCAGCAGCAGCACAGGGTAGGCTGTTTGCCAACGTTAGTAATGACCCTCTCCAGATGTGCTGTGAAGCCGCACTTGATTGCGAAGATCCAACGGAAGGAGACGGTGATAAGCTCTCCTCCAATGAACGGACCCAAGCAGTATCCAATAGTGTAAAGAAGGAAGAGAACGCCCTGCTGCCAGCTGGTCTTGGTCAGGGAGCCTGTGTCTGTAAGAACAATGCGAACAACCTAGAAGCCCCAGTTAGCAAAAGGAAGCAACTACGTCGAGGGATACTCACGGCAAGTAGCCCCGCAGCGCCGATGCCAGCGACACCTCTGCCCGCCAACATAGTAGCCATATTTTGACTGCCTGTACTGATGGCACTGCCGACCATGAACAATAGGAGGGCTAGCTGTAAGGCCCAGTATCTGCCGAATATGTCTGATATCGACGCGAAGGGTGGCAAGAAAACAGTCGATGTCAGTAGATACACAGTGCCAATGTAACTGTGCGCAATGCAATCGGCAATCATTCGCATCCATTTTATATAGAACGCGTACCTCTGTAGATCAAGCCGATTGAAGATGGACTAGAATTTTTGTGTTAGTATAGGTCGACGCGAAGCATCACGATACAACATACGGCAATGTGTACTTGGGCGGTCGCGACAACTAACAGAAGTGACGATTAAACGTATACAATGCGGGTAACCGCGCCCTCTCACCTGTATAGTCTAGGGTCTCCAGGAAGACAGGAATGGCCAAAGCGCCATAGAGGAGGATATTCCACTTTGCCTCAGAGCTGAGGTGCCACTTCTGGTTTTGCTGCGTGGATTCCTCGTGGTGCACCTCAGTTGGCTGCGATGGCGATTGCGACGACGAATGCTGAGGCCCGGGAGCCGCGGGCTGGAGCCCCGCTGGCTGCTGCACATTATCGTTCTCCTGCCGTCGCGCGCGACGCTCTTGCAGTTTCTTTTGGCCGGAACGGTAGAGCCAGACGGCGAGCATCGATGGGACGCACTAGGGGGGAAGGAAGGGGGTGGGATATTAGGTTCATCAAGGGCAACTATAGCACTCTTATATTTCGCGTCAGGGGTGTATCCCTTCGCGAACTTCATGGTATGTTGCTATGTTCGATCAGTGACTGTACCTGACATCTGAGCGTTCTGATCGATTTGGATACAGAGGCTGTCCGCAGACGGATGGCTTCCGTCTACAACTTTGCTGGACCACCGGATGTTGCGCAGCATGAGTTTGTAGGACGCCTCGAAAGGCCTAGATAATAACCTTACCTGAGCTGCGCACAGCCTCGGGTTCCGAGCATTAATTGCACAGCTAGCTAACCGTTGGCCATGCGCGACACACCCGTGCAAGAGAGCCGCAGCTCGTATATTGTGGTAGCGGCGCAGCCACGGCCGCCGCGGGGCTGTTTGCTTGTGTTTGGTCACAGTGCGGGGGCAATACCGACGCTTCGCATATCCCACCGCGGCCGGTACCGCCGTAGCGACTCAAAAACATTTAGCCTTGTACACAGAAAGCACGGAGGGCGGCATAAGGAAAACTAACAGATGCTCTTGCCTCGAATTTTGGACCATCGTGCAGTTCATTGACACATTTCCTGTGAAGTACAAGGCTGAAGGTAACCGTGCGTGCGCGGCGGAATCACATCGGGGGCCAGCGACCGCCCCACCCGAAAACAACATTTGAGGCCCTTCAAGGGTTCCTAGCTAAGACGTGGCGCACCCGTGGCGCATCCATGATGGGTGGGGCGGTAAGGGGCGGGGTTGATTAAGTGATATGTCGCAACAACGTTAGTACTACCAATGACGGTATGCTTCAAACGGTTACAAGCAACGAGGCAGCAATCGATCCCGCTCAAGGACCTACCTCGCTGGCAGTGGCGCGGCTTGTCGCCAGCGGAGTTCCTGCATAGACTCAACTCCAGTCACTCGCGTTGCGGCTGGACTAGATCTTGCACGCACATGCGATAGCATATCATATGAAGCGCAGTTGGGATAGATGGACAGCCCGACAAACAAGGCTATACGAAGCCTCGCCTAGCAAACACCCTGCTCCACGTTGTCATCGGCAAGCGCACCATGCCGCCGCCAGCGGCGCCGCTCATTGACAGCATAATCAGTTCAATCAAAGTGGGCGGGCGCGGGGTAGGCCAGTCGCTTGTACGACTCTATGCCATTATCTGCTCGACCTCTTCTAAGGTCCAATATTTCTTCATATTCGCCCCGCGGAGATCCTCAACCTAATAACGCATAGCGATGTGAGATGTCACAAGTGGCGTCGGGCCTGCTCGATACTGATCTCTTCGTCCAGATGCATGAACAGCACCTTTCCCCAGCAGTCCCAGCACTCCGTCATCTCTCGGGGGCTGTACGTCGACGGCTCCACAAGCCACTTCTCGATGAGAACCCCGAGCTTGTCGAGGCCCAGAGCATGTCGGTCCACAGGCGATGGTCGTAGTGGATCCGGTCGGGGGACGGCTCATCCTCGTAGATCCCGCGGTGGCTCCTGATGTGCCACTCGTCTTCCTTGAACGCGGGAATGCGCTTCGCGAGCAAGAAGAAGCAGTGGCACTCCTCGGTTGTATGATGTCTGGGTCTATCGGACCCTCAGAACGACCAAGAAGCGACCGCGAAGCGGACAGACAGACGCACTCTTCCTGAGTTCACCCGCCTCGGTTCGTGCGGCGCTTGGTGAACGACCCATCCGCAATCTAGGTGCGGGCATCGGCGAGAAGCGCAGTGCATACTTCGTAGATCGCGTTGATTGCGCCGTTGTGCGCCACATGGCGGAGAGCGAGCTGGTAAGGGTCCCGTTCCCACTGGACACTTACACTCTGTCTTGAAGCTCTCGTGGAAGGGAGCCATTGTGCCGAGAACTGGTGAGAAAGCGCAGATCCGTCGTCATTGGGTGTCCCGGGGAAGATTTGCGTTCAGCAGTGGCAGCTTACCCGGTCCCAACTCCTCTCATCCCTTGCATCGTCAGTCGTCTGGACACTGGGCTCCGACGTCGAAGCCGTGCCTTGTCTCCACGATGTCATGTTCCGCGTGGATGGGTACGTTCCCTGCATGCCTATATGCAAACGTCCACTAGTCAGCTGAGTTCTCCACGACGGAGAGGCGCGTATTGTACATTCACCGCGTCCGAGAGAAGTCCGCGTCAGCGTCAGGACTTGAGCACCCAGGCTGACAGCGTGAGCATTCGCGCCTGTAAGACACCTCCTGCAAGAGATCAGTGCTGGCAGCGAAAGCAACAGAGTCCATGCTTCCTTATGCGGTCGGTATCCAACAGCTACTTGTGCTTAGTAGCACTCATCTGCGGGTCAGAGGCACACTCGCCGGTACCGTTGCGACGTACGGTTAATCGCACTGGGGGATTCTGTGAGTACTCACTATCTATACTTCGGGATTATACAGACATTCCTTGGGCCCCCCGACAACTTTGTCCGAGAATCCGGATTTTTTTGGCCGGATTTTGGACCCTGTGCCTGACTTTGTCCGGGCGTTTTCGACCCACAAGTCGGAGATTCTGGATGGCCTGGACAGACCTCTGACCCAATTGTTTGGTGTTCCTGCGCTTCCTCCGAGCGACTCGTATCTCAACGCAGCCGCACGTCTGGCAGCGAAGGCACCCTTACGTGGTCGTGCGGCCATACATGTTCAGCTGCAAGGCGCCGGCGCCCTTGCGCGCTCGACTGGCACAGCTCTTGCGGATGATCTATCAGGCCGATGTCCTGAGTGAGAGGGACAGTTGACCTTGACCTTGGCGCAGCGTGAGCCGTCTCTTCCGCGTCGATCACGATCGTCCTCCCCGAGGCCCGTTTCGAAACTTTTATGGGTGCCAGTGAGTCTCTGGCATCTAGTCATGTTGTCGCTGCGACACTGGGCCGAGGTATCTGTGCTGCCAAGTGAAAGGACAGCGTTCTGTCAATGTCATTGCCTATGGAAATCAGCAATTGAAGATTGGCCAGCAAAAGACCTCGGAAACCCCCTCGACATGCGATAGTGCGAGCTCACAATCCTCACCTTTAGGATCGTCTTGGACGTACCAGACGTCACACTGGCCATGCTAGAAACATACGGTGGCGAACAAATTATATAATCCCTACAAAAACCCTGACAAGAGATAGCTGATCATACAAATACACAGGATACAGTACACGAGGAAGAGGTGGCAATAGCATGAGGTGTAGTCTAAGAGGACGATCGTGCAGGCGGAGCTCATTAAGGTATGCGTACTCTAAAGGGGGTAACAAATGCGGAACGGGTATCTTGAACGATGAAAGAAAATTGCTGCCTTAGCACGCAGTGCGTTGCACAGCGGCAAGCCGGTGGTGCACGACCTCTTCGGCCTTGTCCCAGACGCTCTTCCCGCCGCGGACGCTGTCTTCCCACTGGCAGGCCGCGCTGCTCGGCGCGCGTTCCGCGACGATGCGCAGAGCGTCACCGCCCTCGGCGAGCACAGCCTGGTTGAGCGCGTCGACGGCGGACGCCTGTGCGGCTTGCGTGCCGAGTACCTGCACTAGCGCGAGCGCGAGCTTCGGGCGCTGTGGCACGTCTGGGCTCGCAGAGCCATCAGACGGGGACACGAGCCGCTTGAGCGCGGGCACGAGCGACGTGATGGGGCGCGTCTTGGTCGGTTTGTACACGAGTGCGAGATGGGTGAGGGAGGGGTGGTACGAGAGGCTATCCAGGCTTGCCGCGTCGATCAGTTCGCCTTGAGGGACAGTCAGTCGCTTGGGAGTGCCCAGATACACGCGAAGGTGTGTGACGGTGGGACCGACCATACCAATATCCCAACCGTCACGGGTAGCCATCCCGAGCAAGTGCTGCTCCTTCGGGCACTCGAGCGTCTGGACAGTATGGGTACCATAAGGGTTTGGGTGGCCTAGGAGCGGGAATCCACATGCGAGACTATCGACAGCCCTGCATGCGTCGAGGACCTTGTCTATCGCGTCTGTGGGACCTTGCGCAAAGATGCCGAGGTGCTTCACGTTCTCGTTTCCAAAGTTCTCGGGTTTGTGGGACAGCGCATCGAGGAAGGAATGCACGCTGCGAGCGGAGGACAGCACGACGGTGTTGTAGAGGACAGGCTCGACGAGATGTCTCACCCAGGATGCTACGAGTGTGAGGGCGATTGCAGCGTGCATATCCTGTGCTGCGGCGTGCCCGAAGACTTCGTGCAGGACCTCGTTGGGGAGTTTGGCGAAGACACTCGGTGCGAAATCCATGACTACTAAGATGATAGTGGAGGTGGGAATGTACAAATCTGCAAAGAACAGTAGAGGTGAGTGAGCAAGAGGCGACGAGAGCACTGCAAGGGCCACGTACGAGCTGTGCACGGATGTCTGTCGTAAAGGAGAAACAAGGAGAATTAAGAGCCACAGACTTGAGCAATTACGGGTGGGTGCGTTGGGCGTGCATGGCGGCTGAGTGAAGGTTTTATACACGCACGAGCGACTTTTGCGAGGGCGTAGAAATCGACGTGTAGTGAGCGTGCATCGCTGTTGGTGGAGTGTAGCCACCCCCGTTCTGGGGGACCGGCACTACAAGGGATTCGAAGCCTCCCCTGGCGTCATATCAATCTTTGCCGATATCCCGTATCAGTCATGATGGCGCGCAAGCGGCACCGGACATCGAGCTATGGACGTCGTCGAGGACGATGCCGGGGCAAAAATGTGTCGGGATCGGGCAGAGCGGACGGCGGGAGGAAAAGAGAAATTTTCTTGATATTTTCCAATGCTGACTGTGGCCTCCTATGACGAAAACGGCCGTCGAGACAAACCGCGCCACGGGCGCCTGAAGAACGCCACCATTGCCGAGCCCGTCCGAATCGGGACGGGGAGGTCGAAAACTTGGCCTGTCCTCTTACCGCAGCAACAGATGAGAGCAGATACAATCTCTGGGGTGCAAAATCCCCGGCGACCACCTGGGCAAAACAGCGTCCACGAACAGCAGTTGCTGTGTGATAAACTCTTCCATGCTCGGAGCGCGTGTAGTAAGGCCGACTGGCGTGTGCCCGCCGGAGATCCTCGATCGCGTGTACGTTGCCACCGACAGTCCATTGTGCAACCAACGCCGCGATTATTGAAATAAACCTCAGCAATGGTATGATTTGGTCTCGACGAGGTAATGCGCAACCTCCCCGCCGCGAAAAAAACACACCGCGTACTGGCACCATAATCAAATGCCAAGGGTCCAGTCACCACTACGCATGTACGTATGGCCATGCTGAGAATAGGACACATCACTTATGGATAGCGCGGAGATGTCGAGCGTGCGAGGTATCCGGGATCCCTTGGGGTCTCGCGACCACAAAGTTCAAACCCTTTCCGCCTCTATACGTGAGAGGGCACTCTCGGAACGTCACCACTGGAGCGGACCTCTGCGCAAGCAAGCTTGTACGAGTTGTACGGCATGCACCACAAAATCACATGGAACGCAGTTCTCGTCGGTACTTGCACACTGTTGCACAATGATAGCTAAGAGACCCTATAAACAACACCTATGCCCTGCTATCTATCCTCCGTTTGTCGGGGAAGTATCGCTCGAAGCTGTTTGAGATACGCCGTTGGTCCCTGTCGCGGTTCCGGAGGTATCGGTCCCACCCGTAGCTGGCGCTGGACCGGACGCGGCAGCAACACCAGTGCGCGCGGTCGCGGTCAACGCACTGAGCAGCACGGCTAGCCCACTCGCCTGCGCCTGACCCAGCGCAGATACATTGATATCGAGGCTGACCATCGTCCCGTTGTGCGTCGTGCCCTTGAGCACGCATGCAGGCTGCGGTTGATCTGCAGGTGGCGCGTTCGCCACAGGGATGGGGACGATCCCGAGAGCCGAGAGCGACATGAGCGACGATACGGGCAGGTGCACGGGTATGGGTGCCATGCTGGCGACGGGTGTCGTAGGGGCTGCCGAAACGGGCGTCGTCGCTCCGGATGCGGGCACGGAAAACGATGATGCCTGCGGAGCTGGTTGTGCTGCAGATGGCGGCGCGAGTTGTAGCACCGGGACGTTCGTGGGGGTTCGAGATATGGGCGTAGCTTTGCGAGGAGCCGTAGATGTGCTTGTATTCGAAGGCGCAGTATATGAATATGGTGTCCCGAAAGGTTGGGAGTAAGAATACGTGTAATTCCTGTATTGCGCGGCGTATGCTGTGGGACTTGCCGCAAAGGTTGAGGAGATCGGTGCGGTCATTACAGCTGGTGGTAGATAGTACGGTAGGCGTGCAGCCACTGGCGTAGCCGGTGCAGGAGGTGGTGGAGCGGCAGCGGCCGCTGCAGCCTTCTTCTCGCGTTCAATGCGATCCAGCTCGGCTTTTGCATCCCGGTATTCGCTATTTAATTTCGTAAGCCCCACTCTTTCGGCTTCCAAGGCTGCTTGGGCAAGAAAATACGCTTGATCGTCCGGAACTCTTCGCTGAGTGATGATCAGCCACTCCCATACCCTGCAGTGCTTTCTCAAGACTAACCTTGCCCTCGTTCATTCTGATACGCCTAAACTTCCGCTCAAGCACAGTCTTGCGCTTCCAGCACTCGATGGCAAACTTGGTCTCTGTAAGGTATCTAGCTTGAGGCAGCAAACACGAATATCTGAGAGCGATGCCAACCTGCTATTTCTTCTCGCAATAGGTCTTCTTCTGTCGCTTTCCGCTTGCCTTTTCTACCCGTGAGATCCTCGGCGGGGTGCCGGAAGATGTGGTACGGAAGCAAACGTCTGACAGCGTCGGCTGCGTCGGTGAACGCCGACTCGGTGTCGGGCTGGAGGGCAGCCGTCTGGTCTGCTGCTATTCGTTGTGCCACACTAAAAGCGTTGACAACAATTTATTACACCGGAAGCAGAGCAGCAGGTGATGGGAACGTACCGTGCAGCAGTCTGCACCATGGCCTCAATCTCCTCCTCATCCCGCCCCTTTTGCGCCCCTCTGCGCATCACATCCTGGATGAGGGCCTCTACGTTTACGCTCACGAGCGGCCTGGATGATGCAGTGGCCGGCTTTGTGGCGTCCACCTGCAGCGTGGGTGCAGACAAGCTAGACGCGGGGGGCTCTGACGTTGAGGCCGTGCGCGACAGGCTACCCTCGGCTGCAACATGGTTATTGGATGTCGATGGTCCTGCAGAAGACGATACGGGCGTTGACGGAGTGACGGGTGTAGGGCTCTCAGGAAATCTGGACATCCCAGTCGCTTGCTTTACTCGACCCTCATTCTGACGCAGACCCGTGACCGTGCGAGTTTAGGGCAGGCTGTTACGATGTAGTGAATTTCATGATCATATCCCAGTCGTATTAAATGCAAGAATATCAAGCGGTGGCTAGTGCGGCCCTGAGCTACTGCTATCCTGGTAGCTACACTCTGAATCGAGTTACCTGAAATGCCACGTATCAAGGTCTCCGGCTGTCCGGTAGGTATATCCTAAAAATACCTGGCCTATCTGCAGCCCGGGACACTCAGCTTCTCGATTGCGTACTCGCAGTGCTCGACATTCCCACCGAGCTGCCATCTGCCTTACCAATGACGCTGTTGTTCTCCTCAGCTTGCTTCATCACGAGCGCCGCTTTGATCCTCTTCAAAAGGTCCGCAGCTTCGCGTACCTCCTCCGCATTGCTCGCCGCAACCTTCTCCATGTAATGTTTCGCGAGCTCCAAATCATTGCCACCTTGGAGCAGATGGTATTGCGCGACGTGCACAGCCGAGCGTGAGTATTCAATTACCGGTTTGTCTGAGAGCCGGCAATCAGTAGGGTTGCAAATAACGGTACCGCTGGGGTACTCACTCGCGCTCATGCAGAGCTCGACGACATGTCGGTGGTAATTCGCAGCTTCGGCGTAGTCATGCTCATCATGGTACAGCTTCGCGAGACGAAGATGTATCGTAGTCTCCGTTGGATCGGCACCAATGAGCGCACGCTTAAGGCACTCGATAGCTTCCTGGGGCCTACGGAAGAAGTGGTTAAGCATCCGCGATTCCCTTCATGCATCAAAAATAAACGAAAAAGATCTACCGATGCATCTCTTCATAACACATTCCCTGCGCTTGCCAGATGCGAACGTCGTAGGGCCTGAGGTTCGCGGGATCCAGCGGAAGGGTATGCGAAATAAATAAGCTTAGAGAGATAACCCACTGCTAAAGCCTATCAAACGTACCGAAGGGCTGTTGCGTGCTGGTAATAGTATAGTGCGTATTGGTGCATACTAAGGAGTTCATATGCCTGTCCAAGCCCGTACCATGCGCGGTAGTCTTTTCTATTCACGTCTATGATGACCGGGAGATCAGGTACAGTCGTAGAGGAAGATGATGTATGCTTACCGACTGCCTTCCGGTACGCTTCTATCGCAGCATGGGAGTTCTTCATTTCCACGTACTCATGGCCCATCAACGTCCATGCTGAAAGATATGTACGATCCAGCTGGGTAGCACGTCTGAAGTACTTGACAGCCTTCTCATGCTCGGCACGGAGGGAGTAGTGGTTCCCTACCGGGCCCGGTACGGTTGAGATTCCCGACCATAGTTCAGGTGATAAGCTTGACTCACCGACTAAGCAACAGACTTCGGGACGGTCCTTGTCGATCATGAGGAAGTCGTGGGCGAGTTTCGACAGCTCTAAACGGTTGTCTGTCACATAGAGTATGTTCGAGTACACGTCAATGTCATCTATTCGGAATGGATCTATCTGGAGTATCTTCCTGAATTGGATTTCAGCATTGCCAAAGTCTGTGTAGGCACTTAGCGATGCGTATATGCGCGTGTAAGCGCCCAGGACTTACCATGCAAATGGTACAGCACGCATGCACGCATCGACATGAGCCATAGACTCAGTGGAAAAAACTCTTCGTTCAGGAGTCTGTCGCATATAGATAGCTCGTTCTCTGAGGGGTTGTTCAGGGTGTTCAAAGTCTTCACTTGGAACATCTGGACGAGGGGATGGGTAGCAGACAAAGGAAGTAGTGTCACTAGCGAGGACAACTGGCGCAGTGTGACTCAGTATATGGTTCATCTGCCATAGCATTAAACGATACCTCTTCGCCATCGCCTATGCATTCACCGAGGACGATCCATGTTGACCAGTTCCAGGGGTAGCCTGCAATAGACAAAAGCGCGCTTTCTATAGCTTCCTCTCGCCTGCCTAGTCGCCGTAGGAAAAGGGCCTTGCTGACGTTTCATGTTATTGAGCAGCCCCGCAGATTTGACACTCAGGACGCACAGGAATAAGTGCCACGGATCAGAGGAGTTCTGCACCATCTGCAAGAGGCCCAGGATGTGTGGATTCACGGGCATCGGTGGCTGGTTCTTGGTGTCTGTAAGAACTTGAAGTTTAATAGACGTCGCCGCACTAGAGTACAGCACGCACTGTTAAATTTGTACCAGTCGCGCATTGCCTTCTTCTCAGTAGCCTTAGATCTATCTGTCATGAAAGGTCTGGGATGAAACATAAACGAGGGCAATTACCATGTACTGGCCGTAGATCAGCATAAATACCGCTTTGGCACTCTTGCAGTCTTTCAGCCAGTGTACAGCTCTTGAGAACTCTTTCGAGTCGATCAAAGCTCTCGCACTAGCGATGTAGTCTTCGTCCATAGCCTCGAGGTGAAGCTCACGGGATTGGTCTTCTGGCGATAGCGGCTTCAGTGATGGTGCTTGTGGGTGTCGTGCAGGAAGCCCAGAAAATGGTGTGGTGTCCATCAAATGTATATCTGGCATTGTCGGGGATGCATGCAGGAAGGATTGTGTGCTTTGTGGACGCGCAGGTGTAGACGCGTTAAAAGTGGCTGGTGACATCGGTGTACGTTTCGATGATGGTATGGCAAGCAACAACTCTGAGGCCCTGGGGAGTGCTCGTGTCCGTCGCTCAAATCTAAAGGCTGCTCCGTTACTTACCACTTGGATGCGAAGGTAAGACCTCTCTCTGAACAATCGTTGACTGCGTTTCTCAACGCGGAGACGACGTCTGCATCTACACTTGTAAATTCCGACATAGTACTTGTGCCCTCAGAGATATGTGAAAGTAAGCTAGGGGGCAGGATGCAGAGGCACAAATGTAAACGAGGTGCGGGCGGGGCGCGGGATCTAAACTCCGCCTCAAGGTTGATGCGTACGTGATGCTCGGGCGCTCAACTGTCCACAATACCGACGACTGAGGCCGCCAAGAACGGCCGCAGGACTTAAGCAGAACTTGCCGTTGTATGTTCAGTTTTCTTGCCTGCGGAGGTTGGAGGATCGCATCTGATCAGGTGCATATAGCGAATCAACTACAGGTAGCTTCCGCCGCTTATCTCCAAGCGGTTGTCCCGGCTTGGTGTTCCTCTGCTACTCAAAGCAGAGCCGAGCCTAGCTCAATGCCCTACGCACTGCCTCTGGTCCTTCTACTGCTGGCGGTCATTTCGATGAGGCTGTACGCCGTTCTACCGCGTGTGAACCGGGCCAAAAGAGCCGCGCGCTCACGTTCGGAGGCGTGTACCCTTGCCGTCTTTCTAGGCTCAGGTGAGCAGTAGAGGCTCCATGTGGAGAGGCGTTCGAAGCTGACCTGTGGCTTGCAGGTGGGCACACTAGCGAAGCCCTCGTCCTTCTCTCCGCCCTTGACTTCGACCGCTATTGCCCCCGAAAATACTTTGTTAGTCAAGGCGACATTCTTAGTGCCAAGAAAGCGATCACCCTCGAATCTGAAAGGGCTTCAGGCCCTGTATCGCACAATGTAAATGTTCCATTTGGCTACAAGTCCCTATATTCCTTGTTGATGTATCAATCTGTGCCCTTGTTCGCGGGCCTCAGGCATCTTACACTATTATAACCATCCCACGGGCACGTCGTGTGCACCAGTCACTGCTGACGACGCCGCTGTCCTCTGCAATATCTCTGATGGCCTGCATATATCATGCAACGATATCGCCGCTGCTATCAGGCAAGCCATTCGCAGATGTTCTTTTGGTAAATGGCCCAGGAACATGCGTCATGCTCTGTCTAGCCGTTTATCTCAATAAAGTATGTGCTCTGTAGCTTATCGTCAGGGGGACTTGCAACTCATGCTCATTCGTATTCTAGTTCCTTGGTCTGCCTTCTTCTAAACTGATCTATGTAGAATCATATGCCCGAGTGAACCGGCTGTCGCTCTCTGGGAAAATTCTAAAGCCCTTCGTGGATAAGTGCGCTCCTCTTGCGCAAATAGTTTGGCTAGCTTCTCATGGAGTTTGTCAGGTTTTTAGTGCAATGGCCAAATCTTGCGAAGGATGGCGACCGTGTCCAATACAAAGGGCGTTTTGTATGATAGTGTTACTGTACGTACACAAGTCAGTTGCTCACCAGCCCGCTCTCATCACACGCGCGCGATTCACCCCCTCGGCAGGATTATGCATCATGCATCGAAGATTTGGTGGAAGCTGGTGGATACACGGCACCAGGGCAACGCAAGACCACTTGTGACTCACGCTCCTACAGCAGAGATATACCAGTAATGCAAATAGATGCCAAAGATACAAGACAGAACCCCGGCCGAACGAAGCACTGCATGGTCACTTCCTTGTCCATCGATCTTCGCCGTCGTTCCCTCCTTTCCGGCGGGGACTAGCGCTACGAGCACGAGACTTGCTAGGCTCCCAGCCTCCGCCACCTGTGCTCTGCTGCGGGTGGAGACGCCGCTCCAGCCTTTGGCCGTGGCGAAGTGAACGGACTAGCTCTGGCGAAGCAAGGCGCAAGTGCATGAAATTGCAGAAGCCTCCGCGATTGCATTCACCATTCTCGTTCTGCCGGCAGCATGCTTCACGGAAGTCCGTCACGGGTGACAGTTCAGCGTACAGCGGTCGACCTGGAAGACCGAGGCAGGTGTCATGCATGGGAAAACATCAACATAGGACCATTTCACATACCTGCGTACCAGCGGTCGTTAAGATTGTCGACGGCCGTTTGTGCTTCTGTCTCCCACTCGTACCGCGCATATACATTGCCAATCAAGTGGTCGCCGACGTTGTCGCAAACCTGACAAAGTGTCAGCCGAGACTGGGCAGAGCGAACAAACATACTTACGTGCAGCTCCAGAAGATGCCCAAACTTTGCCAGCTCACAGTATAGATCTTCGTAAACTGCGTCAAAACCCTCCTGCAGCTCCTTTTCCGTCAGCTTGCACACTGGGTCGTGTGCGGGATTGTGGTAGACGTTGGGGAGAAGGATGGTCTGCGAGAACGCGGGTTTGATGTGCTTTCGTGAACATCTGTCACCGTGGCGACATGCGCCAATCTCCAGAGTCGTTGTGAGTACTTTGCACGGCCAGCACCAAAGCGTGAGGTGCTTACTTTGTAGTAGAACGAGCAATTAACACGGTCTTGTTCAGTACCGAAGATGTTGGCCTGAGGTTCAAACTAGTACCTCCTGAGGCTCAGAGCAAACAGAATTACGGCGTACCAAGTGCGATGCCATGGTGGTATGCGGTCAGATGCGAGAGGGTCGCAAAGAGTGGCGGCGAGGTGTTGCGAGCTGTTTGAGCCGTCGACGGTCGCCCTCGAACGCGCGAGCGCTGCTGACTCAGGCGGAGCTTGAAATTACTGATGGCGGTGCTGGGCGAGATTTGTTCATGTTTGTTCGCGAACATTCCTGGTCATATTCCAAACATGGCAAGTGTCGTTTAGAGTCTTTAGACCACGTCCACGAACGTCCTACGTCCGAGGCTCGCCACTTGCACATGCCGCGAAGAGGCAAGGCCCGCAATATAATCTTGAAGTTGAGCGGGTACATCTTGACTCTAGCCCTGCCACTGCTTACTGGCAGCGCCATGGAAAATGTCAGACGAGGCCAAAATTCAAATCCCTGTCAGTGGGTCCGGGGCCTTTCAGCTTCCGCGGTGCGAAAGCGTTCCAAGCCAGCCTTGTGGCAGAGCCACCAAGCTGGTGCCCTTGGCTTACTGTCGTGCCTAGCATTATAAGTGCTTAACCATTCGCCAACATCCGACCTCCGGAAAGGCACTACGCAGCTATCTGAATGAGGAGTGCACGTTGCCGAGAAATTTTCGCATCACGTAGGTTTTGAATGGGTTTCTTTAAGCTGGCTTTTATCATGCTGAAAAACCCAGATGTCGGCCGTGGAGTCGTCTTACTGCCGCTTGTGCGTCTGAGCGCTCTTGTCACGCTCTAATAAAAAATTTCGTCAGCTACGGTAGGTCGCTGTGCTATACGTGGGTATACCTCGTTAACAATTGTGTAATAAGCTCAATATGCTGGTGGCCGACCATACTCCGTTTCTTATGCCTACCTCCAGCCGACTCCACCGCTCCGTGTTATGCACACGCACAGCCCCTTCATCTTCCATGCAACCCTGACGGGCGTGACCAGGTGTTATTGGGGATCTTCGTGAAACGCACAATCGAAGGTATAGAAAGCTGGTGCGGAGGTCTTATCTTAGGCAGTCTCCGCCACCGGGCCAGCGGAGACCGAACTGAATCGAAAGGGTGGAATTCCATCGGCCCCCCAGCTCGCCGAGACGAAGATAACTTGACACATTGCTTGCAATAATATTCGCAGTACAGCTAAGTGCGTGAGTTGCTGCCGAAGGTGTGTTTACGCTTATTACGCCTTAACTTAGCTCGGGCATGCTGTCCTGCCCGTAATGACGGTCCCGAGTGTCGGGTTCGCCGTACACAAAGGCTACATTGTGTACCCAGGAAGGAGACATTCAAGGGGGTAAGAACAATTGCTTCGCCGCACAGGACACAGAATAACCGCCGGTTTAGGACTTCCACTTCCGTAGATTCCACGGGTATCAATCATGGCTGTGCGCCGTGAGACTCAGTAGACGCATGTGCCCCCATCGCCCGCCCGCCGGTGTACGTACTCTGCCCTTATGACAGAGCATATCGCCGCTCAGAACATTGTAAGTTCTCTCTCGCTACTAAGCGCGTCGACCCTACACCATGTGGAGGCCGCGCGGAGGCCGCCACCAGAAGTCCAGTGGTGCGATCTTTAGAGACTTCGCGGAACGACCGACGAACTGCCTTAATGTGCGAATAGAAGCAAGAAGCTCACCCGACGCTACGGAACGCACAAGCAGACGTTGTATCTTCTTTGACATACTCTTGGCGCGCCAAGCCTCATAATACTACAGGAAATGCGCACGCGTTCTTGGAATGCTTCAGCCGGACGATGCTCTCTATGCACCCCTTTGAGCCACATGCGCTAAGCGATGTAAGGTACGTGCCCGGCTCATCCCTGCGAAGATTGGGTGGGAAAGTCGTGAGGAAGTAGTGCGCTTGCCATGCTTTCTCTGCCGCGAGCTTGTGTGCTGTATGTACCTGTTGGCCCCTCACGAGTAACTTGAATGCTAACCCTTCTCCCACGCATATATCAGTCTGAGTAGGCGCATGCCATGACCAGGTGGCGCTATTGTGGCACTAGGCGGAAACGCGGGTGACAATTCAGATACGAATGGCAGGCACAATCAACGAAGGAGATGCACGCAACCTTACTCATATTCCGGCGGCACCGGTCGTTGTTTGCGAGGCGAGCTGCGGGCAGGACCCGGGCATTGAAGAGGCTGTTCAATCAGAAAGTGCGTTTAAACAGCTTAAATGATGCCTTGGCGTATTCTTGACCAGTATGTCGCCGGCTTTGCGTTTTGTGGCGACCACATGCTTTGACCTCGACGGCGGATGGCGAGCGCGTTGCTTTGCGCGGCTGCAAGAAACTCAAACAAGGACCGGTGCCGTCGCACAGTTTTATCGAAGGCGCCAGTTACCATCTGGTGTGGAGATAGCTCCGCAAGTGTACCACAATGGCCAGATTGTCTCAACATTGACGGCCCCGTTTGAGTCCAAGGAACACTCGGCTGCTTCCCTTTGCCCTGGGAATGGTTCCTGCCCAGCCTTGTGTATCAAGTCTGGGCCATGTGCCGAGCGTATCGCGCAACAGGGGTGCTGCTTTGCAAGGTTGACAAACGCGACAACAGGCTCTAGGTTGAGCCGAGCCGCGATCTGTTACACAAGGATGTGGCAGGCTAGAGCGCTGACGTAGGTGTAACAAAGAGCCATCGTGGCGTCAAGATATCGATTCGAGCACCTATTACAGACAATATTATACATCAGTGCGCTTCTTGGCTACAAGCGTCTATATATCCAATACAAACCCCGGAGACACCTCGCAGATAGGACAAATGTTGCATAAAGTAGATCGAGTCCGGTGGAAAAGTGAGATAGAAGAAAATGAACTACAACCCTGAAGACGGAGGCCAGTCCGTCGGCCGTCGGGCAGGTTCCCAGCTCATGAAGTGATCATCGCGAGGTGGGCTGGGATATGCCGACGATGATTTGTACTCCCACGACCGCATGCCGGGGTGCAGCGATTGCGGCGACACCGTGGAGCTCATGGCCTGGGCATTACCCATCGGCGAGGGGCCCGATGAAGAGAAAGATGAATGACCGTGATACGGCTGGAAGGACACCATAGGGCTGTTGGCATTGGCGAGAGCCTCGCTGATGGGAACGCGGCACAGCAATGAGCGTCCCTATTCAAATCGAGCAAATTGACTGATTGAAGTACTTACGTAGTGTAGCGATCCAGATCTGTTATTCGCTGATGGATCTGACAGTTGACGGACGCCGAATGGTGTCTTGAATAGTGTGCCAGCGTCTCTGCCGCACGTCGGAGACGGAGGGAGAGTTCGAGCACGACATTGTAGCTGTTCGCTTCGCCCAAACAGCCGCAGTGCACGGTCTCGGGATGTATGAGACACGGCTCGGGGTTAGGAATCGTAGCATTGTCCGACCGGATGAAGCCGTCGAACAAATTATCAATGGCACCATCCAACCCCGCCCCGCCTGGATAACACTGGGCCAATAACGAGCCAATATCATAGCTGCTGTCGTCAACAGGCGTCAGAACGAGAGGTGATGGACAGCTCGTCGAGGTGCCAGAAGATGCGGAGGGGGAGGGAGCGTTCATGTCGAAAGGTGATGACCTCGACGATGACGATGGTACGGGCACCTGCAAGTGAATCGTTGGTGGCTTCGCGGACTCGGCCTCTATAGAAGCAGCGCGACCGGACAATGATACAGAGCTGAGCTTGGGAGCGTCTTTGCAATCTCCCTTGCTCTCCTCTGTTGTAGTGCTCTGTGCCCATTTTGGATGAGGCTTGTTTTTTAGCTGGGCGAGAGCAACCTGCAATTAGCATTGGTATACAATGTGAAATGACTTGACTTACCTCACGTATAACACTCTCGAGTTCGGCGACACGCTTCTGAAGGCGAATGGTCTCGCTCGACGTGTCGGCCCTGCGAAGAGTAAGAAACGGCTACGTGAGTAGTAAAATAGCACCTACCTCTGGTTCGGATCGTCCACTTCATATACACACAGGCCAGTCTAATTAATCAAGGTCAGGCACGAGATGAGGGCGAGAAGGGACAGCGGCTTACCAAGCCAAGCTGGGTGCAACGACCGCAAGGCCGCTTGCGATCGCACTAGAATGCACGACCGGTGAGATTATAGCCAGGGAGCACCGTGTGTGCCCGGGACGAACCATGCGTTTCGAGGTATGGCAATTGAGACATGACTGAGTTGTCCTATTCCGACGCTTGCCTGTGTGGGGACTGTTTAGTCGGATACGCCGTTACTGAGCATCGATGACTTACGTCGGTGGTCATCTTCAGATGTTTTCTTTGCCACTTCGGTGGAGCGCTTCTTGCGAGCAGCGGGCTCAGGAGATGGGGAAGACATGGTAGGCGATACGAGGCGGAGCGTAGGGAGACCTAGTTGCGATGGGTAGCCAGCGAGGCTGGGAAGTGTCGACAGAATATCTCGGGACGAGAGTTATGGGGTAGGATGAGCCAAGATGGAGTTGTTGGGTTTATATAAGGTAGGAGAGAAGCGCGATAGGTGGAATGAGGGGGGGGCTTGTACAGCAGACTACCGATTTAAGCTCACCACATTCTGTGGAAACCCCTGATCTCGAACGTGGGACTGCCAATGTTGAAACGTCGAAACATCATCGACAATCCCATCTGGCTTCCCATAGAACCGACCCCTTGACCCGGATTTTTCGATACATGGACTTGCTCGGTTCTCACCTAGACGCCATCAGTCTGCCCTGCGCAAACCGACGCGCAGACCGGCCCCCGGTCACCCCACAACTAGTTTCTTCCGAGTTCAAATTCGACATTCTTTACGCGCCAGTCACGAAGTCAGTGTAGGACGTCAATAGAGACCAGAGTCCCGCGATCTTATGCACTGATCCTTGCTTGACAGCCCGCGACGAAAGCTGCATAAAAGTCCCCTCCAAGCTCGCCAGCCAAGATCCTGCTCCTGGGAGGGTGACGTTACCATTCGCATGGACGCCGCGAAACACGTATTGCGCCCAGTGAGATCTTGGCCTGGACGACCGTCCTCTTCCTTTTGATTGACTTGCCCGTACTCACGGGCAGCTTCTCGCGAGAACGGGTTAGCAAACGTTCCGGGCGGTCGGAGAGCAAGCCCGGAGCATGCCTCCACCGCTGTCATGCAGATTCGACGTGGGAGCCCTTCCGCAGAGCCCAGACGACGCGCAAACATCACAAGGGTCGCGGGCTCAGGCTTGGAACACTCACCGTGACTGGTGTACATCAGAGCATGCACCGCTTCAAGCATGGAAGAACGGTCATATCCGACTCCAAGCTCAGCCAAGGGTCCGTGGCGGGATGATTAGCATGACGGAGACGATTACCTTATCCCGTAGGGAGCTCGGCCATACCGTCAGATTCGAACGGTCATTGACAGGCTGTCGCATGGGCGCCGAGCTTGGCAACGCACATGAGGCGGACGCCGCAGGACCGATTGGACGCCGTTCGAGTTGCCGCAGCTAGAGTCCAGCTTGTGAAGCTTATTCGGAACAAACCTCACAAGCTACAACCGGTGAGGTTCCAACTAGTTTGTGCCTGAATCCCGCTCGACGCAGGAGCTCGAAGAGAGATGCAAGTGGGCCACGTCAGGCGGTATTTTGAGCATCGTCGATCTTGCCTTATCTTATCTGATAACACTCCGATTATCTAGGTTTCGCACCCTCTCGGGAAGTATTCCACGTACACCACGAGCTGACAACGAGCTGGTGTAATAGCTTACATGCTGCACAAACCAAGAGTCAATGAGACTCCACAAGGCCAACGGACAACGCATCCCAGCCCTGGTAGCCGGTGCTAAGCAGCGAATATAGAGGCCGACAGCGCGTTTGATCGCATCACCATCGAGTTCACGCTGCGTCGGGGTTCTATGAACATCCTGGCTTGCCACGAATAAGCTGCAAAACCTCCGGTGAACTTCGTACCGACGTATACTCAAGTGAACGTTTCAGATAGAGTGGGTACCGTTCACAACACGGTTACTGTGGCACGCTATTTTTCTCCGAGCGCAGTCGCTGCGGTTGGTATTGACAGCCAAGCCAAAGGCTAATCAGTTTTATCTCACTCGAGGGTGGGAGTCGTCGAGAAGGGCATCGAAACTGCCGCAGGCTATGCGCGCAGCCAAGAAGTATCCACTTGGCATGCCCAGACTGTCCGCGTGGTAGATAGAGAACCGCGATCGTCGCTTGGCTCGTTCCACGCTCTTCAGTGCTGGCCCGGAGCCCGCGGCTGTATCCGTGAGCCTCTCTGCCTTCACTGGACTGATATCTCTATCTTCCTCGCAGACGCATGCGCTGCGTAGAGCGATATCAAGCCAAGGCAAAGATTGACATCCGCGGACGGTGCGTGAGGCTGATGCTTCCTCGCGTCCTTCTTGACTTCTCGCATGCCAAGCCTTCCAGCGTAGAGCACAGCGGTAGGGAAGATTAATGAAATAAGTCAGACCATAACGGGAAGCGTTTCCCGTCCTTTGAACGGTAGAAATCGCTCGCTTACTCGGGGGTTGCCTGCCCAAAATCCGTCTAGCAGTACGCTTATGACTTCTCAGGGCAGCCAAGAATTACGTTGGACAATCAGGGTAAATCTCGCCTCGCATACAGCCTCTGAGTGCCCGGGGGATTCGCGGATGTTTCAAATTTGGGGCGGTCTGAAGTAGGTGGCAACGGGGAAGTTTGTGCGCACTGTCAAGGACCGTCCTCTGCAGCCCCGATGTGGAGAGGATCATTGTAGTGAGCGGCTAGAGGCACCGCCGGGGTCATGTACAAAATCTCCGGCCGCTCTGCAGGTCGCGGCGATGTTCCCATCCAGCATTCGCGTCCCGAGCATGTGCATGTGGGCATTTCCACTTCTTCAGGGCAATCGCAATCTTTCAAAAGTTCCGTTGCGGATCTGGACCCCCGAGCTTCGTGACGGGTCCTCGTGCCGACAAGCATTGACGATAAGAGAAATATCGCCATTGTATCGTTGCCGACTTCATCAGAACCTGCAATGAAGCTACCACTAAGGACGGCTAGCTGGTGAAAAACCGCGGAGCGTCAACCTGGGCGGCGATAGAAGAACCGCCGGCATACAGGTACACAGCCCCGCGGTTATGAAAATGAAGTCGGAGCAGCTGCGCGCATTTGAAGATCAAGAAGACGTCCATGTCCCTCCGAGAGGGCCCTCCTACCTCATGTCCCTTCATTGCAAGGTTACGAATGAAAGTCATATCATGTCTAGAACAGTGATATCATAATCTTGAGGGTGCAATTATGGCGTAGCCTATGGAGCGCGCAGAGGGGCAGCAAGGAGCTGCTCTCCAATGGAAAGTACCGAAGAATAGTGCGAAACTCACCAAGATGCACGAATATTTCCATAGCTAGCAGTTCAGACAGAACCCATGGCCGTCATTCAATCGTATGCTTCCCGCGCTGCGTACGGCCTCACATGTGCTGTGTAAAAGACAAGTTTCCGTCTGGCTGTAGCTAGCGGCTTGGAAAGCGTCCCGTATAATCACGCACCGACAACTGAACCTTGGAGGCGGTATATTTCTGGGAAGAGCGTTCTTGAAGAATAACATGATAAGAGAGCCCGGTTTGGCCGTTAAGTCTTGCGCCATTGAGCAATGAGATCAGTTTCGGCGACGGAGCGCTTGACATGGTTTTGTGATTTGTTCGCGGGCTCCAGTGCTTTCTCTGAGCATAGGTTTGCCTGAAGCGCGGCGCAGACAGTGCGCAGGCGGCACACGGCGTTCGTGGGTGCCGGCACGAAGAAGGAACACGCATACTAGCCCCGCGCATAGTACTTCATTTATCGCTATAATTCTCTCTGGACCTTCTATCGCACGGCGGAGAGACAAGGCACAAGAGGCTCCACACGCGTCTCTGAGTGTATTGTATCTGAGTTATCCGCTCTGGCGAGTCAGCATCATCCCAAGGTCATCCATACTGGGAGGGAGAGACGATACCTAAAACGGTTGTTGTGAAAAGGCTGTACGCGCTTCTCTGCGCTTCTTCAAGAAGCGTGGCACGACCCTCCAGAACAGAGGGGCGGCGGCTTCACGCGTCTGATTGGCATAAACTCTTGCGCAGAGTCGGAGCAAGGAAATGGGTGACCTGTGTCCAAATCAGGATGTCAGACCAACTGAATGTTGTCAGGGTTCAGTGAGAACGGATGATCCCACCGATGTCATGCCGAGTGGTTCTGGCTAGGGCGCCGAATGTACGCGGCGTGTTCTCGACATTCTAGAGAGCAGACCTCCGTAATGCAACGATACGGTGAGAGGAATCTGTGAATGTCGCACAGCCTTCGCTTCACAGATAATCTATCAGAGCCTGTGGACACTACAGTATCAGTCGCCGCCGTTGGTCAGCTGCAGCAGGGTACCGACGTTTTCAATCCAACTTTCCCGAAACATAAATCCAACTTGTCCGAGCGCACTGCACTCGGAGCGGGAGTAAGATGGGCGGCGCGCAGACACTCAGCTTGGAGGCGCGGCCGACAGCTGGTGGTGACAGTCGGCAGCAAGCGAGAATATTTGCTGTCGATTCTTCGTCGCGAGGCAGTATCTTCCTCCTTGATCCAGCAGATGCCAAGAGAAGCGCTTATAGACGCCACGATGGGCGCCTGACGCACCTTTGCGCGCGGAACCGCAGCGTATAAATTTCGAACTTTCGATGCAAGCAGCGACGCTCGTATTGCGTACAACGGATAATGAGTACACTGGATGTCAATACGGAGAATAATCCTTTGTGAACGCTCTTGGGAGCATGTTGATATTGCCGTCAAGGTTAGCGGCGGCTTTCCCGACCGCCGCCCGAACTTCTGACCTCCTCCACTTTAACCCAGTGCGTTGGCCAACCCGGAAAGCGCTGTGATCCACCAGGCGCGGTACAGCGCCTGCCAGCCTTCTTCATTGACGACTTTTTTAGCGCAGTCAATCAAGCCCAAATACGGATCCTTCTCGTGTCGGAGCCTGTTGCGCATTACATGATCAGCCACCACACCCAGGTGACAACTGAACCCAACTGACCCAATTACGTCCTCCTCCGCCCCAGTATATTCGGCATACTCCTCATTGTTGAGAGCATCGTCCTCAACTTCCTGGGCGACAGAGTTGTACTCGGGTGCCGCATGATTGCGCTGGATAGCAAGTTTGGACGCAATGACTTCCAGAGGACACAGGATGACTGTGCTAACGAGGCCGACGGCAAGCATGATACCGAGTTTCCAGAAGGAAATATTCCCGATCCAATTGTCTTCGCGACTCGGAAGACTGGGGAGGAGTAAACGCCGCAGCGAACCGATAAAAATGATCTTATAGGCAAGGTGCAGGAATTGCGCTGCGAGTAAACCGGGTGTGAAATAGATAATCCACGGTTTGCGCCGCTCTGTGGGAGTAAGAAGAACACGGAGAGAGTAGACGGGGTTGAACCAGGGCAGTCTGTAGGGGGTTGTGATCGATCTGCAAATCATCTGTGAGTGCATGAAATACACACATATGAAGCGAACGCACCGAAAAGTAACAACCACAGCGGGAAGGTTCAAGATTAGGGCCACGGTTGCGTACGCCAAGGAGCCTAGGATCCCGGTGTTCGGTGCACGAGCTCCATACCGAATAGCACCGGTGTCGAGTGCAACAATGACAAAAAGTGTGAGGGCCACAGTCTCCAACAGAGCGGGCACTATCAGAGTCAGTAGAGCTCACGTTCGTACGACTGTTCAGCTGGACGTACTAGTGCCCTTGTACAGTCCGCCCCAACCCTGTAAAGTGACATCAGCAATCCACAGCTCCATAGTGTGCCCGGTCATACACATACCTCGATGCGCTTCACTCTCTTGAGCATGCCAAAGAAGGACGTAACGATTGGGCCGGTGTGCGGCTCAACATTACCTTCGGCATCCAGCTGAATCGACTTGGGGTTGTAGTTCGTCCTCAAACGTACGAGCGCACCGACAATAGGAATAGCTATAGCAAGGTAGGCACCTAGCGATAAGAAAACACCTATGGATTCCAGCAGCATCTTGCAGGCTTTGGTAGTGGTACTAGTTCAAGGATAGGGCGACGTGTCGCTGATGCTGCTCCTCACTACGCAGCCACACACGGACGCCGCCTGACTGCGGCAGGATAGGCGCTTGATGAGACGCCGCTATACGGGGTAGACAGTGAGCTCGGCATCTTCCATACACTCTTGATCTTGAACCACCACCATCCCCTGTTCCCGCCTGTCGCCGTCTTGTCCCCAGCATGCAATTGTTTCCCGGCTCTGTCTCTCCTTGTCTCAGATGCTACTGACGTAGTCTCAGTGCATTGATAGTGTGCCATATGGCTATCCTCGAACAACGAACACGTACCTCGCGCTGTGGATAGTTCTCATGGAGAGCTGTCGTCTGTATACTCGACTATACCCATCGTCGACGTATGACATCCCTCCGATTCGCCTTTCATACCGGAGGCAGGGTGTCTATCGTGGATATTGGGCCCAGAGAAGTGCGTACTCCTGCTTGCAAACTATGCTGTCTATTTCTTTCCCGAAAAAGAAGTAGAAAAAAAACTCGAGTTGCTCTCTTTTTGCGGCACTCGCGTCATTTGCGCTGTCCTCCCGACGTCCCGCGGCACTTGTGTTCCTCTTCGAGCATACTTTACAGATACTGAACGACAACGTTACTCCAAAGTTATGCCAGAATCTCAAAATTTGAGACTTGGAGGAAAGCGCCATTATTTTCGTCCGGTCTCTGGGCCGAGGCGACTCAGGGGCCGTTAATGTTTCTAATTATTACAGGTTTTGATCCAACAGCTTTCGTTGAAGTCATGCGGAGACACCTCATCCCTATCACCCCTTTCTCTCTCGACCTCTGCTGTGGGCGACGGCGCCTTGTTAAATTGCCCGAGAAGAACCGCATCGGGCTCGTGTCGCCGCACCTTTTTTACCTTGCAACTTCTCATCGATTTATCCTGAGCTGCCCATGGATCCTAGTCAATCCGAAGCTTGTTGTACTGAGGCGCTGGGTCTACGGCGGGCTTTGTCGTGTGACGCGTTTGTTGTAACGCCGTCGGACGAGTAAGATGTTGATGCACTGGTCTGCACGCATTGTGCCGAGGTGAGAGCTGTCGTCGTTATCTCCCACAATGCAGCGTTGATGTATTCTTGAACAGTCTTCAGGTTTCTAGCAACCGCGAATCATCGCGTGAACTATCGCAGTATCACTGCCGCACAACGGCTGTTCTGGTCCAATGCCTGCATGCCAGTCGTCCTCATGTCTTGCGTCAGTAACTGCAATCATTGCCAGCTCTAGTGGTGACCATGTTACACTGCAGCGCGCCGATGTCTTCTGCTACCTCTCGCGTTCGTCTATCGTGTCGTCAGCCCTCTGTATATTTCATACTGCAATGCAATTTCCTTCATTCAGCCGTGTCAATGAGCCGCGCGATGAGTGGTGCCGTTGTGCACGTCCTCGAGCTGCAAGGCGTGATGAGCGAAGCAGATTGACGGTGTAGCACGGGCCTGAGCTACTCATTTATCTTTCTCCCGAGGTCTTAGCCAACGCCGTCAGTCATCGTTGGTGTTGCAGTACTCTTTGTTACTGTTTTATTCGGCCACGCAGCCACTTTTGTTTGGCTCCGAGTTTAGGGTTTCCCACCCTGTTGTTCACCGCCATCTTGTCCCGACCCTCCTCGAGGCTCGGTCGACTCCGTCTCCCAACTACATACTAGCGACAAATAGCAGTAGAGTACTGGAAAATGTCTCTCACGACGGACCTACAGGCGAGACGAGTCAGTCATTTTTAGTTTTGTCGACATTTTGAACGGCATCCTCACTGGCACGCATCCTGTCCCGTTCCGTCATGTCAGAAAGCGGCCCTAGAGCATCTCAAGTTTAAGAAGTCCGCGAAACAGGCTCAAAACTTAACGAGCAACTCTTCCTCGTCATCGACAACATCCTGGACGGTTCCACAGGCCGCTTATGGAACACCGCCGGCGCAGTCGCGGGATGGTACGGTCTCATCGCGGTTCTTCACTGCGACCCCGCCCTCGGCGGGCAAGATCCTCGTACCTGACTCGAGTCCACTGTCTGCCGATAAGACTTATCGTGACAATCGAGGTCTTTTCGAGAGTTCAGACGACTCAATACCCGGGCTGAACCATGCCTCTGTCGATGGCCACTCTCGCTCATCCTCCACCGTCGATGTGCTCACTTCCGCCAGCGGGTTTACGTTAAATAAAAGACCGGCCGACGCGTTTTCCACGCATACAACCAGTATCAATGGGCTAGGAAGCTCCATGTCACCACCTCCAGTGAATGGACACGATATTGAACGTCCCCGCAAGCGACAGAATCGTGGCGGTACCCCACCAAGTCCGGATCCACTGAACCTCTTCGACATCCCGAATTCTCCAGAGATTGTGCGCCCAGGACAGCGTCGGAAATCACAGATGGCCATTGCGCTGTCCACGTCATCCGACGAATCGCTCGTGGAGTCGTCGAGAGAGGTCGCAGGACCGTCGAAACCACGCTTGGTTCGCGGCGAACGCTCTAGTGCGCCGACCCCCTCGTCGTCGACCGACCTCATCGCTGCGGCAAACTTCATACGCTTCAAGCTCACCTATCCAGAACAGCCAGTATCGCGCATACAAGGCGCATGGCAACAAAGCGGTGGGGACGAGAGCAGGGCCACTGCATTGTTGAATGACCCGTCGTGGCAGCCATCGCCCCTAAAGACAGCAGGTGTGTCGGCCTTGAAGCGTGCATCCGAGGCTACGGATGTCGGACGTGTGAAGGAGATCGAGGAAGCCAACAAGGCTGAACGCGCTCGTGTCAAAGAGATGGGCAAGAAGTCGATGATTTATGCGAAGCCTGGCCCTTCGTCGCCGGTGAAGACCGTTCCCAATACCATCCAGTCACCTTCTGCTACACCCGTCCCACCACCGACGACACCTCCTACGCCTGCTACTCCCGACAGCCCCGAGCTTAGTCGCCCAGCTCCGAAACGGCTGAGGAGGAAGATCGTCGAGAGCGACTCTGAACCCGACTACAGGGATAGTGACGATGATGAGACTGACTTCGAAGAATATAATGCCAATCAGGAAGCCGCGTTCGAGTACTTCAATACAGCTACTGCTGAGGCTCTGCAAGAGCTGACAGGTATGCAGTTGCAAATGTCCCTGAATATGCTGTGCCTAACGCCCCGCAGGCTGCAGCGTGGAACAAGCACAGAAGATCGTGGATCTCCGCCCCTTCTCTTCTATAGAGGACCTCAACGGGAAGCTAGGTCAAGGACGCAAAAAAGCGGGTCCAGCCGGACTCAGCCCGCGTATCTTCGAAGACAGTACCGTCATCTTCGCTGGCTATGGTACTGTTGACAGTATCGTAACGAAGTGCGAGAAGATTGCCGCTAGCCTTAGGACCGAGATTGCCAAGTGGACCGAAAACGAGGGGAAGGGTAAAGCGCGAGAAGGCTCGTTATCACGAGACTCTCCTGCTGTGTCTGAGGTGGACGGTTCCCTGTCTCTTCGCAGTCAAGTTGCCCTATCTTCGAAGAAGCCTGACTATTACATCTCTACGCAACCAAACGTTTTATCGTCTGACGTGCAGTTGAAGGACTATCAGATGATTGGCATCAACTGGCTTAACCTGCTATACAACAGGCATCTGAGCTGTATCCTTGCAGACGAGATGGGTGCGTCTTATTCGGTAATTCTTGTATCAGTAAGCTTATGGATTTCAAAGGTCTTGGAAAGACTGTACAGGTCATCAGCTTCTTCGCGTACTTGAAAGACAAAGGCAACAAAGGCCCTCATCTAATTGTAGTCCCGTAAGTGCCCTCAGAGGAAATCGTTTCAGAAACATTCACTTACATAAACCGCAAAGGTCGTCGACATTAGAGAACTGGCTCCGCGAGTTTCAGCGATTTGCGCCGTCAATCAACGTACGAGCGTATTACGCCGGCAAAGAGGAGCGACCTCTCCTGCGTCAAGAACTGCTGGACACACGAAGAAAGAAGGCTAACGAGGATGGCTGGGAGATTCTCATCACCACATATAACCTTGCTCAGGGAGACGAGAAAGACAGGAAATTTTTTCGCAGGATCGAGTGGGATGTGAGTGTGAAAAATTCCTTCGACAAACTGTTGTACTCATGCTTCACCACAGACTTGTGTCTTTGACGAAGGCCACGTTCTTAAGAACTTCCAGTCGCAACGGTATCAAGCTTTGGTTAGATATGAGGCGAACTGGCGTTTGTTACTCACCGGCACGCCGCTGCAGAACAACTTGCAAGAGCTTGTGGTACGTGTCCTGGTATCTCTGCCATGCCGCTCGCTGTCTAACTTCTGACTTCGTTAGTCTCTCATGAGCTTCATCATGCCTTCCCACTTTGCTGATAGCATGGATTCGTTGAAGGCCGTTTTCAAGACCAAGGGCGATTCCAAGGTTACGCTCCTTGCTCAAGAGCGTGTCTCTCGGGCAAAGAAGATGATGACACCCTTTGTCCTGCGTCGGCGGAAAGATCAAGTATGCGTGTCATCCACTTCGTCAGCGCATATCATAACCTGTATTATTAGGTCCTTCAAGACCTTCCAAAGAAGATTGAGCGGATCGAGTGGTGTGAGATGACGCCTCTTCAGAAATCGGTCTACAACGATGCACTTCAGCGATCCCGAAAGACAATCCTCGACCTAGCTGAAGCTGAAGCTGAGAAGGCGAGCGGAAAGGGTACGAAGAAGAAGACGAAAAGCAGTGCGCGGGCGAAGGACAAGTTCTATCTGGAGAATAGCACTAATGTCCTCATGGACCTCCGGAAGGCCGCTTCGCACCCCATGCTCTTCCGCCGGCGTTTCACAGACGACACCTTGACCTCAATCGCGAACATACTCCTGAAGGAGCCTGATTATAAGCAGAGGGGAGCGCGCTTCGACTTCGTCAAGGAAGATATGGAGGTAATGACCGATTCGGAGCTACAAGCATTCTGTGCGACATACAAGGTCTGTTAGCATAGTGGTTGCCGCCAAGATTCACTTGCTGATAGCTCCCTCAGTCTACGCGCAGGTTTCTCCAGAGCGAAGATTGTTATTTGCAGGCAGGCAAAGTCAAAGTCCTCTTAAAACTTCTGGAGGGATACAAAGAGCAGGGCCGGCGAGTGTTGATCTTCTCTCAGGTATGCAGCACGTCTAGTCGTGGCCGTAAACGGACTGACGTGTCGTTCGGCAGTTTACCCAAATTCTGGATATCTTGCAGAGGGTGTTAGATCACCAAAAGATCAAGTATCTTGTGCTCACTGGCTCGACGCCCGTCGACGCTCGGCAGTCCCTGGTTGATGAGTTCACAGAGGACGAGTCGATACAGGTGTTCTTGCTGTCCACGAAGGCTGGTGGGATGGGTATTAACCTCACAGCCGCGAGCGTCGTCATCATGTGAGTAATAATACCTCACAGTGCGTGCGCTTGGCGCTAACATACTTCGATAGGTTCGACCAAGATTTCAATCCTCACAACGACAAGCAGGCGCAAGACCGAGCGTATCGCATCGGCCAGAAGCTCGATGTTGAGGTCATCAAACTCATCACAAAGAATTCTATAGAGGAAGACATGCTTGAGCTAGGCATGACGAAGCTTGCCTTGGACGAGGCAGTCGCGGGCGAGGAGGGGGAGGAGAAGGTCGAGCGCGAAATGAAGACATCCCTCATGAACGTCGTGCGGAAGAGGCTTAAGGTTGAAGAACCTGTGGAGGAAGCCAGTTCGGGGATGGATGTAGACGCATCATAACGGAGCACGCAAAGAGAGGACGCACTTTGTGCTAATATCTAATATCATTGTTTCCTCGCATACTTGTACCACATGTCTCGCTATTTGTACATTTGCATCGCAACCATCCTGCATCGCACATCCAATAGATATCAATTTCAATTGAAGACGCTTAGTCCCCTGATCATTCTGTCTGTGCTGGTTCGGAAGTATTCGCTGTCGATGCCGTGTTCCTTCGAGTCCATTTGCGTGAGTGGGTTTCGGACAACATATTCGAGGAAGGGGCCGGCGTATATCTGGCGCATGACAAAGCGCAGCGAGTCGGCGTTGGGGTCGCTCAGCATAATGAATTTGTACCCAGACAGGGTCTCGTACAGGTGGAGTTTGTACGTGGACGTCCTATAGTTGACGAAGGTCTCGTCCCTGCAGATGTTCAGTATGCGTATGATATGACACCGTGTCGCGGCTCTACCTTCCAGAGAGCTTCTTCACCATGTTGCGCAGGGACAAGACGACACCATAGACGAGCTTGGCCTCTTCGTCGAACGGGAGCCCAGCGTTTGCTGGCACTCGTTGTGTCGCGCCAGGCAGGGGTGTGCGCGGAACCTCGTCATTGACAGCGATTACAACACCAGAGGAGGACGATAATGTGTTGCGTCGACTCGGATCGGTGGCAGCAATGTCCTTCTGCGGATAGACTTGGGGCGCCACGGCCGGAAGGACACCACCCTCATTAGCAATCCGAGGGGGCTTTGCCCTGTGCCAGTCGTGGTAGTATACACAAGTGCAGTGTCTGCATTCATTGCATCAGCATTCACATAGGCTAGATGAATCTGGCAATATAGCACACCTGTCGTAAATGTATAAGCTGTAGATGGTCATGTTGCCAGTGAGCCAACCGAGATCCTGGTCCCGATAACAGCCCAGAACAAGGGTCACACAGTCAAGCAAACGTGTCTGCATGCAGTTCTACCGTTCAATACTTCATGCGAGTGAATTTATGATTCAGAAAATACAGACCGTGCAGCAGCTGGTCGTCCGCCTCCAAGCTAGATAACTGCCGTAACGGGAACAGACTTTTGCAAGCGCTTCGCACTCAAAGTCTTCCGAGTGCTTGCACAACACCATATACCTCTTCTCCAGCCTATATCCACCATTCTAACAGACAGAATTCAACGCTTCGTCAGGGGCATGCAATTTGAAGTAATTGCGAAATGTCCTACAACAAATGCTCGGGTGTCGAGGATGAAGCTCGCTCGTGAGTCATGAGTCGTTTTGAAGTGCATCACTGGACTAACGCGGCGGTCTTGACCATACTAGACGGGGTGACCATGTTGCCCACATTCATGCCCGTCGCGACGCAAGCAGCAATCAAGGGCCTCACACCTCAACAAGTTGAAGCACTCGGCATCAACCTCATCTTGAATAACACCTATCACTTGAATCTGCGCCCTGGGATCCGGGTCTTGAATGAGGCTGGAGGTGCGCACAAGTTCCAGGGATGGAGGCACAATCTGCTCACGGTAAGTGATATGTGAGCTCATTGGGCCCGTGTGTGCTGAAGCTCTGGAGCAGGACAGCGGTGGATTCCAGCTCGTATCTCTGAACAAATTCACTCAGATCACGGAAGAAGGTGCCCTTTTCGAGAGTCCGTTCGATGGTAAGCCCACGATGCTTACTGTATGGTCTCATCCATCGCTTTGTTGTGTCGTTTTTGCTTACACTTTTTTTTTAATAGCCAGAAGAGAGTATATCGATTCAGCACGCTATCGGCGCTGACATTATCATGCAACTGGACGATGTAGGTGAGATTCAAGCATTTCTAGCTTTAAGAATGCTGACCTAGCATGCCATTTTCAGTCTCCAGCTTGACAGTCGGACCTCGTGTCGGTGAAGCAATGTGGCGGACAATACGCTGGCTCGACCGTTGTATAGAACACCACGAAAAGTCTGGCAAGGCAGACAGACAGAACTTGTTCGCTATTGTACAGGGCGGAGTCGATCCTGAACTTCGAGATCGATGCTTGGACGAGATGGTCGCTCGCAAGGATAGGGTCGCTGGGTATGCCATTGGTGGACTTAGTGGAGGCGAAGCGAAGGGTACGTGAGGTAGTTTCACAACTCCTGACTTGGTGCTGACATCAAATCCTAACTACTAGACACGTTTTGGAGGATGTGAGTAAATATTTAATTGGTATGTTGTCCTGTCTGACGTCTTTGCAGTATCAAACAGTGCGCAGACAAACTTCCATGGGACCGACCGCGATATTCTATGGGTATTGGCTTCGCCGAGGATCTTCTCGTCTGTGTGGCCCTCGGTGTCGACATGGTCAGTCCTTTTAGCGTAGAGGGATTATCAGACTGACATCATGGGCATCCAGGCGGACTGTGTCTTCCCAACCCGAACGGCGCGCTTCGGTGTAGCTTTGACATTCAGAGGACCGCTGAATCTTCGTCTCATGAAACATGAGAAGGACTTCAGCCCGATCGACCCTGAGTGCCCTTGCCCGACTTGCACGGATGGCACATCTCGCGCCATACTTCATCACATCCTGACAATCGAGACCGCCGGAGCGCACGGTGGGTTTCTCCGATCATATGACCAGAACAGCATGTAAAACCAATCGTTTGCAGCCGTGACACAGCACAACCTCGTATTCCAGGCACAGCTCATGGGACGCGCAAGAGACGCGATCATCCAAGGCACGTTCCCAGAATACCTCAAGAGTTTCTTCGCCAAGTATTTCGGTGGCAGGGGCTATCCTGAGTGGTGTATCAATGCTCTACGTAGCGTCGGTGTGGATTTGTTGGAAGGCAAAGAGAATATACAGATCCTTCCCGGCAACGCCAGCAGCTGGGACAGGCCATAGTAGAGAGGCAGGCTAGGAGGTATATACAGCAGGAAGGATAGCAATGTAGATGAGAAACACATCTATCGCTTGCCCTTGCCTTTGCGCGACGGTCGCGCGTTCTTTGCCTTCTTCCTCTCCGCAGTAACCCTCGCCTTGCGGACCTGGTCGACCGTCTTGAGCTCGTTCTTCACCTTCCCGATAGGCTTCCCGCCAAAGCGTGCGCCCGTCTTTTTGCCCTTGCCCTTGCCCTTTGCCCCTGGCGCAGGCCCGTTAGTCTCGCCACGCGTTTCGGCCTTCTTCTTGAGCTGGCGCGCCTTGCGCTCATAGTCCTTGCTGAGCTTGTGGAGCGGCTTCGCCTCTTGCACTTGGTTGTGCTTCCACTTGCGCCCGCCTGCGCCCATCGAGCCGTGACGTTGTGGACCCGCCGCCTCGGCCTCGCCGATACGCGGAAGGCTCACGCGGCTCTTGGCCTTCCATTCGTCGAACCGGCCGCTGCGGTACGTTGCAGGGAGCTTAACGCCGCTCTCAGTCTTGACGAGCTTCACGTTGTCCGCACCCTCGCCCGTGCCCTTGACAAACTTCTTTTTGGTCTTGTCCCAGTGCAGGTCACGACGCTTGCGCTCCTGCAGAGCTTCGTCCAAACCGAGATCAAACGTCACGTTCTTCGCTTGCTCTGCAAAGGAGGCACCGTCGCGAAGAGAGTAGCTAGAGAAAAGTGAGCGTTGGAAAAAAGGAGCCAGATGGCTGGCAACTCACCCCTTATCCGTGTTCGCGTCCTTTTGGTAGTGCGACATGTAATACTCGGAGTCGCGGTGGCTGTCCTTGTCTTTATTCCTCTTATCACCAGGGTCAAAGACAGCCTACTCGGGCGTTCAGTAATAATCTCCACAAAGGGGTGTGCGTGGCTCACAGCAATCTGCTCTTCATCCGCCATCTCCACTTCCTCGCGGCGTCCTTCATCCTCATGAGACTCTTCATCATCATTTTTAAGCGTGGTAGCAGACGTTGAGGCATTCTGCTGTCTCTGTGCAGCCCTGCTGAGTGCTTTCCGACGTTGCTTCATGAGTGCAGCAGTCTCTGCGTTCCCTCGCGCACCGATCTCGAGCACAGTCTCCGCCGGTCTGAATGCGCTGACCGCCATGAGCAGCTCTTTGCGCCTCTTCTCTTCCCCGAGCTTCTTCGCTATGCTGCTGCCATCCTTGCTACGCAGGAGCACGGGGTGCGGTGTCGACGTCAAGCCCATAAGGCCGTTCTTGGGCTCCTTCATCATCACCTTTGCACGGTTGTAGCTCGCCTGGCTCGCCTTGCCCTTGCTACGCTCGTACATACCATGCCCCTTGCGCATGACCTCGCGCAGCGGAGCAAGGTTGTGGTCCTCCTCGTCGAGCTTCTTGATGTACTCAACTTCCTCGTCCACACGGTCACGGTCGAACGGGCCCAGAATGAGCGAATCCGTATACGGCTGGTCGCCATCCGTCGCAACCTCGCTTTTGATCGGGCGACCCAAAAAAAGCTGCAAGTCGAGCAGGTACGGTAGCTCTGAGTTGGTGATGAAAGACCATGCCCAGCCTGTACGGCCTGCGCGCGCGGTACGGCCCACACGGTGCACGAATACACGAGCACCTTGGGGAAAGTCGTAGTTCACGACGTTCTCCAGCACAGGGATATCGATGCCACGAGCAGCGACATCGGTAACGACAAGGATGCTGGTGTATCCTCTGCGGAAGTGCTCCATCTGCTGTGTTCGTGCTGCCTGGTCAAGAGAGCCGTAGATGTGCGAGACCGCGTAGCCGGCGGAGGTCAGGAGGTTGGTAAGGTACTCGACATGATGTTTTGTTGCAGCGAAGACAAGTGTTTGATGCGGCGCGGTGACGTAGTCGGAGTGTTTGGCTCTCGCCTTACCTTTGCCCTTCTTATCCGTGCTCTCCTCGCTTTCTTTCTTCTTGTTACTTCCTAAAGGCACACCAATAACGTCCCGAAGAAGGATGAGAAGCGAGGCCTCCTTCTCCGCTTGCTTGACAGAGAAAAATGCTATGCGGAGATCGGTACTGATTTTGCCCTCTGCATCCAGACGGACAAGCTTGGGATTTTGGAGGCCAGCCTTGGCAAATTCGACCAACGATTTGGGTAAGGTAGCTGAGAACAGCAGAGTTTGGCGGGACGCAGGGAGTCGGTGCAGGATCTCGGTGAGAGCGGTCTCAAAGCCCATCTCGAAGAGACGATCAGCCTCGTCGAAAACGACATATTGAACCGACTTGAAGTCCAGGTTCATCTCGACGATAAGATGCAAGAGACGTCCAGGGGTCGCGATGATGCTGCCATAAAATGTAAGAAGCTAAGTACAGGAACACACTGACGAGAACGTACACGTCCGGATTATTTGACATCATCTCGAACTGCTCGTCCATGCCTTCACCGCCAACGATGAGACCCCATCTCAATGCCTGCCCCTTCTTCGAATATTCTCCTTCCTTGTCTCCGGCATGCTCTCCTTCACCAGCATGGTACCCACGCGAAAGCTCCTTGCCGACCTTGAGGACTTGCAGAGCTAGTTCACGAGCAGGAAGCAAGATTAATGCACGAGCACCGAAAGCGGTTGAGTGTCGGCCTCCTAAACGCTGTACAAGAGGAATGAGATATGCGAGGGACTTTCCAGAACCCGTTCGTGCCATCCCGACCAGGTCGCGTGGAGGGTTTGTCAGAAGTGCAGGAATGGACAGTCGTTGGATTGGCGTAGGTATTCGGAAGCCTTGCAATGTGAGCGAGCGCAAAAGCCACGGATATAGACCTGGCAAAAGTATGTAAGGGACAGGACTAATGGCCTGCGAGCGAAGCGACGCACCCATGCTCTGAAAGCTGCCTCCACCGACCTCTCCCTTGGCAATCCTGGTCTTCCCCTTCGTCTTCTTGAGCATTTCCGTACCCCCTTTTATGTCCCGCTTCGCTATCGATTCGCGAATGATCTCCTCAAGGTCCTCCTCGCTCTCATCTTCCTCGAGCTCAGCAGGGTTTGGTCGACGCCCATGAGATAAAGTCTGTTTGCGACGTTTCTTGCCTGTGAGCGCAGAGGAAATGTCAATGTTATTCTCATTACTGGAGTCGCTTTGCGACACAAGGTCGTCGTCTGACCATTCCTCGCTGCGCTTTCGTTTTTGAAGAGCCATGGCTAGAGTGAGCGAAATCCAGCGCCCGAAGAAAATCTGGATGAATTGTTCCGCGGAGACTTGCTAAGATCTGGATCTTATCTTACATCCATATTAGGGAACTCATTATTGATGGCCTTGCATGAGAGTCATCCCATTAACTCGCAGGTCGGGCACCCTGGCTAGGATTGATATTGCTGTACGACTGCAGGTGAAGAGGAGGAGAGTTCCAAAAATACAGGCAAGGTCTACTCCTGCCACGAGAGCTAGCTACAAGACGTGAGATACCAACAGATGAGGGCGCCGCGGTCAGATGTATACAAAAAAACATGGGGGGTATCAACCTTGAACGAATCTTTGCGAAGAGAGAACAGACGATTGTCACAACTAGGGTGTGGTTTTTACATTTAGTAGACTGGGGCTAGCGCAAGAGCGTCACGTCGACGTAAAGCTTGTCACCGCCATGCAGCCGAGCCAAGCCATCTCGACCGCCGCGCGTCCGATGGGCGTGAGTAAGACTTCCTCCTCTTCAACCACATCGGTCTCGCTCGTCGGCTGCCGTGGCGGGTTCAGCGTGGGCATGCACAGCCCAAGCTTCTGTAAACCCTCAGGGTAGAACTCCACGCCGCGCTCCCGACCCATGCATGACCCAATAGCGATGTCGTCCAGCTTCTCCTCGCGAATCGACGGCGGCGGCAGGTAGCGTGTCGCTTCTTTGAGGGAGCCCGTTACCGAAAGCCCGAACGAAGGCACGCGGACGCCAGTTTCGCGCAAGTCGATATACGATACGAGGCGCGCGACTGCCTTAAAGCAGCGCAATGAGATGATGCGGTCGCGGTCGTTGAGGGTCATGGAGGAAGCAGTCGCAATCGAGCGGGTGTCCGCCCGAGCACGCTTCTTCTGGTCCGACTTCTTCTCCTCAATCTTTTCCTCGAACGGCACATAATACACGAGGAGATACTGGCGCTCCTCGACCGGAACAAAGGACGACGCAGGGTCCTCGCCATTTTCGCTCGCTGGATCGGTGTCACCAGGCCAGAGTGGCAAGAGCATGTACAGAGAGTCTGCGGGCACATTCTCGAAGATGGTGGTCACGTTGGGATGCCTCGAGCGCTTGCCCTTGCTAGAGCTCGCCTTGTTGCTGATGCGGGCAGTGGGCAGGAGACCGACATCCTTGAAGGACTCGTTGAGATTCTGGATAACGCGCTCGCGTTCCTCCTGCTTCGACCGCGGAGCCATCGTTAGCCACGGCGGTGTATAGTTGCCTTCACGCGGGAGGGCTGGGGGCATGGTCGACTGTGGGGATTTCGAGCTGCCTTTCGAAGACCCTAGAAGCTTGCGACGAAGTGATTGGACCAGACCGTGCGAAGACGGCTCTTCCATGCGACGGTCGGTGCGTGTGCGCTCAAAATACGACGAGTCAACAGTTGCGAAGGCTTCCGCGTGTGAAGTTCGCGGGGGTGAATCTTCGTCGTCCACGTCCAGTGAATTCCGCCTGCTCCGAGACGTAATTGTGGTCACGGACTGGCCTACAAGCGTGGAGTTGCGGTCCGCCATCGTACTTGCTTCACCCTGCGAGAAGCTGTCACCTGAGACGCGTATCATCTCCGAGGCGTCGATGCTCGATGAGGACAAGGCGGAACTATGGCTACTCATGTTGCTCTGGGTCGGCGGAGGAACTGACGGCGGTAACGTAGGGGATCGGGAGGATGAAGACTCTGCTGGCGCCGACCCACCCCTGGTGGTCGAACATTGGCCGCGCTGGTCACTGACATAGCCCTCGCTTTGCGATCCGTCAGCAGGAGCATGGGGTGTGCCGGGTCTGCTACGAGCAGATATCGCGCTGGAAACCATCGTCCTAGTCTGGGAGAATGACGTCGAAGTCTCAATCGTGCCAACGTCTTCCAGCAATCCATGCGAGTTCAACCTACTCGTTGTCCTGGTACTCGTATATTGCTCTTGAACTTTCTTGTTGGCAAGCAAAATACTGATGCTGGTGTGCATGGGCTGCTTGTGTTGACGATGCGAACGGCTGAACAGGCTATGGTTGCGGAAGATGGAGAAGGCAATAGCACGAGAATGCTTGTGAATGACAGAGCCTGGTCCGCCGAGCTTGTTGCCTTTTGAGAAGGGATCTGTGACATGGCGCACATTCAATCGTTGCTGAGGCGCTTTCGGCGGATGATCAGCTGTCGACATAGCTCAGCGTTCGTCTGCTGGCATCATAGTCACTTGGCACTCACGATTCATTTTGACTCTGTCCACCTTGAAACGACCGACGTACGCCTGCCGCCAGAGTTCTTGTGCGCCGGGTTGCATATTTTGATGTCTGTTCTCCGACGTAGTAGGCGTAAGCGGCATGCGATGCGGTCCACGGCCATCAGTGGACTCTGGCCTAAAGCTCCACTCGATCCTTCTGGTATTATATAGGGAATCCCAGTCGCGAACATGACGAGTGAACGCGTCTTCACCGCTGTTGACCGTAGCTGTGCTCGGTCGTCGATGGAAGGCAGCATCCCACGCGGCACCGAGGCCACCGGGGTCGCCAGCTTCATCGGAACGACGCGCCTGAATGTAGGACGGAGCACCAGAAGACCAGGATTTTCGGCTCCAGTTCTCCCTACCGCCGCCGAGGATATAGTCGAGATTGTACTCTCCATACTGATATTCCTGTTCCTCCGAGGGCGTCGGTTGGGAAAGAGCTTGATCATCGAACTCCGCACTCCTCAAGCTAACGGCTGTAGCCACCTGAACGTCCGGGTACATGGTACTCGCAGTGAGGTCATCGTCGACACTGCGGCTCGCCCTCCTAGCAGTCACTGTAGCAGCGCTGTCCTCTCTGCCTCGAGTAACGCCGGAAGCACTGTCGCGGAGCGGGGCAGAAGGTATCTCCCAGGGTAAACTCGCCTTCCTTTGGGCAGGTAAAGATGGAAGCGGACGGTCACCATCGTCGAACTGTTCGTCTTCCGGATCTGGTGCGAAGCTGACGGGCGATGTGGAATCCATATCATCGTCGTCATCCAAGACGCTGGGGATGGAGCTTGCGTGCATAAAACCAGAACTGTAGTGATTAAAGCTGCCGCCGCCGAAAGTATGCTGGGACGCTGTGTCCGAAACGGGAGGGTCATGAATAGCGGTGGTTCCGGGTCCGTGCGGAAGGTCCAGTTCAACGTCTGTATCAAACTCTGCGAGCTCTGTCTCATCCTGGTCAACCTCAGAATCGTCATAAGCGCTTTCTGAGGCCGAGCTCCCACCAGGAGAGAGCTCAAGCGGTGTGCGCGGGGAAGAAGCCACGGCGTTCGAACTGTCGGTGGAGACATAAGGAATGTATGTGTTGGTTGGCAGCGACGGTCGTCTTGAACCGTCGTCGATAGCGCGCATCTTAGACCTAGTTTTACCCCTCGCAGCATCGTCCTCGTCTTCATATTCATCGTCCCCTTCATCCGGGTCAGCAACTTTGGGTGCGCGAGATCTATGCCTCCCGGAGGAAGTACTGGAAATGGACGGCCGAGGTGTCCGATCTGCACTACTAGGAACGCGGGTGAGTGGACTGATCATGTCAGATGTATCTGCGGGATGTGAAGGAGGCGGTGGTCGAGCTGCGCCAAAGGTGAATGTCGATAATCCTGAATAAATATCTTCATTGCAGTGCGACGAGGAGACGTCGACTAACGACGTAGTTTGAGAGGAAGGCGACGACAAACCGGTACTCCTTGGAGATGGAGGAGGATATAGAATGGTTGGAAGGGATGGACGCCTGGGATCAGTTACGGGTGGGGTGTTGCTGGGCCGACGCTGTGTCGTGCGCGACTGGGGATACGGCGATGGACGGACAGAGCTGTTGCTGTAGAGGACAGCCAAGTAATTTAGTACCGTCGTGTTCCACTGCAGAAAAGCGCAGAGATTACGCACTGGCCGGACAATGATCGTTTCCTCAACGACTGTGTGCTCAAACCTGGGTCCTCTTCCTGGGGCCAAGTCATGATGGGCCGACCTATGAAGGCCCGAGCGGCCTCAAGCGAACAGTCTACATCCATTCCCGGGTCAGACAACACGTATATAGATTGAGTAGAAGTCGAGCTGCCTGAAGGGGCCGATGCCTGGTCGTCAAGAGACATACTGGCAGTGGCTTGAGGATCTAACGGCGCTAGTGGGGCTCTGCGTGTGGTGGACGGTGTGGGACTGCCAGACGAGACGACGAGAACCGGGGAAATAGATGGGATAGTTGTGCGACTGTATGATATGGATGAAGGCTTATTAGATGTAGCAGATACGTTGTCCGGAGGTCGCTCGCGTTTTGATAGCAGCATCGAGGCCGTCAAAGCGATGTAAGTACCGTGGTACAGCTGCCCGGAAGAGCGAGACGAGGGAGTCTGAGAGAGAGGATGGAAGAGAGGATTGTCGTCAGCTCGCGGGTCGCGCAGACGTTGGAGGAGACAAGGGCATGAAGAGAGCGGACGAAATTGCAGGCACCGTCGCAGGAAACAGCAGCGCGCGTGACGTTTTGTGACGATGGTCACGGTGCATTTCCCAGATCGAGGACAAGGGGTTGCCACGTGGATCTGAAACAGCCTCCCCGATCGGGCGCGCGCCCCGCCCGACTCTCGACTCCCGCCTCGGCGATTGTTGCGGCTCCCGAGCCCAGGACCCCAAGCATCACAGCCGCAGCGCTTCGCGCATGTCGTCCAAGCAGAAGGTGAGTCGTACGCTTCGGCCGCTTGCCTGCAGCGCGAGGGCTAAACACAACAGTCTCCTTATCGAGCGAAGGGCGCTCCTGGAAGCTTGAGCCGTTCAGCTGGTGATCAGCTGGGGCGACGTTCGCAACTGGGAGTCACTATTTGAATATATGCCCGAAGTTCACTGCGGTCGGCAACTTGGCGAGTGCAATATGAAGAGAGGCATGGCAGGTGAAGGCCAAGTACTTGCTCTGAGCGACTAAGAAGTCAACAACTTTCACATTCCAGCTTCCGGAACGCCACGAAGGAACCTGGGCGCTGAGCGCTTCGCGACCGAGCATCGCATGCCCCTCTAGAAGCGAGCCGCTGGTCGCGGAATGCTCACCTGGGGCTGTTCCTTGGCTGACATCTCGCCATGCAGCAAGATGGAATGTCAGGTAGTTGCACTAGTGACCGGGACTCTGTCATGCTACTCAGCGCTCCAACATGCCCATCAGGCAAAAGTCCACCGTGATGACACACAAAGATACATTCCTCAACACCGAGGTCGAGGACCGGTGGGTGCTCCGGTCGGCCTGTAGCACGGGGAAAAAAAAATCTATGGAAGACAGACAGACATGGGGCTGGGGGCGTTTTGCATAGCCGCTTGGCTCCTGAATGTAAGATCAGTAGGTGAATTGCATGGATTATATGCAGAGTAGCCTGCTTGATAATGGTCACGATGAGAATCCTATGCATCTTTAGCTACATCGCCGGGGTTTAAACTGCGATGAGAGCCGTTTTTCGAGATGATAGCGCAGGATAACATAGAATATCGGCCTTTGTGCACTATACTGCGCTATAATGCTAAATAATCTCCGCCCTTTCCGCCAACGGCGACTGCTCCAAGCGTTCGATCGCTTCGGCTGCTAAGCACGTATAACGGCGGTCTGCCAGTGGCGATGAATATCATTCGGCGAACGACTCAACGTAATGACGTTGTGGAAATTCGTGTCTAATTTTTCTTGCCGACATTTCCAAGTTCCCCTCGGGATGCTGCACTTCATGCGCCACATTTCCTGCGGAGGCGGAACGCCAGGGAGCGCCCAATGCGACACACGTTAATTATGTCATCCGGTTACAGCACGCTCTCGGCGCCAACGCCCGCAGCTCATACCCTACTCCTACCACCTTCCCGACATTCAGGCAACATGAGTTGGTCTGGGTATGTACCATGTCCTACTGGTGGTGACTCTGCTAATGTGATGCTCAAAAAGCTTCAAGAAGTCTATGAACCGTGCGGGGACTACCGTGCGTTACCTAGGGCTGAGCGTCTCCCACCGCCATTCCCGATGCTAACCACACCTGTCTCTAGCTCCTGCAAAAGACGGGTCAGATTGAGCGCACTATCGATCGGGAATTTACGGACGAAGAGGTCAAGTACAAGACGTACGTAGCGTTTGGCGGCATGCCTGACGCAGGGGAAGCTGATGGACAGTGACTAGCTATGAGAAGGAGTGTCAGGCTCTGCACAAGGATAGCAAGGCCTTCATCGATGCCATGCGAGGTGTGGATGCTTGTCTGAAGTGTATAGAATAGGCTCTAATGTATCCGCACCAGCAATGACCTCTGCGCAAGCACGTCTCGCGGACACCATCGACGTCTTCTACGGTGCAGCTGACAAGTCATCGGAGGGAGCCATGGCTGCCCACGCCTACAAGCGAGCGGTAGAGGAGCTGGATACTGGAATTGGAAGGGAGATGGTGCGTTCTCAACTCTTACTTCGCTGTGGTGTTTTGGTGGGCTTAAATAGGACCTCGCAGGACGCTCCGTACAGGCAAACGATCATGGAGCCTCTGGGCAAGATGAACGCGTACTTCCCCGTAGTGAATGAGCATATCGGCAAGCGCAACAAGAAGGTACGCCATCTGTGATTTACATATAAACCGAATTACTGAGACCACGTTCGACAGCTGCTCGATTACGATGCTGCACGCAGCAGACTCAACAAAATTATTGCCAAGCCAAGCGAAGACCCAACCAAGCTACCCAAGGTACATACCTCACGTATTTGCTACGCGTAAGTAAATGCCATTAAAATCCCATATAGGCACAGCAAGAACACGACGATGCCAAGGAAGTTTTTGACATGCTCAACGAGCAGCTCATCGCCGAATTGCCTCAGCTGCTGGAGCTGCGTGTACCTTTCTTCGACCCAAGCTTCGAGGCCATGATCCGGATGCAGTGCAAGTTCGCCGAGGAGGGCTATGAGAAGCTGAGCGCCGTGCAACGGTACTTCTCGGACAGCGTGCGCGACGACTATGCCGCGGGCCAGCTGGATGCGCAGGTGGAAGGTGTGCTGCAGGAGATGCGCGAGCTCTCGATATGCGGCGCGAGCTGAAGGATTGGGCGGACTGTAGCAGTAGTAGACATGAACGCTTGGATTACCTATGTAGCATGCATTACGGATACGATACTCTTCTCGCTTTCATCCACTTTAGGGCGCAACAAAGGAAGGACGAGCTCCGGACAAGTGAACGTCTATAAGGTAGAATGAAACTGAAGATGAAACTGTTGACAAGGTTCTGCGTTGCCATTCTTCTCCTACCAAAAACTCGACCCTGGTCCAGCCCGCGTTTGAGAAAACCGTGACTCGAGCGATCCCTTGGCCGCCGCTGGCGCAAGCCTGGACGCGAGGTCCGAGTTTCCGCCATACCCCTTCTTCGGCGGTTGTGCACGATTAGGAGCCTTGCCACGACGCTGCTGCTCCTCGGCAGGCGCCCTGCCAGTTTTCGCGCGCGGGGCAGTGGAACGCGGTGGAGCATCACTCATGCGCGAGAGCAGCGCCGGCTCGTCGTAAGCAGATCCCTGGGCCGACCGCGCAGGAGCAGCGTCTGTAAGCCGTGCCATCAACGCCGGCTCGGGTTGCAGGGGTGGAGAAGTCGCAAACTTGTACGAGCTCGCTGATCGCGAGCCGGATGCCGCAGCGTGTCGTGGTAGCTCATCCATGCGCGGCTCCATTCGACGAGGTTCTCGGGGAACATCACTAGATATGACAGTAGAATAAGACGGCGGTGGATCTACCAGTCGATGTGCCCATGGCGGAGGCGGAGATCTCCCGCCCACGTCGCGAGTGTTGGGGCGGTAAGAGTCGCCTTGAGGTCTGGGTGGGGGGAGCAGCCTCGGGGGCGGGGATGGCAAGCGGCGAGAGTCGCCTCGAGGTCTGGGTGGGGGGAGTAGTCTCGGGGACGGCGAGCGGCGAGCGTAAGGCGGGGGAGTTACAAATCTCTGCACCCTGTCATCGTTGTAACGAGGTCGGCGCGCTGGAGGTAAGTCTCTATCGTCATCTCGTAGTCTCTTCCTGCCAGGTGACAGCGGCTCGCGACGGGGACTATTCGATGGAGAGTAATATCTCTGGTCAGATCGGACAGGCGAGGGAGGGTACCTTCTCTCGCGGAGCAGAGTAGGTGGAGGGGAGTAGTGGCCCATGCGTCCTTCGATTTCCGGAGGTGGTCCATGTCCTCTGTGAGGGCTATCGTCTCTGACAGATGCGACCATCCCATCGTCTCCGTACAAACCACCATACGCTGGTACATGATTCAGCCTATCTGCGAGAGGCGTGTCTCGGGCGTATCCATCGAAGCCAGTAGGAGTAGACTGATTTGCGCTCATAGAGCTATTCCGAGAGGCTTCAGACACGGCGAACGCGGCTTGTGGCGCAGTGCTGTTCTGGGCATTCGGAGTCGGTGGACTATATGCTGAACGATCCCCGCCCGCGTTCGTCCGCGTCTGCTCGCGCGTCTTGCTCGCCTGCTCGCCTTTGGGAGGCAAGGAATGAGCGACTGCCCGAGTAGTCCGCGTTTGAGCAACTGGAGGAGGCGGTGCGGGCGCCGCCCGGCCAGGGGGAGACAGACTCGGCTCGGGCTTGACTGCGACAGCATTCTTCTTTTTCTTCTTACCCTTCCCGTTCGTCGGAGTCGAGCCGACCTGCGGCGTCGTCGGTGTGAGGTCGGAACGGACACTTGACATCTGCACGGGGTTTCTTTGCGCAGTCGATATTTCCTGGGAGGAGTGCATAGGTTGGCGCTCCTCGGCGGACGCCGCAGGCGACTGGGTGTACCTGATCCTATTAATTCTGGAGCTGCCTGTGGGCGACATATTCTGCTCGACCGGCGGAAGGCCTGTGGATTCCGACTGAAGAGCGACTGTAGACAACATGCGGGTAGCAGCTTCCCCGCCGGTGTCTACTAAAACTTGAGAGTCACCGGTGGCAGTCAACGGAGGTCCAGCCATTGCTGCGAACCCAGAGTCGCTCTGCAAAGCTGACTGACGAACTTGGAGATAAGGGGTAGCGGTGACTTGGGTTCGAATGTCGTCCTGTGGATATGTCAGAGAGCCGTGCAAAGCGCCCGAGGGGGAGCCCTGGAATGAGACGGCCTGTGTGGAGGGTGAGCCAAGCATCTTAGGCAGATCTCGGCTTGGTGTGACAGTCGCAAGCGCGACTGCAACTTCAGGGGACGGTGAGACAGTCGCAAGCGCGACTGCAACTTCAGGGGACGGTGAGACACCATTGGCGGCGATTCGCGAAGATGCTACGACAGACTGTAGAGGCTCCGTCGCGGTATCCAGTCTAGCTTCCTTCTCTGCTGCTTTTGCTCTTTCTTCTGTCTCACGTTCTAGGCTCTCGGCTTCACGGGCGGCCTTCGCGCGTGCGTCGAGCTCTTGTCTCTTCTTATCTTCAGTTCGACGACGCGCACGCTCCTTGTCCTGCTTGCGTTTCTCCTCTTCCATAGCGAAGCGAGCCTGCTCCTGCTCCTGCGCTTCGGCTCTGGCTTGTTCGACTTTACGCTGCTTTTCATCTGCTGCGGCCTTCGCTTTCGCATTCTCTTCCGCGCGTCTTTTCGCTTCGTCTTCCTCACACCTCTTCGCCTTCTCTTCCTCGCGTTTCTTCGTTTCCTCTTGCTCTCGTTTCTTCGCCTCCTCTTCCTTGCGTTTCTTCGTTTCCGCTTGCAGACGAGCGTACTTTTCAGCTTTCGCTCCGGCCTCTTCAGCCTCGCGCTTCTGCCTTTCGGCCTCCGCAAGCCTGGCTTGTTGAGCAGCCTCGGCAGCTCGGCGTTCAGCCTCTTCTTCGCGCTTCCTCTGTTCCTCGGCCCTCATCTCTTCCTCCTCCTGTCGTCTCTTCGCTTCGGCCTCCGCACGAGCCTGTTCTTCTGCCTTGACCCGTTCCTCTTCTCGGTGTCGCTTCTCCTCGGCTTCTGCCCGAGCCTGCTCCTCTGCGGCAGCGAGCTCAGCTTCGCGTTTGCGCTCTTCGTCTTGGAGCGCAGCAAGCCTTGCCTCGTCGGCGACGAGTCTCTGCTCGCGGTGCTCGTGTATGCGCTCTTCTTTGTCGAACAACTCCTCGCAGGCAGCGACGAGCCGTTCCATCTGCGCCTTCTGGCGCTCCAGCGCATGCTCGATCTCCTGACAACGGTGCCGGAACCCCTGGGACTCGTCGCAAACGCGCTCACGTATACGACGGATGTCGTCCAGATCCGCGCGATGTTCGCGCAGCTCTTCGGCGAGACGGGCGGACTCGGTAGGGATGGCAGTGGAAGAAGCAGCGGGGACGCTTGCGCGGAGAGGTGGAATGGGCTCAGGGGGGCGCGAAGGAGCATCAGCTTGCATCTCTTCGGTAGACGACACGGCTTGATGCTTCGCGGCAGATGCGACGGGGGCACGCGGTGGCTGAGAACTGGAAGCGGCTGCGGCTGAAGGGGAGAAGACCGCAGATGGTTCATCCGCGACGACGTTTAAAGATGCCCCGATTGCGCTTTGACGAAAGTAAAAGCTAGTTGGTGTTGAAGGACTGGGAGTTGGAGGGACTAGTGACTTCGGTGCGGTCTTGAAAATTTCGGGAGATAGATTGAAGATGCCCGTGACGGGTGCGGATGCGGATGACGAAGCGACTGCCGTTTTCGAGCTCTGAGACACTGCAGACACGGGGGTCTCAGGCAGTGCAGTCGTACGATTTCCCGGGGACATTAAGCCTGCTAAGCGACCGAGCGACGAGGTACGATGCTGAGGATTGGGAGAGGCTGGTGGGGGAGATGGTGCAGCATCTGCATCCAGGTTCGGCGGGGCATTGGAGTCCGGGAGTGTCATCCGGCTTAAGAGTGAGGGTTGTTTGCCAATTGTAGAAAACTGGAAGCTCCCTTGGGAAGTGGTGCCGGGAAGGGACATCGCGCTGTCTCCCTTGGTAGCTTATTATTGCGAAGGAGTTGCGAAGGACTTTCGTTCGTAGCTTGTGGACAATGTGCAAAGGAGGTTCGCAATGATTACACGTTCAGGAGTGGCAGAGACGAGTGTAAATTCCTGTGCACTGCCCTGGACTGGATTTGGTGCGGTGAGGCGACGTGAGCCGAGGGGAGCAGGTCAAGGAAAATTTTGGAGCCTTGACATACAGATGAAAGGCTCTGGGCTCGCTCCGCTGTAGACCTGTGACCTATTCGATGTTAGCAAACTGAGACAGCTGTCAAGGCGACTGGCCGTCGCAAGAAAGAAAGACTCGGGTGGAGGTCAGAGGAAAGGGACCCTATCCTCGAACTCCGCTAATAGATCTATACGTTCACGGGCGCTTATCTGAGGCCGTCGGTGGCGACGGTGGCGGGCCCGGGGATGGGGCCGGCGGGCACTGTCATCACTAACTTTCGGCCGCTACACATACGCTTTCATGCCAGGGATCCACGTTCACCAGCACCTTCAATCCTTATCACAAGAGAAGCTAAAGCCTAGCCCGTATCTCTCGATACAATGTGTCCATTGCGTATATAGAGACGGTAAAGTAACTTCACAGAAAATATATGATACAATAGGCAATGCGATGAGATCTTCGAGGTAAAGCATAGCATGAGTTAAGCCATTGTGTCCAATTAATCTTGTTTGATCTTCTCAGCCTACAGGTAGCTGGTTTAAACACAGCATTAAGCCCCAAAGCCGCGGTATACTTACCGGCGCACTCGGCTGAGACCCCGGCTCGTCGTTGTGCTTCGTCACATCGCCCTTGAAATACTCTATAGTGTCTCAACGCGCCATAGGAGGTAGTAATATGATTTTTGTCACATACCTTTCCGCTGTTGCTCATCTGGCACGGCCTGAGGCTTGTTGCCCGACATGCCGCTGACACCCATAGGCTCGTCTTGGCCAGACGCAGTAAGCGGAGGCGACTGAGTGCCGAAAGAGCTGCCTGCAGACGACATTGTATGTGATGATATTGGTTGAGTGGTGAAAGGGTGGCTGTTTGGTGGTCAATGGCCCAAGGCTCTTATAGCTGACCATGTCTCCTCCTTGCTTGACGTCATGTCGCTGTCCCCCTCCACTGGCTCCATGCGCAACCACGCCTGTCGCGATCGCCGGACACATAATACTGTGTCTTCATATCATGAAACGCATTTCTCTCGTATGGACGACTGGGGAAGATATCAACGTTGTAGTCTGTGTGTAACCGTGGGAAAGCTGCTCGGAGGAGGGAGATGAACGCCACAATCCTCTTGATCACCGCGTCCATCAGCTTGACAGTGATCATCTCCGGTAGTCCGTTCCAGATATTGCAGGAAAATGCGCGTTATAGTCACAGGCAAGCCAGACCCTGCTCACCACATTCAGCTGGCATTGGCTGAGAGCCGCAATGTGACGCAGGAGCCTCTGGTGTCCTCGGCGCAGCGGTCTACAACGCTTTCAAGGCGTCCCCCAAGAATGAAGTGCTTGGTCTCGCACATTCACGCCCACGAGATGGGTTGAAGGTGCTCGACTTGCTTGAAGGAGAGCAGGTGGAGAAAGTCTTCGCGGAATTCAAACCCGACTGTGAGCTACAGTGATGATGTGCAAAGCGTATTCACCTGGGCTGATGTTGCGCAGGGGTCATCCATTGTGCTGCAGAGAGAAGACCTGACGTCGCTGAGAAGGTGAATACCGGTCGTCCATGCCGTGTCCCTTCATACACTAACAAAAGACTAGAACCCCGAAGGAGCCCAGAAGGTAAAGGTGGCACTTCCCTCATGAAGAGTACAATCTGACTGCACTGGCCTAGCTGAACGCCGATGTACCTGCAAACCTTGCAGCACTGGCGAAGTCTCTCAAATTTACCCTCGTATACATCTCTACCGGTCTGTCTCATCTCGCTGCCTAGTCTGATGTCATAGACCTGACGAGGTGGATTTATTCAGACTACGTCTATGATGGCACCCATCCACCCTACCCACCATCTGCGCCCACAAACCCCCTGAATCTCTACGGCCGTACAAAACGTGATGGCGAGTTTGCTGTTCTTGGCGTTACCGGTGCGAAGACGATTGTCCTACGAGTCCCTGTTCTGCAAGTGCCCTTGATATGAGACCCATCCCGAGATCTAACCGATCGACAATCCCAGCTACGGCCCTGCACCCAACAACAGTGACACAGCGGTGAACATTCTCATCGACATCGTCTCCGACCAAAGTGGCAAGACGTACAAGATGGACCACTACGCTACGCGCTATCCGACAAACGTCCTGGACATCGCAGACTTCCTTGTCCGCCTCACCTGTGAGTCCCCCGGCCCTCCCGCTCTTTATGACTACTTGAACATGTGCGACAGCCCTGCCGCCGACGAAAGCGATACCGCCAATCCTACATTATTCGGCCGAGGAACCCTTCACGAAGTACGAAATGTGCCTGGTCTTCGCCAAGATCTTGGGTCTGCCGCACGGGCACATTGTTCCTGATGCAGAGCCATACACCGTACGTAACTGCACGCGGTGCCGGCAAACATGTGTTCACAATTCCTAGGGTGAGGCAGCAACGACTAGGCCGCGCGACTGTCGTCTGTACACGCACGAGACCGAGGATCTCGTGGAGGGTTACGGCAGTCTTGGGTGGAACCCGTTCGAGGAGTGGTGGTCTGCACACCTGCAGAACAGGCAGTAAAAGGCTTGTAACGTGGCCGTGATGAACCGAATAAGACCCTGAAGCTATGGAAATTTCGGCATAACCAGGAGACATGCGTAGATGGCATGATGGAACGTGTGTCGACTTGCTGTCTAGATTGCCTAAATCTGAGTGGCTGCGCGCCTTTTCGATCTGCGAACGAGCCTAAACAGCATGTCGCGCCTGCCTTTCAGACTTAGATGCGAATAGATTATCGCAGTAACAGATTGAGTAGATCTAGTAGTACGTGCATGGCAAGTACCTCGGGAGTTCGAACGGCGCCGCTCGCGGATTGTAAACCTTATCGGAGCGCCATGCATTCGCTACGGCTACGTGCCATCAAGAGCTGGCCCGGAAACTACAATACAAAAGATGGGGACGCCCAGACCGTCGAGAGCGCGGGATGAAATCGTAGACGACGAACGGCACGAGGCATTTATACTACAATCAGATGAAACAACTTTGGCTACAGAATACAGGAGGTGACTACGTATGACGAGCTAGAGATAAGTAAGCAGCATAAATAAGCAAGTAGCATAAATAAGCGAATGTGATGAGTCGGATGACAGGGAAGTGGGAAGGCAACCGCTCGCGAGTCTGACTGATAACTTCGTACGAGTCCTACATCGCCAGCGACTGCGTATACGCCCACTGCCCACGGAGCAGCCCGTTGCTAGACGACAATTCCCGATATTCGACTCCGTCCCTCCTCAGCCAACGAACCTCAACGTGGCGCAGCGTGTCACAGTGCTCGCCGAGCACCCGGATCGCCCGCTTGTTTTCGCCGAGATTGGGCATGGGCTCCGGAAAGACTGTCACCGAGATGGTGTGCAGGTGGTGCAGACCACGCAGCGCCGCGCCCATCTGGGCTAGGGCCGCCTTGAAACAGATGGTTTAGCGTGCGTTTCTAGCGGCTATCGAGATTCGGAAGGACTTACGTTGAGTGTGCCCCAAGACAACGGCCGCTCTGTCCAGCCCGGCCCGAGGTCGAACTGCACGCAGAGCACCAATAGTCTTGGAAAGCGCGTAGCGAGTGTGTGGAATGCCGCGAGGATGCCGTGAATGTTGTCCACCTTGAGGCTGAGCTGCAGATACGCCAAGGCATCGGAGCTATCACCGGCGGCTTGCAGGAGAACATCGTAACGTTCTTGGTCGAGCCAAGAAGTGATGAAGATGGCTTCGAGCCGCCTGCATCTTGCCAACGATGTGACGTCTTCAGCATCGTCAGACTTGATCGCCACGAGGCAGGGTGCAAACTGAGGGAAATGTAGGGTGTCGGAGAGGAGCCTCGGCCAGGCAGGAGGGGATGGGCCCCTGAGCTCGAGGGACCGCAGTGAAGAGGTAAGCGATAGAAGTCTTACTAGGAGGGTGCACGTTTCCGCGTACGTGTTTGATGGGAACATAGGCCAAATGAATGAGATGTGGCGTACCCATGGGGCGGGATGTTCAAGGGTCCCACGCGGTCCGATATCGGAAAGCAGCTCGAGCACAGACCGCGGATGAAAGCGTCGCCTCGTGTGCGGTGCGTACTGTGGACCAGCGTCACTTGCGGGAAGGTTAAATCGAATGTTCGCATACAGGCATTCTCCGCAGACGGTGTAGAGACGTCTGGAGCCCGCGCGCATCAGACGCGAGACATCGCTGCGGTCGAGTAAAGGCGGTATATGGCGTAGAATCTCTGGGGGTATCTGATCCATGGAGAGGCGTACTCCTTGCACAGCGACCGAGGGGGCTCGGTCTTATATAGACGGCGTGGCGTTAAATTGCTAAGCATGCGGAAACAGGATTCCCAAACTGGCCAGCGTAGTCGTGGTCTGTATTCATGTCACCGCCGTTTTTTTTGGTGCGCACACGGGCCTGGGGATATTATGATGGATAAGCGTGCTGAACAAGCTCGACACTGCCCGTAGTGGCTTCGAGAGCGCAGCCTCCGACTGCAGTTGCCCGGAGACGTCGGAGTCGTGCCTCGGAGAGGGCAAGCCAAGGATGCGGCGTCCGAGGAGGTAAAACTGTTCCGGATCCTCTGGAGGCGCTGCGGACGCAGCGGCCGCGTGAACTTTGGTTGTCAGGAGCGGGAGGCCCAGGGAATCGAGGATCAATCCAGGGTTGCCAAACTGAGCCCCGACACTCACCGCCACGTTGGGGCACGTGACACGGCTTCGCCAAAGCGCCGGTGTGCAGCCAGGTCGCGAAGCCAGCGGCGGAGAGCACACACCCTTCCCCTCGACGGCCACCACCGCCTTTCTCTACGCCGACGCTGTGCACCGCAGCCTTGCGGACGACCATTCCTAAGACGTACTCGAGAATACCGCAAGTCGTCGCGTGACGCAGTGGCTCGGCACCATGGGTCTTGTGAACCGCTGGTACCAGACCTGTGCAGTCTTCTCCTCGCTCGTGCTCTGCACGCACGCGTTCTACCTCCCGGGAGCTGCGCCACATGACTATCATGCAGGCGATCAAGTCAACTTGCTGGTAAACGCACTCACTCCGATGCTTGCGGGGAGTGACAATGCAAAGATAGTGCGTATACCCATCCCTGCATCCTCTTCTCCGATCACTGACCCTTTTCGGAATCAGAAATCCATGATAAACTGTACGCTATCCATTTTATATCCTGCGTGTGCCCATGACTGAGCGCGACACCGACGTCGACTCCAGACGACTACTACAACGATGGATTTGATTTCTGCCAACCTCATGATGGGCCAAAGAAACAAGCCGAATCTCTCGGATCCATCTTGTTTGGAGACAGAATTTTCAATTCGCCATACAACGTGAGCTCTTGGTGCGCTGGTTGCATGCAAAGCACACAGCTTTACAGACGTTCAGATCAAAATGCTCGAAGACAATGCGACATGTCAAACGCTGTGCCGTAAACTCATCCGAGCGGGGGGCGCCAAGTTTATCAATGACCGGATACGGGAGGACTACGCGTTGAACTGGCTGATAGACGGCCTTCCCGCCGCCGAATTGAAGTATGACCCAAAGACCAGCGACCTATTCTTTGACATGGGTTTCAATCTCGGAAATGATGAAGATGAATTCGCCGAGACGCCCGCGCTTAATAACCACTATGACATCGTGCTCAAGTCAGCTCTGCTGTCTTTGTACTATTTGCTGTTCTGACAGTACTCTTGCAGGTATCACAGCCCCCGCCCAGATGTTTATCGAGTAGTCGGTGTGCTGGTATGGCCGTCGAGTCTCGGAGGAGATCAGGACGCCGAACCGGACTGCAACGCCGTTGACAGTGGCCCCGCTTTGATTCTAAGCGAGGAGTCGGCGACGAGGATACGATATTCGTATCGAGTGATGTGGAACGTATGTTATCTCAGCATTTCTTCGGACACATAATGTCGACAGCACACAGGAATCTGATACTCCTTGGGCAACCAGATGGGACAATTACCTTCACATCTTCGATCCTGTAAGTACAAACAAAATAGCCCTTTATAGCATATGCCTTACTAATGCGCATGAATGGCAGCGCATCCACTGGTTTAGTTTAATCAACTCCTTGGTTATTGTTGTCTTCCTTTGCGTGATGGTGTCCATGATCCTTCTGAGAACCGTTTCGCGAGATGTAAGCTTCGTCTTTATTTCAGCCGCGTATGGGTTACTTAACTCATTTCTCTACAGATCAGTCGTTACAATGCGATAGACCTGAGTGTGAGACCATTCCTTCATTGTCGTCTTACTGGATTGCCGTAACATTCTTATCGCAGGAAGACGTCCAGGAAGATTGGGGTTGGAAACTAGTCCACGGAGAAGTCTTCCGCACACCGCAGCATACTATGACCTTGTCCGTGCTCGTCGGTAACGGCGCACAGCTCAGTGCAATGGTCGCAGTGACGCTTGGTACGTATCCCTGGGGTAGGGTTGCTGCTGCGCTCAAGTGTTGATTTCACGCTGTGCAGTGTTTGCCCTACTTGGTTTCCTGTCACCTTCTAATCGGGGATCGCTCGCTACGGTCATGATGATTTGTTGGACATTCTTCGGGTGGTAAGCAGAGGATTTGCTGCATAGTTTCGCCGCTAAATCTTAGGCAGTGTTGGAGGATACTTCTCTTCCCGAGCCTATGCATCTACAGGAGGCACTAACAAACGCAAAAATACTTTCCTAACAGCTGTGCTCTTGCCAACGTACGTCTCAGTAATGCGTTGTATGCTTGCTCACTAACGCGAACCGCAGCATCGTCTTCTCCGTGATGTTCCTCCTCAACTTTCTCCTGCTAACGGCCGGATCGTCCGGTGCTGTGCCCTTTGGTATGCTGTGCAAGCTCTCTGAACTGTAGTGACGATTTTCTCACCCTGCCTCTAAGGCACTATGGTACTGATTGCTCTCCTTTGGTTCGGCATCTCTGCGCCACTGTCCGCGGTTGGCTCCTACTTCGGTTCTAAGCACGGGGTACGAGCACCCCGTTTCTGGATCCTGCTACAGCATCCGCTTACATGTGCACAGGCTATCAGGCATCCCGTTCGAGTCAACCCCATTCCGCGACAGATACCTCCGGTACTGTGGTATCTGCGACCATGGGTTAGTAATCGGACAGTGTTTCATTGCGGCACGTGTGCTGATCGCCGTCGAAACAGGCTTCGACATTGTTTGCCGGCATCCTGCCCTTCGGTCGGTTGTTTCCCCTGCCTGCGGTCGCGACCCCCGCCTGACGCTACCCGCATGTTCCAGGTGCTGCATTCGTTGAGCTGTACTTCGTGATGTCCAGCCTCTTCGCATCGCGGGCGTACTACGCCTTCGGCTTCCTTGCGTTGACAGCCGGCGTCACGGCGCTCACGACTGCGACCGTCTCGATCCTGTTCACCTACTTCCTTCTTTGCGCAGAAGAGTACCGGTATGCTTCTTCCCTTTTGCAGCTCACTTCCGTGGACTTGCACTAACCGGGGTACCAGGTGGCACTGGCGCGCCTTCCTAACAGGCGGAGGCAGTGCGTTCTGGCTTCTGGCCTACGGCCTGTTCTACTGGGCCTCGCGCCTGTCGCTCGGCTCCTTCCAAAGCGCATGCCTGTACTTGGGCTACCTGCTTTTGATCGTATTATTCGACTTCCTTGTCACGGGTGAGACATTTCTTTCCGTGATCACGGCATTCAGAAGTGACACGCCTTCTGCAGGGACGATTGGCTTCCTCGCGGCGTACTGGGCTGTACGGAGGCTCTACGGTGCGATACGTGTAGATTAGGCACCCTGACTCTGGGCCGCCTGCATAGACCCTAACTTGACCATGATGTGGACGTGGTTCTTGGACCTCGCTACTTTTCCTGCACTAGCCCTCGCTACTATTCGATACCCTCTGGTCATTCTCTCTGGTGCTGCCACCACGAAACACACACTGACGACGCTATGCCTCGTTCGTGACCAACACAAGACGTTTCTTTGTCCCGGCACTGAGAATGGCTATGCGGCCGTCGATGAGGTCGTCCGCACTGAGCATGTATGCAGGGTTTGGCACGACCTGGCTGTTAATATACAGGCCCTTGTTCCTGACGAGGTCGCGTGCGGCACCTGCAGGACACGCTTCAGACCTGCTGACTGAGAAGAATGGAAAAGACTCACCATTACTAGCTACCAGACCCTGTGACGCAGACAGTTTGACGACAGGAGTCTCAAGCAGCTCTGAGCGCGAACAACGCTTCAAACGCGGATCGCCCTCGAGTGCGTGCAGGACGTCGTCGGTCTTGATAGCAGCATAATCACTCTCGTACAGAAGGCTTGTCACGACCTGCGCCTTGTGCAACGCGTGCTCTGCGTGCCAATCGGTGTCAGTATAGCAGGACTTTCGGAGCGTGGGAGGGAGCCGCGCACCGCCATGGATGAGCTCAGTGACCTCGCTTGCGAGCAGACGCTGCGCAAGGCGTGCCTCCGGGCTTTGCTGGTGTTGTTCGAGGGCTTCTTGTATGTGCGGGAGAGGCAGGAGCGTGAACATTTTGAGGTACCCGCCGACGTGCGAGTCCGGAGCACGCAGGAAGAACTTGTGGAAGCGATCAGCTGACGGTCAGTCGACGGAACCGCCAAGGAGGAACAAACCTGGTAGAAGTCAAAGACACTCGTTACAGTGGCATCCAGCGCGACCGCATTCCCTGCGCTCTTGCCGAATTTCTCGCCCGATGGTGTCGTGAGCAGTGGAGTTGTGAGCGCGAACGCCTTCTCAGCGTAACTGCCGTCGGGCTGGACGTCGGGTGCGATGCGGTTGATGAGGTCGATGCCCGCGACGATGTTGCCCCACTGGTCCGAGCCGCCGACCTGGACGCTGCAGCCCTCCTGGGTGTGCAGGTGCAGGTAGTCGTACGCCTGCATGAGCTGGTACGTGAACTCGGTAAAGGAGATGCCTTGTTGCGAGTTGAGCCGGGTTTGTACGCTACGCGGTAGCGTTAGCATCCAGCACAGGGCACAAGACGAAGCAGAGCGTACATACCTCTCCCGGGCTAGCATGGTGTTCACGCGCGCGTTGATGCCAACGGTGCGCAGGAACTGGAGCAGACCGATGCCTTTGAACCAGTCCAGGTTGTTCATGACCACTGGCGCAGTGACATTGTCTGCCACAAAGCCGACGCGTTTCTTAGCATACGCTATGGCACCCTCGAAGAATCTGTTAACGCCCGTGACGAGATGGTCGACATTCGTCGCGACGACGGCAGACTCTGCGAGTGGCCTTTCCGTGTTGCGGCCAGAGGGATCACCGACGAGCCCTGTAGCACCGCCTATCTGCACAGAGTCAGCCAAGATAGCATCAGAGGAGTCATTGGAGGTACGGACAAGGGGAATGACACGGTGCCCGCACAGCTTGAAGTGGAAGAGGCACAGCAGCGGAAGGAGATGTCCGACGTGGAGGTATTTCGCCGTCGGGTCAATCCCGCTGTACACGACCTGCGGCTGAGCAATAATCTGACGCAGCTTCTCTGGACTTCAGAGTTTCAATTATTCCGCTGCTGCGCGAAGGCTGCGGCTCACCTCGAAACCTGGGAGACTAGCCCTCTACTTTCGAGCTCTTTCAGCACGTTGGACTCGGCGTGTATTTTGCGGACATGACGGAAGAGTGTTGCGCTGAGGTGTACTCTCCGCAGTGAGAGCCGCTGAATCATCAGCAAGGTGAAGTGGTCGGGAGCAAGTCGCGCTTGGTCTTTCCGGCTTTGATGAAGGCGGAGCGCGCGTCGCTACCGCTCGCGTCTAACTTCTTGTATTCACTATTTAGGGACGAACATAGCTAAGTATCTCATACATCGAAAGCGAGACACAACAGTGATAATATTCTGATGGCAGTATGATTATTAGACAATGGGGTATCATCGCGATATGACCAGGGTAGACCGGCTCAAGATACAAAAGAAATAGGACGAAGATTAGATGGTGCAGACACCGCAGCCGTCGTCGATTAATAGGCCACATCTCTCGCACTTGACTCGCTTGTCTAGTAAGCATAAGCCGATTCCGAGAGGAAACCAGAAGACGGCGGCAAGAACACCTGCGGATACACGGTTAGCAGACCGCAGCAGGTACGCTCGGGGAGACTTACCGAGGAGGCCGTATCGAGTCTGTGGTGCGTGACCCTGCTGCAAGCAGACCATCTGTGGATGGTCCGGTGGGAGAAGGGATGCGATGACTTCGTGGGTCTCTGGGTTGACATAATTATACACTGTCGTCGGCGGCATGGTTGGGCCTCTTCCAGGTGACGGAGAGCCTGCGGTCAGGCTATCCTTGGCAGACGACGGTCTTTGCGGTGAGAGGACTTTGACATCCTTTGCGTCGCTCTGTTCATACGGTCCTGGACCTGTGTGTTGAATGTTAGCTTGAGGAGGACAGAGAGATGAACGCATACCTCTGATCTCCCTTGTCACCACAGAGTTGTATGACGGCGGTCCATCATGAGTGTTGTTCTGCACAAAACATTAGCATGCTGCAGGCTCCAGGATATGCCAGGCTGGGCGTACCATGTTGTTTGAAGAAGAGTGGTTGTGGTTGTCACCGTCGAGGATCATGGTGGTTTATATGCAAGGGGCCTCCGGATCGAAGCCGCGCCTGAGGGCAAGGCAAGGCTGCGGGCGGTACTAGGAACAGGCTTGGATAAATATTGGCCCCTCGGCCGTACACTGGAGCTCATGTCAAGCGGATTTGGTCACTGCGGAAGCAAACGTCTGCGGGCCACTTGCGGGGCAAGGCCACGCGACATGCACGTGGAAAAAGACAGAAGCGCGTGCAAACAGACGCCCATAGGCTGATCGGGATTTTTTGAGATCGCGTTCAAGATTTCCAGACCCGCCTCGTCCAACGCAGCTCACCTCCGTCTTCTTCCTTTCTTTTGCCCTCCTACAACTGTCCTTAGTCTCTGATCTTTGACCCCATGGCTGACGCAGGCCCTTCCACCGCGAATATCAACGCATCCATGCCCGACAACATGACGTCTCGTGACTAGTCAGTACTCTTGTGACGAGCTTCTGTAAGGTCGGGTTATACTGAAGCATGATCTTGGTGTCACAGCTACGCGGACTCGTATGCACACTTCGGTAAGCACGATGGAAGCCAAGTTGTACTGAGCTATCTTAATTCGTCTATGCAGGTATTCACGAAGAGATGTTGAAGGACACTGTCCGCACTGGTGCCTACCGTAACGCGATCTTGAACAACCCGAATTTATTCAAGGGTAAAACCGTTCTTGATGTCGGATGCGGCACTGGTATTCTCAGTATGTTTGCCGCCAAAGCTGGCGCAAAGCATGTCGTTGGTGTGCGTAATCATATCGTCATTCATGTTCAATTCGTCCTCACGTTCTTCTTGTGTCGTAGATTGACATGTCCAACATCATCGACCAGGCGCAAAAAATTATCAAGGCCAACGGCTTTGCAGACGGTCAGTCTAACTTTCTGGTCTGTCATCGCCTTCATCCAATCGTTCATTTCCACAGTCATCACCCTTGTCAAAGGTAAGCTCGAGGAAGTCGAGCTGCCTATCAAGGAGTTCGATATTATCGTCTCAGAATGGATGGGATACTTCCTCTTGTATGAATCTATGCTCGACACCGTCCTTGTCGCCCGTGACAAGTACCTCAAGCCTGGAGGGCTCTTGTTCCCCGACGAAGCTACCCTCTATCTTGCCGCTATCGAGGACATGGAATACAAGGAGGAGAAGATCAACTGTAAGCGATCTAGCTATCTCAAGATTTCTTCAATTACTCATACTGTACTAGTCTGGGATAATGTCTATGGCTTTGACTACTCATGTATTAAGGACCTTGCTCTCCGAGAGCCACTGGTTGACACAGTCGAGCTAAAGGCTGTCGTTACCGATCCTTGTCTCATCAAGGCATGTCCAGGTTGTTCTCGCGTGCAGCCGCAGTCGTTGAAATAGCTTCGTTTATATAGCACGTCAATATCAACACCGTGAAGAAGGAAGACCTCACCTTTATAGCACCCTTCACGCTCAAAGCTACACGAGATGACTGTATGCCGTGTTTCAGTCGTCACATGCGAGTGTTAGCTAACGCGCCATAGATGTGCATGCTTTCTTGGCATGGTTTGACATCTCTTTCAACGGCTGCCGGGTGCCCGTCAGGTTCTCGACCGGTCCTCACGCCAAGTATACCCACTGGAAGTACGTGTATATGCAGTTTGTAAGCTTGACAGCTGTGACTTACCAGCAACCTAGGCAAACTGTTTTCTATACGCCCGACACGTTGGCCGTCGCTAGTAGTGACGAAGTCTCCGGTGAACTAAGCTGTGCCCCAAACGCCCGCAATCCTCGCGATCTAGATATTACCATATCATACAAGGGTCCGACTGACGTTCAGCCAATGACGGTGCAGTACAAGATGTGCGTGGACCGTTTCAGCTTCGCTGGCTCGACCGTTTCAATTGCTGTGAGCGCACTGCTGACGGATTGTCAGGTCCTGATCGAACTTTTTCACCTTAAATTTTGCTGTCATGCTATCTTTGGCTTTACACGTATCGTCCGGCTCCCGTAATCACACCTGCCAACGCATCACCACTCATGGACGCCCACTCAAAAAATGCTTGCTCGATACACTTTGCACGTACAGGTACTAAATAATGCAGCAGCTTGTATTCTCTATATGATCTAGATGCTATATCGTTTGTCAGACATGGTTTTGTGTGCTGAAATACCTACGATCGGGCGAAGGAGATCTGTATTGTGAGATCGACAGCGCCACCCATACTCCGTCCCTTTCCCAAGCCGCGCTTAACTCTAACCTTTGCCACCTACTACTACTTAAACGCAGATTGCAGTGCTGTCGATGGTCACTGCTTTTTATCCCGCCATCCTATCCTCTAAGTCCCTACTGCATCTTAGTCTCCACTTACGGCAGCGTCTGCGCGTCGTTCCCGCCCTCGTCCCCTGAATGACAAGTGTAGCGAGCTACGTAAAGCTCTTCAACACCGGACTTTTTGGCGGGCCCCAGGAGAAACAACAATGCGCACCTTTCGAGCTGCTCCCAGGAGAGATCCTGCTTGACATCGCGGAATATCTTCCAACTCGCGCCGAGAAGCTGTGCTTGGCAATGACTGTGAGTCTTCCCCCGGCGGCGCCACGAACCCCACGCTAATTCCCCCGCTTGCCGCAGTCGAAGGTCCTGTACCCGAAAGTCATGTCGACGCTATACGCTTCGGTGCGGCTCGAGGGCTTCGCACAATGCAAAGATGCCCTCACGATGCTCCGTGATACCCCCGAGCTCGCGCGACATGTCCTGGAACTCACTGTATACCCCGACCATGTCTCAGACACTCAAGTGGCTGGTTACGAGGAGTCCGCCGAATGGTGCGCGACCGTATCGCAACTCATCGCCGAGTGTGCAAAGCACATGGACGCACTCCGCACATTTACTTGGAATGCAGCGGCGGCGTTGCCGCAGGAGTGGATGTGGACGGAACTGCGGAGCTGGTGAGTTTATTGATGTTGGCTGGGTCGTCCTCGCTATCTGACGAAGCCTCCGTCAGCTGTCCGAACTTGAAGAATCTCGGCGTAAGCTTCATACACCTAATGCCCAGCCCCAAGAGCGAGGCGAGTAGATTGCTTGTCCGTTTAGATTGGCCTTACTCATTGGGGATCACCTAGCTTTTCGCGTTCAACGACCTGGAAAGCTTTACGCTGTACTTCAAGCAGACATTCTACCTTGCTGGATATGACCTCTCCGACATGGGTCAGTACTTGCAGTCCGCCCCCGGGAGTTATCCTCGAGTGCTGATGGTCACACGACAGAGAATGCAATAATCTATAACCGTATTTGGGATATGCTTATCCGTCGGTCACCGAACTTGCGCTCACTTGCCATTGAGGGTGAATGGGATGAGCCGATATTCGCCGCTCGTCTGCTTGAGGGCAACTGGCCAAGGCTACAGAAGCTCTCCCTCACCCCAGTGTGGTTCCAGGAGCACATCCACGAAGGGTCGCAACTCCTGGTGGAGTTCCTTGAGCGCCACCCGGCCATCGAGGAACTCAGTCTCAAGCGCGTTCGCCTCGACCTCTCGCAGCTGTCTCCGGAAGCGCTGCCGAAGCTTCGTGTGTTCAACGGTCGGCTCGACCATCTGCGAGAACTTGGAATCCGTGGGCACCCACTGAATGCTCTCGGACTGCAGAACCCCTCAACACAACTCTCATCATCGCCACTATCCCACACGCTGGAAGAGCTGATCCTCCCAGACGCCATGGCACTCCGTGAACTCACTCCCCTGGCTATCTCCAGCATGCTTGTCGGCCTTCGCTCCCTGACTTCCCTCACCATCTCCTTTTCACTCGAGAGTGGCTACGACTCCAACGGCGTATTCCGCACCATCGCCTCTGCCTGCCCCCAGCTCCAAAACCTTGACCTCAGTTGTACCTCCAGACCGTCCTTCGCCTTAGTAAGTAGTCATCACCTTTATGAAGGCTGGATTGACCTACTCATCCAATCCCCTTTCTAGGATGTATTCTCGCGAACGCTACGCAGTCTCACAAAACTGCGCACGCTGTCTCTCGCACTGGTCAAAGTGCCCGGGGACGAGAGCATGCAGGCGGGCGCGGTCCGCATCACACTCAGCAACCCACGACTGGCGCGCTTCAAGATCGCGTTCCTGCAGTCGAGCAGGGCACTGCGGCGGAGCCTGACGAGCACAGCGCCGCGCGTGCTTGAACAGGGCCGGTACGTGCCCATTCGCGATGCGCACGGGATCCCTGTGGGCCTGCTCGCGAGCGAGAGCTGGTACCGCTTCGGCGGCTTCGGCAGGCGCATGACACGGCGGACGGTGTGTGAGCTCCGCCCGAGTGGACACCCCGATGCGGCGCGCAAGGGCTGGCGTTCGCTGCTCTTCGAGAGGAGCCCCGCCGGTGAGGAGGCCAGGCTGCTGGTATTCAGCTGTTGGTTGTTGATTCTCGCTGTGGGCGGTATCTTCAGAGGGCTTGCTGTGAATGCAGTCGATAACACCTCGAGCCGCGTCGCCCAAAATCGTGGACTTGCACCTGTGACACCTATAACCAATTAGTATTCAATTGTACTGTATACGCTCCTTCGACGCTGTTGCGTACTTATTCGCTTTAGACTTCGTAGTTTATGCCATTCTGCACAGTGTATGTATTGACTAATTCGCCACGGACCAATCTTGTATATATTACATCGCCCACGGACAAAAAGACATGCCCTTATCGCAGCGAGACCGAGTGGACATCTGGACCGGGCTGGGCGAGTTATGTCTTGCGTGCGATGCCACTCGGACGGGCAGAAGCAGTTCCTCTTGACACAGACGACGCAGTGGTTCGTCTAACGGGGATACCGCCGCCGGACGAGCCAGCTGACGGTGAGACACCACTTCGAGCCGCAGTTGCCGACGCTACGAAAGCGGGTAAGTGAAGAGCTAGCACCGCCGGGTCACTGCAGGAGAGCATACCTGCTCGAGTGGTGTTCCGCATACCTCGCATCGATGCTCTAGTGCCTCGCACACCACGCACACCGCTGCCCCGGCTTGCAGCTTTGCCGGCCTCAACTTTCTCGCGTTCTATCCGCTCGCGCTCAAGCTTGGCCTGACGCTCTTGTTCCTCGCGCTCCTCTCGTTCTTTCTCGAGCTGAGCGAGGCGTGTGCGCTCTTCTTCATCGCGGCGCAGGCGTTCCATCTCTTCGTGTGCTTCGCGCTCGAGCTGCTCCTCGTCCTGTCCAAAGCCATGAACGGAGAACACGCCAGGACGTTTTGGGGAAAGCAACCCACTGCTGCGGCGCCTTGCCATCGTTCGTCTAAAATGAGTTTCGTAGCGCGTTCGGACTTGGAGAGGATATTCACGTATTTATCTAGCAGGGCATTTGTATGGACAAGTCGGTCTGCAACCCGCTGGACATCCACGTGAGGGTGATCGTCTCAGTGGAATGCCAAACGATGCATACCTCGGTGCTGTTCTTTGTCTCTCGCAAGGCTTCTTTATAGGTGTCAAAAGCGGCATTGAGCTTCTTCAAGATGAAGAGGTCACTCTGAAGTTTTTCCTCTCGCGTCTTTCCCGCGGCTCGTCTTGCTTTCTCGGCTTCTTCTGCTGTCATAGTCTCGTTCATCGCAGGGTATTCTTCACCTTCTCCTGCAACAGCACTCTCATTTTCTCTGTAAGAATTGAGTCCCTGAGATCTCGGCTGCGCTAGTAGACTGAACGGTCGACGGCGATGTGCCGGGGAATGTGGCGGGTCGTCCAAGGACAGCTCCGAGAGCGATAGGTCACCTATATCATGCCTTTCGCTAGAACTTCTCAATGAACTTGATGGATGAACAAGGGACTCAGAGAGGAGCCTAGACCCGCTCTCCTCCACAACGAATTCTGAAGAAATATCTGAAAGATCCATGTGTGAGCGCAAGCAGCAAGCAGACGCGTTTACTGCAGGCGCCCGTGGTCCGCGATACCGCGCGCTTGCACGTGAATGCCACGTGATGCATGGGAATCTCCTCCTGTAACTATTTCGCGTCTGGGAGCCTGCCGCATTTCTGCACACGACATTTCGTTGTCAGATTTTTGCCGTCAAGGAGAGCTATTTTCTACATAGAGTTAAAAAAAAGCGGAGGCAAAAGCAGAAAATTCAAACGTCTCGCGTAAGCGCCATATCCAAAGAAAGGCATCGGAGTCTGAATAGTTTGACCTCCTTTCGACGCTGACTGTCGCTGTCACCACCACTCTCACCTTAACTTATCATCTTTCATTTATACCACGATATGGAGTCACGAAAGCGTCCAAGAGCAGAAGACGGAGATGTCGTACAGGCGAAGAAGAGGGCTCTCTCGGTTGGTCAAGACTCGCCGGTGGCGACCGTGAACGGAGATACGGACGAGCCAAAGGATGGCGACAACCTTGAGGTGAAGACATATACCCGCTACCGTATGTTATAGTGTTCAACATCAGTGTAGATGTTCAGGAAAGACGCCATCTACAGGCGGATGAAGCACTACTCCCGCGAGAACGACCGGAGACAGGTCAAGATAGCTGAGCTCGAACGCAGAAGGAATACCACTGAAGCGGCCTTAGCGGCCCTCGAGGCAACTTGGGCACAGGTGCGTTGGTTTACTTCAATGGAAAATGGAGCGTATGTTTTATTCCGTTTGAAGGTACTTGGAACAATCCGTTCACTGGCCAAGTCCGAAGACCTTCCTGATGTTGATGTCGACACGCATGGTACGCTCCGCTATTTGCTTCTAAATTCTATCATTTCATGGTCTTGTCTGTGAAAGATGTGTTCAACTTGACCTTGCATGTCTCGTCGGAGCCTGAGCCTTCACACTATGTCCAAGAATTGCGGAGTCGCATGCATGCGACTGAGCAGCTGGTCGCGGCGTTCGTTCGAGTAGGAGGCGAGGCAAGGTCGCAACTTCTTCATGATAAGAGCCATAGGAGATGTTTGGAGGCGCAGACACAGGTCGGTAATTGCTCGATTCATATTCAATTATGACTTATATTCATACCCAGTGTGCTTCGTTGCGTGCAGAGGTATCTCTACTACAGACGAGATTACGCGATGCCGAAATGGAGAAGGAGCGATATCAGGAGCAGCTAAGTGCTGCTGAGAGACGGCTGGATCGGTTTCAGAGTAAGGCGGCGGCGGCTTTGAATACTTCGTCTCGATCGTTAGACGAGGACGGCGGGGTGAAGGAGGAGCTGAAAGAGATGGTTAAAGCCGAAAATAGCGAGCCTTCACAGAGCCCACAAGGGTCACCAAAGATAGTAAGCTAGTCGCTCGAGACGTCAGGGTCCTGATTGAACTGAAGTCTGCCAGGCTAACGCAGAAGCAGTCATCAATGGTGATCAGCCATCGGATGCTGCTGAGTTGGAGAGCGTGGCTGAGTTCCGTAGGGAGAAGATAGACGCGCTATTGGAAGAGAATCGGCGATTGCAGTTCGACCTCGTCAGTGCCCAAGCCAATGTTCGTCTTCAAGTTGAGGCCATGCATGAAGTTGAAGGCTGACTTTACTAGGCAAGAGCAGCCACCGAGGCGCAAATACAGGAGACATCGCATTGGAAATCACTTATGCAGCATACGAGCCAACTCTCAAAAATGGTAGAGGACGACCGAAAGGAGATCTCTGCGCTTCAGAAGGAGCTCGAGGTGCTGAGGACGACGAGGAAAAAGTTTGAGGAGCAGCATATCGTAAGTACGGAGCTGCCTTTCGGCCGACAATGACTCACAACTATGCAAGACCATTCTTGAGAAGACCAAGAACGATTTAGGGGAGGTGATTTCAAGACGAGAAACCGAGCTTACGCGTGTGCGAGAACAGCGCGACCAGCGAGATGCAGAGCTCAAGGAGCGGAAGGGAAGAGATGTGTCCAAGTCGCAGGCGTTACATGAATACAAGCAGCTCGCAGAGACGCGCATGGTGAGTATATTCACGCCTTCTCTGCTTGAAGTGTTTACTCAGAGCACATGTAGGATCGCATAATGGCACTATCATCTGAAGTAGCTCGGCTAAAGTCTCGTCACGCTGCGCAGGCCAATGACGAAGACCTCATGAATTTCTTCTTCAAGTATTCGGATGAAGAATGCTCCTACTTGGACGATGTCAAAGTACGGCTGGTGTAAGTCTGATATCTACCTCGCACGAATCTCGCTGACGCAATGTGGTGTCTTTGCAGTGCCGCCGAGACTCGTCTGAAAGCTGCCGAGGATGACACCGATGTTCGCGAAGTCAAAGCAGAACTCCTGGAAGCGAAGAAAGAGCTGGCGCGGTACAAGTCCACCTATGGTGGCTCATTATCACCTGATGCTAGAATGTTATCCGCACAGCTGCAGCAGAAGGAGGTTGAGATTGAGAATCTCAGGTTGCAGCAACAGCAGCAGGAACAGGTGCGCACAACTATCACGCGAATATCAGCGGGTATCCTGACCATAATGTAGGCCGAGACTTCCCTGTATGCTGAACTGGACAGGCTGTCTTCTGCTTGGGAGACGCTTGACAAGGAATTGAAGAGCAAGATATTTGACCTCACCTCGATAGAGGAGAAGATGAAGCAAATCTCTGCAGAGGTACGTATCTTGGCCACTATTACGACAATGTCTCGTAGCCTGACCCTGCAATTGCAGAAAGCCAAGGCGGACGCGAAATACTTTAGCGTCACAAAGGAGAAGAATGCTTGCGAGCAGGAGAATATATCACTGAAGCGCACCGTAGAGAAGCAGGCAAAGTCTTTAGAGAAGCTTGCCGAGTCCGAGAAGCTCAACTCGCAGCGAGTCGTGCGTGCAATGCTTCCGACTGACGAGATAACTGCTTACTGACTAATCTCTAGCATGATTATGACAGAGAAGTCGCTATACTTGAGACACAGAGTACGGACTTCAAAGTAAAGATCGATTCTGCGTCGAGCGAGCTCCAAAAGTACCGGATGCGTTATGAAGACGCGCGCAAACGGGCCGAGGAGGTAGGCTTCACGTGTTCTACACTCGAAGCCTCGGCTGATACTTGTCTCCTAAGCTTGATGTGGTCTACAAGGATGCGCTCAAGGACGTCGGTCGAAAGCGGCAGGAGCTGATCAAGCAAGAGGAAGTGCTGCTCAAGAAGAAGAAAGAGGCCGAGAAGCATACGGCGAAAGTTAAGGCGTCTGCCAACAACCATGCGTCGAGTACTAGCGTCCGCGAGTCGGAGCTACAGGGGGAGGTGGAGAAGTGTATGGTGCGTATTCGAGGGAAGGTATTCTCGCTGGGGTTGAATCTGATACTCGTCTCGCAGACGATTCTCAAGTGTTCAACTTGTAGGATGAACATGCGGAACACAGTCATTACGAAGTGTATGCATTGTGCGTCTGTTCCTTCTTTCCAGCGACCTTATGGTATTTAACTCTACTCCTCAGCATTCTGCAGGAACTGTGTCAACGAGCGGATCCAGAGTCGACAGCGCAAATGCCCCGCTTGCAATCTGCCATTCTCACAAGGCGAGGTGCAGCAGCTGTTTTTCCAATAGTAAGCTGTCTCATGTTGGACATACTATCCAGACTTTTGTTGCACTTTCTTGCTACGTGTTTGTATACGATATCTTTTTGTTACTATTACTATTTCCTCACTTAGACATTGCGGTGAGGTTCTGATGCTGGTATGCGCTAAAATGCGTGTTCTACGGCCTCTTCGGTGACGCGGGCTCGTTCAGAGTAGTGTCCTTTTTATCTAGCGTACGCAAAAACGTATACCATCTACTCAGCAACCACTTCAAAGCACAGAACCAAGCACGACGATATTAGAGTAGAAAAGCACAGTATATTGAACGCGCGGGTGCAATTAGCGCTTGACCCAGGTGTACTATCGTGGATTGCATGAGCATATGCGACCGAGAAAAGAGGTGCACATATACATACGGCCTTACGAGCCTTTGCCAGACCAGGCTTTTTACGTTCAACCATTCTCGGATCACGCCTAAGCAGTTTGGCTGGCAGACAGAAATCAGCTAAGGAAAGAGAACCCGAAAGTATGTTGACGTACCCTTGCGCAATATCCTGGCGACGTCGGGTACATGTGCTAGTACACCTTTTGCGAGACCTAGACTGATTGCTCCGACCTGGCCGGTTGTTCCTCCACCGCGCACGATGGCAAAGATATTGAAGGCACCGAGCAAGCCAGTAAGTGAGAGTGGGCGAAGAACACGTTCACGATCGGAAGGGCTAGCACTGTATTGAGGATGACTGAGTTAGGCCAGCCGAAGATGCATACAGCGTATCGACTTACAAGTATTCCGCCAGGGGAGTGTTATTGATTAGAACTTTGGTAGCCGGAACTTGTTTTGGTGCAGGCTGAGTAGAAGTGGTGTAACTCGGTATGGAGCCGGGCATGTTGAGCCCTGGATCGGCAGCCTCCAGAGCAGGAGTGGAAACGGGTTCCGCCTCTGGTGTTTTGGTGCGGATGATCCAGACACGCGCGTGACTCTCCTTCCGTCGACCGATAGCGTATGTCCTGCCAAACTCGTCAACCGGGACTGGCTTGCGTTGTCCGCGCGCGAGGTACGCCTCTTTGTCCTCACGCTCAAACACCTCGAGAACATGCGCGATTGAGTCTGCGAGCTGTCCGTAGCCTGCCACGGTGGCAATCCGCTTGTACTCATCGAGCTGCTGCAGAAGACTGATGAGCCGTGAGTAGCGGGAGGGCGTGAGCCGTGTCGAGATCATGCCGTTGAGGCCTTTCTTCGTCTTCCACGCCGGCTGCGCGGGCGGGAGGGCCTGGAGGGCGAACTGCGGGAGCGGGAGCAGCTGCAGCTTCTTGAGGGCCTGGCGCGAGTACGTGATCGCAGTTTCGAGGTTGTCGACGGAATCGTAGAAGTCCGCGCGACCTGTGAATGTATTCGGCGATTCAGGCTTGACTCGCCCCACTCTCGAAGGACCGTCCGCGACCATATCGGCCGAACCAGGCGGAACGAAACCGGTCGCGGCGGCAGTGGCATAGCGGGGGCGTGCAGCGACCCATAGTGAGGAGGCAAATGCTCGCGCCTCGTGTCTGAGAGCTGAAAGCATAGGTTGCTCTGCCGCCGTGCTCGTAAGAGGCCGAGGAGCAGACAGACAGCGGAAGAGCGGAACGAAGCGCAAGTTGCTCGTGGGCGCTCAACATTCACGAAGGATCCGTGTGAACTACATTCTTCTTCAAGTAGGATCGCGGAAGCATGTTCAACTTTCCTGGTTACCCTCATCCTCACCCACTCACGTTCCCCCAGCAGCTCATTTACCGGCTGAGAGACGTTTTAAGGGATTTCAGTGCTAAGATCTAAGATTGAAACCTCAGCTTGAAAGAGCGTCTGCGACACTCTTACATATCTAGGTCAGTGAGTATATCCTCTCTACCCGATGGTTGAGGTATGCACCGGTACTCAAGGTCATTTTCTTCGTAGGGCATTGAGGAATCGCATTCCCACTCGCAAGCCCGCCCTCTTTTGTTGTGTGACACGCGTCTTCGATCATCAAAGTCTCTGGCTGACCGTCAGCTTCGTCCGCACAATTGCCAGGTTGGTTCCTCAAAGGACCACAGGACTGTTTGGCGACAACACCATGTTCCAGACTCGAAGCAATATTATGGTTGGCGGATCCGCTGTTGGCCAGAAGCGGCCACGCTCGTATACCCCCGTCTCAGATGAGCCCCAGACACCTGCAAAGCGTGTCGCATACGAGCCGAAGACCCCGTCATCCTCACTGACCCCCAAGCAAAGAAGCAAGCGTATGCAAGCTATCAAGGCAGGACTCGCTGCTGCGTCTATCACTCCTACCAAACGCGGAGAACGCGCCTCTTCCGGCTTGTCAGGACGGTCCGCAGGCTCGCTGAAACCCACTATTGACCGCGGCCCTTATTACCCGCCGTTCAATGACCACTTTGGTAGTGTCAACGAAAGATTACCTGATGCACGCTCTGCATCGTCTTCAACCGCAGCGAAAACGCTACAAGACGAGATAGACTCGGAAGAAGAATTCTGGACTTCTCCCCCGCGACCTGTTGCGCGACTGCCCAGAGGAGAGTTCTCAGCTGCTGGTTATAGACCAGGCAATGCCAGCAAGTCCGAGTATGCACGCAACGCTATGCTGACACCGCCTCAAAGCAGCCCTGTCCGGGATACTCACCTTGATTCGCCGTCGTCGTCGTTCCAAGTGTCCGAACTCTTACAAGAGGATCCAGATCCCCAAGAAAGTTCAGGATCGGCTCTGAACGGACATGCAGGAATTTTCAAGAGTGATTCTGTAAGTTGTACGAGAATCGGTGCTTCCACGTAACCAGACTTACCGATTTCTAGGAGAACCCCTTCGATGTCCGAGCATCACCTGCCAGAGGACAGTCAGATGACTATGTGATTTCCTCCGGTATGCAGCACAAAACTGTGCGCGAGCACCTCGCCGCGCTGAGCATCCTTCCCGACCAAATTGAGAAGCTGGAAAGAAAGCAAAGAACTGCTGAACAGAGTGCGCACAAGAAGCAGGAGCGAATCCATGAATTGGAAATCCAAGTTCGAGACCTTGAAGCCCAGGTAATGCAGTGAGTCCTTTTCGCTGAATTGGTTCATATTCGTGCCTCATTCATCGTGGCTACTTGTGTCACTTTTAGGCTAGATAAGAAGTGCAGCAACCAAGAAGCAGTCATTCAACATTTGAAGACCCTCATAAGGGCGGAAAGTGCCAGCGCACTGTGATGTCTGAGTGGAATGCGCACACAATTACCAAAGGGCCCGTGTAACATGCTTGTAGTTGTATATTTGTGAATCGATGTAGTGGCTGCTGTATCTCCTCCCAGAACAAGCGTGTATCCAGCTGAGCGCCTGATGGGCTCGTCCTTACTCTCGATTCTCATGTCTGCTGACACGTCGGAAGCACGAAAGCCGAGTGTGTCCGTACACGCAAGGTTCGTTCCGCCAGCGGATCCGTCTCTTCCTCCGTTGGCTTTGCAAGTCACGCAGCTTGTGGGGTCGTACATGATATGGGTCGGCAGCACGGAAGAGACAGCTGAGAACGTGCAGCTTGCACCGCTTCGCGGGGCCCTTACGAGGGACTGGACCTGTGCAATGCCTCCAACGAGCGTAAGACCACCTAGGCGATCATCGAGGGGACAAAAAACTCATTGACATTCAAGGCATCTGCGGGACCTGGCGCGGCAACCACACTTTACCGGTCCTCGAGCTCGGACGTCTCTTTCTCGATGGCTCAGCGTCTTGGTAAAGCACCTCTCATTGTTATGTGAGAAGCATGTGCAGAATACTGACCATGCGGACGGTAATTTTACCGGCCTCTTTATCGCAGCTCGACGGTTCAGAAAGCAGATTTTCTTGTCAGTTGACGTACCTCCGTCGTTCATGGTACTCGGCGACGGACCTCGATTGATCTTGGCGGTGGAGAGGGCTGTGGTGGACGCGCTGAAATCTCTGGAAGATACCGGTCATCTGCCAGCGTCCCAGGTTGTATGATGATATTCGCCACGTCCGTGTCTGCCACCCACTGGGTAATGCGTAGACCGGGGCTTCACAGGCATGACATTTAGAGCTGGCAGACTGGGCTGGGCTAAGGAACGCAGCTGATGGTATCTGAGCGAGCAACGGGGTGAATGTGTCGTCGGCTGCGGTCAATCTGTAAAAATAAAAGCACAAGTACAGGGTGTCAAATCCGTTGGAATCGTCATCTTCTGGTATCGATGAAGGCTTCTTTCGCCGTGTTGCCTTGCTACGTCCGCAAAGTGCCTGTGCCTCGCCGAGCGCGCGATCGGCAAGCTGATTCCCCTGCTTCACGCCAACGCCGTCACTTGTAGGTTCTCTCTTGTCTACCACCATCCGCCAGCTGCCCGCCCCCGACACTAGCGACGACGTACCCGAGCTCATCGCCCACGACGACGAGAAGTATCTCTCCACTAGACGCTGTGTCATTCATAATTCATGTCGGAACCTGAACTTCTGGCCTACATGTCTACGAACGACGACTTCGACCTCCCCCGTTGGAACCCTCCTCAGAGTCACGACGCCCTCTCTTCGTCGGCCCAGGCGGCCCAGTCCGCTGCGCAGGCGTCGTCCTACATCTACGGCCAGGGGCCACCTCCACAAACCGGTGTCTCAGGTAATAAGCTCCCGACCATTCACCAGTCTCCTTCGAGGCAGCCTCGCCTTAACCAGATCATGGATGATGACCAGCAGTACCCTTTAAGCCCTGCCCACTACTCGTCGTCAGGTAGCTCGCTCTCTCGTAGTGTATCAATGGGGGGTGCTGCGACTTCGCGTGGTCGCCGCCACCACATGCAAGAGGATCTCGAGGGCGCATTCAATGTGGACAGCGTCCCCGGGCAGCAACAACCTACTCATGGCCTTCCACAACACCATTCGAACTCCCTATATCCGTCCAGCGTTGGCTATCACCACTCGCCCGTCCTAGGGTCAAGCGCCAATACCAGCAACTCTGCAGCGAACGTAGCTGATCCCTACCAGGATGCCTATTTTCCATCTTCCGGCACCCATCCGCCTAAACGGTCCCAGACGACTCACGACGCGAGCACGTCTTCTAGGGCACCGCGTTCGCCTCATCGTGGCGCCAATGCATCCCATGGAATGCTCGATCCGTATTCTCCGCAACAGAACCAGTACAATCCTCCATCGAGCACGTATCCTTACTCGCCTGCCACAGAGAATCGAGCATTTCCGACCCCTCCAACGTACCCGACTCACGCACGCACGCAATCCCAAGCCAAGGTCGAGCCGATGACGCCTCCCCTTCCACCTGCATATCGTGGGCAGCTACCGGCGAAGGCAGAGCCAGTCGATCACCCTATGTCAAACGCTTACTCTCCCCCGACTGTGATGCCGGCATCGTCAAACTATTCTCCGTCGTATCAAATGGGCACCAGCAGCCCCACCCCGTCATCGCAGACCTTGCAGGTAACGCGGCAACAGCGCTCATCGGTGTCTCAGCCCCCGACCCCGCTTTCATTCCATTCTTCGCAGGGTCCTGGTCCAGGGCATTCACCGTACTACGGGCAAGATCCCCAGGCAATGGCTGTCGAACCACCACCAAACCGTCGACCCACAGGCCTCCGGCGCGTGCGGGATCAGCGGGACCTCCGGCCGTACGTAAACCCGCAACCCGCAGGCCGAAGGATGGATGGTGATGGCGCGTTCCTTGCGGTATGCCATTTCATTTCGACCGGGGCACGATTTTCATTGACGCTTGGTTCTCACAGCCTGTACGGCAACTGACGACGAACATTATCGAAACGTTCCGCATTTGCAACCCCGCGTTCAGATATGAGTCGGCGCATAACCCCCGGCGAGTGCTTACCAAGCCCAGCAAGCCTTCCCATAACGATGGGTACGACAACGAGGATTACGATTATATCCTGTATGTCAACGATTGGCTGGGAACGGATGAAGGACACAAGTACGTGGCGTGTATGTACACTGTAGGCTCATCGGCACTGACTCTGGATTAGGTATCTCATTCTGGATATTCTCGGCCAAGGAACGTTTGGGCAAGTAGTCAAATGTCAAAATATGAAGACACATGAGGTCGTAGCGGTGAAAGTTGTGAAGAACAAGCCAGCGTATTTCAATCAAAGTATGATGGAAGTTACAATTCTTGAACTCGTGAGTCTAGTGCTACCCCGTTTTGATCTCGCATATACTCAAGTGTTATGGATCACGTAGCTGAACAACCAATGCGACCCTCATGACGAACATCACATTCTCCGGCTTCGAGACTCGTTCATCCACAAGAACCACTTATGTCTCGTCTTTGAGCTGTTGTCGTCCAACCTTTACGAGCTGATCAAGCAGAACCAATTTCAGGGTCTCAGCACCCAGCTTGTCAAGGTTTTCACGGCCCAATTGCTTGATGCCTTAACAGTCCTGAAGGACGCGCGGCTCATACACTGTGATCTCAAACCCGAGAACATTCTTCTGAAGTCGTAAGTCACCTTTTGGCGATATCTCCGATGAATCTCACTGTGTGCAGATTACAATCCCCTCAGATCAAAGTCATCGACTTTGGTTCCGCATGTCACGAACGGCAGACTGTCTACACCTATATTCAGTCACGATTCTACCGCTCGCCCGAGGTACTCCTGGGGATACCATATACTGCCTCTATCGATATGTGGTCGTTAGGCTGCATTGCCGTGGAACTTTTCCTCGGTCTACCACTATTCCCGGGAACGAGCGAATACAACCAGATCACACGAATAGTGGAAATGCTTGGGTGCGTCTTGATGTGCCGTGATTGTTGGATGATGCAACTGACTCCGATCCCAGCAACCCACCACAGTATATGCTTGACATGGGCAAGCAGACGACTCAGTTCTTTGACACTTTCACGGATCAGTACGGTAACAAGAAGTACAAGCTCAAGAGTATAGACCAGTATTCGCGCGAGCACAATACACAAGAACAGCCGGGAAAGCAGTATTTCAAGGCAACAACTCTACCTGACATCGTTCAACAAGCACCGATGCCAAACTTCAAATCCGGCTCTAGACAGCAGCACGAGGTCGAGAAAGGTACGCATCTCGTGTTTCACCCCAAGTGCCGACTCAAATAGGGCTATTCATTGACGTATTCTTAGAAATGAACAACCGCGCGGCGTTCATCGATTTCGTACAAGGGCTTCTCAACATGGACCCCATTCAGAGGTGGACTCCACAGCAAGCCCGGTTGCACCCCTTCATCACGGGCGAGAAATGGACGAAGCCATGGCAGGCAAGTGGTTAATAGCATTGTATCATTTTATCCTGACGCGATCCTTCACAGCCGACTGGAAACGGACCACCTGCGCCTGCGCCTGTCACATCTCCAGCGAACAACCCCGATCCGAAGCGGCCATATGGAGGGCTTGTGCCTTCGCAGCCCAAGGGAACTGGTGCCTTCCGAGATGCGGCTGCATACGGTCAACACCTGGCACAGCAGCAGGCGTATACCGCTCAACAGCAGGCAGCAGCGCAGGCGTCGCAGAACGTGTACCGGAACCCGTATCTACAGCCGAACCTGCAACAGGGTCAGCAGACACAGAATCCATCATCTGCCTACGGCTCGCAAGATGCCAATACTTTCTCGTCGTCGCAGGCTCGTCTTGCTTCTCATGGTCATTTGCCCGTCAATCCCGGGAACACACAGTACTCGTCTGGCTACGGAGTGCCTTCCCAGCATCTCAATCCTTCCGCGCCTTCTAACAGTTATCAGCCTCCCATAACCACTCGCATGCGATCTAACACCATGAACAACCAGGAGCCTGTTCCTGCTGCGCTGGCCCGACTACAACACATGAATCAGGACGTGATCGGCGGTCGCAAAGCCCTGACCCCCGTACTGAAGCGTGATGACCCCTGGGAAAGGAGGCAGTCAGGGAAGGGTGCTCCAACTCAGCCCTTCGCGCCGCTAGAGACTCTGGAGATGGCGGCGTCTCAGGGCTACTGGGGACACTATGGCAGTCAAAACCAGGGATCGAGCCGCTACTCGCAGCAGCCGCCGCAGCAACCTACGTCGAACCTTGCGCATTCTTACACCAGTATGCAAGTGGACGACGACAGGCGCGACCAAGTTATGTCAACCGTGCGTTCTGCAGCACGGACAGATGCCGGTCAAAACGTGTTGTATGGCGGGGCATCAACAAACGTAATCCCAAGTCCACCGCAAGCATACAATAGCAGCTCCACGACGACCGGAAATCGCTTCGCTGCGACATACGCACAACAGACACCGGCGTCGCCATTTGATTCGCTTGATCGGCGTGCAGACATGGGCCAGTTGTACGCGCCGATGCAGCCCGATCAGTACGGTCCATATAGCGGCGCGGCCAGCAGTTCGAGCCGTCCGGTTGCACAACCCGCACAGGCTGTCCAGCCTTCGTTCTATGGTCCCAGCGTTGTGCCGTCGGGACATCAGGCATCCGGCGTGCAGCGGAACCCATTCGGTCAGGCAGACAGCATGCAAAACACGCTGAGCTCAAAGGAGGCCCGACGGAAGAGTGGGATGGATTTGTGGTCACAATAATCGCTGGCTTGGTAGTGCTTGGTGCTGGTACTCGCTCGCCGGAGGATCACGGACACGTCATAGGTAGTATTGATCAAGGTTGCTTCTCACGTTCTTGTTCTAAAATGTTTGACGGTACATAGCTCATTTTGCGCTTTATTATGGTTTGCGATGGGACTCGTTGCTATGTCCGCCGTTAAGTGTTGTACGCAATGAAGAGTCCGAGCGCGCGAGTCGCAAATTGCATCAGCTGTGCCTTTCGCCAGCACTTGTACAGGGTCCTGCGAACGTAACTTCGTGCATTGTGATCGGGAGTAAGAGAGGCCCGTGTTGAACGATGCCCGTGAATCTTATATAGCATTCAACGCAAGAATGGAAAATTATGGTATACGCATGCGGTGATGCTCTATGCCCGGACGACATCTTGGTACAGCGTGCTTCTATATCTTGTTGAAGAGTTCCTCGACCTCCCAGGCGCCGGCCCAATAGTGCACTTGGCATTTGAGACCCGCGGATTCTCTCTCCTTCTGAATGCGTTTCTGCAGCCCGCGAAATGAACGGCAGAAGACGATATCTTCGCTGCACAAATTTAGCGCGGAATACAGGCCTACGTAGAGGAGGGACGCACCTCCGGAGGCGCAAGATAGGACAGAAGTCGTTCGAACCATCACCAATATAGATGACACGGTCGAAAGCGGGTCGATGGCGCGCCAGGAACGCGTCAAGCTCCTCACCTAGGAACTTCCCATTCAGCACGTAAGATGATTTTACTGGAACCTATATACCTTTGCACAAGTTGGGGTTACATCCGACCTGACACTTGTGTTGGGGACCAGTAGGATCTATCCGGCGGCTGACCTTGAGCAACCCTGAATGGTCCCACTCCGCAGGGTTGGTGATGATCTCGTCGAAGAGGGCCTCGAGGCCATGTTCCTGATCACGAGGTTGGGGCTTGATATAACTAAGAGATGAAAATTCATACTTTGAGAATGGTGTCGATGAAGACCTGGTTGGCGTTGGACAGGCAGAGGAAGGTAGTCTTCGGGTTTGCCTTCTCTTTGGCCTTCAGAACGGCACGCTTCATAGCGGGATGCTACATGGCGAAGATGAGGTGAGCATGAGTGTAAAACAAATGTGGTACGCACAAAGGGCATGATCTTAAGGGCTCCCTCAATATCTTCCCTGGTTCCGCCACGCGCATGGAGCTCGCGTAAGCATTGAGCACTTATGGGACGTGTGAATATTCAGATGCGAGCCTCGCAGACAGGTGCATCTTACACCAAGTCCGTCCACTGAACCTGCTCTTTGAGATTTTTCATTTTCCTCCGGAGGTCAGGTGCGAGCACCTCGAGGACCCACCGGTCAGTATCCTGGTCTGCGAGTGACCTGAGATTTGTTGAGTCCAATGTGAACGCTGCACTACTACACGCTCACCAGTCAAAGTCGAAGACGACTAGCTGTCTTTCTGTCCGCGGATCCATGTCTGCAGCGGCTGGTGGTACGTGTCAAGCGGAAAAAAATCGATACTGGGGAAATACTTGGGGAGGGTGGATGCTTACGCCCTTTGACTTACCTCATATAATCTGTCCCCCCGCGGGCGTCCACCTGTGCTCATGCCTTCCACAACTCTCACCGCAAAGGCGTCTTACAAAAAGCTATCGGGTACCCTCGAGCTCACTGCAAGCCATCTGCAATGGACCCAAGACGGAAAGAAAGCACCGTCAATAAAAATACCACACGCTGAAGCTGCATGTGAGGTGTAGTCTACCACTTACTCGCGAACAGTGCAGCACTGACGGCGGTCCAAGCCCTCTTCTGTAGCAAAGAGGGAGCAGCTCAAGTTAGGCTCAAGCTCGGGCTCGTCTCTGATGAAGCCGGACATAACTTTACGTTCCTCGCGCCGCAAACGATTGCGCTCACCGAGCGAGAGAGGTTCAAGACCGATCTTACGAACATCATCGGCCAGAACAGGAGAGGAGTGAGCACGTCTGGCTCCGTACCACCTCCCGTCACTCCCGTGTCTGCGCAGCCGCCTAGTAATGTACCGAGTCCAAGACCTTCGGCACTGTTATCACGTCCTTCCACTTCCCGCGCAGCGTCGGTGGCAAGCGATACTAGGCCGCCAGGAACACCAACGTCTGACCCCTCTGCCGACTACCAGCTTCGCATCCGAGTCCTTCTGAGCAACCCTGAGCTCGCCGCTCTCCATCGCGAGCTTGTTATGAGTCGTCAGATCACCGAAGACGAGTTCTGGGAGGGCAGACAGGTGCGTGTCACTAGATTTTCTCATATCTGGCGCTAATTGGCAAATCCTAGCACATCTTGTTAGCTCAGAAAGCCCAGGAGTCTCAACGTAAAGGCAAACCTGGTCAATTGGTGGATCCGCGGCCTCAGACAGTCGACGGAGAGATCAAGATTGTGATTACTCCTCAACTCAAGGTTGATATCTTCGATGAATATCCCGTGGTCAAGAAGGCATTTGAAGAGAATATAGACAAAAAGGCGTGTAATACCGCAGTGCTTACGCCGTATAGATACTTACAATCACCTCTAGATGTCAGAGCCTGAATTCTGGCATCGTTACTTCCAGTCGAAGCTTTTCAACTCGCATAGGGCATCGATCCGTTCTGCGGCAGCACAGCATGTTGTGAAGGATGACCCGATCTTCGACAAGTACTTGGAGAAAGAGGACGATGGTAAACATGCGAGAGCGACGTTGTTCCTAGATATTGACATTTCTTTCCAGAGCTGGAGCCACGCCGATTGCGCGAGGACAGAGTGGATATCTTCATTGATCTCGACGCTACCCAGGAGGACCATGGCGAGGTCTGTTCGAGGTTCTATGCATGCTCTCGCGCGCTGAACCCCACATGTTGTAGACGGGAAATGAAAAAGACATCACGATGCAAGCGGGGAAGCAGCGAGCTGTCTTGCCACTAATCAGGAAATTTAATGAGCATTCTGGCCGACTTCTTGACTCTGTCCTGTGCGTGCTTCTGACAGATATTCCTGCTTGTTTAACTAAAACTAGTCAGTGGTGATACCCCGAATAAGCGCAGACGAATAGAGGGCAGTGTGGAAGAGGTCAGTGTATATGCTGCTACGACGAAGAAGACATAGACTGAATACCCGTAGCGATACTCACAACTGGACCTTGAAGACCTTCACGATAATCAGTCATCAGCTGGTATCACGCTCAGTAACCTAGACAGCCAGCGATATTTTGAGGGACGGTCGAATCAAACGAACGAGAGTGCTGTTCCCGCAAGTATCGCAAGCGTATGCTATAAACTTCACGCTCATTAGGTGGTCTAGATCTCGGTTAAAGCAGCTATACAAGAGGCGAAAGCTAATTTGCAAGGATGGTCTGCAGACCTCAGTCAGCTCAAGATTGATCGCAAGGCAGGCGACGCAGCCCTCAAGGAGATGACGCAAAACGTTGCTGCACGCCTCGAAATCAAGATGCGCAAAGGTTCGTTTCCGAAACTTTTCAATACATGTATCACATATTCAACAATTTGCAGACGATATACCTGAAAATCTCTACCACCAGATGACTGCGACACAGACAGCCGCGAATGAGTTCTTGCGGCAGTTCTGGTTCGCGATATATCCACCACCTACTGACTTGCCTACTGCATCCGCATTAAACCCTGCACAAAAGGCGGCGAAGGCAGCGAAGATGATTGGGTACCTTGAGCGGACGCACGAAAAGGTAGAAGCGCTGAAGCAGGGCGCACACTCGCTCGGCGTGGACCCTGGCAAAATACATACTGTGGGTCCAACAGTTCGTATTTCCGCGGTTCTGCGAGAGTTAAATATTTGGTGCAGGCCATGGAACCTGTCCTAGATGCTGTAGAGAAGGCAATGACGTTCTGGCGGCTCAAGAACACCAAGCCCCCACCTCCACGCTAACACTCACTGTACTCCGCGCCGCGCTTCGGCGTCGCACATACATTTGCCGTCCATAGTCCATGTAATGTATTGTACGAATGAATAATGTCACATCGTAACTACCTAGCCGTACGGGCTCGGCTGCTTCTGCAGCGCCGAGCCGGAAGAGGCCGTGCACTCGTATGTGGTGAACATGACCAGTATGTGAAGGAAGATGGCATACACGATGAATGCAGTCCGTGTCCGCCGATTCCCTAGGATCGCGCGCGTGAGTACAAGCACGCCGCGCTCAAGGACATTCAGTGACTCGTATGCCCTCGTAGCTTCTCGGCCGCGGAACGCTTGGAAGGGATTCATCGCTTCTTCACTGTAGAGACTGTCAGCCGCAAACCGCAAAGACGACGCCCGTAGCTCACTATCGTGTGCGGTACTTGCTCATATCATCCGAGCGGCCAGAGGTATTCGAAGGGATGGGATCCAGAGTCGACGACCGGTGCGCAGCGTCCTCGCGGTAACTCTGCATATAGCGCACCTTCTCGTATAGCTTGAGATTGTCCTGCTGCAGACTTTTTACCTAGATTGAACAATCAAGCACCTTGAATAGTGTATCGATGGCAGAGAACGACGAACCTCCGCGCGGAGCTCGGAGATGATGTTGAATTGCTTCCGTAGTTCTTCCTCTAACTCAGCATTTCGTTGCCGGAAACGGTCTCGTTGACCGGTCACGATTGGTAGAATGGAGGTATCTGCTGAGGGCGTGAAAGGAACCGGGCTACTCCTAGCAGGAGAAGGCTGGTGGACATGAGTGTGCTGACTGACAAGACACTGGCTCCACCTACACCAGATTTCTTGCCCAAGTCCAATCCGGCCAGAACATCGTCTGTAGCCGATGTATTATCGCCGATAACGGTCTTTGACGCGCGGTCGTGTGTCTGGATCTGCAATAGGTCATTCTCGAGCTTTTCATTCAGCATATGCTGCCTCTCGAGGTCGGCCTCAGCATTGGCCAACTCGCCCTGTACTGACAACAGCTGCGCCTCCAGCTCCCCATGCAGGATCTTTGCGACATATGTCAATCGAAGCATACACTGAGAATGATATGGCACACATACCCGGAACTTGGTAAGCTCCTCGAGGATTTTTTTGTTTTTGATAGCAAGGAGGACTTCGAGTGACTTTCCATTCTGTGCATTCGCCTTGTCCGCGTTCGGGCTAGGTAAATGCAAGCCAAGAGCATCACCAGAGCCACCTTCGCTCACGAGCGTTTCTGTATCGTCGTCTTCGTCCAGGCCTGCGAATTCCACGTACTATACGCATAGCTGAGTCATATATGGATGGGATGCGGATAGCTTGGCGGACCTTCATGATCTCGAGCTCACGCTTGATCTCGTCATAGTCCGAGTACTGCTTCAGCTTCTGCCGCAGCTGATCAATCTCTGAAGCCTGGGCCGGTCGCATTGCTGCGTCAGTATCAGACTTGTGCACAGGATGCGAATTCGGAGAGCCACCTTCTTTTGAAGTTCCCTCGAAACTTCCTCGACCTGCTTCATTGCCTTCGCCTGGGCCTCGAAAGCTGCAGCCTTCTGGGCTTCTAGAGCATGCGATAGCCTGTCCGTCTCGGATTCGAGCTCGGTAACATTAGCCTGTAGTTCTTTAAGCCTGCCATCCTTCAGCTGCATGTCTTCCAACTCCTAAAACACGAAGAGCGCACACCTGTCTGAACTCTCATTGCCGCTTTTGATAGCTTCAATTTCCGCCCGAAGAAGCTCCTACATGCAAGCTTCTCAATCTGCTGTAGGATTTATTGAAGAGGTAGCAGTACGCACGTTCCTGCGCTCGACAGTGACGACACGGCTATTCGCCCGTTCAAGATCTGCAACCATCATGTCCAGCTCTGCGAGTTTAGCGACAACCTCTTGGTCTGTAAGCACTTCAGGTTGAGCCTCGTTGCTACGAGCAGGCATTGGAAGGCCGCACGAAACAGGCTGATTCGTACCTTGTCGTTGAGTGTGGTCCAATAGCTTCGCCTGATTGGATTCATGCGACATCCGGAGCTCGCGAAGCTGACTCTTGGCAAGAGCAACCTGACGCTGGAGATCTTGCTCCCTATACTTTTGTTAAGCCATGCCGGGGCGTAGCACAAGTAGTACTCACCGTTCTTCGTAGTTGCGAATCTTCTCGTCATAAGTCGCATTGAGTTCGTTCTCTTTCTGAGTCACCTTCTCCTGGATCATCTCCTCCATCTAGAGAACATGGGTGATGTTGCACCCTCAGTTAAACTATGCAGTGGACGCAAAAAAAACCCACCCGCTGTTCCAGCTGCTCTGCTCTAGTTTCAGCCTTCCTCTTAGCAGATTCAAGCGACGATGTCTCGTTCAGACGCCTCTTGAGTTCTGCGTTCTCTTCCTTCACCCGCTGAAGTTCTATCTCCAGCTCACGAGCCTCTGCAACCTTGACCGTTTGGTCCTAGCTCAACTGTTAGGCTTTACTGTTGCACTTATAATAGTATAACGCACCACTGCGGCCTCGAGGAGCGGATAGGGATCTGGCGCCTCGGCGAGAACTTTGTACACGCTCAAGAAAGCATTCTCTGCTGTCTTTGACCGCTTCGTGAGGCTATCAATCTCGGTCTGGTAGGCTGCAATGAGTCGTGTAAGCTCCATCGAAACTACAGAACATTCACCGCTACGAACCTTTGAGCAATCCTTTGAAGGCGTTCAATTTCTCCTCATCTGGTATCTTCTTGAACTCTGGTCATAGCCTGCTTAGCACATTGGAATACCGGTCAGGGAATTGTAACCATGTACACACCCTTGGTTCGGTCCGCTAGCGCCTTACGGCCGACCACACTCTCCTTCTGGTTCTCAACAAGCTCGATGCCCTGGGCATCCAGGGTTTTCTGGAGTTCAGAAAGACTGATCTCTGTCAACGCGCAGTCAGGACCAGTCCGTGTTCAAGCAGCCGCATTCACCGACCTTTCCAGGTAGCGAGCGCACCGGAAAAGTTCTGCTCAGCCATGTCGTAGATATTACTGCAGTACAAGTCCACAGATTAAGAGTTGCCGCATGTATGTTGCCGAGTGACGTGAAGTGGGCGGCCGAGGACGTGGAGAACGCGGCGAAAGCGTTGTCCCCATCATTGGCGCCTGGGGGCGCTTTGCCCAGAAATAGAGTTCCCGCCAGCCATCTCAACCAATCACCACAACTCGTCAGAATGTCAGAAGATTCAGAGACGTAGGTAGATGTACCAGTGCACGTTCATCGTGCAGGCCCATTCGACAGCAAAGGAAATGTAGTGTGTTACAGGCATCAACTTGTTGCTGCCCTTAGGGAAAGCAAGACGAGCAGGAATCCAGAGCGGTGAGTAGGAACACAAGAAATACAGCAACGGCAAGAACCTCGGCGATAAATTGGATGCGCCCAAATGGCAGAGCTACCATTACTGATTTGAATATCTAGCGAATTTTATTCATGCTCGAAGGACAGGACAGATCCTGACCGATGTAACTTCTTCTGTTGAGTTCTGTCACATCGCCTATTCCGATTCTTGGTGCCTATTGACCCAATGTTAGTGTGGGCGGACGAGATTTTTCCGGCCACAGCTCTAGAAGAAAGGACTGCAGGGAAAATTACTCAAGATACGCCCTCAACTCCTTCGAGATGGTCAGAGCCGTCTAGTTCCACATAAGCGCCATCTCTATTGTCAAATTCTCCGGCAGAACCTCCAGAGAATAGCATATATGCGCTATACCTGGAGCGTGAAGGCTATCTGAAGCAGCCCTCTCCTCGGCATCACTGGCCGGCGTAGGTGCGACTGCTTTTGGGCTGCTTGTCTCGTCTCACCAGTGAAAACCTATACAGTCAAGTTCTAACACCATTTCAGGGCTCCGATGGTGATATCCTACGCTTTACGAAATCTTTCCATCTACAATGCTAACGGGATACCGCTGAGCATCAGGTTCAGCCCATTTGCTACCGGGCACATCGCAGGGACTACTCCTCCCCGCAAGACATGTGGGCCCTGATTATCATTATGGAACAAGTTACCCTGTATCATGCAGCCCCTCTTCGTGCACTGGCGCTGCCTCAGATGGGTCTGGCACTCTCGCCGGCACCAGTCTAGCCTCCTCTGTTGCCACCTTGTCTGCACCCGCTACAAGCTCCGAACGCACTCGCGGAGGCATCCACCACCTGCCCTGTCTCCCGCCAGAAAGAGCCGACAGACATACTAGCAAGGTCAGTTGGCAGGCTGACGCCATCCCGCAGCACTTGATTTACGAGAACCAATGCAACACAGCCTACGCACCTCAGAGTGGCACTCTCTCCAACAATACGGAGCTCAAAGCTCATGAGCCGTGATTTAGTTGGCCATACACCACCACAAAGTGGTGCAGAACCGGTATGTCGGCGTACGCAACACGTAGTGTCTTATTGGTCGGCTGAACGGAGCTCCTGTCCCCCATGCCCGACCATTTCATCTGGATCCTTCGTTTATGCGTACTAAACAGCACGCGGTACCATCCCCGAGTATCACATCATCTGCCGACACACTTGCTGCGCATTTGGAAGCATTGGCGGGCATCCCGGCTTGCATTCGTAAGCTGGAACGGAAACACGCAGCATCAGAAAAGAGCATTCGCATGAAAAGTAAGAGGATCACCGAGCTCGAGGCAGAAGTCCGTCGGTCAGTGTCGTCTGTGTTTTCATCCCGGCGGGTGCGGAGTAATGATCATTGACACTGCTGTCTGCCGTATAGCCTTGAGGCCGAGAACGCGCAACTCCAGGCAAAGCTCAGCTCAAGATACTGACCGACCAATCCCGCTTGCTTTTAGCTTGTCTTCTCGCGCCACTGCACATGCCTCACTGCGCCTCGGTTTGCTCTTCTCGAGCTTACTGGCCTTACCCCTGTCCTATGCGACTTACTGACACGTCGTATGTTCACACGCGTCGTGAGACGGTCTGCCTCTTCGTAGCGACGGCACATTGTAATGGAGATCTTCGGAATGAAAAATAAACATGTACGGACGGTGCGTCCAACCGTATGACCCCACGGGTATAAGTATTGATATGACAAGTTAACGCTCTCATCCCGCCTGTCAAATTAAGATGACAAGGGTCGTCAAAAAGCGAGTGGGGAGACAAGATCTCGAAGTGCATGAGAAAACCAGGCACATTCCCGACAACCTCGCTGTACCTGCAGGGTTTGCATTACCAATCTATATGGACGATACCGGGTGGTGTTTCGTAGGCCTTGCTGGCAGTCTGCTCGCGAATCACGATTTTTCGCGAAACATAAAATTGCTACTTGAGAGTCTGGAGCTGAGATATCACCGAACGAGTCCAGACTGCCTAGGACTTTCACACTACCGCCTAAGCCAATCGCGGGTCTGGTGGAGTGGGTAAATGACGAGGATTTGACGGTTTCGGGGACGATCCAAAGAAGTTGTGCACGGCAAGTCGTCAACCACTCAATTCACTTCACCTACCCCAGTTGTGCCTGCCGATACATCGCGTGTGAGCGGAGGATTGGTTGATACCGGGACCGACGACGTACCTGTCGTTGCCGGAGCCCTCGTGGCTACCAGGATGAGACTGCTCGGGAACGTCAGCCCAATGTCTGTACCAGTGTCGGTAAGGGTTGTAAGCAGGGTCGACAGACCTGTCACATGCGCCCCAAGGTCAGAGATGAGAATTTCTGGAAGTTAAAATTCTGTATATGTGGCGCCGCGGCGCGCCTGAGTGTATAGCTCGCTACGAATGTAAGAGTTGTGGAAGAGCCATTTCAAAAGCGGCTCTCAGATTGCCTATCGGCGAAAGTTTAGAGCGCAAGACAAATGAGGTTGATAGAAAGGTGCGCTGAGTACTCACGGATGTGCTGCTCCAGTTGGACCGGTTGTGTCCGATAGGCTGCGTTCGTGATTTCCAACGGTTTCCCGCCATGGATGCCTTGTGTGTACGTACGTATTAATTGACCGCCATGTGGATGTATGATTGGATCGTCCTATGCCCTTGAATGGACTATCGGATGCTGATAGAGCTTCGGAGTCAACATTTCTATCATTCGTCAGTTTCGGCGGTTCGTGCGTAGGATCCGTAAAAGGAACGTGCAGAAGTCGCGACAGCGAGAATATGTAGCGAGTGCATTGTTCGTCGTGCACTGACTGAGCCGAAGCGACTATGTCGAAAGACGTGTGGCCGGCAGAACCATCTGGTGTGTGTTTGTGACCTATACAGCGGAGGAATTAGGAACTCGAAGTCTGAGCGCAATGTTGGTGAGCGCCGGCGAACTCACGGCCCAGACATGTGCCATAGTAGCAGTGTCCCCGGGAGCACACAGGGTTATGCAGATGCTGTCGGGCAGGTCAAGACGTCGTGTGAGCCACTGGGCGTTGATCCTAAAACAGGCGAGTTACCTCGCGTATGCTTCACTCTTAAGGCTTTGTGGCGCGCTCGGCAATCGAGACTTTGTACATTCGGGGACGTACGCGATAGGTTTCAGCCTTACAGCGGCAGCTACGAGACGGCCCCGGTAGTTTGTACATATCCTAGGTGTAGCAACATTGCAAATGGTACAGTCGGGTATGTATCACAGGTCAGCCTGACAACAAGAGGATTGCAGGTGAGGCGAGGAGGATGGTAAATGTACACGGGAATATCCTTGCAGAAAATTGGTGTTGAACGGCGGGAGTCGCGGAGGCGGGAGAAGCAGGTAAATGCACGATGATGAGTGATGGCTGGAAAGGGGGCATAGATGAGTACATGGCCGAAAGTGTCCGAATGGGAATAAGCTAGCGGAATAGTGTCCGTAACCAGAGCCTGAACCGGGTCCACCAGCTCCCTTGCCATCCGGGGCGTCGTGTTTGACCGCCAATCCACATCTTTCCCGTCCCAATTCTAATCTCACTGCGAGCGCCATCTCCGCCCTCTTCGATGTCACGGGCTCCGCCCTTCGTGACTGGGAAACGAGGCAATGTGTTTCGCACGGCAAAGGAGGGGAAGAGTTTGAGAAGCGCCAAGTACTCGACATTCGGCAGATCGGGAGCAATCCAAGTCCTCATATAACCATCAGCATCTATCGAATCCAGACTGTTCTGACTGTTCAATGGCTGACGAAAGGGGTCAGACGTTTCGGTCTGGGGTGTCGGAGGTAGAGAAGCGTCGTCGGCGGTGGATGAGCCAGAGGTGGAGAGCTGAGCCATGGTGTTCGCCGAAGAGTAGGATGTTGACAGCGGAGGCGGTGTATGGGTATCCAAGAACGGATCGCTAGGCGCTCTGGGGCGCTTGGTTTGCGTCGTCGACGCAATCGGCGGTGCTTTGCCTGAACGTGTGCGAATGGAGGCGTCAGCTGGAAGGGGGCTAGATTGGGACCGAGAATGAATAGGTGAGAGTGGAGAGAATGGCGAATAAGGTGGTTGTCCTCCTATGGACGGCGAACGTTTCAAGGACGATGATTCCTCGAACCCAAGGACCTAGCCGCAGGAAGGTAAACATTACTGCCGTCACGCGATAAACTTGGCAACGTACTCCTTTGAACACGTCGATGGCCTCAAGCATGAATTCTTTGCCACTGCAGGCCAGATTATTAACAGCGCACACCGATTCTCGGGGACCACTTACGCTGATTCATTGAATACAGCATCGTCAATTTGCCATTCAATGCGCTTACCACCCGATCCGCCGAGATGCTCTGGTAGCACAGATAGTCGCATTAAGCCCCAAAGTCCTTCGAAAAAAGGCTTCGTCCCAGGCATGCCCATCGTGCACCAGGTCCTGACGAACCGTTCAAACCGTTCGTAACGTTCCTTGCGAGCAAGAGAGCCTCTCGGGTCCGATCTCGAGTGAGGCATTAGTGAGCCTCCTGGCTGGGTAGCCGCAAGATGAGCTTGGAATTCGGCATTGCGTCGGGCGTTGACGCTAGCATGATAGGCAGATCGTATCTGAGCTTGAAGGCGGGAAAAGGGTGCACGATGAGAAGACGGTAGAGTAGCCATCGTCTGCGCCATGACATGGCCTGCATCTTGATCTTGGTTAAAATACCTGCGGGGCGTCAGCAGCTTGCGTACAGATCTGATAAGATGCATACCATGCGCGGCAGACGTCAGCGAACTTCTCCAGATCTCGCTCAAGGGGACGGGAGGGGGTCGGCGCTCTGCCGGGCGGCGGGGTCATTCCACGGCTACGAGATGCTCGAGACTGGCTGCGAGTTGTGGGAGACGTGGGGAGGCTGTAGCGGGGCGATGTGGGGTTGGCTGAGGGGAGGTCACAGAGAAGCGATTTCCTATCCTTGCTCTCATTTAGGTGAGGCGCAGGTGAGGTATTGCGGGTTCTGATAGGCACCGGCGGTGGATGTCGCGCACGAGGCGTCTCCAGTCTGTAGGACGAGACAGGGGCGGCCATTTCCAGTGCACAGGAGATTGAGTAAGAAGACGAGGTTCAAGCAGGGTCGCGTTCGGAAATCGCTAAAGGACAGTGTCCAGGAAATACGCGGGTTGCGGCGGCTAGAAAGAGCGACAAAGAGAAGTTAAAATAGTACGGGACGTCGACCCAAGCAACGTCCTCGGGAGGCGGCTCGTTAAGCGGGTGGTGAACGCAGCCTGGGCTACAGGGCGGACAGAGAGCAGAACCAGAGCCGCCAGGTCGCAAGCAGGCCACACAACAGAGCCAACTGCGCACAACACCGTGTTTCACGCTGGGCGCCAATGCATACAATTAGTCACGTGGCCCATGACGGGATCGGCTTCGGTCGCCGAACCCTGCCTTTAAGCTTGCATTCGGCACTCATGCTGGTCAGTGAATGCACTCAGGCCTCTGACTCACGACCAGGGCACGTTCATGCCCCCTGTGCGAGCGCATCAGGCTCGCACATCAGCGACCGTGAGCCACAACGAAGGCTTACAGTCTGGTACGTAAGCCACATACATAGGAAGCTTGTGTATTCTGACCCGCCGAAGTAGTGAGTTCCGGCGTGTAGGTGGAAAGTCCCACCGACTCTGGGGATGCACTTCACAAGTATCTCAAAGAGAGTCGTTTCTCCCACCTTTGGTGCTTCTGGTACGTCCATGAGCGGGGTGCCAAGTAGCACAGGAACATCACATGTGAGTGAGAGACGTGTTTGTTCTGCTCTGAAGCATTTCCGAGATGCACTTCTGTGCCCAGGACCTTTCAAAGCATTCTAGGTCGTGTACACTTGCAGAGTCATCAGACTGCGCAAATAGACTCTTGCTACTCGTCCATGAGAATCGTCATTGAACTTGAGGACGTATAAATACAGGCAGCGCAGAGCTAACTGCTGTCGTGGCCACTCGTTTGGTACGATGTTGTCACTTCTTACCGCCGTCTCACTCGCCGCTCTTGCGCTCAGTGCTCCTGCTGCTAGCGATGCACCAGGCTGGCAGTTCGATGTAAAACCCAATCTTTCCGGGATTGTGGCTCTTGAGGCGATCGTCGTGAACACCTCCTTGGTAGTCATGTTCGACCGCGCCACCGGTGATCAACCCCTGAAGCTTAACGGAAAGTCTGTCTGGGGCGCCCTCTGGGATCTCGACAACAGCACGGTTCGTCCGCTCGAGGTCTTGACCGACTCTTTCTGCGCTAGTGGCGCTCTGCTGAGCAACGGCACTATGGTAAGTTTATGAAATCTCACACGTTGTGAGAAATTTGACGGACGCCTACTTGCTGTGCACAGGTTAGCATAGGAGGTACTCCTGGAGCTGACGACGGAAATTTCGCTGCGCCCCCTGGCAATCAAGCGATCCGGATCTTTGAGCCTTGCGCCTCGGCGTCGGGAGCTGGCTGCACGCTCTTCGAGAACCCTGCGACGTTGCACCTACTTGAGGAACGATGGTATCCGTCGTCCGTCCGGATTTTTGACGGCAGTCTCATGATCATTGGTGGTTCACATGTGCTCACACCGTTCTATAACGTCGATCCCGCCAACTCTTTCGAGTTCTTCCCGAGGAAGGAGCAGACGCCCAGACCTTCCGCCTTCCTAAATCGCACTTTACCAGCGAACCTTTTCCCACGGCAAGTCTTTAGACTTTTTGACTATTAGTCTTCTGACTGAAGTCCCTTCATAGTGCTTTCGCGCTGCCCGACGGAACAGTCTTCATCGTCGCTAACAACCAGTCCATTATCTACAACATCGAGACCGACACCGAGACACCCCTCCCAGATATTCCCAACGGCGTCCGTGTCACTAACCCCATCGATGGAAGCGCTATCCTTCTCCCCTTGTCACCTCCTAATTTCACGCCTGAAGTTCTCGTTTGTGGTGGCTCCACTGCTGACACCTCACTGCCGTCCACCAGCCTGTCCTCCCAGCAGCCCGCTAGCAGCCAGTGCAGCCGCATCACGCTCACATCTGAAGGTATCGCGGCGGGCTGGCAGGTTGAGCACATGCTTGAGGGCCGCATGATGCCCGAGCTCGTCCATCTTCCGAACGGTCAGATCCTCATCACCAACGGCGCCGGCACAGGTTTCGCTGCCATCTCGTCCGTGGGTGACCCGGTCGGCAACTCCAACGCCGACCACCCGGTCCTCACGCCTTCCCTCTACACTCCCGACGCGCCACTCGGACAGCGCATTAGCAACGCGGGCCTGCCGACGACGGACATTCCACGCCTGTATCACTCAAGTGTCACTCTTACGCAGCAGGGCAACTTCCTCATTGGTGGCAATAACCCGAACCAAAATTTCACCCCGCCGGGTACTCCTGGCATCAAGTTCCCGAGCGAGCTGAGAATTGAGACCCTCGACCCGCCGTTCATGTCCAGGAGCCGGCCTGAGCTTCTCACGTTCCCTGAGAAGCTGAGCTTTGGCCAGCAGGTGACCGTGCCTGTTACCATCCCGAGCGACCTCCAGACGAGTAACATCCAAGGTCCGTATCTTCGGCTTGTTTAAGATTTGTTCGCTCATTTTGGCCTGACAGTTTCCCTTATGGATCTCGGCTTCTCGAGCCACGCCTTCCACTCCAGCGCGCGTTTGGTCTTCATGGAGTCGTCCGTCTCAGCGGGCGGCAAGTCGCTCACATTCACTGCACCGCCAAATGGCCGTGTCTTCCCCCCGGGCCCGGCTGTCGTTTTCCTCACGGTAGCTGTTACGGTTAGCTCTTGTGGAGCACGGATGACTGACGACAATTTTTAGGTTGACGACGTGACAAGTGTCGGCCAAAGGATCATGATGGGCAGCGGCAACTCTCCGCCGACTTTGGAGTGAAGGTAGGATGGCCATACCGTATCTTGTAATTGTACAAACAAATCTGCAAATGCGCGAACGGATCAGAGTAGTATTTCCTGTGGTTCTAGGAGATTCTCTTCATTCTCGTCATGTAACACCTGACTGAATATGAAATGTTTTGTTAGGCCCGGTGCCACACGCGAGTGCCGGGGAAGTCGTTACGAGACATCGTTGGGCTCGATATACCGCTGTCAGGCTTGCCGGTGGCTTCTTAGGGCGCAGCCACAATATTAGCGCCTACTTCGCGCCAGAACTCGCGGCGAACAGTTCACCGCTCCTAGCGAAATACAGTACCAGTGCACCGAGTAACATACGAGCGTCAGGAGAGTAAGCAAATGCTGACTGTTGCCCGGTCGTACTTCTGTATCAGACGCAAAAAATGACCATGCCGGCAAGCGTACGCGTACAGCCTCCAGGGTGTTTACAAGGCCCCAGGACGCCGCGACTCTGCAGTTGCGAACACCTGGGGTTTCGGAGCAGCATAATCGTTATGATGTCCACAACGCTTAATTTCCATCACGGACAAGTTGCTAGCGTGAGGTCAGGCGCGTCACACCGACCGCGGGCGGCTACTCTAACATCGTCGGGCACAATGCCTAAAGCACAGGCGCGGCTGCGCCGTGAAATTGACCAACTATCACGGCCTTTGTTGCGGTAGGCCCTCTGAGATCCGCGCACAACGGAGCGTCTCGCAATCGCGCCCGACATGCATCGAAGTCGACATGATGCGACCTTACCGAGGTTGTAAAGTTTAGCACGAAATGCAGACTCTTCGCCGCCGTTACAGTCCATGCCGTCACACAATGCTCTGGAAGGCGGTCCGTGATCACAGTCTGGTAGAATGTCTGCTCCGTTGCGGTCCGGAGATGTATGGGGCAGTGCATCGAGAACGAGGAGCCTGCGCTCGGGCGATCCTCGCAGAATCAGTATCCACAGAGCGCATGGGCCATGCACCTTCCCGCGAGCCTCCACCTTGTGGCTGAACGTGGTGGCAACGAGCAGACGCGGCTGTTGGAGACGTGCCCCCAAGCAGCTGGCGCACTTCTGCTCACGAGACTCCAGGCTCTACGGAAGAGTACAGGAATACCCTCTGGCACCTTCATCACTCGACCACTGTCCGCAGCCACTGGGGTTCAAACTCTATCAAAGTAGATGTCTGCGATACGTTCTGCCGTTGACTTTAGCTCTATCTTCCCGTCAGTTGACATGGGCAGCGCTGTTGCACAACTATCAACAGGGCCTCCCAGTCTGATGAGCCAGGCACTCATGAGCTTCTTCATATAGAGGACTGACAGAAGGCCATATGGAGTGCAGCAATCTTGTTGCATGAGGCAGCGTACAATAGCTTGTTTTTCAGCGCGCGAGGCACTAGTAGTACTCTGGGCAGTCACAAGACCGTGTTGTTCGAGCTTGTAGATGTAGGCCCTCGGACGCCGAGCGGTTTGACACATTGTTTGACAGTGCCGCACCGCTTTGTGACGACGTCCGCCGCCCAAAGAGCAGTCGGCCCTCGAGTGCCAAATGGGGTAACAAGAGAGTTGCAACAAAGCTGACATGGCCTGTTCTCAACGCGTGCCGGCCTCGACAGCGACGGCGGTGCCCGGGTCTTCTTGCCGTACAGGTCCGTACCGGCTATAGAGCAAGCATTGCAGGTGCGCGGGAAACATCGATGTTCACCGTACCCTGCCGCGATTAGGATCGAGCGCGGAAGGAGGGTGCCTGGCGAGCGCGAGGCTTCGAGGACCTGATTTTTCTTGGCGTCCTTACCAGTCTGCTGGGTCGCGGGGACAACCGAGCCAGAATCTGCTTTCGACATATCTACCATCCCAGCGGGCCTGCATCGGAGGCGTCATTAATGCAGGCCCATGATAGACCTTCAAGGAACGCACCGGGCACGCAGCGGCGCGACAGAGTTCGCACATACGTAAGACGGAGTGTTGGCCGAAGAGCGATAACCTCCTAGGATGCACTCCACTCAGGGCAGCCGTTCAAATCCCTCCAGTAGCGAAGTAGAGGATGGTAGAGCCTTCGATACAGCATTCTGCGACGAAACGCGTCGAGCTCGCGGTTGACAGATTGAAATGGAATCGTCAGCGACCAATACTTTCGGCCTTCCGTGGTTCCCTGACCCGAGTGCAAGTGCGCTCCGCTAATTGATTGGACAGCCGAACTGTATCGACACGATATCTCGTCAATCCGGAAGGACAGACTAGAAGTCGACAACCATACGACGAGTTCCAGGCGTGTAGTCGACTTCCCACCTCGAAGCGTGTACTGTCGAGCTTGAATACTGCGGGGTAGGGAATTTCTGCCTCGAAGGGGATATAGATGATCTTGACGACAGCGAGATACCCCCAGCGCAACGCCTTGCAGCGTGGATCTGGGAATAAATCTTCGGTGACCAACACATACCAGCTCGACATGCACAGGATACACCGTGACAGAACAGCGTCATAGCTGCCACCGAAATTCATAACCTGCGGGTCAAAACATGATGGAGACGAGACCCAAATGTTTATGCATTGCGGTTGTCGTGTCCTGGCTTGCACCGCAGTAAAGCTTCCGCGGCAAGTAGGAAGCCGAATGACCGACCTTGTGTGCCATGTGGACAACAGGCCCCGAATTCGTGAGTAGGCACCGGGAGACTCCGTCAAGAACCTTCACGAGGGCGGTAGCTGTGGTCGGCATTGTACCTCAAAGAAATGAATTTGCAGAAGCATAGAAAACAAGCCTGGCGGTGACAACATGTGATCCAATGGGGGAGACTGGTGGTCCGGGAGAACTCACTGTAGAGAACGGGAAGGACGGCATGATACTATCGTCAGTGCGGGGTATGTTCAGGCCTCGAAGCAGGCACGGTGGACGGCAACTCCGAACATACAAGGCAGTGACTCGGCCCAAGCAAAGACAATCAACGTGACAAAGCGACAGATGCGCCGGTCGGCGAGCCGTTGGCGTCGTTCCAAGTCCAATGTATCAAGGGCCATATTTGACAGTCACAGGAAAGCTTGATTCGTTGGACCGGCTGTCACATATCACTGATGAGCAGCACGTTTCCAATGGAAAGCGCAGACGAGGGTCCTCTGGAGGGTATGGCAAGTGTCGATGCACAGGCATAGGCTCCGTGGCAGGGATAACGTCAACGCACTGGTATTGAGAGCGTACCACATTCAAGCGTGGGCCAATCGGTAACGTGCTTGCCAGAGTCGGGACGGAAAGCGAATGAGAAAAGGCGACAGGTGATAGCGTGGAAGTTGATCCACGACGGGTAGCAAAGAAGGCTGACGCGTATTCCTGCGCAAGCCGTAACTGCGTCGGGAAAGATTCCCTCACGACCTGGATCTGAGTGAGATACTGCGTTCCGAGCGTTGGGTAGAGATGCAATCGGTCGAACAATGATTGATGGGAGCAGAGTTTGCTCCTCAGAGTTTGCGGTGTGTGAACTGGAGAAACTGCGACCAAACCGCCTACCTTGAAAGGCTACTGCCCGAGCCCTGGGTCCGTATAAAGCAGAGGGTGGGAGCGCATGAGAGGAGACGACACACACACACACGCCGTGCGTACTGTCTGAGGCGACTGCGCATCGACACCACACCCTCGCTATCCACGGCCACGGCATTCCGCCTAGTAGCACGGTCAAGGACGGGCAAGATCACAAACACTAGTCGAAACAAGGTCTCTCGCCGGCGCTCTGCAGCATCGCGAAGGTGAGCCGCCGTGCGGCACGGAGATAACGATCTGTATACGGCGTCGCTCACTGTGTTGCCCGTCCAGAGCGGTCCTAGGCCCTTGACGTCGAGGTCGCAAGCAGTATAAAGGCAGCAGGTGGGGTTGGAAGTGATACACTCTGGCGGTCGCTGATGCCTGGCCTTCTCTGAAGACGATTAACTCCGCGACGCTGTCAGGTGCACTGATACCAGGAAGGTTATCGGAATATTTGGGCATCTCTCCCCGTCATGGCGCAAGCATCTTCAGTCAACTCGCCTGGATACTCGACATGGCTGCCCCTGTCGGCAAACGCCGGCGCTGAACGCCGATCAATTGGTGAGTGTATAGAATGATCGTAAGAGCTGCTGCAGCGCTCCCCTGCCCTGCCCTCCTCGAGCTGCGTCTCCTCCTCCGCAGGGCTGACAACGGCTACCACAGACATCCTCAAGCCACAGTCGGCCCCCCGCAGCGCGCGACACAGGAGCATGTCCATCGACTTCACCCCCAACGGCCCTCACCAGGGCATGTTTGGCCAGCCAGACATCGACCAGCCCTTCAGCTCCCTTCAGGGGGGCGACATCAACTCCGCCCACTCGAGCTCGCACATGTCCGTCTCCGGTCATCCCCTCGACAGGAACGACCCGCTCGACATCGATGCCCATGGCAGCTATGACATCTTCTCTACCTCCTCCACTGGCTCGCTCGCATCCCAGAGGTACCGTACCAACGCTTCATCCTCCTCCTCCCTCGGCCCAAACTACTCCCTCGGCGTCGACCCCATGTATCAACAATCGTCTTTCTCTGATAACATGCAGTCCTTCCACTCGTCCAACTCGAACCCCTACGACCTCATCGGTAGTCTCCCCTCGTCATACAGCAGCGGCAAACCATCGCCCATCACGCCCAATGATGTGAGCGCCCTGCCACACTCGTCTGGCTTCCCGTTCTCGAACGGACAGTCGAAAGATTTTCAGCCGCATCACAGCTATCACGAGCCCATGCTCGACCGCCGCATCGGTGGTGCATCAAGCTACTCGAACGACTTCAACGACGATTTCGGCTCAATGGGCGTCAACCATGGTCTCGGTATCAATGGTTTCCCCCCTTCAGGTCTTCCCCCGTTCCCTGACCGTTTGGGACGCGTCCAAGGCGAATCGCGCTTCCAGAACTCGACCGTGCCTTCCCTGACTGCCACGTCTCACCTGGCGCAAAGTCACAATCCTGAGCTGATCAGAGGCGTAGCGCCACAGGCGACGCACCTGCCGTCATTCGACGACATGAACTTCATGGGCCCGAGCCCAACGGTCTACGATCCGCCGCTACGTCTGCCTGCCAGCGTCAACGACGACATGGCACGTCTCCGGCTACAAGGTTCTGGCGACCTTCAAACGTTCATTCGGTACATCACCTTTCCAGCTAGAAGCTGGAGCTGTATCTCATGATCTTTCCTTTTTTTAGGCCGTATCTGGATCAGTACATTAGGACGCCCAACCGTCTGGCATTCGGCGAGCGCACGGTTATCGTCATGTCGTCCAAAGTTGCTCAGAAATCATATGGAACAGAAAAGCGGTACGTAACGCAGATTAGTCCGCAGTCCCGCGTGACACTAATTGCGCTTCCCTGCTCCCCAGCTTCCTTTGCCCTCCGCCAACAGCCCTCATGATCGGTAACTCGTGGTGGTCTGATGTTCATCGCCGCGGCGAGGAGCCGAAACTTTGCCCGCCTAGAGTAGTGATCTCCATCTCTGGAGAGCCTGCGCCGCAGGAGGGCTCTATCGAGTGGACGAGTGCCACGGGCAAAGCGTTCGATGTTTCTGACCCGCCGACAGGTACTACTTACATCGGGCGCTGCGTCGGCAAGCAACTCTTCATCTCCGATGTCGACGAGAAGAAGAAAAAGGTCGAGGCACTGGTGAAGATTATGGCTCCTTCTGCCGACGACGAGCCTGAACGTGTTATGGGCACGTTCCCCAGTCGTCCGATCAAGGTCATTAGCAAGCCCAGCAAGAAGAGGCAAAGTGCGAAGAACCTCGAGTGTAAGTAAACATGCCGTACATGTTTGAGTTCGCGCTAATAATGCGGTCTTGCTTCCGCAGTGTGCATTAACCATGGCTCGACGATTTCGCTGTTCCATCGTCTTCGATCACAAACCGTCTCCACCAAGTATTTGTGCGTCTCTGGCTCGGGGTCGTCGTTCAAGGGCTCCGATGGTGCTCCTCTCATGGGCTTGGACCAGCGTGCTCGTACGCAGACACCGTCGTTCATTGCGCGGACTGCTAGCTGGGGTGAGCTCTAACACCGCTTCGGCCACAGGGTCAGCTCCTAACGTCTGGCACTAGATCCATTCATCATGTATATCGTCGACGTGAACAAACCTGCTGGTGGCATCGATACGCCACCACCCCCGCCGCCTCAGCCGGAGTTCCCTTCTCCTCCGCCTAACGCCATTCCCTTCACCAACAACGGGTCCCAAATCCCGATCTATTATAATCAGACGGTGGTCCTCCAGTGTCTGACCTCGGGCGTAGTCAGCCCGGTGCTCATCATTCGTAAGGTTGATCACCAGACCACGGTAGTTGGTGGAGGTCTCCAAGAAGGTGCCAAGGGCATTGCCGATCACTATTGCTGCCTTGGCGAGGTCTGCGGAGACCCGGTCTCGCAGTTGCACAAGATCGCGTTTGAGGTCTACGACCCCAGCAAGGGAGCGCCGGAGCCCGGCACCCCGGGCGCCAGCGGCGCATTCCTGTCTTGTATGGGCGAGAAGGTCAACACCTACCGCCCCGTCGAAGGCCGCCAGTGGAACTCGAGCATCACCAATGCTGTTGAGGCCGACTCGCCTATTGCAGCGCCTGGCTCGCCGATTGCGGGTACCCCAACGTCGGCGAACGGCCACGGCGAATACTTCGGTGCCAATGGCGGTTCCGGCAGCGCCCCTAACTCGCCTGTCCCCGCCGAGTTTCCCTCGAGTGACGGCGGCAAGGTGAAGAAGGGCAAGCGCGGCTCGTCGAGTGCCGGTGGTCTCAGCAAGCCTGCCTCTCAAAAGGGTCGCCGGCGTCCAACGTCTGCGGGATCTGCCGGTGGTTCAATCTCGTCTAGCAGGCGTGGCTCGAGCAGCGACTCGTCGGCTTCCTCTGGTGCTCTCTGGCAGGTGGACATTGGCGAGACAAGTGTCTGGACGATCGTCGGCGTCGGTCAGTAAAGATCTTGTTTTTGTTTTGACTCATCGTTGACGTCGGCCCATAGATCAAGTCCGATACAACTTTTATGTGCCGCCTGTTCTCTTCGACAACCAGAGCGCGCCGCAGACTGGGTCCTTCCCCATCCCGTCGAAGCCCGTCACCCCCTTCCCCAACGTCGTCAAGTATCTCCCGCCTGATCGCGCTGCTGAGGCGCCGAAACCATGTCCGCAATCGCGAGCAATGATGGCGAAGCCGAACCCGCACGCGTCGAAAATGCTCACTGTGTACGGAGAGAATTTCTCGAAGACGGACCCGGTCACCGTGTTCTTTGGCTCCGACCCGTCACCGTACGTCGAGGTTCGGTGCACGGAGGTCTTGGGTTGTCTCCCGCCGGAGTCGAACAACATGAAGCGCAGGCCTATTATCCTGGTTCGGCACGATGGTACCGTGTTCCCTTCGAATACATACTACCCTTGATTATACCTGTCGTGTACTTTGCTTCTCTATCTTGTACTCGCTGCTGATTCTATCTTGCGTACATACCTGGTAGCCGGTTGGACGTTTGTGCTTCACTTCGCATCTTCAAAGCTCCATTCTTTGCTGTCGTTATCTCATTATCTAGAACCGCGTCTTGCTACGTTCGTGCTCATTCTAACCACTATTTGCATTGTGTACCTGTACTTGTACAATAACTGGATAGACAGTCTATCTCCGGTCTTAGTACTCAATGCTGATTCGCCGTCGTGCGTGAGAAACAAATTTCCCGCCCCAGGGGTGGAGCGTGAGCGGATCCTTGACCATGTCTCCCACCGCACTCTTCTCCGCACCACTCTATGTCTGGCGGCTCTATGTCGAGTACCTCTGGAACTACAAGTCCGGCTCATGGGTCGAACGCACTGCGTCGACGTTCCGCGTCATGGCCTTCTTGGTCATCGCGCCGTTCGTCATTTTGACTATGCTGGTACAGCCTACATTGTGCACGTCCCCCCTGACCAGTTCTCAATCTACGTTGCACAGGACGTCGCCTCCTATGTGATAGCACGCACGCTCGGCGTGATAGATGCCACCAAGGCCTCGACGAGCGGGGCCGCGCCGCACGAGACCGCGCCGAGCGGCGGCGCAGGCGTCCCCGCGACACGGGTCGACCTGCCCATGAAGGAGTCGCAGAGCGACGGCCCATCCGCGACGCCGCCCTTCCTGCGCGAGAATGACAACGTTGTTGCTGAGGGCAACCTCCGCCTCGCGGGCATCGAGGTGTTTTCGCCCGCACCCTCTGCGCCCCCTTCGCCGACGCTGTCCAGACGGGACCTCACTCTGCCGCGTCTACGCCCGCTGACGACGCTGTCGAAGCTGGATCCGTCAGAGGAGTCGTTCGGAAACAAGTCCCCGACGATAGGCGAGGACTCGGGGTCGGAGGAGAGTGGGGAGGGCGTGCAGGTTCGGCGGAGGACACGGCGGGTGGTATGTGAAGAGGAGCCGGATGCGTAACCGGATGGATTGTGCGTATTCCCTGTCATGCCATTCTGACAGCTTGACTGACTTTTTCACAGAGAAAGGACCTCTTGAAATGCATGCCTGGATAAACATAAATAGAGGCTCTATTTCTCGACTACTGTACACGACCCCTACTACTGCAGAATAATCCCAAAGAAATCAACGAAAGTTGTTCAAGACCATCACACGCGTTCACTTTCGTGCAATAGCGGAGGGAGGGATGAATCTCTGGAATAAAGAGCTAAGAACGACGGAAGAGTGAGGCATCTGGCCGTATGCGATGTCCTGGAACTTCTCCTGCAAAGCGCTCTGGACAGAAGGCTCTGAGGCATAACGGTGGAAGACCTCGGTCTCCATCCGCAACACATCGGGGTATCTATGCAAGCGATGAGTTATCCTGATAGGCACCAGTCGATCTTCAAACATACCTCCAGGTGAAGTCCGAGAAGAGCTCTTCAACGACGTTTTCTTTGGACAGCGCCATTTCCAGGGCACCGAAAGACAGTTCCCGCAGTTTCTCGAGCCCGAGCTGACATACCGCTTCAGTACACAGCTCGAACTGCTGCGTTTACATCACTGACCTTGGTGGCCAGTCTATACATCGACTTGGGGGAGCAGGAGACGCCATTGGTGAAAGACGTGCGCCGTCCTCCCTGTGACCTCAAGGGCGCAAATTCCAGGAAATCATTGTAGAGGAAAAGCAACAAGGCTTGCCAGCTATTGCAAGGTTAACGCTTTATTGTATTTGTTGATGTCAGGGGCTTACGTTCGGTACGCGCTCTCAGGTATGAATAACGTTCGCTCCTGAGGCAAATTCTTCCGCTCGAGGACGATAGTCTCCTCGACAGACGACTGCGTTTTGCTCGCACTCGCGTCCTCAATCTGAACAGGGAGCCGTAAGTCCTGCGTAATACGGAGCGATAAATTAGGGTAACATACCACGAGGGGAATGGCCGTCCCTTTCGGATGTTCGTCTCGCCATTTGAGGATGGAATCGTTCGTCTCCAAGCTCAGAATAGGCTTGGCAGGCGCAGCACGTTCAATGCTCCCCACAGCCGTCTCTTCTGTCTCCTCGCTCAGGCTCAAACTCGCAGCCGAGTTGAAATCGTCCAGCGATACGACGTCGATGTCGGTCGCGCTCAGGGTGGCACTTGCAGCGCTCTTCGGAGTTGCTAGGCAGACTGGTAAGACATCGAATTTGTTCGTGCGAATGGGCTGTACTCACCGTCATTGCTCGTTGTTGTCTTAGATAATGTTGCAGGTCTCGTACTCGTAGCGGGACTTGCACGCCTGAAGGTCTTCTTCTCGGCAGGCTCTTCTTCGCACTCTTCCAGGTCGCTATCGCAGTCATAGCTGTACTCTACTCTGTCCGACCTCTTTCCATGGACAGACGAGACATCGATAATACACCGACCGTAGATATCTAAAGCGCCCCAATCAGCTCAGGTTGCCAAGCAAAGGCGTAAAGCTACACACCTTCCGTGAATATAACAGAGGCTGCATGAAGGAAATCACTCCTCGCATGGACAGCTTTCGGCCTGTGTGCCACGCCAGCTTTGCTACGCGCAGAGCACAGGTAGATCTGCGTGTCGTCAAACTTTGCACCGCCGATAGAGTCGAAGAATGCCTTCCGGAAGAGTGTGGGGCGGACGGACTCGAAGGACGGACGGGGAGGGGGCACTGGAGTATCTGGGATAGGCGGTGTGGGGGGAGGCAGCTCGGGCACAGGGGGCTTTTCTGTGGGCGAAGGACTCTGCCGACGTGTCGGAGGCTGGGACGGGTCTCGTAGGAACTCACGGCGGGGCTGTGGGGGTGTCTGAACCGCCAGGACAGTTTTGCTTGGCGGAGGAGACAGGACGTTGAAGTCCTCTTGAAGAGGCATTGTCGGATTGAGCGGTGAGAAGCCCGTTGTCTGGTTGACCGCTGCAGCGAATGCCGTGGCGGGCGAATCTAGATCAGAGTTAACGGACTCTCGAAGACGAGAAGGCCCCTTGCCCCCTTTCTTGCTCTTCTTCGACAGTTTCCACTTTGAGGCGAAGCCCAGCTCGTCCGAGATGGCATCGCCTCCTGGCGTTATAGGGCGATCCCAGCTGCCCGTCTGTGATGAAGTCCCCAAGGTAATGCGTCCATTGTCATCCGGGGAATGGTAGGGTTCTCCGTCGGCATACATGACACCGCAAAGGTCGATCTTTCGTATTTGCGAAGTGCGGCAGGTCCTGGTGGCAGATTAAGACAGGTGATATGGATCGCGCGACTTAATAGTCAACAGAATAAAGGCGACCCTGGCACCGCCTTACACGCGACCTGCTCGTGGCAGCCTCGAGGCGGCGGTTGTTGCGGCTTCTCCAGGGTAACGCCTTATCTGAAGGGAATTGCTGCCGTCGCTTTCAGATGGCATCCAAGATTATGGGGAATCATATGAGGATGATTTGAGGCCCACCGAGACCATTAGAAGGCGGGTTCAGGTGCAGGCAGAAGTTAGTATCAATCATCAGAGAAGTCGCTGGAGGCCTCTTTTTTGAGATTTTGATTCATAGGAAAAGGAGCATACAGCGCATATGTCGGAGGCAGTAATAACGATCAATTCCGGGCGAGAAAGTTGATAGCGCGGCACGTCCAGTTCGCCGAGGACGGCGGGGGAGATTGTCACGTGGGCGCGCCGGGGGCGGGAAAAGCGGGACGCCACAAAGAAGAAGCCCGCCTTTTCGGTTTTCGGGGATGACGTCGATCGCGTGTGCCGGGTGCGAGGGACGATGACGTACTGCCAAGCCGCGCCATGACGCGTCCATGAAGTCTCCGCTCGCCGAATACTTAAAAGATCTCACAAGGTCGGTTCACAGTCCAACCTTTTCCTCTCGCATTTTTCTCGATTATTCAGCCAAATTACTACGAGTACCATCATGTTCGCCCCTCGCACCGTCGTAACCGCCAGAACTGGCACACGAGTCGCGGCCCGCCGTGTCGGAGGTGCACGGGTATGCCAACGATTCCAGTCGAGCATGTCGACACCTCCACCCAGTAGCTTCTCCTCGAACTTGCTCGCTGGTCTCACAGGTGGAGGAGCTGTTCTTTTGGGAGGTGAGTTGCTCTGGAGCCAGGTACACCAAAAGACCGCTGATGCATAGCATGATAGGCTACGCCTGGTATCACTTCTCCGGCACTAAGCAGACGGTTCAGACCGCCAACCAAGTTAAACAGTACGTCCAAGACACGAAGGACTCGATAGTGCAGAAGGCGCCGAAGAACCCGAACGAGGTCCTCGGCTTCCTCCGCAACGTCGCCAAGTCATACGCAGGCGTCATCCCTGGCGCGTCGACCTATGTCGACCAAACCTTTGACCACATCGACCAGCTCCGAGATACGCACGGCGAGGAGTTCGAGAAGATCCTGCAGGCAACGTACGACGACGTGACGAATGTGCTTAAGGAGGTGAAGGACAAGGGCCTCCAGGGTATGGACGCTGCGACTGCGGGCAAGCTCATGAGCATCATCAGCAAACGCGTGGCCGAGCTCAACGAGCTTGGCAAGAAGGTCGGCGGCGACGTCTTCGGTAAGCTCGAGCAGAACTATCCACAAGTTGCGAGCACTCTCGGCGGCTCATACCAGGAGCTGAAGGCCTTCGCCGAGCGCAGCGGGCCAGAGACGAAGAAGCTCGTAAGCGACACCGTCAAGCAGGTGCAAGACATCTTGAGCAACAGCAAGAACACGCCCGAAACAGTCAATCGTGTACGCGAGCTTATCGAGCAGAAGGGGCAGCAGCTCAAGGAGACGGTCTGGAACAACGTCGCGAAGGAGGCTGAGAAGAATCCCGAGTTGAAGGATCTACTCAACCAGAACAAGGCAGCGTTCGTCGCCGCCGGGTCGAGCTTCGGCTCGCTGAGCGACGTACTTGACCGCGTGCGCCAGGTGCTCAAGGACGGCGCAGACCCGCAGAAGGTGAACGAACTAAAAGAGTTTGTGCAAAGTCGCGCGAAGGAGGCGCAGACGAAAGGCTGGGAAGGTCTACAATCTTGGATCAAGAGCATGCCTGGCGGAGAGGAGGTGCGTAAATGTCTCAGGCCGCACATTACTCTCGACTTACAATTGCTTGCTAGGCACTAAAGAACCTGTCTGAGGTCGACATCCAATCGCTTATTGCGCTCACCAAGGACAAAAGCGAAGATGCGAAACACCTAGCTGAAGAGACGTATCAGGACATACTCAAGGTCTTGAAGGACAAGGCCGGGAAAGCGAAGAAGATTGCCGATGAGGGCAAGCAGGAGGTCAAGCAGAACAAGTCTTCATGAGTTAGGGGATATGGTGCATTTGGAATTGCGGATCACAACACATATGGACTCTGGGTGTACTTCAGCAATATACAGACAGAAAGACAGACTTTCCCGAGAATACCACGTCGGAGATTTTCGGTGCCGGCGGTGCGTACTTGAGTGCAAGGACTTCAGCTTCATACTTGCAACTACGGAGAGGAGAAGAGCGCAAGTCGTTGTCGATTGCTGCCAGCAGCCAGGAATGGAGACTAATAGCTGAAGATCAGCTCGGAAGTAGGATGTGGAGGAGGTAGACTTGGTTGTAGCCCTATTGTCGGACAAGCACTGAACGTGTCACTCGGGAGGTGGAGGGTAAGCACGCTCCAAGACCTGTGAAAATGTGCTTCAGGTCCTATTCGCTCACAGCATCGCCACCGTCATGGATGGTTGACAATAAGGCCTCCCTGAGCCACAATGGCGAGAAGGGGGAACACGCGGGACAGCTCGTGTCATTGACGTGACTTCCGGGACGTGGTGAGCTCGTGGGCCGTCGGTTGGGGTGCAGTATTTAGGGAGGGGAAGCATATCATCGCAACGAAGAAAGTGAGGTGAGCGTGAAAGATCGTCGTAGTTGGTATGTAGTGAACTAGTCTAGTTGCAAGCTCGAATGTTCGTGATGAAGCGCGCCTCCGTATAGGACGTCCTACTGCGCTTTGCGTTCAGCAAGGCGCCGAGTCTTGCTGCAACATTTTTGTCGCGCGCTCAACCCTAACGTAGGGGCACGGCGACCTCAGGTTCTCTCTCGTTGTATATCCACAACAACTACGTTACTTGACAAGCAGTGCTCATATTTATTTTATGTATCATTGAGCCTAGCTAAGACATGTCCTATAAGCCCGCCCAAGGGCAAGCTTCGTAGGCTACGCCACCATGGACACCAGCAATAGTCATGCCATGACTGCCTTGACCCTTCATACATGGTGAATGTCGAAGATGCGTGCACACAAAGAGGAGACAGATCATATATCCACAGTACGTGCTTAGGTTAACATATATTAGGGCAATACATAGCTTTGCTCGAAGGACATGCAGCAAAGGTGGAAGTCCATACCTGGAGTTTCGTGGCATTCGTGCTCAAATATTCACTAGGGGATGCACCACCAGTACTAGAATTGGCTGGTAAGTACAAGAATACAATTTAGGAGCTCCTAGCGCACCTGAAGCCCCATGAAACCCAACACTACCTCCCCGCCCAGACAGTCCTCCTACAGTCTAGATAGTGTGATGATATTGTGTTTTCGGACGTTAGATGGTTACTGGTTACTATCACATCCATGTCGTGAGTGTACTTGTTGGAAATGATGTGTCACCAGCAGAAAGTCCCAACATCGACACATGTACCATGGTGTCTCAACACATGTCAGGCGCAGGTCGTCTTCAGCCTTGGTTGTTGCCTGAATGTGCTATAGTGTTGTATACATAAGGTAATATGACAAGTAGTATCATTTGATGTGGATGAGGGCGACGAGCGGGAAGGGAGGCAGGAGAGCAAGTTCGACGCAGCAAGTTGGGATGTCGAAGGATGCCGGTATCACTCCTCCAGAAAGCTCTTGTTTTGGGTGCACTAGAGCATTAAACAATAAACTTGAGGAGACTGAGAATGAAGGCCGTTCGTCGAAGAGCGCAGCCGTTGTGGAGATATAACGAGAGAGAGAGTCTAGGTCGTCGTGCCCCTACGTTAGGGTTGAGCGCGCGACAAAAATGTTGCAGCAAGACTCGGCGCCTTGCTGAACGCAAAGCGCAGTAATTCGTGTGCCCGAATCGTGAACTACATACTCTACTTGCGGACCTTCAGGAACCACTTCCATAGAAGGTTCAAGACCCAAGTTTTTGGAAACCATGCGAATGTCTTCCATACGGTAGTATTACCTCCAATCATGATGGAGCGCGGAGGCTTAGCAGCCAGAGTGGCGTCTGCAGTCCGCCTTGCGAACTCGTCAGTAGGCATCGACTGCGGTCCTTGACTCGTAAGGATACGGCTGACGATCTGCGGCTCGTATGACTTGTATAAGCTGTCATCCGGCATATTTAGACCAGATGTTAGAGCCTTGTCCGCGATGTTTGATTTCACTGCGCCAGGCGTGAGCAGCACGACGTTGATGTCGAACGGCTTGCATTCCATCCAGAGCACATGTGTAATCTGGTGTAAGGCCGCCTTGCTCGCGGCGTAGATGCCGTTCCACGGTGTCGGACTGTCGAAAGGCAAGCTCTCAAATCAAGGTTGTCAAAGGTCGCAAGTGCAAGGAAGACGTACACCTCGCCGACAATTGAACCCACGTTCACGATGGTACCAGACCTGCGCGCAGCCATGTGGGGGAAGACGGCCTTGCAGACCCGAAGAACGGCAAGGAAATTAGCGTCGAAGGTGCGTTGTACAGTGTCCAAAGGGACATCGATGATAGTGCCTGTGAATCGCCCATGTAAGAACAAGTGCAGGTAGGATGCGAGTTTTCAATATACCCGGACAGTTGACCCCTGCGTTGTTGACAACCATGTCGATACGGCCTTCCTTATCTATAATCGTCTTGACCACGCTTTGGACGTTCTCGTCGCTCGTCACGTCGAGCGCGAGCTTTTCTATCCCTGGCTCGCTGAAGCCCTCTATGGCTTCGAGTCTGCGAGCGGTAGCATACACCTTGCAGTCGCGACGCGCGTACTCCTCGCAGCTGCTTTCCTTGTGAGCCTATCTCTTTCTGATGGCACCTATTCCACTCACAGAGCGAACCCGATACCGCCTTTCGAGCAACCGGTGACAATGACGACCTGGCGTTGGTTGTTGGACATAGTGGGGAAGGAAGAAGAGTAGTTTGAGCACGTTGGGGCGGGACCACTACCGCGCGCATCCTGAAATACTCCGAGTCGTTGCTTGCAGCCGAGCAATTGCACGTGAAGCGGAGAGCTGAAGACGCGGGCCGAAAGACAGTGCGCCGAGGACGCCATGCTTCCTAACCGAGTTGTCGAACGAGCCGCGGTTCCATTGCATTTGGCGCAAGAGTACGATAGTAGGAGGACAACACCACAATCAAACCCTTCCCCAGCTCGATGCTGAGACGCGTATTTCAAATGGCGCGTACGGCAAGGGCATTTGCTAAGCGCTGATCGGCCATCGCAGGCCTCCAGGCAACTCATCTGGCTCATTACTGGCACCTCGTAAGTTGCATCGAGCCTCGTGTGCAGCATACTCTAACATTGCCGCCAGGTACGGTCTCGGACGCGACTTGACCCTCGCTGCCCTCAGGCGCGGCGACAAAGTGATTGCCACTTCGCGTGCACGTTCTTTTGACGAGCTTGCAGATCTCAAAGCGCAAGGCGCAGATATTCTCGAGCTGGACGTTACCGCGCCACCTGAGAAGCTGCATGAGGTTGCAAAGTAGGCCGTCGCCATGCATGGACACGTCGATGTCGTCGTCAACAATGCGGGTGAGCATAGGTTCAGCTGCGCTGTTTAGACCCGCCACCCACTTTATGTGGTGCAGCATACATCGAGACCGGTGCACTTGAGGAACTGACGTGAGTATACCCGTTACCTATTTATTGACGACCTCACCTGAGTCTCGTTTTACCCGTAGTCCCGAGGAGACGTTGGCCCAGTTCAAGTATGTCCTGTGTCTATGCCGTAGGAGGACACAAACCTTACGCACTCGCCCATAGTACAAATGTCTTCGGACTCATAAACATCAGCCGCGCGTTCCTTCCCTACATGAGCGCACGCAATTCTGGTACCATCGTCTGGATAGGCTCTGTTGGAGGCTGGCGATGAGCACTCCAACCGACACCCAGTAGTCATGCATCTGAGACTTGTCTATGCAGAGGGCCACCCGCCGCCGGACTTTACGCTTCGACAAAATACGCTGTCCGTGGTATGTACTGCTTCTTAAAGGCCTTAGTGCCCGCTCATGTTCGTGCCCAAAGCTCTCGCGGAGTCGTTGGACAACGAGATTAAGCCGCTAGGCCTGCGTTCCATCTGTTTCGAGCTCGGGTACTTCCGCACGACGTTCCTGTCTACCGATCACAGAGGATCGGAGAAGGCGCGCATTGCGGACTACAGCGAGGTCTATGAAAAGGTTCTCCCTGGCTTAGCAGGTGAGTTCTCTGAACGTGCGCGAAGCGCGACTGCTGACGGCCGCGGCGCTTCGCAGCTCGCAACGGCAAGCAGCCCGGCGACCCGAAGAAGGGCGTCGAGGTTATGCTCGATGTCGTCCGCGGCGAAGGCATCGCGGCGGGGAAGCGGGTCCCGTTTGCAGTCGGGCTCGGCAGCGACTATTACAATATTGTAACGGATATTCTCGACGCGAAGAAGAGGGAACTCGAGGAGTGGAAAGAGGTCACGTACAGTACTGATCTCCCTCCAGACGCGTGAAGGATCTCCGTATCTATTAGTAGTGTAGCGAGCTCACTATCTTCCCCTCGCTGAGGTCAAGCTCGTAGGCTAATACTTGTGGCGACAGTGCGTTGGCGAAAACCAAGCATCTATTGCAAGCTCCAAGCCTCAATGAGGATCATTTATGAGCTGTATTCTAGGGCCAAGAACAATTGAACTGTAAAACCAAAATCGGCGACAGGACCAAGTATCGACAAGTACTAGTGCCTTGGACGCCGCCCATTTCCTAGACATGTCCGTAGCCGTCCTCTTGCGCCGCAAAGGAGCACCACGGTCTCGCTTAGAGTTACGTCGGCAACCTCAAGGGTGAACAGCTCATGCACTTCAGCGGTACGCGGAGGCGAAGTGGCACAGCACTTTTTTCTGTGATCCACGCATCGACGCATTCCTCTCGCAATATGGCTGGTCAGATGAGATCGGTGTAGGCCTCAGGCAGCAGCGCTCAGCGTGTGCAACGCGTGAACTTGTTGGGCGCCCGGCGCGCAACTTGATGTTGACGTCCTTCGACGGCAGAAGCTACTCATTCCCTCTCCCATGTTCCAGCCCGCTTTGGCCTATATAGGCCCACAATATACGTGGAACAAGCCTTGCAGCTCCCAAAATGGCACTCTTCAGACTGGCACTAGCTCGCCGTTCTACCCAGAGCCTAGTCTCTAGTCGACGCGTTCCTCTCAAACTCTCTACGTATACTCGTGGCCTCCAGACCAGTAGTTCTGAGTCTTCATTCAGAGGAAGTGTTGGATCGCACTTAGCGGCAGCAGGGTTGGGAGCGGCATCGGTGTTGACTGGTGGTGAGTCTACTTGAATTAACATCTACTCGCGAGAAGACGGGCCTGACATACGGCATCCAGTATATGTCTACTATCACTTCTCTGGGTTGAAAGTCGTCGTCGACAAAGCGCGAGCAGCTAAGTCGAAGTACGACCATGTTCACACCGCGTGGTCCGAGACCAAGCCGAGGACGCCCTCAGAAGCCGTCGCTTTCCTCCGCCGCATTTCGCGCTCGGGTTCTAGCCCCGTCCCCGACGCGTTCGTCGATATGGTGGCGCAGTTCCAAGGCTCGCATGCGGAAGACATCGATCGGATCGTGTTCGGTGCGGTCGATGATATCCAAGCCATCATCGCCGAGTCGAGAGCCGCTACCGCCGTAGATGGCGTTGAGACTGTCAGCGAGGAGGGCTTGACAGTCCAGGACAGGACGAGGATAGCTTCCGTCGTCCAGGAGCGCTCTCGAGAGTTGCGCGAGTACATGCGCGAGAAAGCGCGTGGTCCCGAGGACGGGAAGTCTCGGTTCAAGGTGATGACGCGTTTTCGTACACGCCATGGGGACAACCAGCCAATTGCAGAGGAAGACTCTTCGAAGTGATGCTTTTCTGCGCAGTCTGGCGGTATTGTGTGCGCTTTGTCGTGGAAGGGATGACGTATTGGTCTATATCTAGGTTTCGACTTGTGTTCGTTCTTAAGACGACCCAATGCAATGTTCCAGTACGCTCTCATTCGGCCACGAGGCCCTGGGGGTCTTTACGTCTTCTGGGCTTGTTCTCTGTCAATGCCAGGCGGGCCGATCCCACACGAAGAGTACAGTGATGTTGCAGACACCGCGCGAGACCGACCGGGAGTTATCGCGCACGATGCGTGCAGATGATGTGCCACCACCCGAGATCTGCCTAACGAGATATGCTTCACAGGAATAGGGGCAGTGTGCTGATTCAGACGAGTCCATTCACGCGTCTCATCTTCCGCTCAGGACAAACGCCGTCAACCATATAATATCGGTAACGCATTGGCCACCCAGAAGTCCTATCCCTGAAGATAAGGCCGACCTTCATCTTCATATTGCTCCCCTACACCATGTCTGCCTTTGAAGAGACGTACAATGGTGTCCCCCTCAGCAAACTGTTCCCAGAGGAGCGACCCGGCTGGAAAGGGTAGGTGTTCCCCCCAGTGTTGGTATGAGTGCACTAACCCCGTGTTCCACAGCTACGTCGAGTGGGAAAAATATCCAGAGCGCAAGCGCATCGCAGCTGAGATTCTGAAGAGCAAAAAGTTCTCTGGATTTCCTGGTGAGTATGCCCGTCAACTTCGACGTTTGGAGGACTGGCGAGTCCTAACGATACGGACTTCAATGACATCGCCGTCTTGTTCACGGCGCTAAATTAGTTTCAGCTCTCTGCGTGATTTAGTAAATGACGCGATAACTCACCGTCCATCATACAGAATTCCAGCTCGAACCGTTACCCAAGACGAACCCAGTCCTGATCGGACACCGCTGGAAGGAATACCATGAGGCCCTCGGCCTTAAGTCAATTGTCGACTTCAGCTGGGAGACTGTCCAGAAGGAGAAGCACGACATGCTGCATCTCCTCGACTTCCCGTATAACGGCGAGACGAGGCCACAGTACCTACTCGGCGATGGCAAGATCACCCAGAATAAGCATCACTTGTAAGTGTTTTCTACCTCGTGCAAGGGATCATGCTCATTTTGTGATAGTATTCGAAACCATGGCGGCGTTCCCGAAATCGATGAAGACGCTTTCGAGCTGGAAATTGGCGGCCTAGTCAAGACTCCGATTAAGTTGTGCATGAAGGACCTCAAAGACCCAAATAAATTCCCGTGGGTCCTGCTCCTCGTGCGAGCACAAATGCATTCTGATGTCCTGTAGTCAAGCCGAGGTAACCGTGACTATCCAATGCAGTGGTACTAGACGTCGCGAACAAATTGAGGTCTATCCTGGTGATGGCGATGAGTGTAAGTATCTTACGGCATGCTAGCTGAAGCTGTATAGGCTAACGAGTGGTAGTGATTAATGCCCCGTGGGGTGAAGGAGCTATGTACGTACTTTGAATGCTGAATGGACCACCCCTAATCTGGTTTGTAGCGGCACGGCCGTTTATCGTGGTGTACCTCTGAAAAAGGTATTGAAGTATGCCTGTGGCGGCGTCCTTCCTGAGGCCAAGCACCTTGAATTCATCGGTGCAGACACGTACTTCAAGAAGGGCGAGGTTTTCAACTACGCCGTTTCCGTGCCTTGGCGCAAGGTTCGAAATAATGAAGAAGTGCTTCTCGCCTGGGAGATGAACGGCGAGCCGCTACCCAAGATTCATGGTGGCCCTCTCCGTATGGTTATCACTGGCTACATCGGCGCGCGGAGCTGCAAGTGGGTGTATCGTATCAACGCCCTTGAGGAGCCGAGCATGGGTCCCGTGCAACGCCAGGAGTACTTGTACTATACCCAGCAGGTATGCAGAATCTTAGCTAGTACAATCGCCATTCTGGTTGCTAACTGGTGGCGGCAGGTTGGAAAGCAGAACGTCAAGATCAGCAATGGATTCTCTATTCAGGCAATGCCTGTATCGTGCGTGTCTCATGCATATCATGTGGTCGCAGTGGTGCTTACATCTTGCGGTCCTCAGGAGCGCCATCATATCGCCTAAGGATGGTAACGTTATCATCCACGACGGCAAGATTGCCCTCAAGGGTTGGGCCTATAGTGGGAACGGAAGTTGGGTCGAGCGTGTTGAGATCAGTCCCGACGGGTTCGTGTTGAGGTCGCTGCTCGCCGAGATCGTTAGTGCTGAATTCACACACAGTGGCCATGTCTGGTACGCTGTGCCTCCTGAGAACTTGACGAAGAAGGTAAGGTGCATACCTTAGGTAGCGACGACTTCGGCTGATTCGTATGGCAGCATTACCATGCGTGGCGGCTTTGGGAGATGGAGGTTCCGGTTGACGCCGAGGGCTGGCTCGAGTTCTGCGTACGCACTTGGGATTCTTCAAATAACACCGAGCCTACGTATGTTCGCTCTGCCTGGAAGTGAGTTTTGCTGTCGTCTGTCGACTTCTCTTGCAGTTACTGACATACTGCTTTTACAGCTGGGATTTGCATGTCACTTCCTCCGCGCATCGCATCAAGCTCTACAGCGTCAACAGATCACGGCCCGCCACTGCTGCGCGCCTGAAACAGTTGGAGGAACGTGGCAAGAGCTTCTTCCCCTTAACCGAGCCACTCGAGTTTACTGTAGAGCCCTATGAGGAGTACGAGGCGGTATGCAAACTAAACCCGCGCGAACCTGAGGACTAAATTCTCCCTGTCGGAAGCCACTGCATTTGCCTGCGAAAGTTGGGCCGAAAACTCGGCGCTGTATTTGTACGTGGCAAATGTGATTGTATGTCATGCCACCTTTGCGAATCTATAATCATATGACACTACTACCCTTCCAATACTACTGCAAGATACTCATCGGCTAAATCCCCGCTATGGCACAATAGAGGCTTGAGGCCGCGTACTACAATAGGCAACATATTTGGTCACACATCGCATAACAGCCACATCTTTCATTTCTCTTTTAGGCTCACTCCCTGACCAGGATCATAACCACAAGCCGCGTGCCATACCCTTGACAATGTCCCCGCAAAGTCTTCGGCGGCCCTGGCCAAGATATGAGCTGAACGAGTTTGGGGTCCGCCGCGTCTACTACCCATCTCCAACATTCGGCACACATCGCCCCAGAGTTCTCGTCCACCGGCGGCAAATGGTCTAGACGACGACGCACAACCTACTGCGACTGAGCTTGAACGCCTTGTCGACGAGGGATTCCATGGGAGTCGCAACAAAGAAGAGCGTCCTGGCATAACCGATATCTACATTGTCTACCCCGACCATTTCGACCCCCAGTCTCCTGGGATATGCAAACCTGGCTTCAGACTTCCATTCATCTGCTGGTTCCTCGGCGAGGGAGTGGCAGACGACCAAGCGCAGATGCGTGCCTTGGACCTCGTGCACAGGTCAGTCTTCCATGAGCGATCGGATTTCCTTGCTTCGTCCACGCCCTGGCCGTACTACCGCGGTACGTGCCGCAAGCAGGGCCTGTTATTCCGCGTAGGTAGCCTCGACCTGTACGGCCGCAGGAGGCTCGAGTGCATCGCTGAGCGGCTCCGGCCTAAGCCCGAGTACATCTGCCCCGACGCTACGATCTACCTTGAGTGGATCCGGGATACACTCTGGAAGGCTGAGAGGGAGAGGCTCTTTGATTCTATGGGAGTGGAGAGAGCTCGTGGGCTCGCCCAGCAGGCGGCAAATAAGCCGGCAGGGAGGCTGGTGAAGAAGTATCGCGAGGAACAGAGGCTGAGTGACCAAGAGTGAGTGGTTGAAACAACAACGACTGCATACAAAGGCCACTTAACAGCTTATAGGCTCGTGTTCATCTACCCATAGTGGGCTTAGTATTATCTCAGTTATTCCACGCCGTAAATGGTCTAACTGCGCGCGCGGTAGTATGTGTTGATTCCAGCTTCGATGTTTTTGAAGCGACTACTTGCGTGAAGCCCATGAGAGCTGCAAGGGCCTGACGCGTCCTAATTGACGCCAGTAAGGGATCTCAGGCCTCTCAGGCCACCTTGTGTCGGCCGGTCTTGCAAGCATCGTCCGATGATCATGTTTCTGAGAGGATCGCCAGGTCGTTTTATATGTATTCTTGGCCGAGGAGAGAGCATGAACACCAGAGTTGCACAAAATGTGTTGGTGGTCCCGCCCTGGCACGTCTGAAAGCCCTGGTGGCATGTGTTGGTAGCCCTCAGGTAATGATAGTAGCTCCGTTCGATTGTGATGCAATACATACTGCATTTGTAAGGGAAGTGTAAAATATGTCGATAATTGCTCTTCTATGTCACGATAAAAAGAAGAAAACACGAGCTGCTCGTGGCGTGGGAGAGATGGCATCAGAGTACTCCCCTGAGAGAAAATGCGCGCTAATTACAGCTTCTCGCCGAACCGCAACCAACAGCGCGTCGGCTGGCTCTGGTAAGTGTCATGCGCCCGTATTTCCTTCACTATATAGACGGACGCGTTTTGGGGACGTAGATGGACTCGTCTTCGAGCCAACCAACCCCAAGCGGAGCGAACGCACGAACCATCCTGTCCCTTGTGCAGGACTTCGGTTCTCACGACGCCTTCCCGTCCCAGTCAACACACCCGTTCTCAAACGACTCTGAGAATGCGGCAAAAATACTGCACGAGCTTGCAAACGCGACAATGCAGATTTCTACGACTCTGAATGCGCACGTTACGCTGCCGATGACAAACCCGAAGCTGTTCTCACTGTTCAAGCAGCAGACGAACATAGCGCAAACCGTGCATAATGTCAAGTCTTTTTCGGTTATGAATTATGGCTGCTGATAGTAAAGATTAGTAGGTAGAACAAACAATTCGGAAATCCACAGATATACTGCGGAAGCGACTTGGTATACTCTATGGCGAAGATATCCCTCTGGATAGGACCGCTCTCGTCGACTGGTGTATCTCTCGCTTTGAAACATGGGGCACCTCGGCTGGGATGGAGGCTTTCCGAGAAAAGGAGGAAAAGGATGGTCACATCACTCTGATCCTCGGAGGCAAAGTGATCGTTATTGACATGAATCTTGCCATCGACCGCTCGAGCACTCTAAATCCAAGGATCGGCGTCACCGGAGTAAAGACTTCGTATGCTGTTCCGAACGGGACCGCCGGTTCTACAACTGCTGGTTCGACATCACTGGACGGGTTCCTAACCGGCACTCTAGGCGAGTTCCTCGCTGAGGTGCAGAAGGAAGACGAGCTTCAGGATCCGGAAGAGGCGCATCGGACGGGCTCTCGCATCGTGAGCAGCTTCAAGTACTTGATGATGCTCGATAAACTGGCGGAGGACGAAGGTGACGCGGGTCTTCGCTGGTTCAATAACGTCGACGCGCTGGCGTCGGATGTTGAACGATTCGCCTCCGAGGAAGCGATTGCTATAACCAAGTGCGTGCGACGCATTCCTGTTAATTGAGTCTTCTAATCCGGTATCTTGAACTAGAGAGCTGACCTCTGGGCCGTGTCCTCTGGACATTTTCCTTACACGTGCGCATGGGCTCCCACTCCCCTACCTTTCTGTCCCGTCACTATCGTTCCTCATTCATGTATCACCACGAGCGTACCTCACTATGCTACGCTCATCGACTACGGCTTCAACTGTCCCAGACGGCTCCTCCTTACCGAAGTTGGACATTCCTGTCTCCCTGATTCGCTCATATGCCGGACGGCACCCACGTCCTCAGGGGGTAACTACGGTTAATCTTGTACTCACGTCTTCTGGCGACACAGCTCTCACAGGGGAGGAGAGTCCTGTAGGTATTGAGGCTCTCGCAATACGCCCAACGTTCCTATTGGTACCCTCTGGGGACCAGAAGGACGTGTACTTCCCGACAGTCACTGGCCAGAATAAGGGTACCTACAGCCATGTGCTGGACTTCACTGATGGCGGCAAGTATCCCGGAGTGGTGATGAGCCAGTCACGAATGAAGGAGATCGAGATGGTTCTGAATCCTTTCGGAGGCATCGCCCCTGAGAATCACGTGTCGATTATGGGAAGTGCCGCTGCACCTAGCTGGGTCGGCATGCTTGTGAGTACGCAGAATAAATTCGCCGAGTGAAATGTGCTGAACCATGACATAAGCTCAGCCCGAGCAGCCATTTGTCCCCTGAATATTACACTGCCGTTTATGTTCGTACAACGCTTATCGCAAGTTCATCTATCAATGCTGACAGCTTACACAGACTTCTCCTACCTCGGCACACCCACCATTGCAGCTGCGCCTCGAGGTCCCAGAAGAACCAGGGTTCCGGCTGGAGAAGATATACGTGCACCATATAAAGACCGTTTGGGGTGTCCTCGAGGTGAGTTCGTGTTCTTGCTTTGAACTGAGCATCATACTCATTTCGGTACAGATTGTGAAAGAACAGTGCTGGCTTAATGAGACTCTCCTAGGATGCCAGTGGGTGCCGGAGGGCATCAGTACAGAGCCTATCGCCCCTAGCGAGACTGGGAAGGAAGAAGCAACAGAGGACGAGCTACAAGCCGTTCTTGGAGGTACGAGTTCCAATCATTCCTTACGATTTGTGGCCTCAATGAAGCCATCTCAGGGACCATCACGCCGAGCAGGATGCCAGTCAACGTTTACATCCACAATGGAGTGCCCGTGCTCATGCAGGATCTATTTGATCCCACGGAGATTGCTGTCATGTCTGTGCCACAGCGAGTAACAAAAATTGATATGACGTCTCCTGAGCGTCCGCCAATCTCCGGGCTGGTGGGCGTTACCGTGGCGTACGACAATACTCGTCCGCGGGGCGTTGCCGTCACGATCAACGGCGCTATGGGTGCAGACCTTAAACTTGATGCACTCGAGGAGGTCTGCAGGAGAGGAGGTATGCTGGGGTTGCCTGGCAGAGTATGGGCAAAATCTCATGGACTCCCTTGAACGTGTCACTGCGGACTGTGCGTTGTGGTCACCGGTATGCACATGTCACCCCGCTCCTTTACATACACATGTCTCCCGTACAGTAATTAATACTAGCGGAGGTAGTCTATACCTCCTAAATGATATAGCTTGCTATCACTCGCCTCCAATGAGTCCTAATCGCCGCCGTGACGAATAAAAAGTTTTTTGTTCTCTTCGTAGAGAACCGCGGCGCGGACTCACTAGCACTCGGCTTCCCATGACTCGGGCGACTAACCTTCCGTTTGTTATACGGGAGAAAGTTGCGTCGTTCTCTCCTCTCGCATCGACTTCTGCACAGCCTAACGCTGCGCAAGAACCAAAGCGCACGGCATTGGGATTTCATATGCTCAGCCGCGAGGACCGAGGCGTGGGGCGGTGGTGCTGATCTAATCCAGTGATGGCGGCCGCCGCGGCTTTTGCCTTTCCGGGTAATTGTTGATCGAGCCGCGGCTTGGCGCTTGTGGCACCGACGAGGTCCACCGGCCGCCATATACAACGAGAAAAAAGCGAGGAGCTCTCTCCGTCTCTTACTCTCATCTCCCCGCCTTGCATGGTTCCTACCCCCGCCAACCTACGATCCCGCTCACCTGGCGTCCTCTATCCGATTGCTCAGCTCATCACACACTATGGCTCCAAGGTCGTCTCGCGCATCCTCAACGGTGGCGACGCCTCCGCGCCACCTGACTTGATTACCCATACCTTCGCCAAGCGAGAAAAGCATGATGCCAAGTTCATCGTCTTCGCATGCCTAATACCCATCCTCGTCCTGTTGTCTGGTCTGTTTGCTGGGCTGACGCTCGGCTACATGAGTTTGGACGAGACGCAGTTGCATATACTGAGTATCAGCGGTACTCCGTGAGTTCCACTTCGCTTTCTCATCATCTAGCCAGTTGGCGCTAGTATCACCGGCATACTGTATTCGCGTAACCATGATCATCGAGTCTTGATTGAGCTCGACTTGTCAACATCTCCGCCTGCCTGCCGCGTCTTTTCGCTATGCTTCATATGGGCAAATACTGACGTTACTTTTTTTACACAGCAAACAGAGGGAATACGCGAGGAAGATTGAACCAATTCGCAAGAATGGCCATCTTTTACTTGTCACGCTGCTCCTCGCCAACATGATCGCCAACGAGACATTGCCGGTCATCTCGGATCCCGTCTTGGGTGGCGGTCCCCTCAGTGTAGTCGCCAGTACAGTGCTCATTGTCATGTGAGTCGTGATGTTGCTCATGATAGGGGGAAACATGATGATTGATTATACGCAGCTTTTCGGAAATTATTCCGCAGTCACTATGCACTCGTTACGGACTGGCCATCGGTGCTCGTATGGCCTGGTTCGTACGGATCCTCATTTGGGGCTTGGTGTGTTGGCTATCAAATCGGATTTTTGCCAGCTGCTCACAATCTCTCAGGGTGTAGTTTCTTGGCCCGTCGCCAAGCTGCTTGAATTCACCCTGGGTTCTCACCATGGTATCATGTATCGCCGTGCCGAGTTGAAGGAGCTCATTGCCATGCATGCCACTACTGGCGAGCTTGGAGGCGATCTCAAAATGGATACCGTCGCGATTATCGGTGCCACCCTAGATTTGCAGGAGAAGGTTGTCAGACAGGCCATGACACCCATGGACAAGGTGTTCATGCTCAATATTGATACTAAACTTGACCGTGACACCATGAAGAGAATCAGCGAGACAGGTCACTCGCGTATTCCTGTGTACGATGAGGTCGACGTGCCTATCGTCGCTGAAAGTGAAGTGTTCCTGGGAAAGAAGAGTGTTTCGCCGACGCAGAAAGTTAAGAAGATTGTTGGCATCCTTCTTGTGAAGCAGGTAAGTGTCCAGTCAGTTACAGCGCCCGACAGAACCTTACGCTCTGTCCTTCTAGTGTCTCATGCTAGACTCGAGGGAATCCACGCCTCTCCGGTCCCTGCCGCTCCACCGGGTGTCCTGCGTTCCGAACAACACGTCATTGCTACAAATCTTGGATAAATTCCAGGAGGGTCGCTCGCACATGGCTATCGTGTCACGATATAGCGAGGAAAGAGCCGCGAGTATCAAGCACGAAGTTAAGAAGGGCTTGACGCAGCGTCTGAAGGAGCGTGTCGGGATCGATTGCAGCGACAGCGAATCGGATTCTGAAACCGAACCCGAGTCTGAGCACGGCGCGGAAGATATCGCCAAAGGAAGCTCAGCCGGCAGCACCCGCGATAGCTTGAAGAAAAAATGGAAAAAACGTTTCAGGCGCAAGTCAAGTGATCAGGATGTCGAGAAGGGAGACAGGAAGGAGGAAGAGGAGAAATTGGAGGCCCAGGAAGAACAGGAATACAAGGGTCCGACCTTACCGCAAAGCACCTGGGCTAGGCTAATGGCACCTGGAAGGGAACAGGCTATGCCCGACGATGCCGTACTTCCAAAGAACAACGCAAACGAGGTTCGCACATAACGTCACCATGCTAGTGTGCCTTGATACTGATCGTACTTTAGTTCTTGCAGGGTTTCGATGCATCCGTCGCTCCTCTTGGTATCATCACTTTGGAGGACGTTTTGGAAGGTACGCACGGAACACGATGCTCTTTTTATCGCATGGCTGACACGACTTACAGAGCTCATTGGTGAGGAGATCTATGACGAGTTCGATTCCGAGGGTCAGGGGCAGCTGAAGACGTATGTCTCGGCTCGGAAAGAACGACCTCGTGCCCGTGGACGTGCACACTCTGTGCAGAACTCTCCTGTTGTGCCATCCGAAGGCACTACAACCGTCTCTGTACCCGATCACGGAACCGAAGAGAGAAAGATCACCAAATCTCGCTCTCAGCCCGGCTCGCCTTCGCTGTCCTTCACACGCGCTGACGGACCACTCTCGCGCACGTCATCCCTGGGACAGTCGCTCAGCGCGCTAGCGAAGCATCGCGTCATCCGTACCTCGCCGGTGACCAGCTCTCCGCCTCCAGCCGGGAGCGGTTGGCGAACGCCGCAGGAACGCAGTCAGCAGCGCAAGTCGCGCAGCGAGGGGGAGATGGTGAACGTTGGCATGACAGCTTTGTCCGACACACCGGACCGTATGGCTAGCGTTCAGGAGGTTGAGACTTCCCGTATACCTGACGCGCAAGAAAAGAGTGGTCCAGACATACCTCCGTCTCCCGAGGATGAACAAGGAAAGAAGAAAGAAGATTCTTGATTCATGCCCCCGAACGCTATTCTATTGTATGGTGACATTCTTCCTATTTCCATAGTTGTACTTCTAGTTTTACCTGTTTCACGTCGTGTACTCACGATATCTCGCATGGCACACGACCCGACTAAACCGCGACCGTAACGACTATGTGTGTCTTTAGCATGTTCTCTAGGTCTTTTATTGTTCCCAGTTTTTTCCAAGAGCACATTATCGTGAAACAAAGATGCTCAAGGCCTTTGCCGTCGAACAAGAGTACGATTGGGCTAAGATTGGCTGCAGGGTGCACTCCGTTGTCTGGACACTGACCACCTGCCGGCGGAGCGGATGCTGTGCCATTGATCGAGCCAGACCACTTCCACCACGTATGGGAAAAAGTGACACTCGAAAAAGTGACAGACTGTGACGTAGCCGCCGTCAACGTGGCGGGGTCGTTCCAGGAAGCGCTGATACATCACGGTCACAAGCGTGACCGAGCCTAGATTCCGGCTGTGCTGGAGCGCGGGCGCCCGTTACTGTCTCCCCAAGGGCCGATGGATTGAGGATTTCTGAGCTCTCTTTTCTTTTTCACATCGTCCACGTATAATAATTATCGCACAGGCGGTACCTTTACTCTCTCCTTTTACCCCAAACCTCGTAATTTCTAGTGGCAGGTCTCTCTGGAATGATCAAACTCCAAGTCACTTCGCCGTCTCCTCAAGACGGGCAACCGACGCTTGCAGACCTTAGTAGGAACGCCTCAGTCATCTCCTCGTCTTCCAGCTCCAGCTCTACCTCTGATCTGACCATCCAAACTCCCGTTCGGCCACGCCCGACACGAAACTTTACATCTCCACAACGCAGGTCGGTGCGTTCTCGGAGCCCGCAGCCCCCGCAGACTCCGCGCGGATCGAGGCCTCCACAGTACCTCACTCGGGAGCTAGGAATCGCAGACGGCTCAGAAGACAGGCACACAGAGCTGCGGCCTCCAGCACCGCTCCGTGGCCAGTCCAGGTCACGCCAGAGCTCAGTCAATGGTCGCATAAGTGCGGGCGACTTTGAGTTCGGACGGGTACTCGGCGAGGGATCCTATTCGACCGTGAGTGCTACGTAAAACATCGCTTTGTGGGGCACGTATGAATGTGGGGCAACAGGTCATGCTGGCGCGGCACCGGAGTACGGGACGGGAGTACGCGATCAAGGTCCTCGACAAGGGCCACTTGAAGCGCAACAACAAGCTCGCGACCGCGTTGGCCGAGAAAAACACCCTCGTGCGGCTCGGCGCAGAGCATCCCGGCATCGTTCATTTGCACTGGACGTTCCAAGATGAATGGAGTCTATGTGAGCATCCACATCCTGAACCTCTCAATTGAGCCAACGTCGTGAGCTTCTGCCCAGTCTTTGTCCTGGATCTCGCGCGGAATGGGGAACTACAATCTCGAATATCTAGATTAGGGTCGCTCTCTATTGATTGCGCACGGTACTACACGGCGCAACTCATAGATGCGCTCGACTACATGCACACGAAGGGTGTCATACATCGGTCAGTGTATGCTCTACGCGAATTAACTGGTCTTCTGACGTGCCTTCCAGCGACTTGAAGCCGGAGAATCTGCTGCTAGACGACAATTATCATCTCAAGCTTACGGACTTTGGGACAGGCAAAATTGTTAACTCCGCAGGTTAGATCTCCTGGATGCATTCATATACTCTATTTGTAACCTGCTTCCCCAGCCGACCGTGCCAAGACGTGGGTCGGAACTGCTCAGTACATATCGCCGGAGCTGTTGGAAGTGAACGAGACAAGCAAAAGGTGCGTCATTGCCTTGGAGCCCGCACCCTAAGCGATCAGCTCAAGCGATCACCAGCTCGGACCTCTGGGCCCTTGGCTGCATCCTCTACCAGATGATTGCAGGCCGCTTCGCGTTCCAGGGCTTGTCAGAATACCTCACCTGGCAGAAGATTAAGCAGCTCGATTATACTTTCCCCGACGGGTTCGACGAGCAGGCTCAAGATCTGGTCTCAAAGCTTCTGGTGCGTCGAGCCTGCTGCGTTACCTGCATGTAGCCGGCTAACGTCCTATAGGTGCGCGATCCGGGACAGCGACTAGGAGCCGGTGCACCAGGCAGCGAAAACGACATGAAGGCCCTGCGGTCGCACCCGTTCTTCTCGAGTATAGACTGGAAATTACTTTGGACCTCTCCAGCACCACCGCTCGAAGTGGGTCTTGTTAAGAAGGATCCACAGGCTGCTGAAGGGCGGTGGGATGATGTAGGTGCGGCGTGGGATGAGATGGTAGACAGCGGGCGAGACGAGGATGAGATGAGCTGGGCGTCAGATGACGATCAGGGTGGGGAGGTCAGGTTCGCGGAGATGCAAGCAACATCGGGTCAGCAGAATGGTCGGGTTGAAGAGGTGGGACCCATGGGCGAGACGCGACCGACATACGTGCCCTCACCGAGCATACCTGTCGGTGCGGCGGAGACAAACGGTCGGCAGACCCCTAGGCCATTGAGCAAGGCGAACGGGGCCAACGGACACTCACACTCAGGGTCTGGGGTGCGATTTGCGGAGAGTGATTTGCAGGCATCGCCACAAGAGCCTTCACAGCCACTGCCGCTATCGAGGCAGACGTCAGAAAGCGAGAAGACAGATTCAGGTGCCGAAGCGGACGAAGATCGGGACACTGTCGCGCCGACACTCGATGACATTCCGTCAGCAGTGAGGACGCAGCCGATCGACGTCCCTCTGGTTACCAGCGGCCCGCGAGATTCGTTCTCCGCAGGCTCTACAACAAGCTCATCGGACGGCAGCCCGCCGAGCACTACATTAGACGCAGCATTGGCGATAGCGCGTGGTAGAGACCGAACGCAGACGCCTATCCATGGTAATGGGCTGTCCGGGGATGATGAAGAGTGGTATGTACTGTCAGGCTAGTGAATTTGACCCTTTCATTTACTGATTATGCCATAGGTCTGCGCTTCTTATGGTAGGAGAACTGGTGCTCTTCAACGCAATGGTCGAGAAGAGTGTCCTGCGAAGACGCGCCAGTCGATTATTAGCCATTGCAGGAGCTCCACGGCGGAAGACCCGCGAGCTGGTGCTTACCGACCGCCGACTGGTCTGCCTCAAGCACAAGCCTGGCCGGCCATACCAGCTGAGCAACGAGCTGTCCTTGCGGTTGTCCGAGCGCGACAAGGACAACAAAACGAGCGTCATCGGCATTGAGCCGAAAGGCGAGCGCGAGTTCGTGGTAATGACAAGCGCGAAATCATACACGTACATCACCTCGAGCTCTGCCCTCGCGCAGACGTGGATACGCAAAGTCCGCGAGGCGTGCACGCAGGCTCAGCAGCAGCCCAAGTCTGGGCTCAGTGTCGCCACCAATGGCGGCCAGCCCGGCTCGAAGCCACCGTCACCGACATCCTCACGGACGTGATGTCCACACCTATCGCAGGATTGTATTCTAATATCATGGTAGCAGTGCTTTGCCGTCTTCCGTACCGTTTCTTACTCATACATGCCACGGATGGACGTGATGGTATTTTTTTAACCGTATGTATTCTCGGGTTCATCATTCTCCTCTCTTCACCATCCTATGGGCTTGCGCATCATTTGCTTTCTTCCATTCCCGCATGCAATGTCGTGATAATCGTTGGTTCTCTTCCTTTTGGTTTGCAAACTTGTCCTCTTGCTGTCGATCGCCGCCCTTGCCTCTACGCTACGTTCATACATCGAGTCCTGTCCCGAAGAATAGCATTCGTGCAATCGTTAGGTACTTTTCTCCCGTACAGAAACCAGATAATTGAGTAAGACTGCCGTAGTGAGCATACATTTCACTAGTATGAAGCAAATGAGTGCTGCGCGAGATTTAACCTGGAGGGAGAAGACTGGCATCGACGATGCCGCCCTCTTCTGTTGCAGTCTCGGCTTCATCGGAAGACATGAAGGGAGAGCGGGGCATCGCCATAAGACCTAGGGACGAGATCAACATCATTACCAGCGCAAACAGGGATCAGTCCGCTACGCACCAGTACGAGCCGACTCGAGGAGACCAAACGGCTTCAGCAAGCTGAGGAACGCCTCGACCTTGGACGTCTTCCCGCTGATCTCGACGATGACGCTGTGCTCGCTGACGTCGACGAGTCGGGCCCCAAACTGGTCTGCGAGCACGGAGATGGACTGCAGGTGGTCGCTCTTCATCCGGAGCAGCTCTGACGACGTCAGGGGCGCAGGTGCGAGTGTCTCCGCCGCGTCGGGGTGCGCGGCACGCTCAAAGTTTTGCACGAGGTTCATCTCGGCGCCGAGCTTCGCGTCGTCTGGCCGGCGCGGCGCGTGCGTGGGACCGCCGCCGTACTGGTCTTCGACGTACTCGGGGCCGAGAATGGAGACCTTGGCGAGCAGGAGCTCGCGCTCGATGCAGTTCGTGTTGGTGTAGTCGAGGACGGCCCAAACGGGGACCTGCCAGGGGCACATATCGTATCGCGTTCAACATGAGATTGGCAGGACACACGCACCAGATCCTCGAGCTGCCGCCGCGCCTGCTCGACAACGCCGTCCTGGCCGCGGATGACGATGCACATACGACTGAGGTCGCGGATCTCGGTCCTACATACGACCAGGGAGTCGATGTTGAACCCCCTGCCGGCGATGATGCCCGACACGCGCGACAGCACACCCGGCTCGTTCTGCACCAGGCAGTTCAGGACGTGCCTAGGCGGACACCGCGCTCTCCGGTCAGCGCGCAAAGTCAGCGTGAGTCAACCAGGGAAGAACGCACCTCTTGAACGGCTGCAGGCTTGGTGGGGGCGTGTTGTAGAGGATGTTCGTGACGGCCTCCTCCGCCGTGCGCGAGCGCGGGAGGTCCATCGTCGGCAGCGGAGGCGGACGGGCGTGGTGGGACCGCTTATAGTCGAGCGCAGACGTCGAGTCGTCGATGGGCGGGGGCGGCTTGGGGACGTTGTCCGAGTCCAGGCGGCGCGCTGTTGAGGAGAAGCATCGCGAGCTGACCGTGCGTACGGTGCTGAGTCGTGAGCGTAGGAGGCTCGCCATGGTTCGGTGAGGAGAGTAGGGATTCCCCAGGCGAAGTCGAACGACTCGAACCCCACACCGAGTCAGGTAAAAGCTCTGGCGCCTAATAAATCTTAATGAACCCACGTGGCGGGTTAGGGAAAGCGCACGCCGCGGATACAACCTTCACGCAGGGCCGGCATCGCACAAAGAGATATTCAGTATATAGCACAATTTACTTATGTTGAACTGAAACCAAGAAGACATCACGACAAATGCACAAGGTCGGTTCATCAGCTCTACAGTCTCTTGGCTCCAGTGTATCCTGCAACGAGCATTTACGCCAACGCACCCTACACGCAGGGATCAGAGCTACACAAGTGATAAAAATACTCCAAGACGTACCATAGGGTCCCAAGCCGGCAGAACAACCTTATCGTCGCTCTCGAATACCTTGACAAGCTCCTTGGGCGCGAGAGCCTTGGGGACCACGACCTGGAAGACATATCTGTATAACACGGCAATCAGAGATAGAGCTGGCGGGAGCAGTGTACTCACTCGTCGAACCACTCGTCAGTCATGATGAAGTACCCCTTATTTCCGGGATCTTCGCCCCACGAGTTCTCGACCTGGTACCGCACAGGCTTGCCGGAGGACGGGTCAACGTGAACACCGGAGATGACCATGGCGTGCGTCATCGCGGACTCGCCCGTCTGCAGACGGTCTGCTTTTGATAGACCGAGCTTGATGCCAAAGGCGCGCTGAAACCCAGGATGCGAGTTGGCAAGAACATCGCATGCGTTGAAGGGGCAGCTCACCTCAAACTCATACAACTTGGTGTCCATGATACCCAGGTTGCGCTCAGAGGACTGACCCACGTCGCAGCCAAAGAACACAGGTACGCCAGCCTGGATCATCTTCACGACTGCCTGCTTCAGGTCGTCGATCTTCGTGTTTACGTCTGGAGGCAGAGTCGCGCGTGAACACGGGATGCACGACACGATACGAAAGCGCAGACTCACAGAGGACAGGTCTGGCACCCCAGATGTTCCCGAGCTTGTCGACTGTGTACAGCTTGCCGAACGCGTTCCTCGGGTCGTGGATGAGCGAGAAGCTGTCCTTCGGCGAGTGCTCGCCCTTGGCGATCGCGTAGAACTCCTGCGGCGTGCCCTCCCAGTGCCCGGGCTTGCCGTCCTTGTCGTAGTAGTCCCACACGAACGGCTCCGACTGGCCGTGCGCGCGCGGCAGCGGCGGCACGCCGAGCGCGGCGGTCATGATCGTGTACACCTCCTTCATGAGCTCCTCTTTCTTCGCGCGTGCCGCGCTGGCGGCTGCGGCGCCGTCGTGCCCGGCGCGCAGCAGCGACTGGTGCAGGGCGCGCAGGATGAGAGCGTGCTCGCGAAGCTTCGTCTTCAGGAGCGTGTTCAGTGGAGCCGAGAGCGACGAGCTAAAGGACTCGGGGTACACCGCCTGTGGGACGATGCCGTAGGTCTGACAGCACCCGTGCATGCGCGTCAGTCAGAGCGTGGGCACGTGATAAGGCAAGGCACACACGCACCTCGAGCAGGTTCACGGCCATGTCCCACTGTCCGCCGTCGCTTATGATGGAGCCCGAGGACGAGAGGTGTTTGACGAGACGGTCTTCGAGGGGGAGGTCGGCATGCTCAATCATGAGCTCGAGGAAGTAGTTGGCCTTGTTGAGCTTGTCGTAGAAGAATAGATACGACTGGAGTCGCGTGAGAGACGTTTCGATAACGAGTAGCACCCCGCGATGCGCACCTGCGAGAGCTGGAACTCCTCTAGGTTGAACTTCTTCATGATGTTGTAGCGCAGCACGTTCGTCGTCGCAAACAGCCAGCACCGGCCGCTGCTCTTCTGGTTCGTGATGGGGCCGGTCTTGAACTTGAGCTCGGTGTTGAAGACGTGCTGGTCAGTGACGACGGTCTTGCGGTTGAGAAGCGTCTGCTTGAGGTCCGCATGGTTCAGGATCGTGCGCGCAAGCTCGACGCTGGGGGTCTCCGCGATCTGCTGCTCCCACTGGAGCAGACTGCTCACGCTCAGAGAGCCATCCGCGGAGGCCGGGTCGGACACGCGCAGCGAGGACAGGCTCTCTGTCACGTCTTGCGCGCTCTGCTTCTCGGAGACGTCGCGCTCTGCGGCGGGGGAGGCGGGCTTGGACGGAGCGGAACCCATGGTTGTGTTGGGGGAGATGTCGGGCAAGTGATAAGAGTGTCGCGACGAGAGCTATAGGGCCTTGGGATCGGGCCGCCGGTGCCCGACCGTGCGACGCGTCTTTGTAAGCGTCAAGATGCATGTGGTCCATTACTGCAAGCGCGTGAGAGGACGACACGAAAAGCAAAAGCTGGCGATAGCGATAAGATAGCGCAGCGCCACGAAGTCGATGCCAAATAGACACAAACGGAGGTGTGCTCGAGCTTTGTTTTCGGCCATGAGACGATGGCCTACATCTTACCGGAGGACAATTAGGCTATCATGCTCACCCTATCAGGCCACCCGAAAAATTCCTGTGCCAAGTGCAAGTTGCGTCCATTCAAATCAGGTAACTCAGCCTGCACACCACTGCCAACCGGGGCGCACTAAATCAGCTGGAATCAAGTATCAAGGCAGAACTCGAATAGGTCAGAGAGACGGTAAAGCATAAAGGCGCTAGCAGGACAGAATGCATGGCAGTGGAGGCAAAAGCGAGCTTTGGACCTCGTCAGGAATGTCTAGAAAGCCTGCTAAGCTGAAGCGAACGCGCCGGCGCTTTGGAGCCAGCCGAACTGCGGTCGAGACACAAGAGTCAGCCTCAGATGATTTCCACATCGATGTCGATGCACAGACCTCGAGAAGGGTCGGTGGCACGTACCCCAAAACGGGGATAAGTGTCTTGCCGTGGCGGTGCAGCTCGAGCAGGTACAAGTCCTGCAGCTGGAGGCCTCCGGAGCCGAACGCCACAGAGCCGTCATGGTCGCTTGTAGTCTCGGCCTGCAAATAAGGCGTAGACGGGCGCATGAGCATATGGAGATATTGGCCAGGGGCGTGAGGATCACCTGCTTCAGGAACGCGAATACGGCCTCTGCGACGCATTCGACTACCCTGTGCCGCAACGTCGGGAGTGCAATGCCGCCGCGGGTGCGCTGCACGCTCTTAATGTGGCGGAACCTTTTGTACCCGTGAACCTGAGGAGCAGGTTATCGTCAGCCATGAACGGAGGACAGTCTCCGGCCTCTACGGTAATCCGACGCACCGCAATGAGGAAAGAAACTTTGACATAGTCTGCCGGGAACAGCTGATCGTCGCGCTGGTCGAGACTTTCGAGTCGTCTCTCGTACGCTTCCAGCAGGCCGACACCTCCGAAGCCGCCGCACGAGAATTCCCATTGGTCCCAGTCTCGGTCGCTCATGACCAGACGGCGAGGGTGGAAGTATGGGTCGTTTGGCAGGACTCGGAGATATGGCCGAGGAACTGTCTTTGTGAGAGGAACATAATTGCGCGAGCCGTCCGACGCTTGGGCTTTTGAGCACATTGCCAGGGAGTTGGACATGTGAGAGGTGAATGTCTGTGCTGTACAGTCCCGGTGGAGTGCCACTGGGTTTATATATAGCAAGAGGTAGAAGCATTCCGGGTTTGGTTTGGCAAGAAGGGGCGGTCCCGCCTAGACGCTCGACCCTAGACAAGGTCAAGGAATGTCTCGACTCTTAAAGTGAGTTTGTTAGCCGGTGGTGGTCCTCTGCGATTGTGTTTATTGAACAACCTGAAATTAATTAAGTAACTTCCCGCAGGTCATTTAAGACACGCTTTTGGAGATGCTCTTGTACGGATTTCAAATATGAAAGTGTCATTTCAAACCCCGACGGTTGTACCAGACTGCTAGATCGCCCTCCAGTCAGACTCGTCGGAACGTAGTCGCAGGACGTGATCCGAACCTCTCCAGCCTCGCCAGACGACTCGTGTCACGATAGCTCCTGCCTCATTTGGCAGGCTGTCGGGCCCAAATGAGATCTGAGCTCCGCGTCCTCGTCGTCTTCAAAATGTTTTTGCCACGGAAGGCCCTTAGGCATGTTGTTTCTGATGCTGAACAGGCGTAAGGAGGCGCAAGGTAGCATCGGGTCCTGTGTACGGCATGCGCTAGATCTTCGTTGCACTGATGGAACACCATGCGTCGTGAACATACCCGCATAGCACGGCATGTCCGAGTCGTGGGCGTGCTACAGGCGCGCGGACGGATGCGAATACCGGTAATGTCCACTGGCATATGTTGGAGTGCGTGAGATTGAAGACCATATTAATATTCTTGGGCGGGCAAACCGGAGGTTTATGTGGGTCGGTGGTCTCAGACAGAACAACGGAACGGGCAGCTCAAGGCGTGGGCAGAGGTACCCCCCGCGACGAATGGTATACTTCAGGGTGGTGGCGTTTTTGGCCGTGGCAGAATTGCTTGCATCAAAGCAGGCACCCCTGGCCCACCAAGAGCGGGGAGCGATGGATCAACTAACTCTGGTTGCGGCATTACGAGGCGTCCAGGAGGCAATTGACCGTGTGAACGAAGGGGTCCTGGACCCTCTCGGGGTCGGAGTTGGACGCGGCGCCAGAATCTGGTGGGGTTCGGGATGTTGGCATTAGCGCTGCCTGGGGCTCATTGCAGCATACCCTCATCGACTGTGCGCTTGCCGTTGGCTAATGTCATACCACAGAGGGCTACAGGATAGAGATGTGTACAGGCGGTGTATACGTTTCCAAGCAACCTTTGTTCACTAGTAGCTAAGGTTGTAAACGCATGAGCCCCCCGCGCGCTCCCCGCACGTTTAATGGTGAGGCCCTACCCAACTCGTGGCCTTGCGCTGACCCATGAGTGCGTAGTTCAAGTACTGCACGGTACTGCGCCAGCACAAAGCCACTTCTGCATCAACCCGGGCGTGTCGTATCTGTCAGCGCGGCTTGCGGCACCGCCTTGGTCCCGAGCAGGTTTCTCTCTGGTGCGCGCGGACGTCATCCCAGCAAGCCTTTGTGCCCATGCACATTATGCCTATGTGTACAAGTCCACCTGGTCTGATGTTGGCGGAAGAAGGCATCGGGCAAGTGGCCAGAGAGTCGCGAACGTCGAAGGGTCTAACGGGCGAGCCGCCGGTCCCCGACCATGCGGTGCCGCGTCAAAACACTTGGATATGTGGCCCGTTGCGAGTGATACGCACCCATGTGATACGAAAAGCTGGCGGTACCGATAAGATAGCGCAAACGCCACGAAGTTGGTGCCAAACGGACGCAAACGGAGGTGTGGCAGTGCTCGTGTTTCGTCTTCGACCGCCGTCATCACGAGGCCGACTTCAGTGGTCTGCTGTCCTCATCCAGCGCATACTGTTGAACAATTGGGTTGTCATGCATACCGTTGCTTACCTATCTGGCTTTTGAGTTCACGAGTCAATTTTTGGTTAGTGCAGGCTCGTGACTGGCTCTATCTGATGAACTTACTCGCACCAAGCGCAGGGTGCGGCCACCGTGTCCCGTTAATTTCAGCCAGCTTTGACTCCATTGGACTCCTCCACCATGTGCGACAATGTACTGCGTTCTTGGGAAGCCAGTTCACACTGTCCTATCTTTAGCACCCGCGAGTGAGTCTCCGCGATTTTCTGTGGGCATTGCGCGTTGAACACAGGGCCCTGGATTGCCACGCGTCATAGTAAGGGCGGGGCGCTCTAAATCCTGGCTTCCGTACGCCTGGGTGCGTGTGGCAGCAGGCTAGTGAGAACTAAGCTGCCTGATACTCGATCATCTCGTCATTCGCCCGGGACTGCGGCGGCTCAGCTGTGCCAGCCTGGGGGATGCCGTGGGTACCAGTGAGATGAGGCAGAATCGTTTTTAAGGGTGCTGCGGCAGCCCTGGGTACAGGGTGTATTGCCCAGACGGCTTGTCAACCCGCAACGATGAGCCGCCACGACGTAATCGTTACACGCACTGAGGAAAGATACTACGATAATGGCGCAGCCTACTCTCTCCTCTGACTCGGAGCTACTGCACCCGTACTGATTCGTGCACCTTAGGCTCGACACACCAACAGATCATCTCACTATGGCGCACGGCACGCGGCTCCCCGACGAATTTCGCCACTGCAGCCCCACTCGCTCCCCTGTCGCCTTGCCACGTCGGCGACGATGCGCCCCGCGCCCCGCGCACCCGCGAACCGCGGCGAAGCGCGAAGCACGGGGAGCAGCCATCCATTCAGCGGCAGCGGCGGCCCACGCGGTGCGCGGTGCGCGGCTGATGGAGCTTATCACTCCATTTCATTAAACGGGGGGAAAATTACGCGTCCCTTGCGCCGCTCGGCGCCCGGCGCCGTTCCAGGCACCAGCACCCCCTTGGGCCCTCCCCTCTTTTACCCCTTCTGCGGCTTCGTGGCGACCCGTGGCACGCTTTCCGATGGGGAAAGCTTCGTGGCGCAGAGGTGGTCGAGAGGCGGGCACGCGACATGTGCGCTGCGCACTTGTCCGTTCTTCGGTTCGTGTGTCGGCCGTTTCTGTTGGGTGGAAGGAAGGAAAGGAAAGGAAGGCGCGGTGCGAAGGTGCGGCGGGTTGTGCGTGCCATGCCGACGAACAGATCGACGGTCGAGGCTCGTGCGCGCTCTGGCTCGCGCGACTTCTTCCTGGGAGCTGCGAGTGGCGGCACTTGTTCCACAAACAGACAGGTCTCCTTCGAGCCGGGGCGGATATGGACATGGAGTTGCGTCCGGGTCGCCTGCTATCTCGACCCGTTGCTGACGGGGACTGCCTCCGTACCTCTATCTGCGATGAGAGAAGCGGGCGCGGGCGGACACGGCGTCGGGGCGGAAGCCACGCGCGGAAAGAGGAGGCCAAACTGCCTGCGGGACCCACACGCAATCTTCGTTGCGGGTCTCAGGCATGATTGGGTTTGAGTAGAGAACTCTGACGAGGCCCGGTTCTGTTGATTGAGGCGGTTGAGCGGAAAGCGACTACGGTCTTTGTTACGTTTATGAAGCGTGTGGTGGAGGATCTGTGCGGCTTGATCGCGATACGCATATTATGCAACATTTTTTGGCGAAGGGCCTCTGGGCCCGTGTGGTGCTCACGGTGGGTGTAGTGGCGAATGCTGGTGGCTGATGCTCGTGAGTACAGCGTGTTGGAGAAGATGATCTTCTGTCATTCTCGTGATGCACGGGCAGCTGTCTGGTCACCGGGCTTCATTTTGCTCGTTGTACGGGGCAATTACCTCCCCCCGAGATGGTGTCCTTGGGCCACCGGTGCAGGACGGGGTGTGCGGTGTATTTATCGCAGGTGTGCCGCGCGCCGCCCTCGCGCGCCTTGAGCCGTTTCCAGAAAGGCTTCCATATAGGGAATTTCGCCGTGAGCAAGGTTCGAAGTGAGATCTGATCTCTGTTGAGGTCTTCTGGCCTGCCTCTGCGCTTCGTCCGGCGCCGTCCGCCCTCCGCAGGCGCGACTGGCGGCCGCTGTCGTGTCTGCTGGTGCGGGCGCCGTGCGCTGGCAGGCGGTGGACGTGCTGGGTGGCATGTGCTGGCTGGAGGCGGTGCAGACGGCGAGGATGGGCGGGGGTGGGTGTCGGCGGGCGAGAAGAGGAGATGGTATCAGGGACGGGGAGCGGTTGTGTACATATGAACCGCATCTGTCGAGGGCATACTTTGATCGACTCCCGTTTAGCTCTCAGGCTCTCTCCGGGCCCATTCCCGCCGCGGCCTCTCGTCCTCAGGCTCTCTATTAGTGCCCAAGTCCGCGCTCGCCAGCTCTTCCGCGTCCCCGTCGTCCCCAGGCCCTCTTCCGCTCAGTACATGTATCTGGAGTATGCCTCCAGCCCTCTGCGTCGCTGCCGACGTCGGTCGCAGCCCGTCCCAGTCCCGCACAGACCCTCCCCTCTCTCCTCTCCGAACACGTCCAGCTCCCAGGCAAAAACGAGATGCGCCATCCCAACGTCTGCCCCATCTTGCCGGTCCTCCCAATCGCGACCCATGGCGACCCATCCAACAAACCCCCCATCAACTGCACAGTCCCGCACCGCCCCCATCTCTCTCCTACAGTGCCATCGGTGCGAGGGTGGTAACCAGCTCCCCCAGCATGTTTTCACTCAGGGACCAGGCAGTAGAGACCTTTGAGGCTGCTCTCCAGAAGCAAGGCTCGCTCTTATCCAACGGCAAGATGACCTCCCCCACCACCCACTCGCCCACCAGAATCATCCCGCCCCGAGTCCCCGCCCTGGCGCCTCTCGCCGCCTCCGACCAAAGAGCACAGCCCGCTTCGCACGAGCCGTTTACACCAACTACGTGAGTTTTACTTTCAACGGTCCCGGTTCGTATCCACAGAGCAATCCTGACGTCCCTCTAGCCCCCCATTCTACCCATCACCGACGTCGCCAAGCACGTCAGCTATCCCAACAACCCCGTCTCTCTCCCAGCCCCCCTGGCGCACGCCCTCGCCCTCCAAACACTCGTACGGAGCATATCCAAGCGACAGGGCCCCCTTTTACACCAGCTCATACCCCCGAAGACGGTCCGTCACAACGTCTTCCCTGCACTCGCCCTACCGCCTCAGCCCGGTCGCCCTGCCCATAGGCCGAAAACTGCCCAAGTGGAGGGAGGTCCAACAGGCCGAGCGTGCGCTCAACCACGAGCACCGCCGGTCCCCGTACCCCCACGACGCCGACACGCCGTCGGCCAGCAGCGGCTCGAGCCTCTCGCAGTACCGCCGCCCCGACCGGACGCCACTGGGCCCGCGCCCGATGGGCTCGCACTCCCCGCCGTACGCGAGCGGCCTGTGCATCGTCGTGCCCCGCGCGACGGCGTGCGACGACGGCTCTGCAAGCTACGACGCCGCCGCGGTGTCGCTCGCGCTGCTCGATCTCGACCCGGAGGTGCGCCGCAAGCGCGAGGAGGTGCGGCGGTGGCTCGGCGGCACGGCGCTCGCAGGGACCCCCGACCGCCCGCTGTCCTACGCCGGCACGTCCCCCGGGGACGAGCTCGTCGCGGAGAGTGCACCCGAGGACGCGTCCGTGCCGCGCAGCTCGTCCGACGACTCGCGCGAGGAGGAGCCCGAGCCTGCCGTGCCGTTCACGCCGTCGTCCGCCTGGACGCACCAGCCGCCCGGTATCGCAGTGGGCAAGGAGATCAAGCTCGCGGCGGTAACGGCGGCGGCGGCGCCGCCCCCCGCGCTCGAGCCGCCGTTTGACTATGACAATGCTGCCGCCGCCGCCCAGCGGATCTCGATCGAGCGGTCGGCGTTCGATTCGGACACGGAGGACGAGGAGGACGCGAGGCTGGGTGAGATCCGGATCAGCAAGTTCAGCCGGTTGCGGAAGGCGTTGAGGAATTCGATGTCGGTGCCCAACATCGCCGCCCGGCGCTCACTGATCGATGGGACGACGGAGACACCGCTCGTGGGGACATCGCCCGAGTCGGTGTCCGCGCTCCGTGCGCGGCAGACGACAGGGTCCACAACCTCGCTGCCGCGGAATCCGTACGTGCTGAAGCTCGCAACGGACGCGGCGGCGCTGAGCCCCGTGCCGTCGAGCGCCGCCAACAGCCCCGGGAGCCAGGTCGACGGGGATGCGCCGCGGTCACCGTCGACGCCCGCGACGCCCGCTTCCCCAAAGGCGCGGGAGACCCGGTCGTTCATCTTCGAGATGTCGAAAACGTCCCTGCTGCTCGAGGCGCCACCGCCGCCACCACCGCTGCCGCCGCTGCCTAACGTGTCGCGGTGCCACGGCCCGCCACCAAACCTGCCGCTGCCGCCTACGCCCCTGTTCGCGAGCACGCCGTCGCTGCCGCTCGCGCGGCCCGCGCTGGGCGATAGTAGCGGCAACGGCAATTCGTTCGCACCCCGCTGGCGCGAAGACGTGGACGCACACGACCGCCTGACCGTCGTCGACCCCGACATGAGCATGGCGCGGCTGCAGGAGACCATGGCGAAGCTCGAGGCGTACGCTCCGCGTGCCGGCGCCACCGACGCAGACGTGTCTCCCTCTCCCGGCAACCCCGCGAAACCACTGCCGCAGCCTGTCGCCACGGGAAGTAAGCGGCGGGCTGGCGGCAAGCAGCCGACCGAGCCGGGCGTCGTGGGCGGGGGCGTGCGGGGTGTCATCGTCCTCGCCGTCGAGCCGTCGCCGACGCCCGTGCGCCGTCCGCCCAGCACCGAACGCCGCGGCAGTAGCAGCCGTCGCCCGCCAGCCGTTCCGCCGAAGCCTGAGAAGAACGTCCCAACAGGCAGCAACGGGCTCGCGCGGCGCCCGAGTGTGCCGATGCTGCCGCTCTTCGACTTTGAGCGCCCCGGCGAGCACCACGGGCTTGACCTCCAGGGGCTGCCGCTGCGCAGCACGTCGCTGCAGAGCGTGCACACCGCTGGCAGCAGCAGCAGTGGTGCGGAGGGCGTCGTACAGGCGTCTGCCGTCGCAGAAGAAACGTTCACGCCCCAGCGGCGGCAGCAGCAGCCTGCGACGCCGCCCGCCCGCGCCCCCGCAGAGCAGTCGCACTTCTCGCCCGAGTCGCCGCAACAACAGCAACAGCAGGCATGGCGGGCGCGTGGGTGGCGGATGCGGCGCTTGCTCGGTGTGCGGACGGAGCTCATTCGCGGGCTGCGCGGGTCGTTTGTTTCGTGACACGGACGCACGGACGCTCTTTCTTCTTGGGTGCTTGACTCGAGGCCGGTTTTTCGCTTGAGGGGCCTCTGGCCAACAGTGCCTCCTTTTTTTTTGACGTCTTGCGACGTTTTACCTGCATGTATTTTCACGACGCTTGTGTTTTCGCGCTCTCGGTTTTGTTCGGATAGTATTTAGTTGAATCGTGTTAGTCCTGTGTTGTTTTGTTTGTGCAACCGTCGATTTGTCAGGCGTTATACCTCCCTCTCCCCCCTCCTTTGTAGCAGTAGATCTATACCGCAGAAAGCTCGGTGTGTAAAATAGTCGGACCGATAGAGATGAAAAATAATATCAGAAGTTGCTATGCGGTGTGCTGTCGGGGACGATGTGATCGATTGCAGGTGACAGAAGATCTATCGCTGTTGATGAGATTGGTATCCGAGGTCTCAGACAGCTCTCCGGGCCCGAAGGGCAGGTATCGGTTGCCCTCGTCCCCGGCGGGTCTCACTTCGCAGCGCCAGCCGCGGTGAGCATGGCCCAGTCAGCACGGAGACGTACACACACACAGGCTTGTCTTGCGCTCAATCCCACGGTCGTCGCGCGAGGGACGAACGTCGTCTGCACGCACACGCGTGCGGGTGCGTCGGTTTTCCCTTCAAGTTGAGGCCGGCGTGGGTGGGCGCGCTCCCTCCGGATCAAACTGCAGCTGGGGCACGCGCGAGCCCCGGACGGGGTCTTCCTCCCCCACCCGCTCTTTCCGAGCCAGCGCGTGATACGCAGTCCTTGTGAGAATTGTCGTAGACAGGCGAAGACGGCGGCCTTGAGTTAGCGCGCTATGACGGGCGTCGTGAACTACGACGATTGCCTAATTGGGATGCGCCGCCCCAGAGTTGGCATGCGTTTGGTTTTCAACGCTTGATGGTACGGCAGGCTCAGGTCAAATTCCCGAGACCCAAGTCAGAAACCCAAATCTGATACCATCAGCGCTCGGATAACCGCCGTACACCACCAATCTCCGAGTGCACTGGCGCCTCTTACTCTGAACATTTGAGCATTTTCAGCATAAATAATCGATTGATATTGCATGTATACGAGGTTAGAAGTCAAATGAAGCATGTCAATCATCGTTGGCAGGCCCAGGTGAACAGCGATGGCGGCGTTAGGCGCCCACTTTCCATATAGAAGCAACGCGTCGGGGCTTGGGCCCCCTTGCCGTCGGAGTCGTTGCAAGTGTGCTTGACCTTGCCCTCCTATGTAGCTATTTTACTAAATGTATATATATTATCAGCTGCCAACCTAGTTATGATCAATATCACCTAGTGAGAACAAGTCATGCTGTACTCGCTATATTGTGCTGCTGACTTAGGGTTAGGTTCTAGATAAGATAATCGAAGCTATGGGCGCTTGATTACCGCTTCGATAAGCCTGGGTCAGATAATGGTCCTCGGCCTGCTACTACCCTTATTGACCTCAGAGTATACAGATACAACACTTGACATGCTTTCGTAACATCTAAAAGACCCAAAAATGCCATACATAACCCAGAATAATGTCTGTGTGCGGAAAGGTGCTCGGACGCTCATTATGCGGTTGGCCATCAGCTTTGTGATCCGGACTTGAGTTTTGGGGATTTGACCTGAGCCTGCTCGGCAACCGTAGATGGGTAACTTGTTGGAGAGCATGTCAACCATCTCGATCGACGAGCACAAGTACCTGTACACAGCACGTTCAAAGACAACATGCGCTAGCGCTCTTACCGGATCTATCATCGACCTGATCTCAATATCATGTTTCCATTGACGCTGCTTGAAAAACAGGGAATGTCGTTTCCACCAACTTTCATTGTGCAGGCTCAGCTATGGCAGACTTACAGATGGTTCAAAGAATTGCTGCTGAAGATTCGGTCGGTAAGCTCCCTGCATCTCCCTACTCCTCTGATAAACTTCACTGAGAAGCGCAGTTCGAGCAATCACCAGCATTACCGATACATACATGCGCAACCTCGATACCCCTACTAACGAAGTCGCAGACAGGATCGTAGCTGCTGTGAAAGATGGTCTCAAGGATATCGTCGGAGAACAGGAGCCATTCCACGACCCGAACACTACACCAGCCTGTCTTGAAGGCGTCCTCTGGTTCCTCTGGGGCACATACAGACGGACTGCCGCCTGGGAAGAGCCGAGGCTTCAAGAGCGTATAGTCGACGTCCTGCGAGAACTGAAGACGCACGGCAAGGCCGGTTTCGAGGGCATGAAGATATGGGGACACGACATGAACTGGAATAACCTGCCGGTGTTTGGCTTGGATGCCAGAGAGAGTCTCGATGGTGAGCTCTGAGAGAACGCATGGGATGCTTCAGTTACTGACACTTGCTCCACTCGTAGTCCTCGTCGGATACCTGCCCGGCTCGGACAGGGTCGCGCCGCTGGACCTGCGAGAACCAGTGCCACCGGTAGGACTCAGAATCCTCTCCGGAGCAATACCCGAGGACCCGGACCCGTCCAACCAGCTGTACGTAAGCGCGCGCGCGGTGTGGCTGGAAACCAGACGCTATCTCATGCGGGTCTGGGTGGCGGGCGTCTACGACTTCGAGATTTACGGCATCTGGTTCATGCGCGAGGGCCTTGAGGACCTGGACCTTGCGGATCTCGAGTGGAAGACACACACTGCGTCGGCTCCGCCCGTCCTTGCGCTCGAGGGAGCGAGTGTGTGTGTCCAGACCGCGGGCGAGAAGATGTATCGCAGCAACCTGGTCGAGGGGCCGAATGGCAATCCGAACTGGAACTCCAACTTTGGGACAGCGGGCAGGGGAGGGAAGAGGTGGACAGGCGTGGACGGATACCACCCAGACCGCTGGAGGCTGTGGAAGTCTGTCTTTCAAGAGTACGCGGACGCCCATGGCATGAAAGGCATATGGCCGAACGCGGTAGAGGCTGCGAAAGTGAGCCCCCGTGTCTATCTCCCTGTGCGCTGGTCGTTGATCGGAATACAGACTGCAATTGCAGTAATGGAGAAGATAGAGTCTACGGACGCTGGACTTGGTGATTAAGAAGGCGGAGGATACGGCTACTCCTCTGAGCAGTTGTACATACTCGAAGTGAATGCATCTACCCAACTTTAAACGAAATACCGTGACGGCCCAAAATCGACTCTTCAATTCAATTTGTGCTCACGCCTCATCTGCCACAAATCCTCTATCTAACGCGTCTCGCGTCGACAGGAACTGGCAACACTTGTGGTACCGGTACGCACGCCACCTGCGCAAGGAATAGCATCGTACATTGTCACCGCCTTTTCTCCGAGTCTGTAAAACAAGCCTAAGGCTGCCATATCACAACATGATCAACTTGAAGTCGGCTTGAAACATAAGATAGATCGTCAAAATCGGCGTATGTACTCAATTTCTTCGTGTGTGCCCTATCAGTTTGTGCCTGCACAACATCAAACGCCGCAAGACAACGATACGTTCGGAGTCGCGGTGTGCGAAGGCCTTGGCTCGGGCTGTGCAAAAAAACTCAAATGCTTCCGAGACGAGCGCCACAATTCCCATATTCCAAATTGGGAGCTTCTTCCGGCTAACACACATAACGTATTAACGACTTGTGCAGTCAGGCTGGCTCTGCCCTGCTCTTGCCACCACCTCAGTGTATCTCTCTTCACTTTCTGTTTCTCTACTGAAATTCGCCTTCCGTATGTCTCACAAAGAGGAAACGCACCATGACGAGAAAGCGCCTACAGTGTACGCAGAAACCACCGAGGGACAACTAGCAACGGAGGAGCCTCTCAGAGGTCATCTAGATCATCACCGGAAAGAGTCCTTGACGAGCCTACACAGCCTGAAGGTCTCAGACGGAGAAGAGGAACGTGCGACGTCCCCACCAAGTGCTGGGTCTCCTTTGGATGCAGATAGTTTCAAATCATCCGAACTCAAAGATGTCAGTCTCGAAGACTTGTCCCTTGGTGACCGAGAGCCACTAAAACTCAAGACTGTATCGTTGGAGCCAGCGCATACTCCTCAGTCAGCATCAAAGGGTTCATCGCTCGTGACCGCGAAACCGAAGGAGGGTCAGAATGAGGAAGGCAGAAGGGGTGCCAGCCCGTCATCTCCGATCAAGTCCGCGCAGTCGACTCTGGACTCGTTACTGTCACCTACGAAGGACGACTTCAGGTTTCCCATTCGCAACTCAGTAGCTGCCTCAGACACCACGGACGACGAGGCGCGCTTCTCCACAGTTATCCTCAGCAGCGCCCGTCAAAGCGTGGACTCCACACACGTTTCCCCGGGCACACCGCTGTCGGCGAAGCCGCGCGAGACGCTCACGGCGCTGCCGGAGGAGGAGGGGCACGAAGGCGCAGGCGAGGGCGAGCACGACGACCATCGCGACACGCTCGACGGGCACGAGATCGTGCGGCTCATCCACATGAACCGCGTCCACAAGAAGACGGCGTCCACGTCGACGATCGTGTCCGGAAACAACGTCCCGTTCATCTTGGCGCGGGCGGAGGGCGAAGAGGGAAAGCGGGCCAGCCTGGACGGGAAGCAGAAGCTGCAGGAGGAGTTCGAGAGGAAACATGAGTCGCAGGACTCTCGGGCAGACGCGGATGTTGATTGGGGTATGTGGTCTCTCGTCCGCGGCCTGTTTGTGTGCTGACTAAAGCCTGGCCTAGTCTTCTGGGGAGACGTCGTGTCTGGTCCGTGTCGAAGCTTTTGTCTACCAGCTACAGTGTTGTCTGATCCCCACAACAGACTACCAGGCGTACGCTCAGGCCTATCCGAGGCAGCTCGCAAAAGCGATTGAGAAGGGCATACCAAAAAGCCTTCGCGGAATGATTTGGCAGCTAATGTAGGCGGGACGGTCTCTGTGTAATGCCCTGAGACTTCATATGGACTGGGCCGCTAGGTCTGCATCCAAGGATCCCGAACTAGAACAGACGTACTTGAAGCTTCTCAAGGAGAGCAGTCCACATGAAAAGGCTATCTCGCGAGACCTGGGAAGGTTTGTACTCCATGTGGGATTGCAATGCGTGGCGTCAGCTCATCGTATGAACAGGACCTTCCCTCATCACGCTTTCTTCACGGATGGGCACGGTATTGGTCAGGAGAACCTGTTCAACGTGCTAAAAGCCTACTCGCTGTAAGTCTCATTATCTGTTGTGTTGATGGAGTGCTCAATTCTATAGGCAGGTATGATACTGAGGTTGGGTATTGTCAAGGTTTGCCCTTCGTCGCAGCCATCCTATTGCTCAATGTTCGCCTACTTCTTCATCGAAGCCCGGATGCCTACTCTAACGCGCGTATGTCAGATGCCAGACGAAGAAGCGTTCTGCTTGCTCGTCAGATTAATGCACTCGTACGACCTGAGAGGGCACTTCCTACCAGAGATGCCTAAGTTGCAGCAACGCATGGTATGTCATCTTTACTGTCTTGTTCGTTACTTGAATGACGAAATTTGTACTTGAATAGTTCCAGGTCAGTTTACATTCTCACGATGAGCTGAACAACGATTGACTCCCCGGCAGTTCGATCGCTTAGTAGAGGAAGTTCTTCCTGTACTACACGTCCACTTTATCCGCCAAGGCATCAAGTCGAGCATGTACTGTTCGCAGTGGTTTCTGACGATGTTCAGCTATAAGTAAGGATCCATCATTCGCCCGACTATGAATTGCTCATATCTGTATAGGTTCCCCCTTGATGTTGTATTCCGAATATATGATAATGTTCTTGCGAGTGGTGTTGAGGCCTTATTTTCCTTCAGTCTCTGCTTGCTTTACAAGAACGAAGAGGCGCTCCTGAACGTGAAGTTTGACCAACTACTGGTCTTCTTGAACACCAAGATGCTGGACACCTATCAAGTAAGAGGCCCTTCTCCCGGTAGTGCTGTTATTGTGCTCAAGCCGAAATTTAGATCAGCGAGGCGAAAGGCGAAAACGGCGCTAAGATTCCCATGTATGACATAAATCAATACGTGCAAGATGCAGTCTCCATGAGCATCACGCCCTTCATGCTCGATCAATACGCGAACGAGTACGACGAGCTTGTACGCACACGTGATGCCCAGCTCATCGAGATGGACGCCTTGCGAAACAGCAATCGAAACCTCTCTGCCCAAGTGTAAATACACAATTGCCGGGCCAACAGCAAAAGCTAAAGCAGTCTTTTCAGGAACAGTTTGGAGAACAATTTGGCGCAGTTGAATGCAGAACATGTAAAAATCCTGGTACGATGTCTGCTGTCTGCGCGTTCATCTGTGCGCTCATCTGCACCTGCTAGAATGAGCTGGTCATGGCTCGATTGCGGCACGAGGAGCTTGAGTCTGAGCTGGTCCGCTACAAGTTGCTGTGAGTATCCTGATTTGGCTTCTACTCTACTCTGCTGATCAGGCAAATATCCAGATACGCAGAAGCCATGCACCAAAGCGAAGATGCACTCTCACAGCACCGGATGTCCAGAATGAGTATGTTTAGCAGACGCAGCAGTGGCAATACAGGATCGTAACGGACCCCTACTGTACATTGTAATAGAATTTCTGTAGATTATAAGCACGTTTTCTGGACAGATGCACGCCTACGAGCACTTTTATTGGCAGCCCAGGAATCGGCGTGGCGAGGTGAAGCGCCCTGCGGAACGGAGCGAGTAAATCTTTGATCTCGCTTGTCCCGTACTATGACATCTGCTCTTTCCTCCGCTCGACCGGACTCTTGACCAACAGCAAAGCGAGAGGTCAACACGATGCTGACCCTCGGACGTCGCCGCCTGAAAAGTTTGACCTCTGACCTGCATTTTCCCGAACTCGCCAAGCGAGTAGGGCAGCGGAGGAGTTTGCCACGAAGGAATATCACTACGACCACACCAAAACGAGCTCTTGGGCCATACGTCACCGTACCCGTTACGCTGCTCGCTATAGGAGGAGCTGGATACCTTGCATACGAGAACTGTCAGCCGTTCCGACATACGGCTCTCGCGGTGGCCAGATGCTCGCGTGTTGCTGGTACGTGGGGCTTTCGTCCGAGGTGGAATGACTTTGACCCAAGGGCAACAGAGGCAGCGATATCGAGCGTGACGGATTACAAGCTGACATTTGCGAGGAACTATCCATCCGAAGAGGCCAGTCAGGAAGCGACGTCCCAATGCCATACGCGTAGTGCGCGTAGAGTGCTCAAAGCCTTGCTAGCTAATGGAGGTACGTTTATTTCCCTCTCAACTCTCGACATCTCTCCAATATCTGTTTCAGGTATCTTTATAAAACTAGGACAACATATGGCATCACTGTAAGTGAGACCCGTCCCCCGTCGTTGCGCCCTAGATATGGATAGCGTGACAGGTATGCAGGATAGTATTACCCAAGGAGTGGCGAGATACCATGCGTCCTCTGCAAGATCAATGCGAGCCAACGCCGTTTGAAGACATTCAGCAGCTGTTCCTATCGGATATCGGGAGGCCTTTGGACGAAATATTCCTCGAGTTCAACCCGGAGCCCGTCGGCGTAGCGAGTCTCGCGCAAGTACATATGGCGCGTTTAAGGGATACTGGACAAGAGGTTGCCGTGAAGGTGTGTTGACCAATGGTCATAGTGTGTCGTCACGCCAACTCGCATTCTAGCTGCAGCATCCCCATCTGGATGAGTTCTGCAATATCGACATGGAGATGGTAGAGGTTTCTCTTGGTACGTGTCTCCGACCTGATCTCATCTTATCTCAACGTACTTACGCTCCAGCCACAGGATGGATCAAGAGGCTCTTTCCCGAGTTCGAGTTCACATGGCTTGCAGGAGAGATGCGAGAAAATCTCCCCAAGGAAATGGACTTCCAACACGAAGCGCACAACGCTCACCGAGCAGAAGAAAACTTCAAAAACGTCCGCACCTCGCTCTACATTCGTAGGTTCCTATCTCCAGCATAGATGCCGATACAATTTTGTACAACTCATACGTGATTTTGTTTGCAGCCCGGGTGATCGACGCGAGGAAGCGAGTCTTAATCATGGAGTTCATCCGTGGTGGGCGCGTTGACGACCTCGAGTATCTCGCGAAATACAATATTGACCGCAACAGGGTCTCACTAGAACTCGCGCGGATATTTGGTCAGATGGTCCACATTCATGGCTGGTTTCACGCAGTTAGTATATCGCTTCTCGACTTACTTCGCGGACAGTTGATGGCCTGCCACAGGACCCACATCCAGGCAATCTGCTCATCCGACCCGCCGCTTCCGGCTCTGCATCTCCCTACAATTTTGACATCGTTCTTCTGGACCATGGCCTCTACTTCGACCTTGATGACGACCTTCGGATAAACTACAGCAAGTTCTGGTTATCTCTGATTGCACCTGCGTCTGCGAAAACAGCCGCTGACAGGCGGAAGTACGCGAAACTCGTGGGCAATATTGGTGATGACTTATACCCGGTATTCGAGGCCGCTATTACGGGTAGGTATAGCGATTATCGAACGAGCTTTCGGCCTAACTTCACCATTTTGCTAGGCCGAGCTACGCTAGAAACGGATCCAGAGAACGATGAAACTGATCCAGAGGCTGGATTTAAACGAGGCAATAGCATGATTGACCTGAATAAACAAACAGAGGAGGAAATTGAAGTCATCCGGAATGCTGTTGTACAACGCGAGGGTTTGCTTCTGGACGTGTTTGACGTGTTACGGCGGGTACCAAGACGTGTCCTAATGGTACTCAAGCTCAATGACTTGACAAGAAGTTTGGACCATGCGTTGGCTACGACCCACTCAAGCGTAAGCTTGTTATATTCACGCTACCCACCAAACGCTGACCACTCTTTCTCAGATACGAGTTTTCCTTGTCACTGCAAAGTACTGCACACGGGCGGTCTGGGAAGATGAACGGAAGCGATTGGCTCGCAGTTTCTACGATACTGGTTTTTTAACCTTCGTCGCCGACTACCTCAAAAGCTGGTGGTACGTGATATTCTATTATGCATCTCGAGAGTCTTCTTAACAGTTACCTAAGGAACTTCGAGAGATCTTATCGGCCCATCATTCTAGTGGAAACTTGGATGGACTTCCAGGCTGAGATGGTCAAGCTGAAGGCCTGGATGCGGGGGTTGATGTTTATCGGCGGATTTTCTGGCGCACACAAGGCTGCCGCTGGCTTGGCATAGAGGTATTACTATGCATAGATATATTCAAGAAACTTCGGCCGCGTCAGTGAGGCCATGGCCTTTATCTCTTTAATTTTCTCATCATCCAGTCAATGTCGTCCATCTGTGACTTCATGGTCTCCCACTAACGGACCGGTTAGAACTTGCTGTATTGTGAACTCGGCGGGCATACCTGTTCTGGTGACAAAGTTATACCCTTCTTGCCAGGCTTCTCATCTCCTTCCTGACCGTAAAATTCTCGAATGTCGATGAAGGTTGAACCTGTACAAACAGAGTTAAGCTGCTGGGCATGACCCTGCAAGAGCACTCCATTTACCCTTGAAACTGCGCACAGTCGCTCGTTTCTTCTTCCCCAAGTCAACGTAGCGGTCTCCCTCGTAATTCGTCTTGATTCCGCCTGGCACGGGCTCCTCTGTTTTATTATTCTTTTGCGCAGCGTCTCAAATGTGCAACGAGGACCAACACGTTGTACCTACTGGTTTCTCTACTTTCTGCCTCTTCATTGGACGCTCCTCCTCGCTGTCGTCGTCGTCATACCGCGGCTTCTTCGCTGTAGCTTTGCCCTAAGATCAAGATGAGTCTGGCTTGGACAGCCATACACGAAGAGCTACCTTGCTAGTGGGCTTCTTCTTGGGCTTTTCTTCCTCCCATTCGCTGGGAGTCTCCGCAACCTCGTCTTCATCGCTATCGACGACGCCTTTGCGCTTAGCCATGACGGTAGACTATGAGGCACGTGTGGTTTCACTTCGAGACGGACGCGTCAAGCGCGTTGATGAAGACACGCGTCATGCGCAACAGCTCAGCTTGTAAGGATTTGTTACCGTGGGAAAACAACGCGATGCGTAAGCGTGGGCAAGCCAAAGCTTCGTTCCATCCTCGGACGTCTTCCCCTTCACCCTACCTCTTCGTCCTCCCTTTTCTCCCCACATTTAACCCCCCAGTTTGACGTCAGAATTGGATCAGGAACTAGACAGAGTCCTACGAACTGTTACCTCGACTCCGCCGTCGTGGAATATGAAAATATTGCACAAGTCGAGGCGCTCTGTGCCGCTGGTACATACTACGATTATCTCTCACACATCGCCGCTTCTTACCTGTCACTCAGATCCCAGTGGTCGCAGAGCTCATAGATAAACTTGCAGACACACCTACCGAGGAGTTGTCCGATGCCTTGGCGCAAATCGACCATTGGAGGTGGCCGCGTTCCGACCTTAATGCATGGGTCAAAATCCTCAACAAGTTTGACACCATTATGGAGGATGTCATACGTGATTACGAGATTGAGAAGGCTCAGTTGAAGCCATTCAGTGCTTCCGACAAGCAGTTGCTGTGCGAGATCCTGAGGTTCGAGAGGCTTCTTCTCGAGAACTCCACGAATAGGAAGACGTACAACTCATATGACGTGCGGCAGTACCTCTGTGCTGATTGTGCTTGTGCTGACTATTCTTTTCCAGCGACTGAACAGTTTCATGACGACGTCGGATCTCGATGTCCTCATCTATTCCTTGAATCTCCTTTTGAGACCGGCTCAGCAGTATTCCGCCCAGCCTGCGGTCTCGCATGCCTTGAGCCTCAATACTAGCCGACTCACCTCACTCTCAAAGCGATGGCCGAGCCTACACGACTACGACATCAATCTTGTTGCTCTTGCGGGCGAGCAAGGGCGCGCACAAGTCGACTCGTTGCCGAACGAAGCACGTGAGGTTGCTTTTACGTTCTACAGGAAGGATGGGTCACAGTCCAAGAAGGAAGAGAAGAAGGAACCTGAGGTAGACCCCTTCGAAGCGCCACCACCTCAGACACCACGCAAAGGCGCGTCATCTTCACCCTCCGCCACATCCGCGAATGGCCCCGTTACCGTACATATCGATAGCCAATCACTCGAAACGAAGCCGGCGATGCAAAGTTGGGCTGAGGCTAATGAGACCTACTCCGTTCCGGACGATGAGCGTTTCGAGCTCCTATGCCGGATCCGCAGCGCGAAGGCCCTCGCTCGGACACATGCCGAAGATCGAGAGAAGCTCGTCATCGTCCGTCTTCTTGCCATTGGTCTTTTCTGTCACACACATCCCGAACAAACGACGTTCAACAACCTCTTCTTGTATGAGCCCGACCTCGTGCACCACATTGCTGAACTACTCCAGCTCGATCGTGGCATTGACATCCAGGTTCAGACTGCTGCTGTATATGCGCTGGATGCTGTCGGACGCTACCGGAACAAGATCCAGGACGTCTTGACGGCTGTCAATGCAGGTGTCAACCATGGCATCTTGATGGCGCTGCTGAGAAAGACGATAACAGAGCTCGCGAACGCCGAGTCCAGCACTCCTCAAGCATTCGTAGAAGCTCTCTTGTCATTCGTCACCTATATTGCAGCGCATGCTGCTGGGGGCAACATGGTCGTGAGCGCTGGGTTGATTCCGCTCCTTGTGCAGGTCATCGAGAACCGCCTGCCGAACCGGCTGTATGCGTTGTCGAAGACGATGCAATTGCTGGACAACATTCTATATGGCTACACGAACGCCTTTCAACTCTTCTGCAACGCCAGAGGTATCGACGTGCTTGTAGGGCGCATTGAGGTGGGTCGATCACCAGTCCATTCGCTTCAGCGGACTCATGTGCGTATCATAGTACGAGGTTGACACAGGCCTTGACGAGCATGGCGGAGGAAAGCCTGCGGCTGAAATTCCAATACTATATGGTGTGTCGACGTACGATACGTTCATGGCTGGATGTCACTCACTCGTTTGCAGGCAAGATATCAGTCGGGCGCGCTACTGTCTTGAAGCACATCATGCGTTCGATGCACAGGATGATGCAGTCTTCTGGGACAAGCGAAGGCCTTCGTGGCCTTCTTGATTCGTCTCTTGTGCAATCCGTCAAGAAGGTTATGGCGGACAGGAGTGTATTCGGCGCAAATGTCTTGGCTATCGGCAAGTCTTCACATATCTTCAACTACAGCCAGTAATATTAACGGTGTGTCCTAGCTATCAACATCATGGCAACCTTCATCCACAATGAGCCCACTTGCTTGCCAGTCATTCAGGAGGCGGGGCTTCCCGAAGCATTCTACACCGTTGTCGAATCCGGTCTCGAGCCGGTTATCGAGGTTGTCCAGTCTATTCCAAACGCGATGGGTGCCCTCTGTCTCAACCAGATCGGTCAAGACCAGCTCGCTTCACGTCCTGGCATCATCCCTGGTTTCTTCTCAATTTTCACGTCCGAGAAACATCAACGCATGCTGCAAGAGAAAGAGAACGCCGTCATCATTGGTACCGCCGTTGAAGAACTTGTCCGCCACCACCCCAGTCTCAAGAATCAAGTCTTTGAGGCGATTAAGCAGACCATGGCTAAGATCGAGGAGCTCGGTAATGCGTATCAGGTGCCCGAGGAGAACAAGCATTGGTATGTTCTCCGGGCTACAAGAACGACAAACGCGAGTGTGGGCACTTCCGATGTCGATGTCGACATGGATGCGTCTGCTCAACCAAGCTCATCATCTATAGCCGCCAGCGCGGAGCCAGAGGCTACGCCCCATATTTTTGAGGATAGCTCGTTCAAGTCACACGACAACGCAATTGTCTCATTCATCGACGTCCTCGGCAAGGTTGGTTTCACTGTGCTCTCAAACTCACTGTCATCTGTTGACGGCTACGTCTAGTTCCTCGAGGGCTATTTCCAGCATGTACCGCACTGTCGCGATTTTCTTAGCAGTACTGATGGCCTGGATCGTCTGGCGCGTCTCACTGCTCTTCCCTGCATCCCTTACGACTTCGCAAACAGTGTCGCCTCGGACTCGCTAGTTCAAGTCGTGCGCACAATGGTCGAAGCGTCGACAAACGAATCGCTTGCGTTCATCGTGAAGATTGTGAACGAGTCGCTTATCGCGACAGCCAGTCTGCGTGATGATAATGCTGGGAACTCCAAGTATCTCGAGTTGGCTACTGTTGAAGATGAGCAGCAGGCTGCGGAGGCCAACACTGCCTTTCGAAATCTCGTTACTTTGCACGTCCGCATCATGCTTCTGTCGGATATCTTTGCGACCGCCGGGTACTCTCAGGGACGAGCACTCGCGACCCTGCTGCAGTCAGTCACTGGTACTGGTACTGGCGACATCTTGCTTGGTCTCGGCAGCCTCCACCGCTCATCGATTTGGGAGAACGTCATGCTCAAGGAAAAGATGACCATCCGCCCCGAGGACAAGCAGCAGACTCCAGAAGCCTTTGCTCCAGTAGAGACACCTATGTCAGTATCTTCGGAAGCAACAACTCCTGGTCCTTCGACGACTGCGAATGGCTCTCAACCTGAGAATTCAGCGACAGCGACGCCGAAGCCTGAGCACCCTACCAAGAAAGATCCGAAAGAGATGAACATGAGGGCGCTCAGGCATCTTGCGAGCCAACTTCCAAACTCCCTTGCACCGTTCTTCCAGTCCGTGGTAAGACTGTTCCAGACGCGGAGAAACCCTGATCAGGCGCAGAAACAGCGGATTCTTGACGCTGCTGACGTTGTGGCGGATGTTGCTGTCAAGCATCTTTCGGCGAGGCAAACTGACGATAAGAGGAATCTGTTCACGTACTACACTATGATGCTAGGTCTTGTAACCATTCTCCTAATCGATGGTAAGCGCAAGTTTTTGTTGTCGGGCGTAAGGGCTCTCATTTACTCCTTATTGCTTCAGAGCGCACCAATTCTAAGGTGGCACACACCGTGCTACTTCAGGCTTTCCTGCGCAAGGGCGGTGTCGATGCTATCGTTACTCTCTGCCGCGAATTCATCGCCACTATCGACGAGATCACGCCTATCACTCCGGAGGAACGTACGGAACTTCAATCTCAGACTCTCATTCATGCGCATGGCGGCTTGAAGGTCGCTCTCCACCTTATTCACCCTCTTGTCTCCTTCAAGCCAATCGTAGACTCGCCACAATCTGGATTCTTACTTGCCACCGACAAGAAAGATACGGAACCAGGCTGGTTCGATCCCCGCAACCTCGTCGTGCAGCTAAGGGTTGCTATCCTACCGCTCTTGAAGGACATCTGGCAGTCGTCATGGCTTATGTCTGCACCTCTTGGAGTTAGCAAGTCCGTCATTCAAGTTGTCCTAGAGCTCCTCAACACCGACCAGGAAGAGATCAAGGAAGTCGAGCCTGCTGCGCCTTCCATGGTGCCTGCAATACCGATTGCTACCCGCACAATCGGTCCGGACGAGAACCGGATCAGGCAACTCACCGACATGGGCTTCCCACGCTCTGCAGCTGAGCGAGCGTTGATTCGAGCTCGGAACAATGTCAGTCACGCCACTGAACTCCTGCTTGCCCAGCCGTTCCCACTTCCCCCTGATCCTGAGCCTGAACCTGCGGCCCCCGCGCCTGAACCCGCTGATTCTGCGCCTGAACCTGCTGATCCTGCGCCTGAACCCATTGTCCCCGCGCCTGAACCCATTGTCCCCGCGCCTGAACCTGCTGCCCCCGCACCCGCTGCACCGACTGTTGAGGACGCGCCTGCTCAACAGCCAGCTGCAGACGAAGCTGCCGCTACCGCTGTCATTGCGCCTGCGCCTGCGCCTACAGAATCGACACCTGTCCCAGAGGCCGAAGCTTCGTCATCCTCGTCGTCATCTCCTCCGCTAGCACCTCAAAAGTCTCATGAAGAGTGGCTCAAGGAGCTGAACGATCTCCGCGAACCGCTCAAGGAGAGTCTCGGAAGTCGTATCCTGAGCCTCGTTGATGAGCACCCCGCTCTTGTCTTTGATGTCCAGAAGGTGTTCGTTGGACCGTCTGCACCATATCGTGACCAAGCCGTCAATCGTCTCACAGAGGACGTGAAGAAGTTCTCCAGTGCCGCACTCGACCACCATGAACAACCACTGTCCGTCCGCTTCCGCATCCTTGCGTTGGTACTCAATGACCCTTCGTCTCCTCTTGCTGCAATGCCCGAGGCTGAGGCTACTAGTCTCATGGACACGCTCATAGGTCTCCTGCTGTCGACACCTATCAACATCGAGAATGGCCATGTCACGATTCCGAAATGGTTGGCTTCGCATTTACTAGTTACAGAAGCTGTCTTGATGATGGGTGAAGAACCACGCTCTGTGGGCCTACCTACCAAGGAAGATGAGCCCCTCCCCGAGATCGATGCTGTTGAAACAGGGCCCAAGTTTAACGAGAAGCGGCCGGTCGTACTCGACTTCTGCTTGCGTCTGCTTCACGTGCCCCAGCTGCCTCGGGACGAACTGCTCTCATCTCTCAGACTGTTCATGCTTCTGACCCGTGACCATGCTCTCGCTCTAGAGTTCGTCAAGAGGGATGGTATCAGCGCACTCTTCCGTCTCCTCAGGGATTCACCTACATCGGCGAGCGCTCCTGGCACTCATCCATACATTGCGAGCATTCTCCGGCACATCGTCGAGGACCCGGTCACTCTGAAGCAAATCATGCAGCAAGAGGTCAAGGCCTTCCTCTCGCATCCCCGCCATCGGCACTTGGAAGCCGGAAGCTTCGTTCGCACTTGTGGTGCGATGGCGTTGCGCGACCCTAAAGTTTTCGTACAAGCAACTGCCGAGGTTTGCCAGCTGTCAAATCCGTATGGCCCGCTCAAGAACCTCAATCTCAAAGAGTCGCACAAGTCTAATTCGGATGGTACTTCCGGTGCAGAAGGCAGTGGCGAGATGCATATCGATGTATCTGTCTCTCAACGTCCTTCATCCGAGTCCCTGGATTCGCTGGTCCATTTCCTAATTTCGGAATTGATTAAGTCCGTCAAGGTACCAGAACAGAAGCTCAGCTCTGAGGGTGCTGCTACGCAAGCACCATTATCTGGTTCATCCACCGCCGTGCAGCCCGCTGACAGCTCGACGTCTACTTCGACCGAGATCAAGGACTCCTCACCGACTCCGTCAATCGATCATACCTACTCGTGCTTCGTCATGCAGTGCCTCACTGAACTTCTGTTCTCTTATGACTCCTGCAAGGTCTCTTTCCTGTCCTACTCCCCTAAGAAAAGGACACACACGCCAGCAAAGGAAAAGCACAGAACGCATGCTCTCCAGTTCCTCATTAACGACCTCCTCTCTTTCGGGACCATTAACCCTTCGCCACCGTCCGAAGCGAAGCAGCAAATTATGCTCTGCAACTGGGCAATGTCTGTCATCGTCGCCCTCTGCGTCGACACCACACCAACAGAAATCAAGGACGTCCCTTCGGAGCGCGCTTCTGTCCGTAAGTTCGTCTTGGACGCTATCAATCGTGCTATCAAGGACCTCCCTGGCTCTGAAATGGGCGAGGCACGTTACAGCCGTCTTCTTGCGCTGGCCGACTTGTGCTACCGCCTCTTGACTGTGCGGTTCAACACTGGCACCCGCAAGATCAACGATGACGCCCCGACTCACATTGCGAAAGTTATGCTCGAGAAGAACTTCGTCGCAACCTTGACCAACGCTTTGGCCGAGGTCGATCCAAATTTCCCAGATATACGTGGTGTCGTTACAGGTATCCTGCGTCCGCTCGAATATTTGTGAGGTTTTCTGGCCATATTAGACTGTAATTGACCGCTTACGATTGTTTATGCAGGACCAAGATCGCCATCAAGATGAGTCGGGCGTCCGACAAGCAGAAGGATTCTCCGTTGGACAAGGAAGAGAGCATTGACTCCGAAATCTCGGAGGAAGATGAGGACGAGGAGATGGAGGATGCCGACCGCGAGGAAGCTCCTGATTTGTACCGCAACTCGTCTCTTGGCATGTGGGTACTCATTCAACCCATTTATTCTTGCAACTCTGCTGACGCTATCATTGACAGGTATGGAGGCGTAAGTTTGGATAGAACGTGAGATCCGCACATTAGCTAACTGTTTTTGTAGGAGATGGAAGATGTTCACTTTGGTCACGATGATGAAATGGACGAGGATGCAGAAGACGAAGACGATGATGCTGAGATGTACGATGAGGAGGAGACTGGCAGCGAAGACACTTCTGCTACTGACGAGGAGGACGAAGAGGCTCTGGAACAGGAGCTTGAAGATGAAACCGGAGACTCTGAGGGCGGATGGAATGAGGCAGAGGAGGAAGAAGATCTTGTGGAGAACGAGGAAGGGCATGAAGACGCTGATGAAGATTCCGAAGACGGAGAAGAAGCTGGAGAAGAAGCAGAAGTTATGTGGCAGGTGAGACCTCCTCGTATTCAAGGTATTGCATATATTGACGCAACCATAACCTGACCTAGGATGGTGCAGTTGATGAAGGTGTCGAAGACATAGAAGGAGATGAAGGAGAAGGTATGTGCTTATCATTCAGTCGGCGTAGCATTTTAGGCTGAAAATACTTCGCAGAAGGTGTCCCGATGATGGGCGGACAGGACGAGGAAGAAGGCGACATGATGTCTGAGGCTGGCGAGTACGTGCTACTTTTCCACTTCTTCTTACTGGTGTTAAAGGTTTATCGTGTAGCTTTGCGGATGACTTGGACGTGTTTGTTCCTGAAGATGAGGCCGTCCAACCAGACATGTTTGGCGCACCGCCTTCCTTCGCCAACTTGTTCCAGCCAATCCCGACGGATCTCAATGCTCGGGAAGGCGACCAGATGTTCTGGCATGGAATGGTCCGCTCAGGTCGTCGCCGTGGTGGTAAGTCAGTCGACCGTTCTTCCCGCCCTAAATGCTAATTTGTGAATCATATGCAGAAGATGACGGGCTTGATATTTTCGGTCGCCCCCGCACCACATCTACTGGCATACCTGAAGGCACAACCCATCCGCTTCTTCTCGATCCTAATACGGCCGCTCCGACCTCGCAATCTCGGTCGTCTCGTCGCGCGCATCGCGGTACGATCGCAGGCTTCCCACAAGACCTACTTCACTCAATTGAGCATGCTCTCGGCGAGGGCGCAATCCAGCTCTTCCAGCATATTATTCAGGGGCGTGGTGGTGCTGGCGAGACTATTCGCATTGACGTGCCCGCAAACCAACTCATCCCCCAACTCGGCCGTCACGGTCGCGCCGGCATCTCTGCTCATATTCGTCTTGAGCGAGCTCCCCGGAACGATGGCCGCAGTGATACTCGTGGCTTCGAGCCTCTACTCACAAGAGACCGCTGGGCGGAAGAAGTTAAGTCGTTGCACGGTCGCTTTGAACAGAGCCGGATCACGAAGATCACTGGTCATGTCGTACTCGCACTCTTACCCGAGGCCATCGAGGCTCACAAGAAAGCCAAGCTTGAGGAGGAGAAAGAGGCCGCCAGACGCAGAGAAGCACAGCAGAAAGCGGAAGAGGAAGCTGTTAGGAAGAGAGAAGAAGAAGAGAAGGTCCGCCAAGAGGAGGAACGCGCGAAAGCAGAGAAAGAAAGGCTCGAAGCAGAGGCTAGAGCTGCAGAAGCCGAATCCGCAGATCAGAGTGCAGACGCGGACACGGAGATGGCTGATGCTACTACGCAAGGGCAACCCTCAGCCGCCGAGGAAGGTCAACCAGAGGCTGGCTCATCCTCCGTTCCGGAACGTGTGACTGTTCTGATTCATGGGAACGAAGTAGATATCACAGACACTGGCATCGACCCTACATTCCTGGAGGCACTGCCGGACGACATGCGGGAAGAGGTCCTGAACCAACACATTCGTGATCAGCGTGCCGCACGTGTGGAGCGCCCTGTGGACTCACAGATCAGCCCAGAGTTCTTGGATGCCCTCCCTCCCGAACTGCGCGCCGAAATCATCCAGCAGGAGAATCTGGAACGTGCACGCCGACAAGCGCAGCAGCCCACCGCTGCTCCTGCTCAGCCCGCGGTCCCTGCGGAGATGGATCCTGCGGATTTCCTGGCCAGTCTCGACCCTGCGTTACGGCAAACGGTGCTTATGGACTCAGACGAGATGTTTATTCAGGCATTGCCACCTCATATGTTGGCCGAGGTTGGTCTCTTCCGCGACGCTCAAAATGCTGCTCGCTCTCGTGCACAACCCGCACCCCAGCTTGCCGTGCGTCAGGGAGGTCGCCAGCCGCCCGCCGGGCCCGGCAAGCCCCCAGCTTCGCGAGAAGCCATTCAGCTTCTGGACAAGCACGCCATCGCTGTTCTCATTCGTCTACTCTTCTTCCCCCAGGTGCTCAGGAAAAATCTCCTGTCGAAGGTCCTCGTCAACCTCTCGGAAAACGGGAAAACAAGGACCGACATCTTCAACCTGCTATTGGGAATATTGCAGGACGGTACTGGGGATCTCTCATCGATCGACAGGAGCTTTGCGCAGATGTCCTTCCGCAACACGAAATCCTCAGCACAGATCACCCCTCACACTCCCGGCAAAGCCACCCTTCCTCAACCAGAAGTTGTCCCGGAGCTGGTCGCTCAGAGATGTTTAGACGCTTTGACATACATTACCGCAACCAACGAGGCATCGTCACTCTTCTTCCTCACCGAGCAGGAATTGCCCACTGGCTTGAGGCGCAGCAGCTCGAAGAAGGGGAAGGGAAAGGAGAAACAGACCTCACAGGCCTACTATCCGGTCGTCCTTCTCCTTGGACAACTCGACCGCCAGACGCTGCTTCGAACGCCTTCCCTCATGGAATCCGTTGCTGGTCTGCTCTCCCTGGTGACTAAACCGTTGACCAGCCTCAAGGATGCGCAGAAGGAGAAGGAGAAGGAGAAGGAGAAGGACGCAAACCCCGAGGCTGATAGAAGTGTTACAGCCCCGCTCGAGATACAGCCAACTGCTCCGTCAGGTATAACTGCCCAACTACCTCAGGGAAATAGTTCAGGTTAGTTTCAACTTTCCTTGCCACGTCCTCTACTGATTGTGTTTGTAGCTCCGTCAAACATACCTGAGACAACGGGTACCCAGGCCTTACCACCAACAGCCGACAAGGTGTTGCTGTCGCATCCCCCGAATATCCCCCAGCAAGTGCTCCGCCACGTCGTCAATATCCTGACAGCTGGAGAATGTTCTGGTCGTGCGTTCTCGCATACACTCGCGCTCATACAACATTTGTCGTTCGTTTCTGGTGCACGAGACGTCATCGCTCAAGAACTTCGTACAAGAGCACAGGAGTTCGGCCAGCGTCTTTATTCGTCATTAGATGAACTCGCGACAGCGTTGCAGGAGTCACTGCAGGAGTTACGCACCGAGGATGTTGCCTTGACCGTCGCATCAAAGTTTTCGCCCGCCTCCTCTGATCAAGCCAAGCTCCTCAGAGTGCTGAAGACCATTGATTACATGTATTCGCCAAAGTCAATAGCTTCAGCAGCGGACGCTACGAACGAGGATGTCGAGAAGGTGCAGAGCATCTACGAAAGCTTCCGCTTTACAACTCTTTGGCGGCGCTTGGGAGACTGCCTGTCCGTTATCGAGGAGCGGCCAGAGCTAGAGCACATCGCGACAGTCCTCCTGCCTCTCATTGAGTCTCTGATGGTTGTCTGCAAGTACGTTGGTCCCAAGGCGTCCAGCAGTACGACATCTCGTGCAGTGCGTGCTTCTGCCTCTCCGCGGACACCGACAACAGCACGAGAGTCTATGGAGGATCTGTTCGTCTCCTTCACCGATGCGCATAGGAAGGTGTTGAACCTGATGGTGCGGAACAATCCCTCTCTCATGAGTGGCTCCTTCTCTCTCCTGGTTAACAACCCTCGCGTGCTTGACTTCGACAATAAGCGCAACTACTTCAACCAGCAGCTTCACCGCCGCCTACACTCACGAGAACATCACGGCACACTGCAGCTGAATGTCCGTCGTCAGCGAGTTTTCGAAGATAGCTTCCAGTACCTGCAGCGCAAATCCGGAGAGCAGATCAAGTATGGCAAGCTCAGCGTGCGATTCTACGACGAGGAGGGCGTCGATGCCGGCGGCGTCACACGAGAATGGTTCCAAATTCTTGCGCGACAAATGTTCGATCCGAACTATTGCCTCTTCCAGCCTTGCGCAGCGGATAGGCTCACCTATCAGCCGAACAAGGCGTCGTCGATCAATCCCGAACACTTGTCGTTCTTCAAGTTTGTCGGCCGTATCATCGGGAAGGCCATCTACGACGGACGTTTGCTCGACGCGTACTTCGCAAGGAGCTTGTACAGACAGATCCTTGGCAAGCCCGTGGACTACCGCGATGTCGAGTGGGTGGACCCTGAGTACTACAAGTCGCTCTGCTGGATCCTCGAGAACGACCCGACACTGCTCGATCTCACTTTCAGCGTGGAAGCTGATGAGGTAACTTTAGCTACTCGTTTCTGCCGGACCAGGTTGCTAACTCCCGTCCTAGTTTGGTGTCACGAAGCTCATCGAGTTAAAGGAGAACGGAGCCCACATTCCCGTGACGAACGAGAACAAGCGAGAGTTTGTCCAGCTTTCTGCCAACTATCGTCTTTACTCGTCAATCAAGGATCAGATCGAGGCTCTCCTGACGGGCTTCTACGAGATCATCCCGAAGGATCTGATCCAGATTGTAGGTGCATTTCTGTATCGCGCTTAATGGATATGCTAACAGGACGCTCTGCAGTTCGACGAGAAGGAGCTTGAGCTGCTCATCTCCGGAACACCCGACATCGACGTGGACGAGTGGCGTGCTGCGACCGAGTACAACGGTTATACTAGCTCAGACCCCGTGATCGTCTGGTTCTGGCGCGCATTGAAATCGTTCAACCGCGAGGAACGCGCGAAGGTCCTGAGCTTCGCGACTGGCACATCTCGAGTACCACTCGGTGGTTTCGTCGACTTGCAGGGCGTCCAGGGCGTCCAGAGGTTCTCTATCCACAAAGCGTATGGAGAGGTCGACCGCTTGCCCCAAGCACATACCTGTATGTTATCTCCTTCTTCATGTAGGCCAGCTCTGACAAATACCCCTCACAGGCTTCAACCAGATTGACCTGCCCCAGTACTCATCGTACGAGATGCTTCGGCAGCAGCTGCTCCTGGCCATCCACGAGGGAGGCGAGGGCTTCGGGTTCGCGTGAGATGCCCATTGGCCGCACGAGACGAGACGCACCATCTATCCGGACTACCCCTATGACCACGTACAACAACGCACGCATCAACGCAATGCCACATCCACACGCACCGATATGTAGAAAGCAACGCACAACCTCTTGTACAGTTTACGCATAATAACATTGTTTAGCTAGTATCACGATGAATACGGTCTGTTCCCTCAAGGAAGACACAAGTTGGAACATTGGCAATAAATTTGTCATCTGCACGCGAAACAACCCCCGCATGCAAAGCGGGTTGCAGCTATCGGTCATCTCACTAAGATGCAGTCCGCGTAGTGAAGTGTATGGCCATGAGCCTACGGGCCTCTGACGAGTAGCAACGGTATGGATATTGTAGCACAACAAAGCATAAAGCGGTGGAACATCCCAGGATTCTCTGCCCCGCAGCTCAGTAACTACTAACGCCATAGGTTCCACTCATCTTAAACTCTCCGGTGTTGGACCAGCGGACGGTGATATCCTTGTTGGTAATGTGGAGGCTGCTGTATCTGCAACAAAGGCCATGCCACGTCAATAACCACAGAGATGCATAGCGGAGGTCAGGACATACCTGGCCGATGCCGTGACACTTCCAAAGATCTGGGTAAACCCGTCCTTGGAGAATTTCTTCATCTTCCAATTGGGTGGGCCGCCGAGCTTGAAAAGATGCCCGAAGACCTCCGAGTCAGGGCAGATGCCATCGTAGGCCCACTTTGCGCCGTTCGTTTTGCACGAAGGCTTCCACTACATGTGGCAAAAAGGGCTATGAATATCACAGAGCATCCCAGCAAGTGACTGCGTACCGCCATCTGCTTCTTGATACCAGCGGCGGCAGCCTTTCTGATTTTCTCGGCCGCGTCCTCAAGTTCTTCAGGTGTCTTCTTCGACGCTGCAGGTGCCGCGGCGCTTGGGGTCGCAGCAGCACCAGAAGTGTTCAGCTGCTCTTCCAGATGCTTCGTATAGCGGGCAAGCATTCGAAAATTTGCGACGATCTCGTCGTCATTTTCAGGGAGGTCAAAGTTCTCCGGGGTGTCGAGGATAGTCTTCAGGAGTGTCTTTGCGGCGCCATGGGCGTCGATGGTGCGAGTAGTGCGGACGCGCTTTGGCTCGGCGGCATCGTCAAGGTCGGCGGCGGCAGCGGAGCGTTTCGGGGGCATGGTCGCTGCGGTCGGAGGAGACGGAAGGTGAACGAGCTGGCAGCACCATGATGAAATAAATGATAGCCGTGTGGCGTGCTGCAGTGCGTGCAGTCACGGGATCGCGTTCAAGGCACCAGGTCGCGACTTCGACGCGAACATCTTCTCTGGATTGGAGTCTCATTAGCTTATGCCTTGTCACAGTCTTGTCGTTGACATTCTTCGTCCCACTGGGAACACCAACTGCTGTCAGCGAGAATTTCTGTCCCCAAAGGCAATACACTACCTGCGTACTGTGCGGTTGCAAAGTAGTCCGCGGGAGATATCCACTCCTAAGCCTTCGCTTCAACGAGGGACCGTATAGGCGCCCCCTGGGATCGTAAATCTCGAGCACGAAGCTGGAGACGTGCTGCTACTTAGACGCCGCGCGGCGTTTCTCGTTGGCGGACAGACAGTAACCGCCACAGCTTTTCTTGACCAGTACCATCACTCAACTCACCCGCTCCACCATCATGACGATATCTCAACAACGACAAGCACTGCGTCAGCTCATGGATTGGTGACAACCTGTCCTAGAATCTGAGTCAACAGCAAATGGCAATATTGGTACACGATTTGGAAGCTGTTGCTGGAGCCCACATGCATCACCACGAATGATGACCACCACTGACGAGGATGCTATCGATGGAACCAATGGTCAGTCGCCCTTTGCTACACCGGTGAAGCCTTGACTTACTCGCTGCCCGTGCAGAACGTGCTCGCATCGCTCGTCAGCCAGGTAATGACGCCGCGAAGTTCGTCTGGCCGCCCAATTCGGCCCACTGGATTCAGGCTCGCCCATTTTTCTAGTAGATGAGGCTGCGTGTCAAGGTATGCTGCGGTCAAGCTTCGTGAGCCGTGGTGTTAGCATCTGGACTCCAGCGCGATCATAAAGATTTACAGACGCACTTGGTGTAGATGTAACCGGGGCTAAGAGTGTTCACCCGGATCTGCTTTGGGCCCAGCTCACATGCCATGCTGCGCGCCATCTGCAAAACAGCAGATTTCGACGTGTTGTACGATACCCAAGCATGGTCCTACAACATAATGACGATCAACACCTCACTTTCTTCGGGAAGAAAAGGAAATATACCTTGTTCGTGACAGAGCCGCTCATGCTCGCGACGAGGACTATGCTGCCTCCATTTCCGAAGCGTGCCATCTGTCGTCCCGCCGCTTGCGCGGTAAACAAGACGCCGTTCACATTGACGTCCATAACCTGAGGAAATTGCGGTCTATCACTGGTCCTCCTCTCACAGGAATGGTCTCACCTCCCTAAATTGCGCCGCAGGGTACTCGAGACAGTCCGTGTGAGATTTCAGGACGCCTGCAGCAGCGATACACGCGTCCATTCGGCCCTCCTTGTCGCCTATATCTCGCCCAACCTTCCACATCGCTGCCTGTGCGAGAGACCGCAGCCGGTCAGTTCACGTCGCCACAGCCCTTCCGCCTCTGGCAGCACGTCGCACCTGGTCCGTGACGTTGCCGCTGACGTACTCGAGACGTCCCTCGCCGCCCTTGTTCGTCATGTGTGCCGCGTATTCGCGCACCTTCTGCCACTCGTCCGAAGGCTCCTTGGGCAGGTCGACGCAGTACACGGCGCGCGCGCCCGCCTCGATGAGCGCCAGCGCCATCTCGAGTCCGAGCCCACGATGCCCGCCCGAGACGAGCGCGACGCGGTCGGCGAGCGAAAACTCGTGCCGAAAGAGTGTGGGAGACGGTGCGGGATCTAGTGCGGCATTTCAGCGCCTGATGCGCGAGAGACCCAGAAAGCATCGTACCGTTTGTCGAGTGGTGTAGCGCCGCTGCCACGCCTATGGGACCGTATGCGGGCTGCTCGCCCGTCTTGGACTGGTTGGCTGGGTCCAGGAGAGACTGTTGCCCTGGAGGGCAATGGTGTGCGCGAGCGAGCGGGGGAAGCGGCGCGAGTCGAGCTATTCCTGTGCGCCGCCCCACATTTGCCGTTAAGATACAAGAGCGCAGCGCAGGAGGCATGGTGCAGAGGTAACTGCGAGCAGTGGACGTCTTGGGCTGAGTGCTTTGCAGCAACGAGGGGGTTAAACACGAACGTGTGGACCTCGCTGCTACTTGCCCCACGCATCACTTCTTAATATCTAATGTCAAGAAGCCTTGAGGCGAAGCTCGCGTGCGGGTCATGGGTTAAAATTCGCCCCATATCAGCCGCCTTCGAAAGAGCTGACCGAAGATGATGATCTGGACTCGACGTCTTTAGCACGCGGACGATGCCACGAAGGTCACAGGGTAGAATCAGGAGCGAAACGACTCAATTGCTGCATCTGTACTATGACTTTGAGTCGCGGGGTAAAAAAATGCGGCCCGCCGGTCAGCGGTAGCGAACCGCGAAGCTTCTATCTCAAATAGTAATATGCCATTCACTGTGCTCAGAGCCCCTGTATGATAGGTGAGGATTTAGTCACTGTGCCAAGATGACATGCACAGGTAGCGAACGCCACACGCTACGCCACGCGATTGATCACTTAGAGCGATCGCACCGTTATGATAACCATAGCAGAGCTTACATGACTCTACAGGTGCTGATTAGACTCAGTCAAATCAATCTCACTGTTTCCCCAGTCTGCACCTTGTTCAACAAAACTATATATGGGAGACACCCATTGGTATTTTTGCCAGTGGAACATGCAAAGTCAACTGGCCGCAACCCATACTATCGTCTTACAAACTTAACAGCGTCGACAGGTAAAGGAGGGTAAGATTCGCAAGTGGGATCCGGAAGACTTCGCTTCGAATCCAACTACAGCAAAAACAATTACACAAGACAAACTCGGGTTTTGTATACCACAAAATAATGAAGAGTGTACTAAAGAATGCAGAAATATGTTCCCATGTTTTGAACAGAATATGTTGCCTGTTTCATACCGAAATGGGCCATATTTCTAGATTTGAAGTATGATCACCGCGCCTCTGCCCACTCGTCTGTTGTTGGAACGAGGTCGTTCACCGCATGATCCTAGCATTGACGGCCTCACAACTCGGACTTGATGGGATTCGCCTCCTGGAATTGGGCGTAACGTGAGCTCGACCGTTGTGGGCGTGGGATCTACACCTCTAGCGAGGCGAGACTTACGCGATCGTTGACGACGTCCTTGTGGATGTCGATGCGGAGGCTGCTGGTCTGTATGCCAATTGGTCAGAGACGTGCGTGGAAGGAAATAACGGGGCAGGCTTACGTTGATAACGTCAGTCGTCCCTCGACTCTCCTGGCTGGTAAAGTGGAGCGGAATAGAGTTCGAACTTTCGCCGATTTTGGTCCTGAGATGCTTCCGCATGTTTAACCTGCAGGTAATCTCAGAATTGTTACATTTAAACGATGACGAAGGTGACTGACATGGCCAAGACCGAGTTGGCGTAGACTATTTGACGGAAGAACCCGAGGGAGGTCAGCTTGGGTACCTGGTGGAGAAAGAGTACTCACGCTTCGACTGGAGCTCCACCATGCCGCCAAACAACAGGCTCGTTGGAATGAGGTTGAACTGCACAAAACGGTCATGATATGTCTGCTTCGCTTGCGTATGGACATACGGACCATGAACAACGCGGCGATGGAGCAGCACCTAAAACGAGAGCGAAACGTCAGCAATTTGTCAATACCACTCCGCAGTAATAGCTACGTACATGGTAACTGCACCAGTGTTGATGGTGTAGAACATCATACGCTGCATCATGTGCTGTGTCCTGTTGGACGTCAAAGACAAGCCATCAGCGTTTGATTGGGACCAGGTGAAAGATGATATGATAAACGACGCACCGACGGAAGGCAGACTTCTGCTGGCGCAGATAGAAGGCAAGCAGACAGGTGACGATGATGTCGACCAAGGCGGCGAGCACCAGACCAACGTCGGTCGTAGTCTGCAGAGAAGAAATACCTAAGAGCGGTCTCGCTGACGCAATTGGGAAGGTTGCGAACCTTTGACGAGAGTTCTGCGTGGAACTGGGCCCAAGCGGGAAACTTGACGCTGCGCGAAAGTCAGCAGCGCTTCCTCGGGTTTCAGATGAGATGCATACAGGAAGACAGCAGTAGCTATAGTGCCAGCGCACAAAATGTTAGACTCATATCAGGTCATAAGAGTAATCGTGCGCACCAAAACTGGTGGCTAGAATGAACGAAATAGCGGTGGTCAGCATTTCCCGTTGACATCGTGTTGAACACGCGTACCAACACGGGCCAGTAGAAGGATAGCCTGCATGAAGTGTTAGCCGCTGTCGTTTCAGGGTGCAACAATCTCAGGATGCCTACTGGAATGGATGTCACCAACCAGTTCTTGTGACTCACTAGACATAGCTGTCAGAGCTGACGGATAATTCTAAGACGGCATAGCACTTACATGCCCAGAGACGATGGATGAAGTATCTACGCCGGATGTCAACCTTGCAATTTAGCGTCAGAGTGTGCCCAAAACTCACCCTTGCGATGAGGCCGCTATAATCACCTCCGCATAAATCGAAGCCTTTCCAACCTCATTAGCCGTGCCAAATCTTGATGTGTCGTCGCAAACTTACGGGCGCACTCCTGCTCGAGGTATCAGAGGGTTGTATAGAGTCCAAACAGAAACATTGACTCGCCATACGATCGTCGCCGCGTTTATAGGAGCTCCGATGTCGCCGACAAAGTAGGTGTAGAGCATGTGGAAACAGAATATAGTATGAAACAGTTCCAAACCCCTTCGTCCAGCGTTCATTAGACGACCACAGACACCAAAGACAGCCGACGACTCACCATAGCACTGCAACAAACGTCCGCAGGACAGTCCCATCGTACTCGTATGCAAACCAATACGAATAGACCTGGGCGGAAAATATGCCAAAAAATCTGGACGGAGGTTTGTGAGCTCTTCGAGCAAATTCCGGTCGTCGGATTAGGAGTAGGACCCACATGAATGCAATGCAGACCAAGATTAGCAGCGGGCTAAGAAGATTCTTGATTTGTTGAATGGCGGCCTCCATGGCAGCTTGAAGTGCTTGAGCCTCAGCGGCAGCGGCAGCAGCGGCGGAGGCGGCGGAAGCGGAGGCGGCAGCAGCAGCGGCGACGGCGGACGACGCGGCGGCGCTGGAGTCCATGACGAGCAATGGGGGAGGGGGCGGTATAGATGGGGCACAGGATTTGCAGTGTCTTATTTCTGCCCAGATATGTCCGTGGAAGCGCCGGACGAGAGGATGGGCGGCGTCACGAATGTCGCAGAGGACGGCATCAGCTGATGCTATAATTGAAACCGGCCGGGAGAAGCCCGTTCGAGGATAGAAACTATGAAGCAGATCTCCCTCGCTCTGCCATCAGAGAATTTTGCGGCGCATTGAACCTGTAATTGGGCAAACCGCACGGGATGCGGGCCAGTTCCGCTATCTTTTTGTTATATTTTGTCGATTTTATGCTTCAATCGACACTTTGGTCGCTGACCTTATCATCTGTGCAGACCCCCAAGATGGTGGGACAACGGTTCACAGAGCACGCAGCCTGAGCACCAGAATCAATAAAAACCGAGACAACACGGCCGTGGAATTTTCCAACGCACGGAAAATATGCTGTACACTGCTGCAACCATCGCACCGGGCGAAGGCGAGCTTGCCACCAGCGTGGCTATGGTTTCCCTCTGCTGCGGCAGGGGAGGATATATCTCCCAAATGTTGTGTATGCCATGCGTGGGACTAGACTCGTTACTAGTCTACTTGGAGTTGATAGGGGCGCGTAACGAGGGTAAAATGGTGGTCGATATGGCGGAACGGCTACCGGGTATTCCGTGCAATGTGGTATCGAGTCTGTTGGCAGAATCTAGGTAGAGATCGTGCTCTAGGCATTCCGAGGAGCCGCATGAACTCTGGCACCATCCCCCGTGAGTTGAGCATTCAAGATATTTCAGTTAATTGTCCGTGTATGCTCATGTGAAAAGGCGAGGAAGTGGGAGAGGAAATATTTCGCTTATCGCCATCAATGCGAAAGTCCCGGGCCGGATTATATAAGCAACGGCGGGGCTCCCAAAGGCGGAAGCGCGCCAGAGAACGATGTTGAGAGAGACGAGCTCGCGTGTGGAGCGGGTGACACTATCCTCGTCTAGGATTTTGCTCGCGGCGAGGTTCGACAGGCACTGGCACCTTCCGGTCCAGGCATCAGGGACTACAAAAATTCGTGGGCGCACATCCAATATTACAGGCTATACTGTATACTCACACAGCGACACATCATATCTACACCTGTTATCCACCTCAGTAGCGGCCTGCTTGGAGTGCTACTAATAGTATGTAATTATGAGGTGTCACCAGCAACCATCGCCAAATTTCGGCCTATTGAGTGTGCAATGCACCTTGTAATGTGCGCAGCACGCCAGAGTCACAGCTTTCATGTCGCTGTGATGATGGCAACATGAAGCTATTAACCGTCATCCTCCGAGCTCTCTCCCATGGTAAAGAGGTATAGCCAGCGTAGTGGTGATAGAGAAGGTTAAGCAGGCACCACTCGGGCAGTCGTTCACCAACTCCCGCAAGTCGTCTATCTAAAGTGTTACAGCCGCATTCTCACTTAACAAAAACAACGACATTGTAGTGAACGGTGCAGGTCCAAGTCATTGAACAACGGGATGCCCAGTAACCAATAGGCTCGGTATTAGCCGCCCCGACCACTGGCAGGGAATTCCAGTGTACCAACCACCCATATACCCTCGGTGCGCGTCGTACCAACTACCGAGTAGACTGGCCACGAGTTCAAACAATCAACATAAGAGGCTTAACGAAGGCTGACTACACGTTACTGCTGATCTAATCACGAAATAATAGACCGTCTCTGTTTGTGGCGGGTATTGAAACTGCCACATCTTACAAAACTCTCTGAGGCTCCCCGAAAATTTGTCGCTGTGTAAGACAATGTAGGAGACACTACTCGTTGAGACGGTAGCAGGAGTAGAGGATAGTACTGGCTATTAGCTAGGGTAATTATTAAGACACCGTGGTATAAAAACAAGTGACGCAGAATGTCTTGTACTAAGAAACAGGAGTCTCCGGCGGCTGGGTTGCGCAACTCCGCCATAGCCAGATGACGGCACTGATGCAAAACGTTGACAGCTGGAGAAATTTCGTGATGAGTACTAGTTGGTATCCTAGCTATGTCCTCTAATGGCCTCTAATAGGATGTCTACCCTTCTGGAACTGGTGAGGCCGTGTACGATGCGACCGTACTGGAAGCCGCTCAGCGCTGCACACTTCGCGGCAACCACTAAAACGCGGGTCGCCCCCGGTCGTCGGTCGTTGGTCGCCAGCGGCCACTTCGGGGTATGGCCCTTGTGGCGTCGTCGGTCGCAGGCGTTCCGTTCCCAACCGCGGTTCGAAGTTTTGCCTTGAAGTCTGGTTATCCGGGCGCAGTGATGAGACTCTGAACACGAAGGCTCACGAAGGGCGCGTGCCAATGGACACAAGGAGCCTGGAAGAACACGGAAGATCGTTCTTCATCAAGGGGAGTGGTGTCATGGTGCTTTGGCAGTAATTTGACGCATCAGCAGACGTTACCTCGTTTACGTTCACTGAGACTCAAGACGCAACCGATGAATGGCTACACCCTCTGGCTAAATGCTGTTCTGCTCCACGGGTTGCATTGGAAACTGCCAGAGACGGATGCGCCCAAGGGGGCTAGGAATTCCGCAGCGAGAAAGTGCTCCGCCGCCGCCGCCGCCGCCGCCAAAATTTGGTGGGAAAGGGTTCCAGGGACTATGTTGGTTGCCCAGAACATGGCGATGAGACCGCGGGCTTTGCATACTTATCTTCTAGATCGACAAACTTCTTGGGTTAGCGTCACGAGCGCCGCGCGCATCCTTGACCGCATGGGAATCGGACTAACAAAAGCAACCGGCGCAAATTACTTTCCTTCACCGCGCCAGGAACGCCGATGAGGATTATATAGGGCGAGATGAAGATGCGAGCTCTCGTACTGACGCAGGTGTTTGTTGTTGGCTCTGCCTGCACTGGACTGGATCTGTAGCCGGAATAGTGGCCAACCTCGCAGTGTTGTAACCGCAAGGGGGGTATGGAAGGGCGGGAAGGATACTTCAAATTCGCGCGGGTGAATTGTGGTAGCGTCTGGTTCTGTCCCCCGTTTCCTGATCTTCCGTTGTTCGCTCGCCGGGCCCCAGCAGGGCACTAGTACTGTAACGGACTGATGTGTGAAGGTCAAAGTTAACCCGCTGATCGGAATGTGTAAGTACAGAAAACTGGACGTACTCAAACTCGCAAGCTCTGATTCACTCGCACAGTTCTCGTCCCGCTCGTGGAGATGTGGATGTTTGGGTCATAAAGCCATATCTGTCAGGTGTCTCGGAGGAAAAGATAAAGGGTTTCATCTGGGTGCGCGACCCGCCGGCATGTAGTCGGCGGTTTGCATCGGGATTAAAAACTAGCCCGCTAGGCATATTCTGGTATATTGGTCGCGGTGTTTAGGCCATTAGCGGGAGGACCCAAGATAACGGTCTTGTGGGGTGGGAGTGGAACCAAAATAATTTCCTCTCCAAAATGAGATGTTCACTGAGCAGCTTGAGTCGATGGTAAAGGGTGAGTAGCTCAGGACAACACGAAGCATACAGAGTTCTAGAAGATGCTCCTGGGCCTAGAACTCTTTATGCTTCACTCCGAAGCCTGTAAACCCTTTCTAGCAGCTTGTAGCCCGTTTCCACGCCCGCTTGATCCCGACACTGATCGGTCGTCCGTTCAGCTGAGCCAGGAGGGGCGTAGCGACGACATCGAAGGAAAGTGGAGACACGGTAGGGTAAAAAAACAAGTCGTACTGAATCTGGCGGCGAGCTGTATATACCCTAACCTGGTTGAATACTGCCATAGGCATTAGATAAGGCCCGCATCTGTGCATAGGGAGGCCGTATATAAAGCAGAAGGCGCCGTGCTGGCGTGCTGGTCCGTCACCCAAACGGGCCTTGAGCGCTTAAGAGCCACAACATGAATGTAAGCTCTCTTTGCTCAGCCAGCCTTCTGTTCGACTGCTGGTAGATATTTGGGCCGTTTATAATATCACAAAAAAAAGTAAATTCACGACAAAGATGTGGGCACAAGAGGTCTGCACAAATATATTTGGCCTTATTTGGGCACCTCTGTTTATTGGATATTCAACAATGCACTTATTTATGTCGTAAAATGAGATCAAGAGCTTCATAAAATAATACTGCTACGTGCTGCACTCTCCGAAGCCGGAGCACAGATGGCGCATGACAAGAGCTCGAATCGTGAGCTGTACAGTTCGTGGCACGGCACGCTTTCCAGATTTGGGAATAGGCGCTTCAGCGCCAACTCACTTGACGTTCTCGACTTTGCGGTGTACTCGCAGGATTCAGTAGTCTGTTCCAATTGGAAGCGTGTTGGCAGGGGGGGTCGAATAGCCTTTTTTGGAAGGACCGGCATGCTCTCGGCAACCGCATGAGATTTAGGCTCCGAGATCCACATCTGCGAGGAGGCCCCTGTTGGGCGAATAGTAGTGTTGTTGACCACATATTCCACTCATTATGATATTGTAAGCCTGCTATACATGGCTTCTAATACTACTCATACAACCTGAATCCCTTGGACGTCACCAGAAGGCAAAGAACACGTGCGCGAGATCGTGCACAAACCCATACCGCAATGAAAGGATGGATTGCTCGAGCACCAGGTGAACTCCGTGGTACGGACGTTGGACGCCATGTCGCAGCTCGTGTTCATACCTACCGGTGGCGGCAAGACTGCACTATTCTATATTCCAATCCTAATCGTGTTGTACATGCACGACCATCCACACCCAAGGTTCAAGACCTTGCCATTGAAACCGGTCGCACTTGTAGTTGTGCCATTGAATGAGCTTGGGAACGATCATGTGAGTACCAAGCCTGTCAAACTAGGAGTACATCCCACCTTATATTGTCCAGGTGAACGAGCTCCGGGAGCTCGGGATAGACTCGATAGCGTCACACGCTGAAGAACTGGAACGCGTGAAAGCTCAAGGACGCAATGTTTATAAGACCGTTTCGAACAGACTCATATGCGACAGACTGACCCAGGCGACTCTCAACTCGAAGATTGATTGATGTGCCTTTGTAGCATAGAGCCAAATTCCACGGACAAGCGGCAACAAGTTTGCACGATTAGAGCGCAAGAAGGTAAGCTCCGCCATCCGGACTGCCAACAACTGAGAACTACACTGTTAGTTCGAGTTTTTGTCTGCTCAGCAATATGGATCACAATGTTCAGTGGTCGATAGGCTCCTCGTTTCACTGTTACGGCTGCAGAGGTGGCGTCCGACCTTCGACTTGCCGTTTCGGTATACTTCTTCAGCATGTACCAGGTAACCGATACATTTTTCGTGAATAGATCTTGCAGCTTGTCCATGCGAAACTGATTAAGCTTCTCCCAGGTCACCAAGGCTTCCCTTCGGGCCTCTAATGTAGACCGCCCGGGTGTTCACGCACTACCACTAGCGGCCTGCGTAGCATCATTATCTGCCTGTGGCCCTGCCGGTATCTTGGCAGCTTTGCTAGATGCTGGCATATGAAGGCCACTATCTGCACGCGCCAGGCTCTTCCCTTCCGTTGCAACAAACTCTCCGGCTGTATATACTGCCCATGCATTCATGGCGGAGTGTGCGTGTTCAATTTTCATCATATCTTGATTGGGATCATAGACGCTGTTTGTGGGACTCGTATCATCACTGCGAAGCCCTAGCGAAGCCGCATTCTTGTATATCAATTCAAGGACCTGAATAAATTTGATTTTTTCACTTCCGGCAAGAAAAGATCGAGCCATTCCTTCGTGGCTCGGCGAGCGGCTGTTCTCAAGAGAGAAGAACGTGTCCAGCAACTTCCTGAGGGACTAGTTGAAGTGCTTCAGCAGCGCAATGATATACTGCATCTTGACCGGGTCCGACATGCGTGTAGGTAGTGTGGCAAGAAATGTCGTGACATCATTGTCCGGTGTATTTTCGAGCTTCCGCTTTTTGGGGCTTGTACTGGGAGGCTTATATGAAACAAATTTCGAGCCCAGAGGCATGGGTGGCGAGGACATTGTCCTTTTATTATTATATTGCCTCGACGCGACGGTGACGGTAGCGGGGCGGGGCGCGTCAAGCCGATTCGTTCTCAGACGGCACGACACGCAAGTTTCAGCTTCTATAAAAGGCTATTCGACCCCCCCTGCCAACGCCCCACAAATAGGTGCAGACCTTATATTATCAAAGTCGATCGACGTTATCATCGACTGATTAGATAGGGCTGCCCCAGGGAGACTAAGGATTCAGGCTCTACTGAGCGGAGCAGACTCGCAAGCGTAGCGAGCAAGAAGCTGCGAGACATTAATCATACGCCAGTGCGACTTTCTCTCTCTCTTCCCTTCCCTCCATGAAAATGCTACCCAGGCGCCTGCCCTCAACAAGTCACGGGATCGTGACATTGTTGCAGACGCGTACTCGCACGAGCTATTCATCGTACACTGAAGCTTACAAAGCGACAAACAAAACAAATGCTCTCCTATAGTCTGTTAGAGATAATACTCCATTCATTATTCATAGCAGACTCCGCCTCTGTGTGCTAGGGTGCGCGTCTCCGGTGCCGGTGCACACCATGGTGCACAGCGGCGCGTTCTCTGGCATCGGTGCACCCGTGGATGCGTACCTCCTCTGCACCAGCGCGATGACCGCTTGGAGGGGCACAATGATGCTCCTGTTGCGTCCCCATCTCTCGGGGAAGCCAGGCGGCGGCGATGTGCGCGAGAGCACCTGGTACGGCAACGCAGCGAGCTCACGCTCGGAAAGCTTGTAGTATTCCTTCGCGTCGCTCCGGTACATGACCTTTTCTCGCATTAGCGTGGGGCAAGGCGCAGGGCTTGAGTACGCCTCACCTCTGTGCCCCGTAGAAGATGCATCCCGACTTCAGGATCCTCAACGCCGAAGACCTGGAGGCCCATCTCCCACTGCTTCCGGCGCACCTTCATCTCTGCTTTCCTCATCTTCTCCTCGTCCGTCGCTCGCCTACGGGATATCGGGCGCTGGACGGGCATCTGGCTGCCCTGTGCACAGCCGACGTTCGCTGGGTCCCCGAAGGGCGCAGGTATCGAGACCTGGCGGTGAGTTGGAACGTCCGGAGTCATGTTATCCATGTCGAGTTGGTGAGTGTCTATCAATCGTGGCGCAGGCTCTGTTGCCCACTATCACGGCCTTATATACTGCAGGATGCGCGGCTCGCGCCCAAAGCCTCATGTATCATACGGCCACTACAAATGCTAAATGCCGTTCTGTTGTCACAACTCAGGCCACGCTGATGGCCTTCCGCGGTCCCAGCAACGACAAAGCTACTCAAAACGGCGTCTTGCGCCTTCCGAGCGTCTCGTGGCACGCCCAGGTACGGCGTGGCTGTATGTGGCAAGCCCGTCACACAAACAGAGGAGTGTCATGATTAAACACTGGTGGGCATGAGTATAATTTATCCTTGTGGTATTTTACAACGTATTGTACAGCGGCCAGCCACATCATTACTGGTCAAACGGAAAATTGCAAAACAAAGCAAACGGCCAAAAAAAATTACAGGGTAAACAAATCACGGTGCTGTCACTTCGATAAAATCCCAGTCTGTTCAAAGGCATTGAAAGGACTAGTCCTGGGTTATACCCCCATCAGTCTAGTACCTTTCGTACCTCGAACCCTCAGAACGGCCATCAAAGCTCCGCGAGCGATGGCGGTTGCTGTGACTGTGCCTGCGCGGCCGCGACTTGATAACGATCGTCGAGCCCGGTTGGGCGGGTATAACCGTGCCGCCGGGGACGGAATACGCGCCGCCCGTATATCCCGCGCCGTACCCTCCAGCGCTCGCGTACGGCGCGGCGGAGCTGTAGCCTGCGGGGATGTAGCTCCCGGGGGCGACGCTCGTGCCGAGCGCCGCGTTCACGCCTGCACCAGGATACGCGCCGTAGCCCCCGCCCGGATTCGCGTACTGGACGCCGCCTGAGCCTGGGTAGTTCGTCGCGAGTCCCGCCCCGCCGTACCCTGTGCCGCCGCCGGCTCCCGGCCCGCTGCCGGGGTAAGACCCGCTGGCAGCGTAGCCTGCAGGGGAGGGGGAGGCGCTTGCACCGTAGGGCGGCGACGTGCCGAGGCCACTGGCGTACGACGGCGACGCGCCCAGTGCACCAGCGAACGGCGAGTTCGAGAGGACGCTGCTGCTTCCATCGGAGCGTGAGCGCCCGGGGATGGAGATTCCACCCATCGGGGGTGTCGTGTCGAGGAAGGGGGAAGGAGGGGCGCGTGAGACGTTTGGCACGCTGAAGGAGGGCTGTCGCTGGATGCCGATGGGTGCAGAAGAAGAGTACCGCCGGGAGCGGGAGTATGATTGGTTTTCGACGTAAGGGTCGTCGATCGAGTCAGGCTCGGGCATTCTACCTGGTGCGAAGCCTTGGTCGGTCATGCTTGCGTTGTTATAGGCTCCGCCGGCATACGCGCCCTCTTCGAGTACCTATTTGAGTTACTTCAGAGTTATTTTCGAATATGATTACAGTAATAAGCTTACTGCATATGAAATCTTAAACGACGTTAAGGCGGCGGACTCGAGGCAATCGCGTAGCCCGTAGGTGTCCATCGGGCGGTTGGTGTACTGCCACAAACGGCTCGCTAGATCGATGATTTACGTTGAGTCGAACTGGCCTCTGCGATGCGGTGATAGCAGTACGGATTCACGTACCTTCGGCAATAGCAAGCCCGACAAGCCCTTCCCGCGCCCTTTCGATGGCTCCGGTGGCACCACTCGACAACAGAGGGTCAAAGAGAACTCGGCGGTGGTATTTCCACATACGATAGGCTTCGTAGGCAGCTGCCATGCCGATATCATGTGGGAGCAATTGAGAGAAATCAACCTAAGAATTGCTTAGTAAATCAGCAGAAAGGTGAACACACGAACGTACCAGTCCGCTGTATATGCGCCTTTGCCAGAGCCTCGCTTCATTGGTGCCCGCACCGCCCGTAGATCCAAAGTCGCGCGTCCTATTCATGACTGTGTAGTAGAGATTTTGGTCGGGATTAATCGCATAGGCACGGTAGTAATCCCAGCCACTCCCTGCAAGGCGTCATATAGCTGATCAGCGAGCCAAACAGACATCCAAGTCGAAGTCAACATACATGACGGTAGCGGCTGGAACGCAGGCACGGGGGGTTCTCTGAAGCGCAGCTGGGAAGTTCCCCAGCCAGGAAGGGTTGTCCTATAGTACTCCAAGCTTGATATTCCAGCCATCCGAGCTCTACACTCAAGTTTTCGTCTGGGCTGGTAGAGGCGAAGTGTTTAGCAGTGTAGAGCGCTGCGAGGTCTGGTGGTTGGCAACGAGTGATGAGAGAGGAGAGAGAGGCTGAAAGGTGGAGAGGGTGTGAGAGAGTGGCTATTCGTGGTCATGGGCAGTGGCTCATGATCGCACCCATCTCATACTTTGTCTGATTAATGGCGTTTGACGCGTTTGACGTCACGCGCACGGGGTCAGACCGCCTCGTTTTTGCGAATTGTCGCGGGACATTCTCTGCATTGCTCGAACGATGAGCAAGCGCAGGAAAGGAGGATGAGAGACCCCAACCAACAGAGTAGAGGCTCGAGAAGAGCGAATGTATCACTCAGGGGAGCGCAACACGATCGACGGTTGTCTTCAACTTCGCGCGCTTCTTCACGCCTCTTTATGGAATATTATCACGTGCCTCATGCCCCACACACAATCGTCGAGAGTCGATACACCACCACTCCTTGATACAGCGCGCAGTTCAAAGCTTTCAGGGTGTCTTAAATTAGCAGAAAAATCATTGTATGCGTATTTCTTCTGGAACTCTTGCAGAGTTATGCCAGAACACGAGGGAACATGTATTTTATGCCGGAGGGCTGGAAAAGTATGTTTTCCCAATGTGATGGCACATTGATGGCGTTTTCAAAACTAAAGCCGCGAGTTAAACCACTCGGAAAATCCGCTGACGCTTTTGAAGTGCATCTCTGAATGCGCGATACCCATTAGCAAGGGTAGAGATGTCGTATGTCGTCCAACCGAACTGCCGGCCCCTGGTGCGTGGGACGGGAGCGGGCGCTTCGTCAGGTAAAGTTGCCTAAAGCGGTTACTCATCAAGCCAGAAAAAGGTGTTTCAAGGAGTGGTGGTAGGGGCGATTGCCATCAAAAGTGCGGGATCTCTCTCATTCACAAATTTCTCCACCATTGGTCTCCGAAATATTCTAGAGTGTGTAGATGTGCGGTATAAGTTATACGAAGTTCTAGCTCAATACACTCAGTGGAGCACAGCCAATAAGCACGGAGAATTTGACTGTATCAAGGAGCGGTGGATAACTGTACCTGAAAACTTTGCTTATTTTATTGTGGCCTATCTCTAGCTAAAAAGATTGTAGCGGAGCTTTTACTGCCTCACTCCAAGTCTGCTCACTATTACTATTTTTCCCAGCGCCAGCCACCTAGGAATAGTTCCTTCAGCCATAGCAAGCTGTTTTCGCTGTTTTCATCATTTCGTGAAAACGATGTGGCGTTCAGACAGTGTGATTGAAATCCGTCTGGAGCTTGGAGCTGAATTGTCACGTACCAGACTAGAATACTTGGGGGAAACAAGCGGTGCGAGCTTTGTGACATCGAGGAACCTGACGGAGCAGATGTAAGGCCTCCTACGGTTAGCAGATAGATCTAGTGGATTTCTATAGAGCTAATGCCACGGCTTGCGAGGGCACTCGCAACCAGTTTCGCACGCCACGGAGGACCTCCACGTGACGGCGCTATGCATTATCGGCGTCTGCATGCTCTTCCCCATGACTGGTCAGTCACCATGCACTCTCTCCTGCCGAGATTCAGCTTGAAAACGGTTCATCTTTGCAGATTACACTGTCTTTGCGCATCCCGATTTTGAGCCAAACGACTATGCGAATGCTCTACTAGCTGGCGAGCCCTATCCGCCGACAACCGGTCAGGCCGTGAAGAAGGGTTTCAATGGAAAGCCGACGGCGACGGGCAGCGATGCAGAGGATATTTCTGTCGCAATATCTAAGCTGTCGTTTAACATTGAGGATGTAGAGAAGCAGCTGAAGAATGTCGTGAGTACTAGCTCTTTCATGCTTGAGAATACTGGTAGACAATGTTCCCTCAGGTTACGACCCATCATGAGGGCTTGCTAGTCCAAGCTGCCGGGGTCACCGATATAGAGGGCTCTTTATCAGCCGTGAAGGGCGGTTTGACAGAGCTCGACGGCTCTCTCGACAAGTATGTCTCCTGATCAGTCGTTGAGCTGCATATATCCATGCCTGCTTACAGATTGCGCCAGAAGATCCGCACACCATATCTCACGCTCTCATCGCACGTTACCCGCCTTGAACAATTACAACAAGCATCAGACATCCTACGTCGTACCTCTCGTTTCGTTGTTCTGACAAGACGGCTGCAGATGCAGCTGACCGAGATGGACCACGCTTCCAAAGAAGATGCAATAGTGTCGGTGTCAACATCGGGTGCTACACCAAACAATACAATCAACGGCGGGGGGATATCAGGGTCATCAAGGAAAAGTACAGACTCACTTGTGACCGGTGCTATGATTGAGGAAGACGAGAAAGAGCGGACGATTGCGAAAGCTGCGTTGAGTATAGCTGAACTCGGTGAGTCCTTGCTGCATATCGTGTCGAAGCCAAGACTGGAAATTCATCGAGAAAACGCAGTATCACTTCTTCATCCACCTGATGCAGGAGCTTCTGAACACAACGGCGATGCATCCGCCTCTTCGATTGAACTCTCCTCTGTAAAGGCTGTCGCAGCTTACCTACCGCTCATCGACTCTGCACGCTCCCGTGTTACCTCTGACATGGAACAAATGGTTATCAGTGGACTTCGAACGCTAAATCAAACCCTGCTCGCCTCTTCCCTTCAGACAGCACACAACCTCCGTGTGCTACCCGACCTTGTGCAGAACCTCGTCTCAGATCTCAGCGATGCCGTCGAAGGACGGATACGATATGCCCTTGACCTAACGCGAATTGCGAAGGAGGTTCTTCCCAAAGGTCAGCTCCAACACTGCTGTCACCTGGAGTGCTCGTTCTGAGGTCACTGCAGAACAAGCTTCAACTCCAACATCCATGTACAAGTCGCGCTTTCGGACGGAGCCGACAAACATCACAGCGCCACAGTGGCAAGCTGCGCTTTGGGCAAGCCTCGAGAGCCTTGTTGAGGAGATGGCCGACTGCTGCGTCAAAGTGTACACGCTGGAGAAGGTGCTCACGAATAAGAAGGATGCTGTCACTAAGGTCGGGTTCTTTGACGAGGCGATGAAAGTGCTCGAGAACAAGCCGAGCGCGACATTCTGGGCGGCCCTTGGGCGGAGCCTTGAAAAGCAATTCAAGGAAGCGACTAAAAGTGCGCCGGTCATATCTTCGTTGTGTGCGACGCGGCTGATATTGTGTTGTAGGCTCAACATTCCTGCAGCAAACATTGAGTGCGGGATACCCACGGCTACTACGGCTGTTTCACTCTTTCTTCGCTAAGATTGCGGTGCACACAGACACTATTTATTCACAGGCACAGCAAAGGTCCAGTTCTGTCACGCTCTGCCCTCCGATTTTTCTGCTGACTCTCGAGTTCGTGCAGCCCGGACACCATCCTTGTGTTGCGTGCACTCTCGCTTTTTGAGTCCTCGTATCTCACACGTTCGAGCACACGTATCAACGAGGGCGTCTCCAATGCATTTGCAGGAGGCGCACGCGCGTCGCCAGGACAGGCAGAGGGCACCAACGTAGCGCGCGCCGTTGCAAACGAGCTCGACAGTGCTAAATTCGACCCATTGCTCGTCAAGGCAGTCGCACGGAACGCGGCGGCGAGTCTTGAGGCATTTGTGAACCGTCTGGACGGCCTGGTGAGTTGTGACTATCGCGATACCGAGTCATGGCTAATATTACTTAGATATCGAGGGAGCGTGCAGCGATCAGTCTTCTCGGCCCAACGGCGACGAGCCAGCAAGTCCTGAATGGCTCGCTTGCGACATGCCTATACCACTGCTGGAGCCGGCTTGACAAGCTACAAGAAGAGTACCCGGAAGGTGTCGTCGCTATTTTGAGGCCAAGCGTCGACGTACGTCCTCCTTTACCTCCGTTCTCGACGACATATTCATAATTGTTGACCTTCACACACACAGAACATCCATAAAAGGTTCACGCAGATTATCGATCCACTACTTGCTGCCGTTCGCCGCGAGGTCGGCGCAATAATCGCAAAGCTACATCGTATGGACTTCAGCGACGCCGTAGACCCGATGAGCGCTATGGGCGGGGGCGCGAGTCCCTATATGAAAGATTTAGCAGAGAAGCTGACGTTCGTCAAGACCGAAGTGTTTGCGCTCTACGGTATACCAGAGCTCGTGCGCGACTGGTAAGCTACCTCTCTCTATATTTTGATTGTAGCTCACGCAATGCTTGGCAGGGTGAAGGACATTGCGAAATACGTTATCAAGACTTTCCTCCTGCATGCGTCGATCGCGAAGCCGCTCGGCGAGTCCGGCAAGCTGCAGCTTACGAGCGACATGACCGAGTTCGAGTTCGCGCTGAGCGCGTTCATGACTGAGCCCGGCGCCAAGAAGCGCGGGGCTGACTGGAAGACCGTCGGAGAGGAGTACCGCGCATTGCGGGCAATGCGGTTCGTCTCCCCACCGCTCTCATTGTCTTTCACGACACTGATCGGTAATTGGGACTATTGCACAGGCAGCTGCTCTTCCTTGACAATACACTTCTGGCCTCGCCGAAGCACACGGTCGGGCTGCCTCCACTGCTGGTATTGCACCACGTCCTTGTGCGCTCGCCCATTGCGCTGCCGCACACGCTTCACGGCTGGGCTGAGGCGGAGTATGTGCGCTGGGTGAACGAGCACACGCCTGAGGAGGCGTGGACGCTCGTCGAGGGCGGACTCGCGCACTGGGAGGGCGTCGCACAGGCAGAGGGCACCGATACCGAGACGGCGCGAGAATACGTCGACCTGGCGCGGACAGTGCTGAAGAACGCGATGGAAGGGGCGGGACAATGAGATGTAGTGCAGTATTCCTAGTCTTACATGATATCCAACAGAGCCCAAAATGCCACAGCTTGTGCTGCTACACAGATACGATACGACTTGCTCAAGAGCGGGGACGAACTAGAGTTTCGCCCTTGCGTCCCCTTGCTCGTCCCGAATGCGGACGACGACCTTTCCCCACGTCTTCCGTTTCTCAATCGCATCGAGGCCCTCCGCAAGCCGTTCGAAAGGGAAGATCTCGGGGTAGACGACAGGCTTGACCTTGCCTGTGGAGAGCAGCCTTTACGACAACAGGGTCAGGGCAGATGGCATCGTGGGAATAGAAGTACTTACGCGAGCAGCTCTTTCCAGACGACTGAGATGCGCTTCGGGTCTTTGACTATCAAAAATGAGTGCCAGCTAACGTAGACAGATCGTTCAAAACTAACTGGCGGTGCCGCCCCAGAATACACCCATAACAGTGACACCTTTCAGAAGCACAAGATTAAGCGGAAGCTGCAAAGAAGGAAGTGAGACTGGCAGAGTTCAGAGCTATAGGTTCTCCCCACCTTTTCAATCTCACCCCCAGCAAAGCCAATGACCAGCAGCCTGCACTTCCAGGCCGCACACTTGAGGCAGTCGCGAATTTTGCCGACGGGATCGTACACGACGTCGACGCCACGGCCGCCTGTGATGTTGAGCACCTCCTTCTGCCAGTCTGGCTTGGTGTAGTTGACCGCATAGTCGGCGCCTCCGTGCTTGACGGCAATATCGAGCTTCTCTTGGGTGCCTGCGGCCGCTATGACCTTTGCGCCGAGCACTACACGTCTGAGATAGTGAGAGGATGAAGATAACGAACAGGGAGGGTACTGACACTTTCCAAGTTGCACGGCGACAATGCCCACACCGCCTGCTGCGGCAGTGACGAGCAGCCATTCTCCCGGCTTGAGCTCGGCACGGCCTGTGAGGGCCTCGTAGCTTGTGGGCCAGGTAATCGGCAGATCTGATAGCGAAGTCTGTATTTCCTCTACTCCATGATGACCTTGAAGACTCACTGGCACCCTGGTCAAATGTCATGTTACCCGGCAACAGGGCGAGCTGCCGCCATTTGACCGCGACCTTTTCGCCGTACGCTCCCTGGCCCGCACCGAAGACACGGTCACCGTGCTTGAAGGGACATCCTCGTGGTAAGGGCGAGTCATCTGAGATCTTGCCTGCAATTTCTGTACCGAGGACCTGCAGTGAGGGGTAAGTGGCGATGGCACACGCACAAAGTGCGCGCGAGACTCAACGAATGGGCGCGGCGGCTGAACCTGGTACTTGCCCTGCGCCTGCAGGATCTATAGGGTACTGTGAGCTGATTCGGCTGTGTATGCGAAGGAGGTGGGAGGGGCGCACGTCGAAGAAGTTCATGCCTGCACTATGCACATCGACCAGCACCTGGTCCTCCTCTGGCTTGGGTAAAGGTGCATCCTGAGTAAGGGCTATCTTGGACGGGTGGGCGTATTCCTTGACCACGAAGGCCCGCATCATTCTACCTTGCGTTGTGGACGTCGACAACAATCAAGGGGTCTCGTAAGCTGCTGGCGCATTCCCGGTGCATGATCCATGGTAGTCGGCAAACTGATGCCGGAGACAGGAAGTTGCCGGCGCCGGTACAAGACATGGTAAGCTTTGAGTGTGACAAAAATAAGTATCGCGAGTAAATATCATTTTCAGCGCTCATCAGCTAGTAAGTGCAATGTGAATGGCAGTCTCTAGCCTCTGTAAGAAATATACTTATCGCTCGCTACGCGTGACGTAACGCGATGCTATTAGGCCTTGCGCTAGGTAACCAGGTCCATTCGTCCTGACACTCGAAGGCCCCCCCATTTCGACCATCATCATGCCTCCAAAGCGCGGTTCGACAGTCAACACCGACGCTAGCGCGCCTATGCGCAAGCGTGCTCGCACGTCGAGCGCTCACGCAGCGGCAAAAGCTCTCGTGGCCGACATCGTCGACGCGTCGGGGGACTACGAGCTCCCGAACAATAACGACGAGGTTATTACGACCGTCCAGCAGCTCGCCCGCTACGCCAGACACCTTGAAGAGCAGCTCGAGTTGGCCGATAAGGCGGCCACCCAGGTGCCGGCAGGGCCGGCGAAGAAGACGCCTGAAGAGCTAGCTGAGAAAATCAGGAAGGCTGCGGCCGCTGGGATTAAGAAGCAGATGAGCGTACGTTTACATTCATAATCATTTTTCAGAACTAAACTAAGGATATCCCTTGATAGTGGAAGCCTTCGTGCAAAACAAACTCAGCAAAGTGGGTCTACGACGGTATCTGCCCTGACCCGGAGGTCTTTGGCCACCTCTTCAATCTCGGCGGCCCTCCAAAGTGGAAAATGAAAAAGTTCTCCAAGCAAGAGTTCGAGGACATTTTTGGTGACATTGAGGGCCATGCTCGGTATGTGCCCGTACAATAATGTGCGTCACCTGAAATTAACTCATATCTACATGCTAGGTACAACGAGCTTTATATCACCAACAGGGAGATCAATGTTCGTTGGTCCGAGACCGGAGAGTTCAAGCTTAGCGGTACCTACGGGATATCAATGTAGCTGGGGAAATCTAACCTAAAAAGTGTCCGTTGCGGGCGTTTTCCTGCCGAGTGCACTATTGTGTAAGTAGGGCAGAGTACTTGTCGCCACTAATGTACCTACGCACCGATAATGATTCCCAGCTAGTCCATGTTCATCCGTACATAAGCTCGAAAATCGTGAAGGGCTAATGAATGAAAGGTATGAACGACAGCCATGATGTGTCCCGGGTATCATAAACCCGGGCGGGCAAGCTCTGGAACGAGTGTCCCAGGAGAATCAACAGGATAACCCGGGCTATGCAGTATATGACGATCAACGTCAGCGCCATCTTGTTCATAGCTTCCGTAACCCATCGCCTGTCGACGACGGCCGCGCCGAGGATAATAACGAAGACAATGATGGGTAAGATGATGAGCAGCAGGGCGCAGCACCGCCAGAGTACCTGGCCGTTACTGTTCGGGAACTCGACATCCCAGCAGAAGAGGTGCGCGATCCCGACGGGCAGGCTGGCGGCGGCGGCGATGAGCGACCCTTGCGTCATGTCTACATATCGTGAGTCTAAGGCCATCTGCAGGACGTCTAAATACTCACACGGACTGGACTGCCGCAGGTGTTCGCTCCCGTGCTGGCGGTCGGTATCACTCATTGGGGGCTCTAGGAACGGCACGCAAGTCTTTTCCCAGAAGTCGTAGAGTGTCTGTGGTACCCAACGTTTTCTCGTCTTCTCGGTCGTCTCTTGCTCCGTAACCTTCTTAGATCGGCGCAGCGTCGGTTTTACGCGTACAATGATTCGTTCGTTGACGTTGTACGGCTTGGGGAGCCAGAGTCCGTAGTAGGCGAGCGTGCAGGCGACGTACGCACAGGTGACCGTCTCGAGCGGTGCGATGGGCAGCTTCTTGATTGCACGTACAACCGTGCCAACGAAGAATCGGAAGATTTGGAGCGTCGTCAGGATCTTGAAGAGCACATCCGCCTTCATGTGATCCGCGAGCTCGTACTCGAGCGCCTTGCAGTCGAACGCGCCCGGCTCATTATCGCGCAACAGCAGCTCGTGGAGCGCGAAGCCCGAGCGAACGCGGCGACCGTCCTCAGTCACAAGAGCGCCCATGTCGGCTGCCAAGGCGAGCGCGAGGGACCACTCGGCATGCCCGTTTTCGCGCATCCACGCGACGTCGCGCACGGCGAGCATATGCTCGTAGAACGCGTGGAGCACGAGCATCTCGGGAGAGAAGACGCCGAGAAGCCAGAAGCTTGCCTTCGTCCACAACTCGAGCCAGTAGTCCTTCGAGCGGAGTTTTTGTAGGAAGGGCAGGCGGTGTGCGTACGAGCGCGGGACGTCGAAGTGCACGGAGCTGTAGACGCAGGTGATCAGCGTTGAGGCACAGGAGGAGATAATATCCATCGTATCGCGTTCACTGGTGCCGGCTTGGAAACCAATGCGTGGGTCGGAAGACGAGAACTGGGTGGGGTGGCCGTAGTGAATGGCGAGTGCATAGGCCAATATGGAAGCGCACAGTGTAAATACCGCCAGGAGACCTAGGATGATGATGTGACGAAGAAGATAATTCGTGCTGACAAATCTCTCCACAGACGGGACGATACCGACCTCGCGAATGGTTAACATCTCGCGAGAGCAACACCTACAGGCTGATTATAACTAGTACTCGGGTGTGGGAGGAAGGACGCAGGCGGGGCCCACCTCTGAATGTCAGGGAGTATGCGGGTTGGCACCTGCCCTGTCCACTTGTACCTCGAGGGATACTAGGGTTTACATTGCTACGAGGAGCGATGACACTGCAGGGGACGTAATGTTGGCAGTGCAATGAAAATTGGAAGCAAAAGAAGACAAGCCGCCTGCAGCGGAAGCTTCGCGTATCATGACACAAGGCATAGAAGCGTAAGATGCCGCCACAGCATTGAACCCTAGTATACGCAAAAATGAAGCAAATTTAAACATGCTGCGGAGGAAGCGACCCACTTCTGCTATCCTGATACGCAAAGGCAGTGTATGGACAAGTTGCACGAAGGTGGGAGGATACAGGCTTTGAGCTTGGATGGTTTCTTACCCCTAGAACGCAAGCGGTAGGCAGAAACATCTCCACCTGGAGACGGCGAGGAAGTAAGGTTCAATGTGCTGTGCTACAATCAGTTCATCTGCACATGGTAGGTCATAATCAGCCGCTACGCAAGACATCCATCGCAGAAAGCTGGTTTAAAAGGCGTGCCGCAACTACTAAATCCGCGGTGCCTAAAGCTGTGGCAGGACATCAGGAAACAGAACTTGGCTCCATAGTGCTCCAAAATGCTCCTGTCGCACTGTGGAGCCAAGTTGTTTTCCTGATGGAGACAAGCTCAGGCTTGGAGAAGTTTTGAATTAGCAAAATTTAAATCCCTAGCACAAAACGCCAATGTACGACCTACTATCAAGCTTCCAGGCCGTTTCTCCCGCTGAGGTGCTCCATAACTTTCCTATACATATCAGTATCGAGACATTCGTCCGAACCGAGTGTGGCCCGGAGCAGGAGGGGGGAACACTACAGGCATGAGCTGGTTTCAGATCACCTGAAATGTCCCGGTCAAGCCATCAAAAATGTTTCATTTTCAGAGACTTAACCGGGGCTTTCTGGTGTCCTAAAATGATAGATTTGCCACCACTTTCGTAGCCATTTGCGGTGCAGGAAAATGATAATTTTTGTGTAGCCTGAAATGAACCTGAAATGACTCAATATGGCTACATTTCGGTACGGCAAAGAGTTCATGTTTCAGAAGACTTTGTGGTGCATTTCAGGACATCTGAAAGAACATATGTGGAGATCATTTCTGCCTCATGTTTGCAATGAGGAAAGGTACGGGCAAGGAAAACTTTTGATGGTCCTGAAATTGCCATTTCTGATGGATTTTGAAGCTATTTTATGAGCTAGAAGATTTTACTTGAGATAAGCCAAAAATGTCCTAGAAACGTACTACAAATTTGCCGT